ACTAGAAGAAAAGTTCTCATAAATTTGTACCTGTAGTTATATCAACACATGTTTAATGATGTTGGCATGATTAATTACCTTTTACTTTTCATTTTGGAGTTCTTTAGAACATTGCAGGTATATTATTTAATGTAGAAAAGGTAAGATTATAATTCATTTTGGCGATGGTTCCCGAGTTATGTAATTATATACAAAAGTAACGCATATTGAAAAGGTAAGCAGTATTTGATTCAATGATAGTAATATATTTCAAGCGTTTACAAGATATGGAAGACGACAGAGGCGCAAGCAGTCCCGAGCCAATATATAAGGCAGGTGAATGTGAGAAATTGAGAGAGTTGGTGTTTTGGCAGCGTGTTGAACAGTCGAAACCCTAAATGCTATACTATTTTTATATTTTTAGTTGCACGTGCATAGCGCTTTTGAAAAGGCTGAAAAATTTAAAGTAAAAAACAGGGGATTAAAGATTAAAAAAGGGAGATTAAGAATAGTTTTTTTTAAGTGAGAATGAAAACAAAAAAGGGGGAAAGTATTTATAATGTTTTTCAAAGGATATTATTTAAAAAATTTTTTAAAAGGTATGAAATCATTATTTTTTTTTAAATTAAAAGAAAAGGGTGTCTCGAAAAATTATTCAAATATTTAATTAAATTTGGGGTAATTCATGCACTTTATTAAAAATATAAACTTTGGGTTTTAAAATCAAATAATAAAGGAAAAAGAAGCAAGGAAATTTATATAACAGGTATAAGCCGGGTCACTTTTAACAAAAAATCAAACATGTTGATATGACCTTGACCTTTAATTGACATTGACTGTAAAGTTCAAATTAATTAAATTTCTTTTAATTTTCATAACTTTGTTATTTGTTTCTGGATTAATTCATTCTTGGACAAAAGAACACTTCTAATATTAGACATGATGATTATTTCAAAAGTAATTACTTTAAAAAGTGAAATTTGATATAATAATAGTATTATTATAGATGTTGAAATATGAAATTTTTTCAAAAGGGCTTATATTAGGTTTTTTTGATATACATGTATATGATCAGTACATGTGCTGGTATTGTCAAATATGCATTTTATTTGGATTTTAAAGGCGTTTTGAGCTCCAAACCCCAAGTGTCTGTGTAAAATTATGTTTTCTAGGAGTATTCTTTAATTACTACAATATCCTTTCTCTGATGTGTTTTACTTTACAAATAAGAAGTAGAAATGTGTCTGAACAACACAGATGCCCCCACTATATATATTGGGACAACAAAGAATATGAATAAATATAATATAATATATTTTGTTTATCACTCTAACTTGCTTAATTTTAATATCATTGTTCTAAAGTAAAATATTTTAAAATATTTGTTAGTTTAAATGAACTGAGAGCAATTTCTGTATCAGTTTTAATTTTATTCTGAAATTAAATGGTTTATGAGTAATTAAATAAAAGTTAGTTCTTCGTTTTAAGTGACACAAATAAATTGTGTAGGTAGAATCATAGCAGCTTATATTAAACCAGACAAAAATCCGTGTGATTTAAAATCCAACACAAAACAAACAAACATAAATATAACTGTATCGTAGTTACATGCACTTGTGTTTTATTATGTAATGTAGGAACTATCTGCTCTATGTGTTGCCCAATAATCTTACTTGTATACATACATACATTGTAGTACATTTAATCTGAGGTACCCTGATTTAAATTTATTGTGCAAGATGTACCACCTGTGTTCTTTGTTTGTTTAAAGGAAAGTACATGTACCATTAAATGCTTTAGCAACTTAAAAAGTCAATATTAAATTATCACCTTAATGTTATGTCACCCATATAAATTAAACCTTTATCATGACCTGTGTGTAAACTGAGGTTAACTTCTAAATATAGATTTCTGGAAAATCCAAAATTCAAACATCAAGATGGAGAATTCAAGCAGACAACATGAGGTTTATGAAAACTTTGACACGGTAAGAAAATATTAACATGTTATGTAAATTTGCTAAGGTTAACTATTGTGTTCATTATACACAAATATTCAAAGTTTAAACTAAATTTTAGGTAGTCAATTAAGTGCTGTATTTACCCGCATACTGATTCTTATAACTCTATCAACTTTTAAATAACCATTCATTTACTAGCTTTCAAATGACTATTTAGAAATTTAAATCTGACATGGTTTAAGTAGTCACAACGTAAAAATATAATTCTACAGCAATATATAAGGTGACATTATTCTTATTTGGGTATGTGATACACAGAATACCCATAATATTTTCACATAGCTTTTATAATATTGCTAAATTTCTATTGAACTTTTTTAATAAAACGATATTATGTTTTATATCTAGATATATAATTCTATCCAACTTGAATGGAGCCTATACTTATTCAAAGGTTACTCTTTGACTGAGTGGTTATGGTCACTTAAGTCCCTCATCACTGTGGGTTCGAACTCCATTAGGGACTGTGATTTCTTTCATTTGAGAAAGCTAGCTTTCAGAAGGTCATCAGAAGGTCAGAGGTTCTACCCTGCTTGAGTCTTCTTGGAAAGTCAACACATGACCTTTACAGTGTGGGTGTAACTTAATATCAAACAAACAAATGTTCAATAATAAATATCATCTATATATTTTTAATAAAAAAACATTAATATTTCCAGCAAATGATAAGGAATCAAATCCAATTGTTTGACGAGATATCCATTCTGTCTCAGCGCATGGAAAGCTTTGAGAGTCAATTAGAAACTTTAATCAATGGACAACATTCCATAATTGGAACAATTAACAGGGCAATGAAGAAAAACAAAAGACAAGCAGCACGTAAACCACAGGAAATGAAATTCATCAAACAAAAAGGTGAGTTTTTTTCCCAAATTTTTCTGTGTTACTTGTTGTTTGTACCACTAAACCCTTTATAATACATGTATATATTAAAATGCCTTTAGGGTATTGCCCTGAAACTTGTTAATAACCAATACCTCTATGTCATAATTGTGTCTTGGATGTAAAAAGAATGCCAATTTTTCAAAGTTTCTTCTATTTTCAGTCATGCTTATATTGAAACTTTAAATTGCCCCACTTTCAGCCAAGAAAGTTAAATACTGTCATGAAATTTAACAAAATCACTCTCTTTTACTAAATTGAAATGTTTGTTAAGTAATAATTATATATATAATTATTTTATATATACTGCCCAAATTTATGAATTTTTCTTTCCACATGTTGCTTTTGAAACTTTGAAAACTTGGTCAAAATTGGCATCAGTTCCACTTTCAGACAAGTGTATATTATTCTGTTATGTATTTTATAAATGCCAAAAATAAAATTATGCTTGTTTCCCCTTCCCAACCCATTAAAATTAAGGTTGGGTAGGTAGGTAGGAAAATTTTTTTTTTTATATGTGCATAATGATAAATAATCTGCATATATGTATAAGGAACTATTAAAATTAATTTATTAAGTGTAATAGTATATGTAAATAGATTACCACATTCACAACTGACATACGCAACAATTTATACACTATGCTAGCTGTCTAAAATATCAGATTAGATTGTACCTATTGTACTCTGAAAAAAACCCAAAAAACTTTCATCCCCTAAGAACCTGAAAAATCTTTTGGGTAGGGGCAAATTTGTTGGGTAGGTACATGTAGGTATGGGGAAACAAATTAAATTTTATTTTAGGTCTTATAACTATGCTCTCTTTCTTTTAAAACATATTGTAACAGACTTGGTTTTTTTCCACTATCAAGCACTAAGAATAATCTAGAAATCCTAAAGATTTTTATTTTTTTGTTATATTTTCTTGCTTGGAAGTTTGCACTTCATTTTGTCATCACAACATATTTATTTTTAAGCGAGCAAAACACAATGTATTCATACTTTTGTAGGATACATGTACAGTAATGATATAAAATATTTATGCAAAATGAATCAAAACAAAATTGCTATGGCTTCTTATTTAATATTTTATGTGTTTCTTTTTCTCATTTTTCAGGTAAGCCTCTATCACCAAGTGATGTGTCAAAACTAGTGCATCTTCCAGAGGCTTTACAAAGAAATATCAGCAAGTTTACACAAAACATCTTGTTTACATCATCATATATTCAAGATGACCTTGTATCTAACAACTGTCTCAGCGAAGACGAGTGTACAGACATCACTTCTAAAGCAAACCCAAAAGATCAAGTTCGTCTCCTTATACGAAAGATAAAGTCACGTGGACCCGCAAGTATTGAAAAATTTCTTAAAGTTGTTGAGAAAGACAAGCCAGAGCTTGTTATTGAAGTTAATCAAACTCTTGAGGAAATTGTCAGTGAATACAAAGACAAACCAGTATGTGCCATATGTGTAATGCAAAACACAGTTGATCTTAGAGACATTGCTGATACTCTCTGGCAAGAAAAGATTATATCTGATGATATATTTGAAGATATAATTGTGAGTAATAGCTTGCATCAAAGTCGACCTCTTATCTGGAGCAGCATCATGGCCTCTTTAAATGATTTCACAGACCATAGCAAAGCCAAAGCAATTCTTATTGATGCCCTTGAGCCAAAATATGATCATATAGTTGGTTATATAAATCAAAATCCGGACAGACCATCATTGAATTGCCAGTGTTGCACTAAATGTCGCAGGCTACGACCTAGGCCTCTTGTTTCTGAGTTTGGCAGCCAAACAAATGTGAGCCTATCTTCATCAAGACTTCCAAAGTTTCTTGATGAGGACGGCAATTCTGAAGGTGTATCATCTACTCAAGACCTACCAAGCAGTGACTTGCTTTCATATGATATGCCAGAGAAATTTGAGAACATTTCTAACAATCCTTTAGATATTCAGAGTGATGCTGTTGACAGTACTTTAACAACATGTCATGCTTGTGGTGCTGTAACTGTAAATAAGAGTCATCATGAATCATTTTCACAGCATGTACCTGAAGCTAATGATAATGCTGAGTGTTCAAATCAGCAAAGAGAAGCTAAGGTAAAACAAGAGCTTAAACACAGCATCAGTACAATAAGTAATACATCTACAGTCGTTGCTAACATATCCAGTAGTTGTCCTGACACTGCAGGTATACAGTCAAGTAATGCATTAAAAAATATGTTTCAGTCAGAGGTGAAGAATGATGTAAATATATCAAATTCATACAGCACGTCAAACATTGAAAACACACCGCTACCAAATGGAATAAAAGATAATCAAACTGAAAGTCAATTTCAAAGTGCTGTCAGCAATTTGCCAATAGATCAGGCCGACAAGGTTAAGACAATTAAAGATGAAGACGTGAAAACACTGACAGATACTGCAGATAAGACTTTTTTAATGAAACTTAAGTTACCCCTGAAGCATGGACAGGAAACAGCGGTTCACAAGGAAATGCTAGATACTAATGATCAAACATATGAGGTAGAAGAAAAAGGAAATCAAGCAGAACATGTTGAAATAATTGCTGATGACAAAGATGCCAGTACAACAATTGAAACTGACTTAGATCAAGGAATTTCTGAAGATATTGCACAAACTGTAGCTGTTGATGGTACAGGTAGAAACATTTATGACAAAATAGATCAAGATACAGATGAAGGTATAGCTAAAGATACTGCTGCCAATAAAGATCAGGGTATTGATGCTGAAAATAAAGTCACTTTAGACAAAGTAAATAAACGCATTGACAAAGAAGAACATGAAATAGCTGATGGTATACCTGGAGATGTTGCTGTAAATAAAGATCCAGATTTAGATGATCAAGATGGTGTTGAAAAAGAAATTACTGACAATATAGATAAAACCATTGATAATTGCATAGCTGGTGATATTTCTAAAATGGAAGTAAAAGGCAGGGACAATGGTATAGCAAAAGATGTCCCTAACAATATCGAAAAATCTGAAGTAAAATACATTCCTCAACAAGATCAATCCAAGAATCATTCAGATACTGAAATTTCAAACACCTCAACCCTACAACAAGATGGTAGCCAACATGACTGTTCAGGTGAAGACACAACCACTGCTAAGACATTTCAGGAAGTTATGAATTTACAAGATCAAACAATATCATCCAGCTCAGATTCAATAGGCTATTCTAAACATCAACAGACTTTAATCAATCCATCAGATGAACTGTGGCAGATTGAGGGGGCAAAAAACGATGAATATTTTGAAGATGACAGTCAAGTTTCTTCTAAGAATGATGACAAAGATAGCGATACTGAGAACACAGGAATAAAGCAACTGAAAACCGAGTCACATGAAGATAGAGCAGAACAAGCAAGTTCGGCAGCTTCTTCTTCATCAGGACAGGTAAAGAGGAATAAGAATCGAAGAAAACGAGAAAAAAGAAAACAACACAGATAGATAAGAATCAAGGAAAACATGAAAAAAGTGAATATCACAATGGATAAGAACCAAAGAAACTGAGAAAAAAGAGAATAACACAACAGATAAGAATTGAAGAAAATGAGAAGAAAAAAGAATGAATAACATCTCATATAGAAATGAGTCAAAGAAAATGAGAAAAAGGAGAGAAAAACAGCACAAACTGAATTGAAGAAAACGAGGGAAAAGAAAGAGAGAAAACAACACTGATAAATAAGAATCAAAGAAAATAAGAAATAATAAACTAACAAAAATTGTTTTGGATAAACAAATCTACTAGAGGGTGTGAGAGATGTTGCACTTTTCATGAAGACAGTCTTAAATTTTTATGTAATTTTGTTTTTTCATTGCATCCAAGGGATCACCCTTTTTTCACATTTTTATACTTCACAACAGCAGGTGTCAAGTGCTGTGGTAAATGAAGTTGCCCCGAACTTTACATTGTGTTATTTTTTCCTGCTCCTTCAGGATCAATGATTCCAGCACATTATATGTTGAGGACTGAATGCTGCATATGAAAGTATTTAATATTTAATTATAAATCCTATAGTTTGTTTTGGTGTAACAATTTTACATGTCTACTGAGTGTATGTACATATCTCAAATGACACTTGATTTTTGATTTCCACAGATTTGTATTTTAATAAAATAAATATCATAAAATAAGTTATATTTGCTTTTTATATGACAATATTCAAAGACTTAAATAAACCTTATAATGATAACTTTAAAGTCTCCTGGTTCACGCTAAATTCCATGAAAATTTTGAAAATTTATTAAGAAATATAACATTGTCAACTGAAAGTAATTTACATATTGCAAACAGCATGTACAAACCAAGTAAATTATCAAATAAAAGTTCAAAATGTGCAAAAATTGCCCTTACAGTGTTAAAACTGCAGTAGAAATATGGTAATATAACATGCAAATCATTATAATTAAATCAATAATAATTCAATGGTGAATAGTTGTACTTTGCTTACAATCTGAGCTTTTTTTTCTCAAAGTTGATTTTTCTTGAAATTTTTTGGCTTATTTTGAGGCATGCAGCTTTAAGTAATACATATATACATGTATATATTAACAAAGGTGATCACATGTGTCGCCTCATGATGCTAATAGCATGTTGCAGCTACTGTGTAGCAGGAGACACAAAAATCATAAACAGGGCAAAATGCGGTTTTTTATTCAAGGGCCATAACACAGCCAAAAATCATTCAACCGGAAAACCTGTGTAAAATGCACAATTACTTCAGGTACAGATCAACCCTGTAAATATTTACTGAAATTGCTTTAGCGGTATAAGAGGAGTACTCCAAATAAAAATCATTGAATCATAACTCTGACAAAAATCGTTGAACCGAAAAATGCTTATATTATGAACAACTAGACTTGGTACTGATCATTCCATCAAAGTTTGGATGAAATTGCACCAGTAGTTTCTGAGGAGTAGCTTCTAAGTAGCTACTGGGAACACACATAAAAACACTTTTAAGCAAGGGCCATAACTCAGCCAAATATAATTCAAACCGGAAAACCTGTGTAATATGCACAAGTCTGTAAATTTTCATTGAAATTGCATAAATTTAAAAGCTATATTCGAGATGTTCATGTGAAAGGAATTGATAACGTTTTGCCCCACTGATGATTCGCCCAGTAACAACTCGGCCCACTTTCAAGACAAATCATTTGTGATGATTCGACCCACTACAATATATCATTTTAAACATCCTTTAAAATAATAAAAATGATAAGCATATGTCATATATGATTTAACATATTTAATGTTTGTTTTGGTATATATGTCCACAGACGCTTGGGGTTTGGAGCTCAAAACGCCTTTAAAATCCAAATAAAATGCATATTTGTCAATCCCAGCACCATACATGTGACAAATGAAATGGGCCAAATCTGGATTTTCAGCTGGATTTTGAGGCTCAAAACTGGATTTTTTTATCGACTCGAATTTCAATGCGTGTTTGGCACATTTGGTTCAAAGAACCTATATTACCCTCAAAATCATTAAATGATTATACTTTTTATGATTTTTTTGTTGATCAATATTAATTTATTTCACCAAAAAAATAAATAAATAGATAAATAAATAAGTGTAGTCATACAGGCTATTTCTAAGTGTAGTCATACAGGCTATTTCTAAAACAGTCACACTTTCACATTTCATTATTTTCAGTTTGAAGAATTATATGTCTTTTCAGTCATTCAATAATTAAACACAAGCTATTTGAAAACGTGCAACAACTACTCATGAACATAAGACTATGACAGTTAAATAACGTAACATAAGTCATAAGTAGAAGACTCAAAAGAAATGCAAGAATCGTTCCGTTAATTAAATCCACATTTTTGCCTCGATGATTGTGTAATTCCTAAACAAAACAAAAAATTACCCACTCACTAAAAATAGGTTAATTAGACATCTCAAACAGGTTTTGAATGATCCACTTTAAATGATTCTGCTCACCTTTTATCTTTATCAGTGCGGCACTAATCAAAGAAAATCAAAGGTTGAGCCGAATTCATACATGAAAATTTATAGGGTAGTTTTGATGACGTAGCGTGTAATACCTACTGCCAAATTACAAAAGAGGTCAATTGACTGACACACGACACGTGATAAGTTAAACATGTGAGAATAACTTTGGGTATTGGAACTGTTTATTACGTCACCTTGCTGTCAATTAGCGACTCAACATTTAATCCGCTATAATTTAGGATATGGACAGATAACAATCAATGCCTGGAGGGACGGTTTACATTTTAGATACACTACTGTAACAGGTGCTGTGTTTGATTTTTTTATGTTGATTTTTTTTTAAATATCGGGAATTCAAGCTGTAATATCGGGAATCGGGATCAGTGTTGAAATATCGGGATTTTTTAAAATCCCGCCGGGATGTCACATGTATGCAGCACATGTACTGATCATATATATCAAAAAATCTTAACATATGCCGTTTTGAAAAAAAATCATATTTCAACATCTATAATAATACACAAGATAAAAATGTTAGCTGGAAAAAATCCGCACCCCTACCGTCATAATCACCATGTATTTTAATCCATTTCCAATATTTTCACATAATCCTTTGGTCCATCGACACAGAAGATATAATTCTTCACGATGATGGTCAATTTTAAACTTCAACGGTAATATAAACAACGCAACAGCCGAAATAAACATCAATATTCTCTCCGTTTTTTTTCAACGACAAAAACTTTCGATAGATTCAATGGACCAGACGGCTATGAACGAAGCTATCCGCTTATGTGGTTCCCAAACTTAAAAGCGCTGCGCATTTTGCACACGGCAAAGCTGGGGCCACATAATCGGATAGCTTCGTTCATAGCCGTCTGGTCCATTGAATTTATCGGAAGTTTCTGTCGTTGAAAAAAAAACGGCGAGAATATTGATGTTTATTTCGGCTGTTGCGTTGTTTATATTACCGTTGAAGTTTAAAATTGACCATCATCGTGAAGAATTATATTTTCTGTGTCGATGGACCAAAGGATTATGTGAAAATATTGGAAATGGATTAAAATACATGGTGATTATGATGGTAGGGGTGCGGATTTTTTCCGGCGAACATTTTTATCTTGTGTATTATTATAGATGTTGAAATATGATTTTTTTTTCAAAACGGCTTATATTAAGTTTTTTTGATATATATGATCAGTACATGTGCTGGGATTGACAAATATGCATTTTATTTGGATTTTAAAGGCGTTTTGAGCTCCAAACCCCAAGTGTCTGTGTATATGTCAAGAAATAGATAAGAAATAAATAAACCATACATATCTTTTTTCAATCCAAATGAATTAAAAAAATAATATTCAATATTAGGTGGGTCCTGGGACATACGTTATCGTTCATCCCAGGTGGGTCGAATCGTCTCTAAAGTAGGGCGAGTCTTATTGGGGCCGAATCGTTCTATTACCTGTGAATGCAATTGTAAATTATACTGATTTGAATCCGGATTCTTAATCATTTATTTAATTTTAATGACAATGTAATTTATTTATTACTTACAAATCTTCAAGTGTCGGCTTATCACTAAATTTAAATGCCATTTTCAATAAACTTAATGTGGTGAAAATCTGCGATTTCGCGGATAATCTCCTTTTGCAGAGAGCAATCGTTAGCAAGTTAACGCAATATAATAGATGTAAAGATTACCAATTATTTTTATTGAACAGTTATGTAACACTTGCAGGTAATGCGGAAAGCTTATCAAGTATTGAAGATTTAGAGGTATTTTTTAGACTCTTTCTGCTCCATTATTCTGAAGATACTGTAATATACTGAGCTTCAGACTGCATTTAAATGCTGTGCTTGAATATTGTACTGTAATGTCTGAAAATACAAAGGTTGTAATATTTTTAGGGACAGGAATCGTATAGAAGATGTACCTCAATTTCATTCAATAATGAGAACTTAGAATTAGTACATGATTTTTCTTATTTAGGTATTCAATAATTGCATAATGCAAAGTTGTGTCATTAGTCTCCTATAGTAAATTGATCATAAATTTAGGTTATTATTAAGAATATAGTCCTATTTTAATTTATTGGTACAATTTGTCACTCATTCTCCTGTTTTGTGTAAAATTTTCTGTGTTCGGGTTGTTGCACATTCACAATTTTGTATTTTATGAACCATGACAGTATTGAATAAATCTTGAAATCTTGAACAAGCCAGTTTGTCCCAATTTTGAAAACTTTACGTTTTAAATGTTTCTACATTATCATATTAATACAAAGCTTCATGCCTCCGGATGAGCCAAAATATTCAAGAAAATCAAACTTGTAAATGATTTTGAAAAAAAAAGTAAATGATTCAAGATTCAAACAATAATTTACTTTTTATTTGATTGATTTTCGATTTTTATCACCATTGTTCTATTGCGTGTCTAATGCAGACAGTAAGGACTATTTTTCACATTTTTGGCCGGGTTGCACTGGTGCAAATCCGGGTTATATTATGGTGAATGTCGGGCGGCGGGTGGGCAGCTAGTAGGGCGGGGAAAATATTTTCGTAACAGTTTTCTCAGCAACTACTTATCACAGCCTCTTGATATTTGGCATACAGCATAGACACATGGTCCCATACCGTGGAATTAATTTAATTTCAGGTCTGTCGCTCATCCACTAATTCCTGTTTATCCACTTAGTTAAATTAGTTAGATTTTTCGACATTAATGGTCAATGGTAGGAAATTTTCGTAACAGTTTTCTCAGCAACTACTTATCACAGCCTCTTGATATTTGGCATACAGCATATGGACACATAGTCCCATACCGTGGGATTTGATTTCAGGTCTGTCGCTCATCCACTTCCTGTTTACCCACTTAGTTAAATTAGTAAAAGTTTTCAACATTAATGGTCAATGGTAGGAAATTTTCGTAACAGTTTTCTCAGCAACTACTTATCACAGCCTCTTGATATTTGGCATGCAGCATTGACACATGGTCCCATACCGAGGGATTTGATTTCAGGTTTGTTGGTCATCCACTTCCTGTTCACATTAATGGTCAATTGTAGGAAATTTTCGTAACATTTTTCTCAAAAACTACTAATTACAGCCTCTTGATATTTTGCATACAGCATTGACACATGGTCCCATACCGTGGGATTCGATTTTAGGTGTGTAGCTAATCCACTTCTTGTTTACCCACTGAATTAAATTTTCGACATTAATGGGTCAATGGTAAATTTTTTTTGTAACATCACATCCTCATGATATTTGGTGTACAAATGCAACTCGGCCTTTTCTGTCTTTGACCCATTTTTTTATAATTAACGTGGATTTTAAATGCCGTTTTGCGATGTGAAAATTACAGTATCCTTTGTTCACTTCACGATATTTTACTTTTGAACACATTTTTTATTAATTTCAATAAAATTAGCATGACTCTGAGGACTTAATGTTCAGTTTGACAATTATTCGACAATGTTTAGCTTTCAACTCGAATGTTATATATAATAATTAAAGTCCTTATCCGAATAGTGGCATGGATTTGGTCCGGCCTTTAAAATAAATTACAGTCAACTTGAGTTATACGTTATCTACTTATATGTTAACAAATAAGTAGATAAGGTATTTTTTTGTTGTTTTTGGTTTTATTTATACTAGGCGCCGGTTTCCCATATGTCCCAGACTATCGGCCTCTATTACGATTGCTGGTCGTAGAGCCTGCAACGGAGGACTTAATTCGCCTGCAACGTCGTCGATCGTAGAGCTGCGACGGAGGTCTTTTCATGCTGTCGTTCGTCGTAGACCTTCTCTAGGACCCAATTCCTCGCTTCTTGAACAATGATTGACAATGGAGGAAAGGCACCTCTTCCGGGAGCAGCAGCTGTCTTTAGGGCCACACCCTTCGCCGTTGGTTATGTCACACCAGCTAAGTGACCTAACTAGGTCACCCATCTGGTGTGACCTATATGCCTTCCGAGCGACGTGCACACCGCGAAGGGAAGTCGGAAGAGATAAGGTATAAATAATCAAGTACTATTTTATAGTGTTTACGGTAATTTTTCTTGAAGGCAAGGCCAAATCCACTGTGGGTTTCATGTCTGTCTATTGTTCTTTTGTTATAGGTGATTGAACTGGTCTGCAAGTTCAGTGATGGATAATTGGTTTTGTATGAAAGTTAATTCATACTAATTTCATTTTGGGATAGCTGTAAAATTTCTAAGTAACTGACCACTTCTTGATTTGCTTTCCAAACGATAACATATTATTCAATTATATTCAAGTTAACCTTCAAAAATTTCTTGATAGAAATACTTGATATTTTTCATTAAATTATTTAAAACATTGAAAGCATCTTCTATAATAATAAATGCCTTGAATGTATGTATATATTTATTTACTTGTGAAATTATTTTTATTGTAATTTGAATTGTTGTATTATATTATTTTGTGAAATGTAATTGTATTGTAAGATATTTTGTATTGTATTGTGATGTCTTATTGTTATATTATTACAGATTTTATTCATAAAAGAATAAATAGATAAAAACAGTATTCGCCTTATCTTATCCCAACTACATGTATACGAATATGCGAATATGAAGATTGTGTAAACTCGTTTTTGAAAAGATTAACTAGTGGCATGGAAAGCCAAAAATATATATAGACATAAGCAAAAGAAATCTTAAACATTTGAAGTACATTAATTAATTAAGTTTCATGGCCAACATTTGTCATTCAAAGAACAAAGCAAATATCCTAAACAAAACAGCTTGAGCGGCCAGAACAATAAAAGATGCAGTAGGTATGCAAACATGCACTAAATTTCCCCAAGCAAAATATTTCATGTAATACAATTACAGTACTGTTGATGGCGTTGAAACCATCATAAAGCTCAAGGTCCAAATTAAATATCGCTGGGGATTCTTAAAAAAACCAAAATGTTCACCTGTTGACATTTATTCAGATTTGGTTATAATTGTACATCAGTGAGCATTTTTAAAATGATTATGATTGTCAGACATGTGTTTAATCATTATGTTGCCAAAAAGCACATAAATCTCTCTTTGGGTTAATTTTAAATTTCCTGTTGTAAGTTTTTGCTCTTTGTGTTTATATCAAAAGGTGAAGGTCGTGGGATCGGAAAATGTCAACAAAGAATTACCAAAGTCCAAATCAACCACTTTAACCTCTTAAACGACTCTTTTGATCGCTATATTACTCAGTTTTACATCTTTTTGTCTCATGGCTTGATGTTACTGACTCATGACACTCATCATGTTGTCTGTATCAGTGAAAACTGTTCTGATTTTCCTTGTAATTTTGGTGCCTGGTTTTTACGTTGCAAGGTTGGTAAAATTATTTTTTATCGTAAAATCTGTTGGTTTAGAAATGAATAATTCAATGAATATAAATATCCTTTTTATTTTACATTTGATGTTATCATGTACTAAATTGATTACTCTGTCTGTCAGTGTGTGTGTGTACAGTTCTTTAGGGTCAAACCTTGTGCACTGGCTTAATAATTATATTTTTTAAATCATTACCACAACCCAATTTACATCTACTGTCAAGTTTTGATACAGCAGTTATCATGGATGTATGTTTAGACGGGGCAGACCATATTTTGGGACAGGGCGAACCGTGACTCGGGACGAGGCGGACCATGATTAAATGTATTATAAAAATATTTAAATATTGCTGTTTCTTTTTTTTCTTTTAATATCATTATAAACATATACATGTACATATATTAATGCAGTTTATTAATTTAGAATAAATTTGTTTAATGAAATTATTAAAAACAGCATCGAGTTGGACATTATGCAGGTGATAATTGACCAATTATTGGGATAATATTACATGTCATTGTTAAATAAGAAGAGGGTAAAATTTTATATATGGTACGGAAAAGGCTTGTTATTCACGTTTCACATTTGAAACACAATACCAAAACAGCATAAAATGATGATGAGTGACATTACAAAAAGAAACACAAAAGGTAGACGAAATTTACATCATACACAGAAAAGATGACTAATTTATTTTGCAGGTATACTAAAACATAATGATGAAGTCAGACAAACATAATTTTATACGTTATCATAAGAACTCCATCCTTTGTGTAACACTTCCTCCCCGTGTATTAGGATGCCTAGCATGTTGCTAGCTTTTTTGGTGATCTTGTCAATGTGTTGTTTCCAGCCAAGGTCTGATTGTAAGTCTACACCTAAGTATTTTGATGTCTGTTCTTCAACCAGAGTTATACCTTTCAGGATATAGTTGGTCCGGATTGGAGATTTCGCCCTGGTTTCTTGTAGGACGCTGTATTTCCGAGGGTGAAAGTCCATGATGCCCCACAAGTATTCCCACCTAGCTAGAGAATCCAGGTCTGCTTGAAGCAGCTGCTGGTCATGGATGGACTTGATCTGGCAATAAACGATGCAGTCGTCTGCAAATAATCAAGTTTTTGAGAGTAGTTCCTCTGGAAGGTCATTTATGAATATTAGGAACAAGAGTGGTCCAAAAACTGAGCCCTAAGGGACACGCTAACGACTTGGGCTCTTCAGATGACTAACCTTGGACCAGCACTCTCTGGGTGCCGCCATTTAAGGAGTAGATCTATGCATTGGAGAGTCCTGCTTGAATACCATGATGATGGGCCTTCTTGAGGAGCCTCAGATGTGGTATCCGGTCAAATGCCTTGCTGAAGTCCAATATGATCATGTCTGTCTGGATCCTCTTGTCAAGTGATTCTGCCAGCTCATGCGCAAGGGTGAGGAGTTGAGTTTCGCAGCTCCTCCTTGCTCAGAAACCATGTTGGCAATCGTGTAGGATGTTATGTCATTCCAAATGTTTCATGGTTTGGCTGACAATGACATGCTCGAGCAGCTTGCAGCATAGGCTTGTGAGGGGACCGGCCGGTAGTTTGCAGGATCCTGCCTTGAGCCTTTCTTGTAGATGGCTGTGACATCGGCTTGGATTCAGTCGTCAGGCACCTTTAATTCCTTTATGGAGGTTTGGAAGATTGTAGTGAGGATTGGGGCCAGATCAGAAGCACAGTCTGTTAGTATGCGTGCTGGGATGTTATCAGGACCTGAAGCCTTCCTTGGGTTGATGTTGAGTAACAACTTCATGATGCCCTCTTCATTGATCTATATGGTGTCCATATCCGGGAAAGGTGTTCCTGATGGTGTTGGGATATTTCTGTCTGCTTTAAGAGTAAAAACTAACATGTATTACTTGTTTAAGATGTTGGCCTTGTCACGTGCAGCATTGAAGAGTCAACCCTTATCTTTAAGTGGAGAAATGCCCGAGTTGTCTTTCCGAAGCTCCAAAACTTTTTCTGCTTAGGTTGTTTGTCTTTCTCAGTGTCCTCAACTTCAATAATATTGTTGACATATGAATACGATTGTTTTTCTTATTTTTGAAATTGTGATTTAAAGTTTTTATATTTATTTATATCTGATGTTTTCGTTGTCTTCTTTATCCTTGTGTTTAGTTTTGATATTATTCTCATGGCCTTTTTCAGTATACTATTTATCTATTTATGTTCCTTCTTATGATCTTCTTTAATGAGTTTTGTGGGAATGTGTTTTTCCACTAGAGATAAAAGAGAGTTTTTAAATAACGACTAAAGGGTGTTTGTTGAAGCATTATGGAGCATTTTCATTTCTGTATAGAGATTACGCAGCCCTTTGTTAAGGTCATCGTCATTTGCTTTCTTGTAGGTAAAAAGCTTCCGCTTCAGTGGTTGTGATCTATGTGGACGTAAACTGGCTTCTATATAAACTGCTTTGTGGTCGGAAATTCCTGGTATAACTTCTGTTGTGTTGATTAGTGAGCTATTGTTGGTAAAAAAATAAGTCAAGGATAATACTGGAGTGCTTTATGATACGGGTAAAGGATAAAAAATATAACTTCTTTGATTATACATGTACATCATTACATATACGTTTGGGAAGACTTTTCAGAATTTTTATGGCCTCCACACATCACAAAGAACACTGATTTGGCAAAAAAAACAAACAGAAATATTGAATCCCTTAAGAACACCCAAAACAACAAAGTTGAAAATGTTTTAGGCATGGTTTAATTGAGCCTATTCAAAGAGGGTACTGGAAAGTGTAAGTAACAGTCCGCCTTAATCCTTAGCACCAACTTAGATTTATCCGGGGACCAATCATATAATTAATATAAAGTGGCGCGACATGGCTGAGTGGTTAACAATCTAAGGATTGCAAGCCATGTAAGTTCAAACCCCGTCTGGGGCAACCTGTCTGTTGTTTCATTGAGCAAGCATTTTTTCACTCAGTACTCTGCATTGTTTGGTTCCAGGAACAGATTCAAGTCAGTGTCTATAAGCTTATACATGTAGTTTTTTGCACAATCTAACTGCTACACATACAATGGATTCTTATGGATGCTCCATTCCTGGTGTTCTTGATGAAAAAATGTATAATGAAGTTACATGTGAGCATTAGTAGGTTTTGTGTAGACTGGTATGCAGTGTGCTTGAATCATTCTTTTCGATGTGTACGTCCAAGAAGTTATATATCTAATACGTGAATTTGATTGTGTTGTGGAAGTTGTTTAACGCGGCCAGAAAGGAATACAATTTATCACAGTGTGTGCTAGATCATAAAAAAGGTTGCCTATAATGGCTATATGACATGACTTAAAAATGGGTATTGGATATGTCATGCGATATTTTAATGTATAAATGAGTTGATAAACATGTATAGTTTTCTCATATATTTTACAACTGAATAAAGGATGTTTCCCCTAGCCAAAAATGACATTATTTATTAAATGACACTGTAAACATTAGTGACCTGAAGCAGAAGTTAATTTTAGCAGATTTAGATCAGATGGTTGATCAATTTAGTGGCACTATAGAAAGGCTCTGCTTTGTGCCTTTTGTATTTAATTGCAGTTAAATTAAAAGTTGATTAAATGTGTGTTTCAAATTTTCCCCATTTTGTGCTATATTTTCACCCTTTAGAAAGCCCCAAGTTACTTTGTAAATTTATTCAAAGAAAAAAAATCACTGATGACATGTACATGTATTAAAGCTTATAACTGGTAAGAGTTTATTTGCCAATTATATCTTTCAAAGTATAAACTAAAATTGATATAGCAATATATTATAGTTAAGTCATAAAAGTACATGTATGTATTTTAACGTTTCTAATTATAGCAATGTGATATACAGTTTATGCACATTAAAGGCCTGTGGGCTTTGGCTCATGCTTCAGCAGATGTTAATGCATGAAAAAGGTTCAATATTTTACTGATTATTGATGCAATTTTTATCATTTCATTGGATATAGTTTTTATACACTTTTCAGGATGCTTTAAAATTATACAAATGCTCTTGTTTTAAGGCCTTTGAAAGTTGGAAGAACTTAGAAGTGATTTTAACAGTGGCATTTTGAATCAAAATATTTGTGACAGATGTTATGACTTTATTTCAGTGGGAGTAAGTGTACAAATGTACTCAAGAAGACAGAGGTGTTAGAAGTGGTGGTAAAGGAACCATGTATACAGAAGTACACTGCAAGATGTGGCTGGCTAAGTCTCAATTACTGTACATTCTATCAGTAAGTAAATACTGCACTTCATATCACGTTGAAATGTTGTTACATTTGAGCCGCGTCATGACAAAACCAACATAATGGGTTTGCAACCAGCATGGATCCACGCGGTCTGATCAGGATCCATGCTGTTCGCTTACCAACCCTATTACACGTAGAGAAACTGATAGCGAACAGCATTGATCCTGATTAGACTGCGCGGATGCGCAGGCTGGTCTGGATCCATGCTGGTCGCAAATGCACTATGTTGGCTTTGTCGTGACGTGGCTCATTTGTATATGAAAATCAGTTGTACCTGATATTTATTTCTCTGAAGTGATGGGTTTGGTGACTGTGGTTGCATGTGTGTCCATCACACAGACTTTCTACCAAAACTCAGTTGTTAATTTTATATTTTGTCTAGTGAGATCATTCCATTTTTCAAATTCTGTTTTACATTTACTTAATTTAATCAGCACCAACTGGTCATTGAATAATTATCCCTTTCAATCATCATACATTTATTATACTAGCACTTTGTAAATACTCAAAACATAATTTCAACCACTAATTAGGTTAGTTTGGTTTAGTCAGCATAAACTTTAATCTGTCGCTGAAGCTGTACAGGACCACACAGATTTAATGGCAATAATGCTGTTAAAAAACAATAACCTACTATACTTAACATTGAGCTGCAAGTAAATACTGTTGTTATTTGAAAGTTTGATAAGAGACACATTATAAATGAGCCGTGTCATGACAAAACCAACATAATGGGTTTGCGACCAGCATGGATCTAGACAAACCTGCGCATCCGAGCAGTCTGATCAGGATCCATGCTGTTCGCTTACCAACCCTATTTTAAGTAGAGAAACTGACAGCGAACAGCATGGATCCTGATTAGACTGCGCGGATGTGCAGGCTGGTCTGGATCCATGCTGGCCGCAAACACATGTTGGTTTTATCATGACACGGCTCACATTATAAATACAAACATGTATTTATTTCACATGAAGGAAAACAAGGTTCAGAAGTTACTTGTTTTAATTTCATTGTTCATGATATTAACATGTAAATGCTCTTCACATGAAAAATAATAAACTATAGTTTTCTCATAGGTTTTAGTTTATTATCCCCCGCCGATGGAATCGGGGGGGGATATAGTTTTGGCGTTGTCCTTCCGTCCGTCCGTCCATCCGTCCGTCTGAATTTCGTTTCCGGAGTAGTTCTCTGCAACTAATGGCTGGAATTCAACGAAACTTTATGGGAATGTTGATCAGCATGTGAAGTTGTGCACCTGGGTATTTTCGTCTTGATATTTTTAGTATTTTTAGAGTTATTGCCCTTGACTTAGTAAAATTTTGTCATTTTCAACTTGTGTCGCATGTAACTCAAAAAGTATTTGACCTAGAGTCATGAAACTTTACAGGAATGTGGATCAGTATGTGTAGTTGTTCACCTGGGTATTTTCGTCTGGATATTTTTAGTATTTTTAGAGTTATTGCCCTTGACTTAGTAAAATTTTGCAATTTTCAACTTGTGTCGCATGTAACTCAAAAAGTATTTGACCTAGAGTCATGATACTTTACAGGAATGTTGATCAGCATGTGTAGTTGTGCACCTGGGTATTTTCGTCTGGATTTATTTAGTATTTTTAGAGTTATTGCCCTTGACTTAGAAAATGTTTGCAATTTTCAACATGTGTCGCATGTAACTCAAAAAGGATTTGACATAGAGTCATTAAACCTTATTGGAAAGTTGCTCAGCATATTTAGTTTGTTCCTGGGGTTTCGCTTGTGGATTTATCCAGTATTTGTAGAGTTATTTCCCTTGACTTAGTAAAAACTGTTTCATTATGTTGTTATTTGATCCTTGAGTGCTTGAGTTAGAATCGACCAACTTAACTGGAATAACCCCTGGGGTTTCGCTTGTGGATTTATCCAGTATTTGTAGAGTTATTTCCCTTGACTTAGTAAAAACTGTTTCATTATGTTGTTATTTGATCCTTGAGTGCTTGAGTTAGAATCGACCAACTTAACAGGAATAATGATCAACATCACTAAATTACAGGAATAATGATTCACCTCACTGTGAAGCTATGAACCTGGGACTTTGCATGTGGATTTTTTTCAGTTTTGTTAGAGTTATTACCCTTGAATTACAGTAGTATGAATTTGCAATTTTCAACTTGGGGTTTGCTTGGGGATTTATTCAGTATTTGTAAAGTTCTTGCCCTTTACTTAGTAAAAAGATTTTTAGTTTTCAAAAAATATTTGACCTAGAGTCATAAGATTGACAGAACAGTGGCGCGTTGGGGGCACCCGTGACCCATGGGCAATTTTCTAGTTTTTATTAAAGAAGAATTAAAATGATTTGTTACAATAACATTTAATAATATTTGAAAATTGTGAGATCCCTTCTTGATGCCTTGAAAATGGCAATGAAGTCTGGAGATTAAGATGTTTTTACATCTAGGTGAGCTATTGTGATCCCCCACCGTCCTTTGTCGTGGGTCTGTGCTTGGTCAACAATTTCTTCATACAACATCTCCTCTGAAACCAATGACTGCACAGTAACCAAACTTTACAAGAATGATCCTTAGGTGGTCCCCTGCAAAAAGTGTTCAAATACTTCCGGTCTGTTGCATAAGTAGGTCATGATGCCAGAAAAGGAGTTTCAAAATTGCAAATATAAAAAAAATTCTTGTCTGAAAGTACAAGGCTAGAGCTTTGATATTTGGTTTATGATATAACTATAGGTCCTCTACCAAAATTGTTCAAATTTTAGCCTTGGGGTCAAAATTGGCCCCACTCCAGGGGGTCATAGATTTTCCTTATACATGTATGTATATAGTGAAAACTTAAAAATTCTTCTTGTTTGAAGGTACAAGGCTTCAAGTTCAAAGAATATTACAGTTTATGCCATGATTAATATATAAATAAAGCCTTATGTCTTCAGTTGTTGTGTTAATAATAACCAGTACTCGGGGGGGATATAATTTCAACGAATTTGCTTGTTTTAATCAGTATACTACCTCATTCAATAAGGTACATAAATTGCTACCTTTCAATCTCAAACTTTGAGGTGTTTGTTGAAGTTACAAAATGGAATGATTAAAATTTTGGATAAAGACAGGTTGACTCTCTACTTTAAACATGTACATTGTACAATGTAGTTAAATTATAAGACAATGCTTGATATGGTTTGGTTCTATTTATAGCAACACACATTGTGATAAGAAGGTGAATGAGACAATAGAGAAATATTATGTGAAAACAGATTGCTGCAAAGGTTTCTTCATGGCAATGAATGGAACCTGTATTGGTATGTATATAGATCTATGTAATACATGCAGTCACAGTAGTGTTACTTGTTGTTGTCACAGTTGTAATTGTGTTAGTCCCTAAATAGCATTTGCTGTTTAAAGATAATTAGACTTCATAATTGCTTCCTTTGAACTTAAATCATGCAGCCAATAAGGATCATAAAATGCAGAAGTGGATCAATGAATTTTTCACTAGAGAGGTCGCAATATTTCGAAAAGGGGTCATGCATATTCCAATGGGGATTTGACATTAGACAAGTTTTCAAGAAACCGCTTGGTGGTCGAGGGGTTAGAGTCGATGACTTCTAATCCAATTACCTCTCTGGCGTGGGTTCCATCCCCGGGAGATGCTTTGGTAGTTTAGCGCGGAGGAAGGTAGTCTAGTACTGGTGTAACTCTCCAGGAACGATGGTTAGGAAACTACCCGCCTATATGACTGAAATACTGTTTGGGAAAAGGCGTAAAATGAAACAAACAAACAAGTTTTCAAGAAAGTGTCATTAGTCAAAAAGTTTCATTAATTTTTTATGTGATTTACTTGGTGAGAAACATAAGTTGATATAAAAATCACGCCCCATGGGGGAAAGTGGGGCTGAGGTTTATGATCTGATTACCAAACTTTGGGATTATTGGATGCTTTATATAGGTGTAGTACATGTTTCTGTCTACTATTTTGATTTAGTTACAAATTTAAGTTTTTAATGTTATGAGTGTATTCTTATAGTACTGTCTTTCAAACTTTTTATTGTTTTTATAGATTTAATTTAATATATTCTCCCTGTATCATTAGCAAAATTAGACGCATTAACACAAAGTAGGTTTTCTTGTGTATGTGCCTTTTCATCAGAATACAAGAGTATAATTATGTTCATGGTGAATTATTGTGATCACTATTCTGTCATATATCTAACTGTTTGTCTACACATTATAAACAACATTTGCTTCTAAATTTCTAAATCACAAAATCTTCTTAGGAATGTACTTCTCATACTTGAAATTTTTCAAATTGTCAAAAGAAGTGTAAGCATTAAGGTAAAATTCTGTTGGCATGGCAACCATAAAATGAAAACTGTTAACGTTTTTTTGGGGGGGGGGGGGTCAAAAGGGCTTTGGATCTGATTTAGAGATGATCAATCATCATTGGAGAACCTTTATATATTTTATAAATGTATTAAAATGGTCATGAAATTTTTAATAATATGAAAACTTAAAACATCATCTTTTTAAATTGTTTGTTGGCATTTCATATAATTTTCATATACATTGTAGGTTAGAAACATTTTGAATCTGTCAAAAGAAAAACTTGGCCTTAAAAGGGGTGTGTCACTTACCCTGATTGTATAATTAAAAAATGTGAATGTTCTCTATCAAAGTGTTGGATTATTTTCCATTGACATCTCTTTTGTGAATTTCTACCAAAGTTGTTAAACATTGAAGTCCAAAAACAGCTTGATACATATATTTTATCTTCAGCATCTATTTACGCATTTAAAACCTGTACTGGTTAGTTCCATGGTTTAACACCTTTTATCACAATATAGGAAAAATAATACTTTACAATAAGTCGTCGTCATCTTTGTGCAATAACAGATTAAGTTCTTCTAATTCTAATTTTAGGCACCAGTAACAGTTATTGCACTTAGGTGACGGAATATTTACCTTGGAAAGTGCGTACCACAAGTGGTCCACAACTGCACAATTTTTGTTTAGTTTATTTAAAAAGTTTTATTCATGTATGTATTCCTTGTTGTCTTTTATTTTGAATCCTACTCTTTATTTTTTCTGTTTGTATTTATGTTGTGCTGGTATATGCATGTTTTATTTTTGTGACATATTTCAGAGAAGAAACCAGGTGTTGTATATCACGATATTAAGCCAACTCCTCAAGTTTCTGTCAGTTCTGCAGGTACTATAACTGTTCTTTGATAAAACTATCTTCAACCCTTACCCTGTGACTCTTAATATCCTAAATGTACTTGTGTATCTTTCAGTCTAGGCAAAACTTTTCATCTTTTTTTATGGAAAATTCAGAATCTGTTCTGACTGAAAAGCAATCAGTGCAGACCATGATCTGGTGGCACAGACATGCCTGCTGATTTTGGTCCACACTGATTGCTGGGGGGTGAATTAGTTACTACCACCAGGCTAATAGTGAAAGCTTCACAGCTCCTGATTGAGTTAAACACAATTATCAAATCACTTAACTCCATATCAAGAGCTTTAAAAGCTCACAGGTATGTCCAGAGTTCAATTGATTCTTCGTACAAAGAATTATTTGTTATATAGGCAAATATTTCTACTCCATGTGGAGACAGATTGATTGTTGCTGAAAGTTGTATCTTTAAAGAGTCTAAGTTATTGTAAACACCTCTTTTGAGAATATGTAATATGTAATTGTAAAGAGTTGCTTGCTCTACAGAGAGTCAGATGTTTAATTTTATAATAATTAATATACCCCCAAAAACGAAGTTTGGGGGGGTATATAGGAGTCACCTGGTGGTCGGTCGGTTGGTCGGTCCAGACGTCCGTTGCATTTTCCTTGTCCGGAGCATAACTTGAAAACTAATAGTTTGAATTCAATATAACTACATATAATGGTCAAGCACATTGAGAGGAAGTGCAGTGCACAAGAACCATAACTTTATCTTGACTTATTACAGAGTAATAGCCCTTTATTACTTTTCCTTGTCCGCGGCATAACTTGAAAACTACTGGTTGGAATTCAAAACAACTTCATACAATGAGGGACAGTGGTGAATAACCTCCCCTGAGTACTCCCTATAAATAGATAGGTCCTAAGCTATTGGATTACTCGGACTTTATCGCCTATTTCTTTGTAGCAAACTAAATTAATTAGGGCTAATTACGATCATTTGTAATATTCAGATTAGATATTGCGATAAGATGTAGAATCTGTTGACATAAATGAAACATTTTTCCTTAAGGTTTACATATTTGTTGATGCATGTGTAAATAATTGATTAAGACATATCAACCTGTCTTATATAAAACTCAACGATAAAAGCAAAGGATTCCAAATATTTGGACCTACTTACATTTTGGTTAACCTCGGTTTTTATCAAGGGAAGATAATCCACTACTGTCCCCCATTGTCAAACACAATAAGGGGAAGTGCAGTGCACAAGAACCATAACTCTATCTAAAGTAATTACAGAGTTATTGTCCTTTGTTGCTTTTACATTGCTTTTTTTTTTTGTCCGGACCATAACTTGAAGACTAATAGTTTGAATTCAATATAACTACATACAAAGGTCAAGCACATTGAGGGGAAGTGCAGTGCACAAGAACAATAACTTTATCTTGACTAATTACAGAGTTATTGCCCTTTGTTACTTTTCCTTGTCCGGGGCATAACTTGAAAACTACTGGTTGGAATTCAAAACAACTTCATACAATTGTCAAACACAATAAGGGGAAGTGCAGTGCACAAGAACCATAACTCTATCTAAAGTAATTACAGAGTTATTGCCCTTTAATGCTTTTCCATTGCTTTTTTTTCCGGACCATAACTTGAAGACTATTGCTTGAAATTCAATATGACTTCATACAATGGTCAAGCACATTGAGAGGAAGTGCAGTGCATAAGAACCATAACTATATCTTGACTAATTACAGAGTTGTTGCCCTTTGTTACTTTTCCTTGTCCGGGGCATAATTTGAAAACAACTGGTTGGAATTCAAAATAACTTCATACAATTGTCAAACACAATAAAGGAAAGTGCCGTGCACAAGAACCATAACTCTATCTAAAGTAATTACAGAGTTATTGCCCTTTGTTACTTTTCCATTGATTTTTTTGTCCGGACCATAACTTCAAGACTAATGGTTGGAATTCAATATAACTACATATAATGGTCAAGCACATTGAGAGGAAGTGCAGTGCATTAAGAACCATAACTCTATCTTGACTAATTACAGAGTTATTGCCCTTTGTTACTTTTCCTTGTCTGGGGCATAACTTGAAAAATACTGGTTGGAATTCAAAACAACTTCATACAATGGTCAAGCACAATAAGAGGAAGTGCAGTGCACAAGAACTTTAACTCTCTCTTCAGTATTTATTGTCATTGCCCTTTGTTCCTTTTCTTTGTCTTTCTGGACTTATTACAGAGTAATTCAATTAAACTTCATCAATGGCCAACCACATTGAAAGGAAATGCAACAAATAAGAACCACAACTATCTTTAATTGCCCACAACCATAACTCTATATTTCAATTCTTTACAAGGTATTCTGTAGTAACATCTTCATTTCCGAAGCAGTCTTGTGGGGGTATTAATCACATTTAGTGATAGTTCTAGTTGAATTTTGTTTAAAAAAGAGCACATATCTATAGACGTGCTGCTTGAAGCTTCACTTATGTTGTAGTAAAATTTAAGGAGTTTTCCTAATAAATCACAGATCATTATATCACTAGAAAATACCAAGATATAATGTTGGTAAACAATGTTATATCTGTAAACTTGTAGATCAATAAACCAACACTTTTTCATTTCTGAAAAATATTTCTATACACATGTATGTGCAACTTGCTCCATTGAATGTGTCCAAAAATCTATGAAAATCAATAGATGAAAAATGTGATCATTTTTAATCATTCTTGTTGGCATTGCTGTTGCCATCTGAAAACTTTTAACAATTGTCATAACATTTATTTCTAGATGGATTGCCTCCATACTTGGACACAGCAACCCTTTGGATAAAACCTTTAAGATAGGCAGATTGAACTTGAACTTCAAAAAATGACATTGACTTTCAACATCAAATGTATTAAATTTGCTTTATTTTTTCCAGCTATAATTGGCTAAAACTTTGTTATTTATAAATTGTCTTCATACTTTAAAACAACAATCATTTAGACAAGACCTCAAGTAGACAAAACTGATTATGACCTTAACTCATCAATGACCTTGAAGGTCAAAGTATGTTTTTGCTATAATTGGCTATTACTTTGTTATCTACAAATAGATTGTCTTCATACTTAAGGTATTAGCACCCTAATGCATTACCTCCGCTTTGAAGAGTATTCAAATAGGCTAGAACTACTGTTAACTACATTGAAAATGAGGGCCATGGGTTCAATCCCCAGAAGGGTCAACTTTTTTTTTCTTTCTTTTTTTCTTTTAACATTATTATGTATCTCTCGTGTCCCATTTGGAAAGAAAAAGGTGTTTAATTTTGATTTTTTAATTTAAATAGGTATTTATTGGCTAAATTATGCTAAATATAGTAATAAATATGGTACCTGATATTTTCAAAGTGTAATATAATCAAAACTAGACGGTAAAGGTATTTCATATTTTACAAGATAAACCAATATACTTTTATAAAAAATTAGGGAAACTTTGAAAACAGGCACTCATTTGTGTAAATTTTAAGAATTTTTTAAATTAGGCTCCCTAAGTAAAAAAATGGTCAGACACGTGGTAAAAATGGGTGGGGTAGGGTAACATTTTTATACAGATTTCATAAATTTTAAGTAGAAACCATAATTTTGCTTATTTGGATTGTTAGCTGAATGGTACTATTTGTTTCTTACCAAAAATTAATGGGAAAACATTTTTCATTAGAATGTTATTGCAGATTATTTAAAGGTTCCTACTTTCTAAAAAAGGGCCCTCATAACATCCTAGCTTGAGTTCAGAAAAGTGGCCATAACTTGATTTCTGTACGGTAAACTTTGTTTAAATTTTGCATACAGGTGTACTTTAAGGTATACATCTGACTTATGATGTCAATTTTTTAGTTCCTGATAGTGCCCATTAGGGTCCTAATACCTTAAGGTAGCTCGCTACTTTCCGACCGAAATTTGACAACATCTCAGATCTTGATGATTTTTGGTATACATAAATATAGATATGTAAGCTTTACTTCTGCAGCATTATTTTACATATAAACAGCGTTACTATGACGTCAAAGCGCCCTCTATCGTAGGCGGCGAAATTGCGTCTTTTTTATCAATAAACCGGTCTGTTCTTATTAATTTTCATCCGATTTCCTTCGTTTTAATTTTATAATGTTCAGTAAATGTATGTCTTTGAAATAATGTCTTTCTTTAACATTTGCTTAATACTCTGCGATTCTACGTCATTTTTCTCTACATTCTGACGTCCATTTATGATACAAATATCGCGCGATATCGCAATAAAGATTGTAAAATAACAAAAAATCAGCACGGTGAATTTTGCTATAATTTTTTTAACATGTAGTGAAGTCATGAAAGAAAATATTTATGCAATAAAAATATAGGGTCAACGCGTAAGATATTTTGCTATTACTATTTTAATATAAGATAAAGGATGAGTAAAACGTAATGATTTTGGTGACGTCAAATATTTTTCTCAAGGAAATTGTCACGACTTTTCCGATGAATAGTATACTGACTGGAATTAAAATGTGTGAAAACCATCAACAACAATTGTATTTAGACATATTCCGTAAAATGTTCTTTTAAAAGTCCTGTCAGGTGCCCGCATTTCGATGAACAACTTCAATTATATACATGTACAACAAATCAGGGTATGACTGTCTGCAAAAGTTTGTATCAATCTCTAAAAAACTGAAACGAATGGTTATAAATACCTCGAGGACTGAAAGACAATTCAGAATATTGAAAGATATAATTAAAAGGCCACCTAAGTGGAAATAATACAAACATAAATTTTGCAAAGAATGTCAGAAAAAAAGAATGAAAAGGCTGGTGCAGTCGCAGTGTCATCATGTTATGTGTATCTCGGTACTACATAAACTTCCATGTTATCATACGTATGTAACATTTTCGAATTGTATATATCAGTTAGTAAGAAATGAATCAAATTTACGTTTTAAAAATGTATGATCAACTCGAAGTAACGATTTGTACGTAAGTCATGATTCACTGGTAGTCTTAATAATATAAATCTAGCAGACATTTATTTTAAAACTTTTCTACTCGTATAAAAAATTTTTTGAGCCGCGTCACGACAAAACCAACATAGTGCGTTTGCGACCAGCATTGATCCAGACCAGCCTGCGCATCCGCGCAGTCTGATCAGGATCCATTCTGTTCGCTATCAGTTTCTCTACTTATTAAAATGTTTAAAAGCGAACAGTATGTTGGTTTTGCCGTGACACGGCTCATTTATTAACAGCCATCAGTTATTCTATTTTCTCTCGCAGCTAAATACTAGTAAATAATATCCCTGCACTAAGCGCGAGACTCAGATTTAAAGGAGGAATCACGTTCTCATGCTATGGCTTGAATTTCTCACGCATTTCACATAATTACAGATATTCTTATTTATTTAAAACTCGCTGACTCGCGGTATGCGTTTACTAGCGCATCTTTGAGGCGACCTGAAGCCGCGATCATTTCTCGATTCGAGGCGAAAGATCCGTTGATTTATTTTGTATGTTCATAAGCGGATAATTTTGCATATAAGAATTAATACAGATTCCCTTGTATTGAAGACGATCATGTAGGATCCTCAATTTGTGTGAATATGGTTTTCGGAGAAGCTCGTTTTTGTCTGCACATAATACAGTGCTATGTAGAGCCTATGAAAGAAATGAACTATGCATTTTATGTTTTATATCTTCTTATTTTTTAATATTGGGTTTAACGCCGCTTTCAACAGTATTTCAATTATAGCTGAGGGAATTTAACAAAAGTTATCAAGTGTTTCTCACAGTATCAACTTCTCTACGGAAATAAATGACAGGAGTCCGAGGTGGACCTTGAAACATTTCATACACAGTAAACAATTTTAAAGGATAATCTATAATCGTGTCTCGAATTCATGCCCTCCGAATTCAGCGTAAGACCACTTTACCGATTACACCGTGGCAACAGAAGAATATTCAAAGTTAAAAACCTGATTCTGATCTCCCTTAATAAGGCAGAAGTCCACTTTATTGTTTACATCATAAACACGTGTTTTGGTGTGTGTTTTCGTTTTTATTTTCTTCTATTTTTTTTTTAAAGCAAACTGTATTGTATTAAAAAAATGAACACGATAACGTCAACATAATACATAATTCGTATTCAGTGGTAACAAAAGTTGCACAAGTTATTTAATAATTATATTTTGTATTTAATTAAAATAAACAGGATAACATCTACAGAGAAATGCCCTTTGTTGCCTAGAGCGGTTGCTCTACAGAGGTAAAATGTAGTGGAGCCCTTTAGAAATAAATAATATTTTGAGGGCCGCTTTGTTATACTGTAATGAAAAAGCGGTAAGTAGGTATACGTAAATCCGAGTTCCAAAAAGTTTTATAGTTTGTCATTTTCTAATTATGACATTTTAATTAGATTATAATTATATAATCTATGTATTGCACATACTTAAAAATGGTAAGCAAAAATAAATGTTTTTGTTTCTTGTACAGTTTGTTTTTAAATATTCTTAACAAATTTGAATATTATTTCTGAATTTAATTTATCACTTATTGCACATTTGTATGCATATCTATTTTAATTGCATTTTTACGATGTGTTTTGACACCGAGGCTCGTCTGACTATGTTATTTTATGAAAGTGTTTAAAAGCTGATTGTAACTTAAAATAAATATTCTAACGGGTATAAGCTATGCGACCTAATATTCTTACTTCATTCATACAGCAATATGTGAATCTTATTTTTTTGCGCTGAAACTAGTTAATTCATATAATAATATAACACTTTTCACTCTTTCATTACAAACATCAAAATATAAAATAAAAATTAAAAGATGTTTGAGACTGCGTCCTGCAAATTAGAAACGTATTTTCGATTAAACATTGTAAATTTGCTGATCTAGCGCATGCTTTCAATGAGAAAATAATCAACAATTTACAAAATATACATTTCATCAAGTTCCTGTGTAGTTTATACTTACAATCGTAATGTTTGACGTAAGAAAATTGTTATTTGGTATTATTCTTTGAACTCCAACGTCTATTAACGCCACCAAAACCATTACGTTACATTCCCTTTATTTTATTTTAAAACAGTAATAGCAAAATATCTTGCGCGTTGACCCTATATTTTTATTGCATAAATATTTTCCTTCACTTTCTCGCTACACGCTCGAAAAATTATAGCAATGTTCACCGTGTTGAATTTTTTTTATTACACAATCTTTATTGCGATATCGCGCGGTATTTGCATCAGATATGGACGTCAGAATGTAGAGAAGAATGGCGTAGAATCGCAGACTATTAAGCAAATGTTAAAGAAAGATATCATTACAAAGACATACATTTACTGAACACTATAAAATTAAAACGAAGGAAATCGGATGAAAATTGATAAGAACAGACCGGTTTACTGAGAAAAAGACGCAATTTCGCCGCCACCGATAGAGGGCGCTTGGACGTCATAGTAACGCTGTTTATTTATAAAATAATACTGCAGAAGTAAAGCTCACATATCTATATGCTTGCATACAAAAAATCATCAAGATCTGAGATGTTGTCAAATTTCGGTCGGAAAGTAGCGAGCTACCTTAAGCGGAACTACTTATGGACCACGTCTTAAATGTCAAAGTAAATTTATAAATGAAATTTAAGCCAATTACAGCTAGAAAAAATGAAGCAAAATTGAAACATTTGACCCTGACTGTCAATGTCATAGTATTGAATTAAGCTTTAAATTTCATAATTTTGTTATTAATTGTTATTAATTTATAATGGAGAAATTTGATTCATACTGGAACAAAACAACAACTCGGACATGTTGAATAATTTAAGTTTGACTTTGATTTGTAAATGACCTTGGCTGTCATTATGAAGATACAGGCAAACTCAGAAAATTTACCTAGGGAAAAAAAGTTCACAAATTGTCTTCCACAATTGCATTATTGAAAGGTTATGGCCCTTTAAAATGTTGCTTAACATACTTCTTTCTGTGTTTTAATTGGTAGACTTTCAGTACTTTGATAATTACTTTTAGCATTACCATGATGTTTTTCTATTTACCCTTTAGTCAGCTTTTCTGTAATTCTCCAATGACTATTTTATTAATTCTTGTTACAGTTGATCCTAATCACAAGGAACTTGTGATTCTGGGACAGAAGACAGAAAAGAAAGTAAAGATGGAGATATCGGGCGGAGGGTATGCTGGTATAGCATGTGGACTTGTTTTAATTATAACCATTGCAGCTTTCATTTTTATAGCAGTACAAAAAAGGTATATACAAATGCAATTTAGAGATTTAAATAAAGATAATATTTTTTACTCTAAATATATAATTATTTTTTCAAAGATTGCTTTGAATCCCCCAACAGTTACGTTGGAGCATCTCCATACTACATTTACAGTGCTGGTGAAGCTTAAACCCCGTTCTAGGACAGAAGATATTATTCCAAGCCCCAACAAACAAAAGAATTTGGAATGTACCAAACATTTTCATTTTGGTCTAAAACATAAGGTAAATGTGTTGAAACTGGATTGTTCTAGTACAGATTATATAAATATACTCTCAGATTACTGCTTTTGTCAATTGTAATTTGTTGTTATTACAAACAACTTGCCAATCACCTCTGTGGGCTTCAAATTATGCCAGGGACTAGGGATTCTCTCATGTGAGAAATCTATATAGCGTAACATTGGTGGTTCTTCCAGTGAAGTTGAAAAGTCAGCTTACTACCTCCACAGTGACTTGTTATTCTAAAGAACATTGAAATACTGTTGAATTAATGTTAAAATGAATCAAAATAGATACTATTCAGTATTTTTTTATTTGAATTTCTTTACTCTATAGGAAAAAGAAAAAACAGTCAATGAAAACTCACATGGCAAACCAGGTCATATATGAAGCAGGAAATCAACCTATAGTGAGGAATGCTGGGAGCTCAAGGACTCCTAGTGTTCAGTTTTCAAGAAGTTCAAGGGAAGCAACTCCATCATCATCAAGGATGGTAACTCCGCCTACTTCTCCCACTTCTCCCATAAAGACAACAGTTCCTGTAGAGCAACCATTGATAAATAAAACTTTGACAGAAGATGATATCCCAGAGTCAAATGTCTAGTCATATGGTATCACATTTATATTTTAATATGATTGTTTTTCTTATTTTTCCCTAGTACTGATCATTTTCTTTATGTATTTTCATTATTGAAACAATTTCATTTGCAAAGTTTCATAGACATTTTTTCACCTCTTTAACAGTTTTAGATATGACCTTAAATTTAGGATTTAACAATTCTACTTCTTCACTGTCTCCACACATCTGTATATAATGTTCAGGGTCTATCATATGAAAAATATCCTGTTTTGCTTAGTTGCCATTTTTATTCTTTTTAGAAAGAGAAGAAATTTGTGAATTGTAAGTTAAGCTTTTTAAATTGACAGTTAAAGGGATTTAAAGGGGTTTTAACTTTAGATAAAGTTTTTAGATATCACAATTGGTTTATTTATAAGAATTGATATTGTTGATTATTATAATAAACACACCAGAAAAAAGTTAAACATAACTTCATATCATATTGTAATTAGGAGTAAAGTGTGATTGTTTACTGCCGCTTATATGACAAAAGATATAACTACTATGTGTCAATGTCAATAAATCATACTTTCAAATATTGATGATCATAGGTGATAAATAGTGTGTAGAAAAATCTTGTCAAGCCAGGTCAGACATTACACAGGAGATATATATTGGAATTCAAGTTAATTTACTAGTTATTGAATATTCAGTTTTGCCTTTGGCCAATTTAACAAATATAAATAGTAATGAAGATGGCTAATACCATGTTTGTTGATGTATGTACATGTATATTAGGGTAAATGATTTTTTGCGTTTGTTTTTTAGACCAAATATTATAAACTCAGGGTTTTGTTTATTAGGATTAAAACAGTTCATGTAAATATGTGGTATAATTGCCATAGAAACTATATTATTGTCACTGTGAACCTTGTATATTACTGTACAAAGCACCTGAATTAAACACCTTATAATTATTTTAATATATATTGTAAATATTGTGTTGTTCTTGTAAGAGATAAAATATTTGTCTGCATCTGTTAATGTTTCAATCATAATGTTACAATTAAATGTAAATATCAAACCCTTAACCTGCTGAATTTGTGCCCTGTTTAGAATTTTGAGCAATCCATTTGAATGAAATTAAAAGGGATTTCAGTATCAAATACCAAAAAAAAATGAGCTGCCAACAAAATAGAGCCTGGTTAGAGGCGGGTCTTTATTATTTACTGGCTGAACAGTTTCAGCCGAGCAAGAGTTAATATAACATACTGATTTTTAAATTAATACTACTGACAACATTTAATATTAGTATGCTAGTACCTTGTTTATATATGATATTAGTATACAGCCAGGTCAGCCTGCACATTTATAATATCTAATTAGGACTCTGTACTATTAATGGTTCTGTACTATAATTTTGTTATAGAAATCCTACTAACTTACAAAAGGCTGTGGAGAATTCATAGCAGCACAAGTCTAGAGAACAGTTAACAATAATTATTGGTTTATATATTTTAACACTATGCTAGATACAGGCCATAAAAACCTGTGTAGTATATACATGTACAGAGATTTACATATAAACCTAAAACAGGTTTTTTGGTAATAACTTATTAAGAAATGTTTAAGTTAGTGATAAAATATTGACACTTTTGTATTAATTTTTATCATTAATTTTATTTATGAGTTTTATAAGATAATTTTCATGCTTTGACAGCATTGATATATCACATTTAGGAAGAGGGTTGCATGTAATTATTGTATATCTAAGTACAAACGTTTTTTCATTGTATGATTTATGATACAATATTTTTTTCTCTATGCAAATTTGTATTATTGTTAAGTACATTGTTTATGAATATTAGATTTTTATTGAGTACAAGGTTGTATATTGTGTGTGAAATATTTAAATTTTAAGGTTGTAACAGAACTTTAAAGTACAGGTAAAAACAAGACTGGTCATTGTGTTAGATATAAAGAAGTAACTCTCAATGAATCTTGAAATGAATAAAGGGTACCAGTCTATAGATATACTGCCCATTTAATGCTGTTTAATCCATGCATCATGACAGCTTTCATATGATTTTAAAATCTACTAGTCTTACCTTACAAATGTTTCTGAAGAATCTACTAGTACTGACACTTGTTTTTATTAGCAAAGAATCAGGTCAGTTCTAGTTCAGAATCCAAGAAACACTTGTAGTATAGCTGCCTGTTTGAATATGACTGAAATATTATGAAAAGTGGTGCTTTACTTGATTCAGCAAACATACATGTATTATCACATGGCATAGCTAGTTTTCAGTGTAATATAGCCAGAATCATACTTATTTCTTTATATGTTGTAATGAAAGTTTCTCCATGATAGAATTTAAATGATATGAAAATGTACCTGACAAATTGACAATGGTTATTTTGCTGTTTATATTAAAGATTGTCTGGGTTAAACATGTTATTTTGTGTAAACTTGTAACAAACTTGTCCTAGAGATGTTATATATACATATAGCTAGACACACTGACGTCGTATGTTATATAACACTCTCCTGAACTTGTTCAATATGAATCTATATGAAATGATAACTGATGAAAGATTTTACATGAATCAGGCAAGATTTATACCATTTTCTACTCATTTTTGCCCTATGAATGACTGTTTTACTTTTTATCACAATTAATTTGTACCCAAATAAATTTGTTATTTTATTACTTTATGCTCAGATGATGATGAAACTTCTATACATGACAATGAGAATTCTTTGTTTATGAAGTTTACCAGTATTTGTTATTAGACGTGAGTCTATATTGAGGGATATGTTGAAGTGATGATAGGGCAGGCTTATACATAAGACTGGATATTTAAAGATTTGAGTCATAAAAAAATATCAAATGTCTTTAATTTAAATTAACTTCTTTTTCTCATGTTTTTGTTTCTATCCTAAAATACTATAAACAGGAATAATTAAAAAGGAATAAATATGAAAAGCACTTTAATAATAGCAATAGTTTATAAATTTATACATGTATGTCTATTTACCATTGTTGTAAAACTTCCAATTATGTCACAATAATGGTCCTGTAAGAAGTACAATGTACCATGTTAAGACAGTTTAAGTATACTAGTTGTAATGAGATTTAAAAAATTGTTTTGTTCTGTAATACTTCATGTGATATTGTTAATGATGATAATGTTTAAGATGAAGAACAAATTTATTAAAACTTAAAAATAAGATGATATACATGTTTCTTTCCTTTTTCTGAAGTTTATATGAAATACTGCAATTCTTGTAGAACAAAAAATAATTTCAAACACTAAAATGAACTATTTTGACATCTATTGCATTATTTGAGTAACATTTTTCTCACACATAATATTTCATTATCACACCAATATGATATTTGACTATCACACCAATGTTATATTTTACTGCCTAACCAATGTGATATTTTACTCTCAGGCCAATGTCACATGTGATATTTCAACATCACCCTTCCCTTCCATACCAATTTAATATTTCAAACTCACAACAATCAGATATTTTATTGTCTAATATTATCACTCACACCAATGTGATATTTCGTTCACACCACTGAGATGTTTCATACTCACACCAGTGTATTTTACTCTCACCACCAATGTGATATATTACTCTCATGCCATGTGATATTTCACTGTCATACATGACTGGATATCTCACTAAAAAAAACCATCACATTTTAATGTATTCTGACAGGAATATTATATTATAAGGTTATCTCACATTATTTAGTACAGTAATGAATTATATATTCTGTCAAACCTATATTGGACTTCTAAATTCGGAATTCTGTGCTGTATGTTACGATGCCGTCATCAGAAAGCTAACATCAACAGATGGTGAAGGAAGACATCAGGCGTGCATTATTTCACTATTTCACGTATTTTATATTTCTATTTGGGCAGAACTAACGACATTCCGTAAGTCAATATGTAATACATGTAACATGAATTATATTTTCTAATTTAGTATGTGAGTCTTGTGCCTGTGTTCAAACATCTGCTTTCAAATGATACCAAAACAAAAGCATGTATGTAGTCAACGGACGACAGATTTTATTCACATTTTATAAACGCTCGATTTAATTAGTGCTGAAATAACGGGCTTACATAAAAACTTGAGCAAAACTAGGAAATTCTGCTATAAATGTTTAAAATGACATTGGTAATGTTTCTTGCAACAACGATCGAAGAATCTTATGCAATTGTTTCGAGGTGGATGCATAAATTAAAAAATGGGCACGAATCAAGTAAAGAGTGCTTGTAATTCTGGTAGAGGACGTTTCATAGTTACTGACAAAACATTCATAAAGTCAAGCTTATAATTGTCAAAGAATCCCGGCTTTTATACTTACTGAGATAGCCCATATCGCAGGGATATCAAAATGAATTTCATTAGGTGAATAACTGCCACATGGATACCCCATTGCTAACATATTACCAGAAGAAGGAGCGAGTTCGAAAATTAATGAAAATGTTTCCTGAATATGACGGTCGCCGTATTTATAATATTGTGACTGGTAATAAAAGTTCGTTAGACTATTTTAATTTACGCCATTTTTCAAACGTGATAAGATTTGGGCTACGAAAAATATTCGTGGAACTTGCATTGCCATGAAAGTTATGTATGCTATTTTTCAATACGCCGTTTTGTCACATCCATACCAAACGTATTCTTCAGACTTGACACCATAGCTGTGACTTTTTCCTCTTTCCTAGACAGAAAAAAAACAACTTGCAGGTCATCGCTACAAGAGTAGAAATGAACTTCGACAATTTTAAGTTATTCAAAGGTATACCTATATAATGAGGACTACACTGAAGCATTCAAAAATTGGATTATAAAACGTCTGAAACTTTGTATTACAGTAGGAGGAGATTATTTTGAATGGTTGAAATAAAAAAAGTAAAATATTCTGGCTCTTTTGTTTGATTTATTGCATAGCATATTGACCTACTCTCGTAACATACATAAGAGAATCCAAAATCTCTGGTGGGACAATAATGTTTATAAATACTATATTATTCCAGTACGTCTGTTTAATATGACTTATATATGTCATGCATATTTCTGTTTACCTGGATAAGTCGAAAGTGGCATGCAGAAATCGGGTAAAAATAGGCATGTAGTTTTTATTATATAGACGATGGTCGCCCTTCATGAAGACATACATCTATGAAATATCAATTATAAAATCGGTCGGTGGGTCTTACAGTCGAAATATTGAAACTAGTATGTAGTGTGCACTGAGAATGTATAAGTTCATCTCATATTCTGAAGACTTGACACTAACTTTATATTCGTACTTTAACCATAATATTCATGATGATAATGGTGATGACGATGATGATATCATGATAAATACATGACGATTATATGATGTGATGAAGAAAACCTTGTACAATTACAATATTATCATTGCTAAATAAAATGCCAGCACGAAAAAGCTCATAATTGGAAATTAAACTTATTCTATTCTATCTGTTCTTTTCAGTGCTGGATTTAATGATTAACCATTATTGTGGCGTGCAGAAAGAAGCAAATAATACAAACAAACAAGCAAAAAAAAAAAGGTTGCAGATTCTTAACCGGATATCTTACGTTACGGCTCTTTTCAGCCTTTAGCCATTCTATTCAAGCGCTTAGTTGACATCGATCTATATCACTTGGCGGTTTGGTTGTAAATTTTGTATTATTTTTTTTTCGAAAATGCGAAAATAAAGGACGAATTTACATGTTTAAAGGTTTGTTTTTAATTGAAATCGTTTTTAATGTTTTCTGTATGTTAATATGTTTCAATGAAATTCAAGATCCAGCACATTTTTGCATAAATTACATGATAAATGTTTTGTTTACAAGTTTATACATGTTTCTATGCTAACAAAATTATTAATTGTTTATGCACTTACCCAGTTTTGTAGCTCTAGTTATTTAATTGATAGTACATAAAGCTGTTAGAAAGGCAAACTTAAATGGTGCACATCAGGAGCAACACTCCTCATAAACTCTAATCACTGTCCATGATATTATGAGTGTGGACTGCAAATTCTGGATGCTCATATTTTATCCTGGAAGTGGCTGGCCCGTACGGCTAGCCAAAAGTTCTAGCCGTACGTGAGTCACGTACGACTAGCCTGGACACACTGTATTGGCTAGCCGTACGGCACTTTTCAAAATTATATGGAAGACGAAAATGCATATGTTATTTTGTGTCTTTAAACGACGATTTTAATCAAATCTCCGCATTTGTCCTAGTGTGTTCACTTTATCACTTTAATAAAGATGCTCCGCAATTTTGCAAAAAAAAAAAAAATGAATACGAGTAAGCGTTGTATTATCTATCTTAATAAAATTAAGTGTCAAAGTTGCATGTTATAACGACCTTAATTTTCATGCTTATGATTTGTATGAAAGATGAATTGTTAAATCTGTTAATTAAGCACATGGATGGAATAAATAATGATCGGAGGCGAATAAATAAATAAATAAAAAGAATATCTAAAGAAAAAAAAACGGTGAAAAGGAGAAATAATATAATAATGCAAACTTTCCTTAATGATGGACGATGGACAAACTTCTATTATCAGAGCCTAACAACAATTATTTTCGGTGTTTTTTTTTTTGTTTTTGTTTTTTTAATTTAAAAATTAAACTTAATGAAACAAAAAAGGATTATTATCAAAATTTTGTAAACTATTTCAATTGATGTTATTTAACTGCAACCAAACGCTATTTTTTCTCGACGTCTTGAGATGACTAAGTACATTCTTTACTGTAGCCAACACGTCGATTAATCTCTAAAAAGTAAACAATCTTGACTAAAATCCTCGCTTAAAGTCATAATTAACATATGCACTTTCGCCTTCCATATATTTTTTAAAAGTGCCGTACGGCTAGCCAATACAGTGTGTCCTGGCTAGTCGTACGTGACTCACGTACGGCTAGAACTTTTGGCTAGCCGTACGGGCCCGTACGGCTAGCCACTTCCTTTTATCCTCATACTGCCAGTTTTCAATTAATGTACACAACAACTTTTCAATCATCCCAAGAAATTCTGTACTTTTTGAACATATTTGCCATGTAACCAAACTGAAACGCACATCTTGTATTTACTTTGATTACATTTATCAGCAAAAATGTCAATTATGGCGATAAAAACAAAATACCTGTACTTTCGTTCAAATCACAGGCTCTAGTCACATAATCAAATATTTTACATAACCGGTCTATATATGTATATAAAGATATCTTATTATAGTATATAGCCCATATATAAAGCTTTACAAAGTTTGTTTCAAGCACCTGTGGTTCAAATTAAGTAAAATATACGTTTTTCACTAATCCTTAATTTATCCAGTTACAAATTTCAATAATTTTCTGAAACTATTTGATTTACAGACTCAGTTTTTTGTGTCAATCTGTAGAAATGGATTCTAAGTTGGACCATTGCTTCACTCTTATTAAGTCATAATGTATACTGCACTTCAAAAGCTATAATTTTGATACATCTATGTACATATTTTACTGTACAATTCTTAATTGGAACATAATATGTCAGTAAAGTAACTGTCACTTAACCAAAGAAAAACATTCTCTCTGATAACTTTTCTAGAAGCGAGTCACATATACCCTAAGATCCAAAAAAAATTCAAAAGAACATGCTTTTTCTGTAATGCAAATTGAGATGTACATTCATACCCAAATTGTGACAGCTTAACTACTGCAAATAGATATCAAAATTGTAAAATGGCATTATAGATAGGTTAAAATTGTTTATTACCATAATTTATCTGAGGTTGAGTTATTCAAAATTTCTTCACAATACATAATTGGTTATATTTCAACATTGTATGACCATTTTTATGTGGTGTAGTACATATTTTGTTAAAGACATTTTCTGGAGTTTTCATATAGACATACAGGCAAAATTAAAACTGTTCCAAAGAATTTCTTTAAACTTGACATGTTGTTAGAACATTTTAAGTGGGAACAAATTGTGGTCACCGTTCTCATTTTTGAGTTATCTGCCCTTGAATTGGACTTTTTCGTTAAATTTAAGAGCAGATAATTTACAATAAAGGGAAACAATACATTTTTTCTAATTTTCATCACGATTACCTTCGTCTTCGTCGATATGCAAAATATCAAGAATGAATTTAGAGTGGCTTGTTTTTTTTTCACTTCTTCTTTTAACCTGTGCATTTTTTCTTAAAATATATCCTATTTTTTAAGAATTTCAAGTACCTTGATTTTCATTGAAAAAAAATTACAGAAACGATATAAGGAATTGCAAGTAATTATGTATTGTATTTAACAATAAAAAGAAAAACATTATCCAGAAGTAAAAACAAGAATTCATTTAAGTATGTATAAGTTATCTGCCCTTTAAATGACCTTAGATAAGTAGAAAATTATGATGCAGGGGCAGATAACTAAGAAATGAGCAGTTTTAGAAATTAGGATTTGAATCGACTAGACAGGTCGGACTACCAGATTGGAATATTCACTAGCCCAAAAGACATTTCACTAGCACAATTGATATTCATTTGTTCAAAACAGTTGTTTATATTGCCTCTGAAAATACAGTAGCCTGGTCGGGCTTGTTACTGTGAAAAGTTGGTAGCCCAGGAGAAATTTGGTAGTCAGGGGCTATCAGACTACCGCTAATTTCGAAAACTGAATGAGAACGGTGACCTCAATTTTGTTGTTGCTTAAAATGGTTTTGTTATCATATTCTAACAACATGCCAAGTTTAAAGAAATTCTATTGAACAGTTTTAATGTTGCCTATATGTCACACTTGAATTTGCTCATGTCATTCTAATTGGCCCGGGTCAGCAGAGCTAAAAATAGAAAAACCTTTAAACATCTTCTTCTACAGAACTAATTGATGGATGATCACCAAACTTTGTCTGTAGCATTCTTGGGTAGTCCTTTATCAAGTTTGCTCATATTAATTTGATTGGCCCCTTTTAGGGGTCTCTAGGGCTAAAAATAGAAAAACCTTTAAACGTCTATTTCTACAGAACTATTTGATGGATGATCACTAAACTTTGTCTGTAGCATTCTTAGGTAGTCTTTTATCAAGTTTGCTAATATTATTTTGATTGGCCTCTTTTAGGGGTCTCTATGGCTAAAAAAAAGAAAAACCTTAAAATATCTTCTCCTACAGAACTAATTGATGGATTATCACCAAACTTTGTCTGTAGCATTCTTGGGTAGCCTTTTATCAAGTTTGCTCATATTAATTTGTAGCCTGGTCGGGGCCGCAAAAGCTAAAAATAGAAATACCTTTACATGTCTATTTCTACAGAACTAATTGATGGAAGATCACCAAACTTTGTCTGTGGCATTCTTGAGTAGTCTTCTATTAAGTTTGCTCATATAAATTTGATTGGCTCCTTTTAGGGGCCTCAAAAGCTAAAAATAGAAATACATGTACCTTTAAATGTGTCTATTTCTACAGAACTAATGGATGGATGATCACCAAACTTTGTCTGTAGCATTGTTGGGTAGTCTTTTATCAACTTTGCTCATATTATTTTGATTAGCTCCTTTTAGGGGCCGCTAAAATTAAAAATAGAAATACGTTTAAACAGCTTCTCCTACAGAACTAATTAATGGATGATCACCAAACTTTGTCTGTAGCATTTTTGGGTAATCTTTTATCAAGTTTGCTTATATTAAATTGATAAGCCCCTTTTTGGGGCCACTAAAGCTAAAAATAGAAAAAGCCTTCGAACATCATTTCCTACTGAAATTATTGATAGATGATCACCAACCTTTGTAGCATTCTTAGGTAGTCTTTTATCAAGTTTGCTCATATTAATTTGATTAGCCCCGTTTAAGCTAAAGCTTAAATGCCCCAGGTCATGGCATTTCTTCAAAAATGATTGTTTAAACATATTCTATGCTCAAATTTAATATTAGAATATATTGACATTCCAACACTGAAAAGCAGTTGTTTCTGGTGAGTGACTCAGAGGGCCATCATGGCCCTCTTGTTTCTTTCCTGTTATTAACATGCTATTCATTTCCTCATTCCACAATTTATGAAAAATAATATAAACTTTAGCCTTGTCAACATTCCTTTTAACCTGAAAGATACTCAGGCTATGACTGGGTTTTGAAGCCCAGACCTCTAGATTACTAGGCAGGCAAACAATCATATTGCTGCAGTATTTTGCTGTTTGTGAGTGACATATGCTTTTAATCGCTACTTAGAGTAGCTAATGAAATTATGTCAATAATACGAATAAAGCAAAGCCTAATAGCAAGTTGTATGACAGAATTTTCTGAATTAAAGAAACTCTCCGGAGAACGACTTGTGTGAACTTTCTTTAGGAATCTTATAACTTTGAAAGTAAGGACACCTGAGTTTAGAGATATGTCCTATATAGTAACAGTCCTGAATGCAATCTTCAATAGCATACCAAATTACCCATAATTTTGTACGGTTGGTGTTTGATGCTATTGCCTGTAGACTTGATCTCAGTTTTTATTCAAAAATTTAATGAAGTCTAAATATTTCATATCATGACACCAAAATAGCTGAAGAAAAAGAATTGCATGGGTATGATTATCATAAAACTGAAGTGAAAAACAATAAAGATTATGCTAAATTATTGCAATATGTCAATTTAAAAGTTATAATTAATAAATTGTACATAACTTCACTTGCAAAGTATGAAAATGATTTACAAAGTGATTTTAAAAGGTCAAATTTAACAGGATAATCCAAGCAAGTTTTATTTAATACTAGTAAAATCATTATCAAAATTGTGTGTTTTTTTCAGATGGCTGAGAGTAACTTTGTGATGCAGAATCAGTTGAAGTTTAATCTGGGAATTCCACTGGCTGCCTCTAATGTTGCTGTTAGGTAAGATATCATAAGTAAAACAATTCAGCATACAAATTGTTATATGATTCCATTTATAAGCTTTCAGTTTAAGGAATAAAATAGAATTTTTAATTATTTTTAACATTTCTTATTATCTTGTGACAGAAAAGAAACTGTCACAATCTTATAACACCAATTAAATTTTAGGGAGTGTGAGTATTATGAAAACAAACATAAACGATATTACTGTATATTTTCTAAACTGGTGGCCTTACTTTTTCGGGGATCCTAGAGGTTAGGTACTGTAAATTTGAAATACCATCAAAATAAAATTAATGTGTTCTGTCTTTGTATAATTTATGCTGAATTATGTATACTAAAAGTACCAGCTCTGTTAGAATTTGTGCTTTTTTCCTTTGTAAAATAAATTATCAAATTGGTAACTCAGTTTTCTTTTTCTTTGTATAATGAGGAGAGGGCTGGAGACAAGTATAATGGGTAGAAAATATAATTATCGTATATGTTAGTAAGTTCAGATGAATAAATTGTCTTGCGTTATTCAAATTTTAGGTATCACAAACCGAATCCAATTGTGGTTGAAAGAGCTGGTGGTGTGATCAATGTACCTCCTTCATCTAGACCTGTTCCATCCAACCAGCCTGCCTCAGCTCGATCCTCTTTAGCAGATGATAGAATGGCTCTAGCTGTAAAACTTGCTCAGAGAGATTTGAAGAGGCAAAAAGAGAGCATGCCAGCTAGGAGCAGAAGTCCTTCTCCAAAGGCAACAAAAACTAAATTTAGTAAAGGTATGTGTACTTCAAGTTTACAATAGAATAGATTTTCAATCTTTCAATCTCTGTAAACATGGCTACCATAAGTGGATGTTTGGGATTTATTTACACCTTAATTTTGGCTTGTGACTTCCAAAATGTAATGCTTTTCCTGCTGTACCTTCTGTAGACTTCCTGTATCAGATTTTGCAGTCTCTGACTTATAAATGTTTAAACTGATTGGAAGCCCTGCCACAAGATCCCTTCCTGTTTTCAATATTGACAAGTGTAGATCATTAAATATTGCAATTTACTTGGTAAATTCATGCTCCTCATTTTTTTCTGGTTTAATGATCTACAAAAGACCAAAATTACAGTTTACTGTATTTTCCAAATTTACTTTGTATATGATAAAGAACATTCTAAGAATTTTAAGAATTATATGTAATCTGTAGGTTTATGTTTGACTGATATATTTCTAAATTTGTTTTTGCAATAGCTAGCTTGTAGTCATCTTAATGTAATGTTTGTACATGTATAAATATTATAAAATGAATGATATTTTAAAGGTGGAACTAAGATGGTGTATACAAAAGACTGTAGAGATAGATCAAGGAGATTACAGGAGAAACAAGCTGGTAGAGATCCACTGAAAGTTCGAGAACAAGGCTGGAACTCGGGTACTACTGTGGCTAGAACTCAAACACCTCCCAGGGATAGAATGGCCAGGCTTAATCTACCAGGTACATTTACGTTTTATATAATACTTCTTGTATGTAATCATGTTCTTCACAGTATCACTCATTTAGAATGGGTTCAGGTATACCTAAATAAAAAAAATTAAGTCATGAATTCGGTAAATATGAACAAAAAACAACAACAAGTTACAACAACATTTTTTTGATACTTTTTTATGCACTGATTGTTTAGTAGATAGATTTAGTTTATAAGACAATTTGGCACGTAGTGGCTACTTATATAATCCTTGTTTAAAAGGACTCATTTCTTCTAAAATATGTGTTGATTGATTTAAAGATTGATCTAATATACTTGAACTTGCAACCCATTAGAGATATAGATTTAGATCATTATCAAAGGTCTATATAAACTTAATTTATATTTTCAGTAACAACAAACTCTCCCCCTACTAGAGATACAGATCATTATCCGAGGTCTATATCAAGTGATAATCCAGTACAAGAGATTGAGAGAATGCAGAAAGAGATGGAAGGATATCTACAACAAATACAAGTCATTGAGCAAAAAGCTATGAGCGGTATATTTTCATATATAATTTGTACTTGTTTCTCACATTTTTTTAATGACAGGGATAGAGTACTCTTATACTTACTTAAGCGGTCTGTTATACTCCCCAGTACTCTGCCAAACTTACAAGTACATGTTGAAGCACTGTGTTAAAAGGAGTTAGTTCTTATAATTCTCTCAGCACAGGTAAGTACAGCTGTTTATGAACAAGTGGTTATGGTTGTTTACTTTAAACCACTAACCTACTCACTGCTCTGTGTTTAAAGCCTGTCATGGACTTTGGATTATTTCATAAGGAAACTATCCAGCTAGTTTACAGAAAATATGTGGTTCTACTCAGGTGCACATTGTGTCTGAAATAATGCATAGGGGGGGGGGGGGGCACCTGAGGTCTTCCTCCGTCAGTAAAACTGATAAATCGCCTTCTGACCTATATAGTGTTGGTGCAATATAATGAAATCAAAAACCAAAAACTCTTAGCACTGGCAAGTACTTTACTTAAACATGCAGCATTTCACATGAAAATAATTACATATAAATTCATATTTTGTTAAAACTATTTATATAATTTTCATTGGTTTGATTTTTTGTTAAAACTTTATTCAGGCATGTAGCTTTATAATCTTTTAATAAAAAAATGATTTTTTTTTTGAAGAACTGTATTAATCTCTTTGTTCTTTTCATAGTAAAATAGTAAAAGGCAAGACTGCAAGAGAATATATTTGTTGAAAAAAAGATGTTATACTTGGTGTTATAGTGGTAATTTTATGTAGAAATCTTGTTTTTTCATTGTTTTAGAGGGAGCAGGAGATTTTATGCAGCCAGCAAAGTCAAGAAAGAGAGACGGTTACCTGAGTGATGAGGAGGATCCGGCACGGCGCGCACTGCGCCAGGAAGAACAAGCTACACGTTCGGCACGGCAGATCTATAACCTGAGGCAACAGGTTCGAGCTTTACAAGATCAGGTGACTAGAGGGGAAGGAAGAAAAGTTAAACACACTAAAAAGGTTGGTAGCTTTAAATTACAGAAATTTATCTGTTTAATTAGGTTAAAAAGTAATGTTTAAACATCAAAATAATGTTTTATAGGTCATATAGATGTTGAAAAGCAAGAATATTAGGCACACCATGTGGTTGACACATATAGTATCAAAGCATGTATAGCTTTAGTTTATTATGTTTCTATACTGGTTAGGGAAATAAACTTGGCCGAAAAACCGTGTTTTGGGGGCATATTTCATTTATTTGTTTACGTATTCTGATGAATCTTGCACCATAATAAACTTCAGCACTTCGATTTTCCGGTATCATCATAAAAGTTATATTCAGAAACATAGCGGGTAATTTAGAGAGGCCCTGGAAGAGGTACGTAAAAAGGATATTTTTAACGCGCGCGAGTAGATAATTCCGGCTCTTTGTTTTTCTTCTTAAACGAGTAAGTTAAAAGGTAAAATAAAATGTTAAGACATTTTATTATTTCTTTGCTGTTCATTTATGTCAAATAAAAAATATTTGTTACCAAAATTGTTGAACATTACGTTAGTATAATGAATATCTATGATAACACGATATTTATATGCAACGTACTATGTAACATATAAATCATTTTTACGTAAAAACACATGCATTATCATTTATTAACGTATAACGAAATATGTAGTTAAAGAATTAGTGATTCTTATTTATTTTTGCTTAGCTTAACAGAGTGAAGAAGAAATTATTTTAGTGGTATTCAACCTACACATTAACATATAAAAGGAGCACTTAACATCAGCCTTTTCAATCCATTCCACTTAAAGATTACAATTGTGTCATCAGCTCTTTTTTTCTGAGTTAGCAAGACAAAAGTGAGTCTGAATTTCATCTACAAAATGTATACGTAAACGTCGTCTGCTTTATCCGTAGTCGGTCAATATATAAAAGTACCCCTGTGCGGGCCTCAAAACGAGCATCTGCTGCACATGCGCACAACAATGGGATTCCCGTACTTTTTATAGGCATGTTTTGTAAACAAACAGGTGAAAGTCTGTGTTATTTTTTAAATATCTTACCAAACTTGACAAAATTTCCAGATATTGTCGAATTCCAGCGATAGTATGAGATGGTGAGCTTGATTACATTAAAAATTCTGATAACTCGATTTAATTATAAAGAGCCGAGTTTATCAACCAGCCGAAGTTATCTCCCCAACCAGTAATAATGTACAACCTTTGCAGAGCAAAATCCTTTTGGAGGCAAACAGTTTGGTTGTTGTTGAGAGTTGTTGCTCTAGAGAGGTTATATTTGTTCTTAAGTATAATTTACTTTTGGGAGAATTGGTACTGTTTTTGTAATGGGTTTATTGCTTATTGCTATGCAGATGACTGCTCTATATATATATATAGCACTACAGGTGGCATGATAGAAAGGTTAACACATTAAAATAGGAATCTAAGGATCCTAGCTACATGAGTTCAAACCCAGTAAGAAGAAACTTGAGCAAGAAACTTTACACTCATTTCTCAGTACACAGGTTCCAGGAATAGATTTGAGAGTTTGTCTATAAGCTCATAGCTTTCTACACAATTTTAATTGAAATGAATTCTGTATAGACTAATAACTTTTTATTATGTTTTTATTGGAGATAATAATTTTGCTGAACTATATTTTCATCTAGAGTCAGGTGATGTTAAGACTGGCTGCTGCACATAGAGGAGCTGTACGAGCTATCCAAGGGTTTGTAAACCAGCAGCTGCCACAACAAGACTTGCGCAAGGGACTCCCAACTGGCTACCACGAGCTAGCATTGTTGATAAGACAGCTCGCTCTGCTCAGTACGCACATTCGCACCAAGGATGACTCGGTCAATGTTAAACAAGATCTTATTAGTATGCTTGATAGAGTAGATGTAAGTGAAATCATGATATTTAAGATTTAGTGGTTATTTATCTGTTTATTTTGTTGGATTTTAAGGCAAACCAAAACTGTAAAGGTTTTATGGTGATTTTCCAGCTTTACTGGTGAAGGTAGACCAGTAGTGCCCCTCGTGCATTATTTCAGGCATAAGGAGGGCACCTGAGTAAAACCAATGACCTTTTATAAGCTGGCTAGTTAGCTTCCTCATATGAAAAGTTTGAAAGTCCTTGATGGGATTCGAACTGACAGCACTGAGGGGCAAGTGATTTGAAGTTGATGTCTTCAGTCACTGCAGAAATGTGATAACATCATGTCAAAATATAAAGTGATTATTTATTCTGCATTGAAATTATTTTATCTATAATCTCAGGAAATCATGACAATCCTATTAAACATTGGAACTTTTATTTTTGCTTATTCCTGTCTGAAGAATTTTATACTGAAAGTTTATACTGTATTGCTTGACACAACTGTATACTTAAGTTTATAGGGATCTTGTGATTGTTATATTGAAGGAGTTGAACAAGGCCTGGTGTGCTGAACTAGAAGAAAAAGAGGATCAAGTTTACACAGAGGAACCTCGCCGGAAATCACCAACAGGCCGGCAGGGGGCGCCACCTGTACAGAAAAACAAGGTCAAACAAGAACAGCAGAGAAAATTTGGGAAGGAAAATAGACCGAAAGGTAGGAATATAGGAATTTGTCTATGTTGTCTACCATATAGTATAAGTGATGTAAAAGTAATCACTGTTGTGGGGGGTGGTATTTAGAAATTTAAAATTTTAAAATTCGATTCATACAAATATTTAATTTGTCATATAAGTGTGAATGATTCCATTAAAGAGCATAATGATTTATAATTTAAGATGTTTATTAATACTATCTTGTCAATAAATGAGCAAACCAAAACATATAATTATAACAAATTATTGACTAACCATGTTTATTTCGTTTTGTTCTTTTTCAGGTTTATTAAAGAAACAGTTCTACAAAGGAACAAAGCCAATACAAAAGTCTCAAAAACCAAGTAAGTACTGGTAGTGCATACATCTAGGCATGTTTAACTATGTTGTTTGTAAGAATATGTAGGAAAAAACTGCTTCAAATATCAAGTAAATATTAAAGATGAAAATGAAATAATTTTTTTAGTAAGTAAATGTAATTTCTACCTAACTGATTGTCATTCTTGTAACCATGACATTACATTCATGCAAAACAATATACAAGGGAAGATCCATTGTGAATACTTGCTCGTCACTGTATAAATCCTTTGAAATATATTCATATATTTTTTGGGAGCCTGTAGGGGGCAGTGTCTAGTTTTCATTATATAATTTAATAAAAAAAAAATAGTTTATCACATGAGGCTGCTTGTTTTCAATGTGATAGAACCATTATGTATTTCTTTATATTGCACATGTGTAATATTTGCAATATAACATTTGCATACATTATCACATTACAGGAAAGTTGACACCAGAAAGACAGAATGTTCTTCAGGCAGGAATTCAGGCATATTTGAGAGAGGATGCAAGACAGGGCGAGCGAAATGTTGCCTGGGAGATACCTGGTGATGAAAGTATGGCCACTGAGCAAGGCAACTCGAGTTTAATTCTGCCAAAAGGTTTGCAGTTCAAACGGGAGAAAGCTCAAAGATCTGTAACACTGGCAGTTCCAGAGTCACATTTCTCCGACCCAACACTTTCTTCCTGTCTGAAAACTAAACAACATCAAGAACATGAACCCAGAAGGTATCAATTTACATGTATATCACACTCTTACATATTTAAATAATGTATTTTGCTGGGTAGATAAAACTTGTTACATGTTTATGAGTGGCTAGAAATTGTATTTTCAGAAACATAGATAAAATATTGATTTCTATTGACTATTTGAAAGGTCATGTCTACTAATTCAGTAAAATACATTATCAAATCAAATGTTTTCTAATCAGTAAAACTTTTTTTAGTCAGGAACCATGGAGACCAGGTGGAAGTACTCACAGGTCCCCTGGCAGGTCAAGGTCACGAGATAGAAGTAGGTCAAAGAGTCCAAGGTCAAGAGTAAGAAACATTCAAATGCAGGATATGGATACAGAGCTGATGCAGTAAGATAATTTAGATATTGTTATTTCATTTACATGTACTTACTTTATTAATAAGACTTTAGACAATAGATGTTTTGTCACTTTTAAGATATGTTATCAACTTATGAGGATATTTGTTTGTTTTCAATGTAATTTTGTTGGTTATTTAATCATGTTCTCAAATTGTGAGCTCTAGAAAAAATACTTTCAGAAGTTGTGAAGCCAGGAGCTGAGATACCTGTAGATTTTTATGGGTCATTTGGTGTACACATTACTGTTGCAATGAAATTGGAATTTGTCAAAAAAGTTTTATATGTTAAATGAGATTTTCATCAATCTTAAAATCATTAAGAAAATGTTTCCTAGAACATGGGTTAGATTTATCAAATTGAAGCTGAATCCTAATTGCTCTTGTATATAGATGTATTACATGCAATTTGCAGGGAGTTATTTCCTGAAGGTGTTGATGGAATGGGCAGAAGGGGTAGGTCAGCAAGTCCAAGGTCAAGGTCACAAAGACAGAGATCATTGAGTCCACCTAGGTCACCAGAAACAAGGTCAGTGATATAATTCTTATATCATTTAATATGAATTGTAAACAAATTATCATTTCAATAAAACTTATTTAACTTTAACATGTAGCATGGAAACCCTGTATTATCAATGTACATAACTTTTTTGCCATGTTTGTTTTAGGTTTAAATGTTGAACTTAATATCTTAACTTTAGTGTCAAGCAAACATATTTGCATTAAACATTGCATGTTTTGTTGAATTGGGTCAAAAACATTTTAAGTTTGTCATAAGCTTGACCATACATAACCAAATATTCAGAATACTGGTTAATAGAGATGCATTGATAATACAGAGTTTGAGTATATTTCCACAAGCAGTTTTACAAAAACAAGCAATAGTTTACTAACCATGTATATTTATAGGTCACGTTTCACTGCACACAAGATGAGGTCAAGACTTGATAAGCTGCAACAGAAAGCTGAAGTAAGTTTGACTGACACTTTAATTCTTTTTTTCTTGTCTGCCCAAAAAGTATTTAAGACAAGCTTTTGGTCTGCAAACCTTAAATTTTAGAGTTCAAGTTCAATGATTTTGTTTTTGCTGAACTGATCTGATTGGCTTCATAAGGGTCACAGGACATAATTTGCAGGTCTTGTTTAACTGAAAGGGCATACCAAAAGAAAAAAAGAGAGAAATATTAAATATATAAGATATAATTGGTAACATCAGCAATAATTAGTTAGAATTTTACCACTAATTTTTTAAGTCATAAAAATAACAAGACTAAAATTACCATGTGCTTTAATGTTTTAAAATATGATAGGATTTCATATGAGTTTGATTTTAACATGCACTTTCCAGTAGATTTTTCTCTATAATTATATATCTAGTTAATGAATAATTGCAATGTAAATCAGAAAAGGCATTGCTTCATTCTTTTCCCCCGCTATTTTGATCCAAATTGTTTGCAACTTTACATTTTAGATATATGTGTATCATGTATGTATATGATCTATTTAAGGATATGAGTATGGTGAAGGAAAGGGAGAGAGAGTTATCAGAAATTAACATGAGACAGATGCTTGCTGAACGTGCCAGAGAACAGGTATTTTATCATGTATAACACAGCATGTTGTGAGTACTTATTCACCATCAGAAATTCGGCCCCATTCCCCCCACAAAATAGTATGTTTTTCCCCCCTCAAAGCCGAAATTTCCCACTATATGGCAGCCCTAATTTGCCTGCAATGAATATCATTTTTTTTTGCAACTAACTGCCAAAAATGTTTTACTTTTGCTGTAAGAGTTACTGTTAAGCAAGGTTGTTTACAAATCATTTTCTGGTAGGTAAGGGGAGCTACTCCCGGCGTCCCAACAAGTTTAACATGCGACACATTGATAATTTAGATCCGTATATTAAGAAAAAGCGACGTATTTTAAACTTGTGTTGCAAGAGTTGCTCCCCTTTTCTACCGCAAAGAAAACAATATAAAATAAGTAAACAAATAAAATTCCCCCTCCTATTGCATATTCCCCCCTCCAATGGGCACTGACCCCCTTCCCCAAAAGTGAAAAAAACACTGTCTGAAAAACAGTGAATTATTTTTTGTTTGTTTAAGAAGTGGTAAATGAATAAAAGTGTCAAAACATGATGTCATGACTTAGTCAATACAAGTTATGGAACATAAAATGTCAGTTTGGATGTACATGTATGTCTCTAGTGGGAAATGACTATATCTTTATCAAGTTTAAAAACAAGTCTGTCCTCTATGTACCTTTATAATCATGATAAATACAGTCAAACTAGTGAACAAAGGTCCATCCAAAGTAGAGACTGAACATGACTTTTATAGACAAGGGGTCTTTATATTGTGGTTACTCTGTTGTATTAAGTCAATGAAGTTTGGTCAAGAAGTGGCCTCTATAAACAGTGTGATTTTTATTCTGAAGTGGTCTTTAATACAGGTTTAACTGTACATGTTTCAGGGCAGCATTAAAGGTGACATGATGACTGATATGATATTAAATGACATTTTACATGACACCGCAGCTGAGTTGCAGGCTGTAGAAGATGACAACAATATCTATGATGAGGCAGTAACCATGCAGCATAACCCTACCCTAGAAAATATTTATCAAAGATTAGAACAAATGGAGGTAAAGTTTTATGGAGAAAAAGTTTTCTTTTACAAAAATTTTGTTCTTGACTTCACCTTGTTAAATTACTTTAGCAAATGTTTTTTTACCTATCATATACTGTACATGTAAAAAATATCGCTGGCATATTTACATCTTTTTATTACAAAATGTTTAGATAAAAAAATGTTTCAGAGCAAAAAAATGTGTTAAGACATAGATTATTACCTATCTGTACAGCTTGAGGCGGTTGATATTAGACGTAGATGGGGTACTCTTCACTTTGAGGAGGAAAATAGCTCATCAATATTGAAAACCAGAAGTATAGAGAGGCCTTCAGGACCAGTTGCCATGGAGATAACAAGAAAAGATCCCTCACAGTCTCATAGAGTTCAAAGTTCAAGGTAAAAACAAAAACACGAAAAAAAAACTATCACCCATAAGATTCAAGGTGATCCCATTTATTATTGTCAAAAAGTGAGTAAACATGTAGCTCTGGTACCATATCCTTCACTGACCTTATGAATCTTTTATGATGAGTACATGTACTGATGCAGCTACAAAATATAATTAGAAAACATTTCACAAAATCATAACTATTGCAAATTTAAATTATTTTGTGACTATTTGAAGAGTTGTTGGGCTGTCTTACTTGTACAACTGCATATAACTTTGGCTAAAGTTTTACTGTCAATTTCATCATATTTAACTTAATATCTTATTAATCATTGACAGTACATGTATTTGCTTGAAACTTCACAAATGTCTCTATTATCATAATTTAAATTCCTTATCCAAGACCCATACCTCTAGCATGAATTTTTGTATTGTTTTGATTAGGTAACACACTAGCATGATACAGGGATATGTTAGTTTATTGTATAATTATCTTTTTGTATTAGGGCATTTGACAAGGAGGCAGAAGGTCCAATAATCTTCACAAAGTCTGCACCAGCACCTGGTTATAGTCAGAGAACAACTATAGTAGAAACAGAGGAGGCATTGTTGAGTGATTTCCCTATAGATTTACCACTGAGGTAAGTTGCTGCTACATCTTTACACTATTAGGTCACTCATACTGTTCAGTTTACCAATGTGAATACATACAAGCTACAGTAGAAACCCTGCATAAAATCACCCCAGAATAATGACCACCTACTATTTAGACGGATCTTTAATCACCTGGGTTTCCACTGTATAGTGGGGTGTGAGGGCCTGATCATTATATACCAGTGGCTACACCATTAGAGTACAAATTTAGGTGTTCAGACTTTGATCCCATTTTACTCCAATTAAAATTACTTATAGTATTTCAGATGAGAAATTATTTTGGAAGAAACTGTGAATGATTGTGCTATGTATTGGTGACTTACATCTAAATGCATTCTTGCTGATTAAAGTAATTGGTGATTTCTTTTGGATATGAGTATTGCTGTACATTGAGCTACTCTTCAAAAACAAAACAATTTACAATTTTAAGGAGGAGACATTCATACAAGTTTGCAGTTAAGCCTTAAAAAAAATGAATGTATAAGTAAAAAAAAAATATGTTTTGAAATATTTTATTGTAGGAGTGGTAAGATACGTTTAAAGTTACCCGACTCTGCTGTGAGGGATATTCACAGTAACCTTGAAAAATACCAGAGACATTTAAGAAAAACTTCACACCAGTCACACAGTAAATTTGATCCTTGGAAACTCGTTGAGGAGTAAGTGTGCTTTTTATTTAATATCTTATTATTATTTTAGGTATAATTTATTTACATATACATGTTGCTTGTTAAAGTCAGCACAGTAGGTAGAATTGTAATGTAAAGAACTTTGATTGATATTGATTAAGCTTTCTATACAGTACATATTTCTCTATGACAGTTTGATTGGTTACAATATTGCAAATGCAGTTCATTCTTTATACATGTATTAAATTATTTAATTAGAGAAGTAAAAGTCAGTTTTCATAGAATTTCGAGGCTTGCTGCTGCTTTATGTTGTTTCTTTACTATTAATTATGTCTCCCCCACCTCGGGGGGAGACATATTGTTTTTGCCCTGTCCGTCCGTCAGTCCGTCCGTCCGTCCGTCAGTCCGTCCGTCCATTCTTCGTTTCCGGACGATAACTAGAGTTCCTTTTGACCTACAGCTCTCAAACTTCATAGGATGAATGGTCTTATTGAGCAGATGATCCCTATTGTTTTTGGGGTCAGTAGTTCAAAGGTCAAGGTCACACTGACCGTTGGTCAATTTCTCGTTTCCGGATGATAACTAGAGTTCCTTTAGACCTACAGACCTCAAACTTCATAGGATGATTGGTCTTATTGAGCAGATGATCCCTATTGTTTTTGGGGTCAGTAGTTCAAAGGTCAAGGTCACAGTGACCGTTGGTCAATTTCTCGTTTCCGGATGATAACTAGAGTTCCTTTTGACCTACAACCCTCAAACTTCATAGGATGATTGGTCTTATTAATCAAATGATCCCTATTGTTTTAATGGTCAGTAGGTCAAAGGTCAAGGTCACAGCGACCGTTGGTTAATTTCTCCTTTCCGGATGATAACTAGAGTTCCTTTAGACGTACAACCCTCAAACTTCATAGGATGATTGGTCTTATTGAGCAGATGATCCCTCTTGTTTATGGGGTCAGTAGGTCAAAGGTTAAGGTCACAGTGACCATTGGTGTGACTACAACACACAACACACTTATTGACCATATCTACCAGAGAGGCTTGATTGTGAAAACGAGTGGAGTCATCCCAACACACTACAGTTATCATGATTTGACATACATTGAAATAAGAGTTGTCTTTCAATAGTGTAAAAAATCTGACAATATGAACGTTTGTTTCAAGTATCATCAAAATCCTTCAAAGGGTTGAAGAGTTATGGAGCAGACACAATTTCCTTTAATTTCGTTTGTGAAACTATATATGATATGACATTCAAGTGTCAAGTAGACCTTGACCTTGGAACCAGCCATACGAAACATGTACTCTACACGTTCTCTGGATGTGGTGAATTTTTGTTTCAAGTATCTACCAGAGAGGCTTCATTGTGAAAACGAGTGGAGTCATCCCAACACACTACAGTTATCATGATTTTACATACATTGTAATTTGAGTTGTCTTTCAATAGTGTAAAAAAATCTGACAATATGAACGTTTGTTTCAAGTATCATCAAAATCCTTTAAAGGTTTGAAGAATTATGGAGCAGACACAATTTCATTTAATTTCATTTGTGAAACTATATATGATATGACCATCAAGTGCAATTTCGTTTGACGCCCGCCTGCCATACGCTGATTGAATAACCAGGATTTTCAAAATTGAATACCTGGTTAAAAACAAACAGTTTAGGAAGCATCTTCTCATACAACCTTAACAATAGAAACCATCCATAGACAGCCTTCATTGAAGTGACTACCGGGTATTTACATTATCTTATCTCCATTTCCATTCCTGTTTCCATTCACAGTTATTCTCAGCAGTGGGGGAGACATGCGCTTTTTTACAAAAGCATCCTCTAGTTTTAAATAATAGTTCATTTGTGATGTGAATATGAAATTTAACTTGAAGTAATTTTTGCGCCTTTTGTTAAATAGTACAAAACATTCAAATTGCTATTGATTTTAATTACAGAATATCAGATCAAGTTTTAACAGAGTGCCTTAATGAGATAGAGAAAGAACTAGAAGATGTCGAAGAAAATATTGTCCATCAAGTTTGTAAATCTGAATTTGCTCTACCAGAACCTTCTACTGTACAAAAACATGTGGAGGAAGTGAATGAGGATTATGGGTATGATCAGAATATGGAACCAGTCAGTACTAGTAGACATGAAAGTTTGAGAAGCAGACAAGATGATAATTATTTTAGAACCAGTCAACAGGAAGTTGATGAGGCATCTGCTCCAAGAGAAAGTGCAGAAAGGTCAATTCTTCAAAGTAGTGCAGACAAATCAAGAGAGAATGGACATAGCTCTAAAAAAGAAGTTAGTTTTGGACAGGATGTGAGTTATGGACGAGAAGCAAGTTATGAGAGGGAAGTAAGTTATGAGAGGGAAGTAAGTTATGAGAGGGAAGAAAGTTTTGAAAAGGAAGGAAGTTTCGGACATGGAGCTATTTTTGACGCAGCTGATTTAGATGCTGCATTTGATGGAGACACAGTGAGAGATCAGTATGTTGATGATACTTATGAAGAAGATGATGAAATCTCAGAAGTTTCACCGATAGATAGTGACGAACTTGAATATTCCACAGATGAGACTTGATGATTTTGTTAGTTTATTCTAAGTATACTTGTATGTAGGAATTATTTATATAGGAAAGTATAAGTATGAGTTACAGTGAATGTAGCATTATCTATTATATATCTACATCAGTTGTGGGTGCTTATTTTGTTGCCTGGAAAAATTTTGATTGGATAAAATCAAATTAAAACTAAACCTTACTCTACTAAAATTGTATAATATTGGCTTGTGTAACTTTGGAATTGTAAGAATCCATTTATACTTCAATCTTTAACCTGAGAGCAGTAAAATAATTCTACTAATGCAACCAGTGCAGACCAAACGTCACATTCATAGTATGCAGTCACTACTGGGTCAATAGATATTCTGAAATCTGCCCTAAAAATGATGAATGGTTTTGTTCCAGAAAGATGGACAAGTCCATTTAAGATAGTTATTGTGGTAAAGATATACATATTTCAATCATAAAAAATAAATTTTGTATAGCCAATATTATAAACTATGGATACACTGCACACAATTGAAGACTTTAATCTGTTGGCATGAGTAATTGATTATTCTGATTAGTGTTTAATGATGTAGAAATATCATATGATCTTTTTAATATCTTATTTTAAAATACATAATATAAGTCTTAACTTTATGTATAATATTTTTACTTATTTTTGTTTATTCATCCATCTTTACCAACTTATTTCCAAAAAAGAACTGAATGTTTTTTGATGACAAACGTTAATGGTTTGCACAGCAATTTTATTTGTTGCTTCATTTGTATAAATATTTGAAAGTATGAAATAAAATAGTTTATTAGGTAAATATTTTTTCATTAGACACTACTTTGTTTGTAGTGATCAGATTATTAGCTTATGTCCTGTATTATAAAGTTAGTTCTTTTTAATATTTCTCAAATGTTTTTAATTTATCATCTCTGAATGTTGTTGTGTGTTAATGGGATTACCAAAACTGCACTGTCATCATTTAGCACGCAGTGAGGACTACTTTGTACTGAATAGTGCCTTGATATTTTACAATTTTTATCATCAAAGAGAATGCCAATAAACATTCTCCCTGAATGACAAGATGTTTGATTAGATAGCATATTGACACAGAAATAGAATCATCATTTTTTTCGAAAGGGGGAGGGCAGGGAAGATCAACAAAAGTTGAATAGAATACTGAACTATATAATTACAGATATGTTTTTCGGAATATTTTGAGGTTGCTATTAGAATGAATTATGTTAAACTATTTATAGAATACTCTTTCTTGTATGATTGATTATAGGTATTATCAAAATGTTATAATGCTAAATACCATGGTATTTTTCCTTGTTAATATTGTATACATATTATATATGAGCCGCGTCACTACAAAACCAAAATAATGGTTTTGCGACCAGCATGGATCCAGACCAGTCTGAGCATCCGCGCAGTCTGATCAGGATTCATGCTGTTCGCTATAAGTTTCTCTACTTGTTATAGAGTTTGTAAGCAAACAGCATGGATCCTGATTAGACTGCGCGGATGTGCAGGCTAGTCTGGATCCATGCTGGTCGCAAACTCATTATGTTGGCTTTGTCATGACGCGGCTCAATTGATTTTCTGTGATAATAAATGTGATATATTTACTCTAGTTATTTCGTGATGAATCATTCAACAAGGGAACAAATGACATATCCAGTCTTCTAAATATTCTCTATCAACTTACATTATATAAGTGACTGTGAACTTTTATCAGCCATTAATGACCTTTATTGGGAACAATTTAATATTTTTACATAATTCTGTCTATTGGTTCTAAAGTTACATCATATTAGCTGAGTAGGACAAGTGTCAAATGTGAGGACATGGGATTTGTGAATCATGTTTTACTGTGACGATTTATTGGACAAAAATAATTGTTTAATGTCATTGTTTCAAATGATTTGTTTAGAGTTGTCAGCAATTAGTTTGTGAAGATATTGCAATTTTCTCACTTCTTAGTGTGCTATGATAGCATATTACTCAAAACAAACAAATGCCCTCACTATACCTATGTGATCCCTTCCAAATTCAGTTTGTTCAAACTTTGCTGTATTAATATTGGTAGACAAAGTACAATCTTTTACCTGTTAATATATATATATTTATACATCGGATCCGAGAGGTAAATTTTAGAGTAAAATAAGAACAAAAATTGAAAAAATCGTCTGGAATTCGGAGTAGACAGGTTCCGGATCCGAAAGGTTTTTTTACTATTGAAAATAGAACGAATAAAATTGGGACCGGACACTTTGTGCGGATAAGAAAGGATTCCGGATTAGAAGGGTTCGGATTAGCAAGGCTCCACTGTACATACATCTTCTTGCCAAAACTTGTTCTTTCCTAATTCCATATACATTCTCTTTGATCAGATCGTGCTGATTGTGCTAATATTTGTTTATTCTCCTAAGACTTGTCCACCTGGACTTTTGAAAAAAAAATCCTTGTGAAAATCTGCATTCTGATATATTAATATTATGATTTCTCTTCTCTTAGGATCTTTCAGTGTCTGCCTTATTAATGAATCTACCATATTACCTTTTACTCTGTCAGTGTGACTTAATTGCAAACACACACAAAATTACAAAACCATCTTGGTGATCTCTATATAGAAAAATATCCCAAATACTAACTTTTTTCAAATTTTACTTTTAAAAAACAACATATAAATCACAGCAAATTTATTTTCTAGTTTTGCAAAATGTTTCCAATTGTAAAGTACTATATCAAGATCAAAATCATACAAACAAAAATTCAAAACTAATCCCAACTAGCAACTTTTATGCTAAAATATAAGTAATTGGCAAGGCTTTTTGGCATGCTGAACAGTTTTTAGTAGTTAAACAATAAATCTTTTCAACTATATATATTTCTGTAAACATCTTCATTTTAACACCTAATACCTGTGCTGATGACAATATTTTCATGAACTTTATTTTGCACTGCAATACAGTAATTCAATGTCTGTTTGTTTTTTCTCTTAGATTTCACCATACAGTATAGTGATATTAAACGCAATCGGTATAATATTGCCCTTTATACGAATATGAATTTATATAGTCATAGTACCGTAATACCGGTGTTCTTAAATTTTAGTTTTTTTCCTAACGTATAAATTGGAAGTTCCAAATATAGGTTATATATCGTTTCCGCCTCCGTTTCTACAGACATATTTGTTTAATCTTGTATGTTGATTCCTCTTTTATCTTATGCTAAGAAGTTCAATGAGCATTAGTTATACGTTTTATCTGATGTTATTACTCTTTGATAACAGAAAGGAATTTAATAAAGTTGTTTTGTCCCATAATCGATGCTTAAATTGTGTTACCATGGTAACGAGAATACTTTCACTGTATTTCTCTCTACATCAATAAGTGTCATGTTGTATTGAGATACAAGCAGTTTGTCCGAGTTTGGAGTCAACACGATCTTGTGTGGGTTGTTAACTCCTTCCACGATGACGTCACCCATGATCTCACCTTCCGTGTTCACCATCAGAATATTGTGAGACTTATTTCCCGCCACAAATAGTCGGTTGCCATGCAACGCGATGCCTTTTGGCAGTTTGAGCCCGTCGTAACGTATTTCCCAGAGCTTCTCCCCTTGTGTAGTCAAGGCGATCACTGTCTTCTTGTAACGGTCAGTGACGTACATACATCCTGCTGTTCTGTCAAGGACAATGTATTCTGGGAAAAAGAAGAGGTTATGACCTACATTATCTTTACTTATGACCTTCAGCTCGCGCCCATCACGTGACATCAGCTTCACACAAGGGGGAGAGTCGTAACAGCAGACAGCAAGCATATAGTTGGAATAAGAGATTCCCCAACATTTTGCCCCAGTCTGAATTGCTGCCAGAATGGTTATATCTGACTCCCGTACCTGCATCAGTAGGAATCTCTTCTCCCTTGGCAGTGTTACTGCAATCTCACTTGAAGAAATGGCGGTAATATCAAACGGACGGGCCGACAACACTCGCTCACCAACCCAACGATAATCCGGATCGTAAAGCTTGATTTTACGATGAACTTGGTCTGCCAGAAGTATCCGACCATCATTAAGAATTTCAGCGCCAGTAATACAGCAATTATCACGGTCCTGAGCATTCCGAACTTTAAAATATACTTCTAGTTTGCCCTGTGGAATATTATTTCTCCGCTCTTGTATTGGAACTGGTGTTATAGAGGGGGATGGCGGGAAGATCTTGAGGTCGCTGTCAATATTTCGCGTGTCCCTTTTCTGACGATGGCTCTTCTTGGGTGAGTTGGACTCCATCGATTCGTTACGCGATTCAACAATTCTTTCCTCTGGTATTAGAATGGTGTCGGCCCGGACTGTGTATGGTGGCGGGATACGGACTTCTTGATGGGAGAGAGAAAATTTCCCCATCTCTTTCAACGTACCTAGGAAGATTTGCAAGCTCTGGTCTGGAGAGAAAACAAGGAAAACATCTTTCATATGCCTTGATACTTCCTTCAAACTCTTCTCGCAGAAGTTCCCCTCTCTCCTCGCTTTATTGTAGGTTATCAATACATCTGCGTCCGTACCATGCGTCATCGAATTTTGCAATACTGCTGTGGCGTTCTTAGTGGTATTAACAAGATCCTGGGTGCGCTCGATTTCTCGTTGGAACTGGATTACCTCTGCTTTCTTCAGATCTTCAAGTTCAGCTAACGCTCTTTCCTCCTGTGAAGAGAGTATATCATTTATTTGCTGACGTATACTAGATATCTGTTTCTTTACATTACTAGCGGCATCTTCAATAGTTTCCACGGCGTGTTTTCGGTTGTCAAGGATACGAAGACCCCAGCTGGTCTGATGTTTGAGCTTCTCCATCACGCTTTTAGCCTCGTCGCGTTGTTTGGAAGCTGCCTCGGAGGAGCTAAGAATACTCGTACAAAGTCGATGGAAACCGGTTGCACATGTTGAACAAATTACCTGAAATTGAAGGATAATATTACTGTTGAGCGTAAAAGGGGGTTTGGCCCATTGTCAGTTTATTACATAAGCGAACTCCGTTAGAAAATCCACAATATTCAACGATAACAATAATTTCAATTGTGAAATGTTATATTACATGATACAGAAGTGATAACTATTAAATGTGGTATTTTTGTCATAAGTCTGATATTTAATTGGTGGAACGGAAACTGTTCCTATTTATTCATGACTAAAGTATAGCTGTTAAGTCTTTTTCTTAATTTCATTTTACTCAACGAACCTGCGCGTGATCCTCGCAGTAAAAATCAAGGAATTTGCCCTCGTGTTCTTGACAAGGTGTCCGCAGCAACGTACTCTTGATAGGTTGAAGTTTGATACTGGCAATGTCAACCTGTTTATGGTTCCTCGAGATCTTCAGGCTGCTGTGCTGGTTCTCACAATCTTCACACATGGCTTCACCGCAGTTCTCACACCACGTGACCGCCAACGTGTTTTCTCCGCGTGTATCACAAGGATCACATTTCCTGCCCTCGGATCTTAACTTGACAGCCTCGATTAAACCAATGATAAACTGGTTTTGTGGTAACGATTCCGCCCATGTACTTGGTCCTGCAATAAATGTATATAAAGATTTAAGAATACTCTCCATTCTAGGATAATGTCGTACTATCTTAAAAACACACGCAAAGCTCATCCAAACTCGCATGTATAAATATGCACGATACATACATTAAGATCATATCTAGGCAGGTGTGACAGTGAGTAAAACGTAATTCTTTTACAGTTTCTATTCATTTCTTAGATAACATGTACTGTAAAATTAAAGCAACTCTATTCTGCATAGAATATTTCAGAAAATTACTATATACGTGGTTAAATACATAAGTTTAGACAATCGCATCTTGACGGCCTTAACGTCAATCTTTCGTATAAGGACTATGTGACAAATTTAAGAACTTTTATTAGTTTCAAATACCTTGTAAAACATTTGGTGAATCAACAAACTGATGACATTTCGGACAATCGAACCCCTTTGGCACGTGTACACCTTTCGTGTTTGCGTCGATGTGGTCAGATATACAGGTCAGACAAAATGTGTGTAAACACGGGAGAGAACGCGGGTCGGCATACTCCTCAGTGCAAATAGGGCACGACAGAAACTCCTCACTCACGTGACCTCCTTCATCATTATCCTCCATTATATGTTCTTTTATCCAAATAAATGCAGAAAATAAGATCTGCAATGATGAAAAATGAACAAACACATTTATGTTTACTTTAAACAAGGCTTATGTATTTTCTTGTACAGTAACAGTCGAATGAGATTCAACGAAATCAAGTGTCTGAATGGTTAAAAAATCTGGGAAACAAAGTGATCCCTTGAAAGCATTAGGCACAACAAAGTTACAAATGAAAATTGCAGACTAGGTTTGATTGATTCTGTACATGAGGGATAATGAAAAGTGCAACATCCCCCATGCCCACCCCCCCCCCCCCCCCCCCCCCCCCCCCAGCACCGACTTGAGCGGTACTCAATTTGCAACACTTAAAAGTGCAGGAAAGTCATAGGTGATCAAACCCCTCGCTACTTCACAGATAGTTCGACTCCCGATTAAGGCACATTACATAATGTAAAGAAGTTATCTAGACAATGACTTTAAACACACGTGACTGCTCGTGACAAATATGCACGTGAACAATCGTCTCTGATCTTCCTGAACCAGTTAAAGCTGGAAATACGTCATATGACCTTAACACTAACCGTGTGACTGATATGCATACTACAAAATGAATAAATACAAACTTCTTTAAATTGATAACTTTACATCAAACTTTCAGATCACTTTTTATTTAAAAATAAACTATACTGAAATAAGAAAACATTAAAAAGAAATCAGAAATAAGTTTTACCTTCTCGAGTTAATAATTACTAAAATCTCTTATTCCACCATTTTAATTAGAAGACAATATAACAATCCCCTCGTCGTTAGGGAGAGGTGTTTGATTTCTTTTGTGACAGTTTAGAAAGCCAATAGAATAACATGTTATATTTATTGATCTTTATTTTCTTTTGTTTTAAAAAAATGTTGTTAGTTTACTTTTGAAAGTGAAACCATTGTCGCCATTGTGTAAATTAATCTTTAGAAAAAAATGTCCGACAAGGATTTTTACTGTTAAATAGTTTTTCTCCTTATTTCTGCACTGTAAGTATCTTTACATTTATTTTATCACTGAACACCATATTTCACAGATCAGCTCGAAGTTATTCTTATTTCTAATAATTTGCCTCGTTAACATAGTTATTAAGTAATTTAAAACGCGAGTTGAAATGTCAAGGGGTTTGAGCAATTTCATGTTCTTGATTAAAAACTTTTTGCCATAAATTGCAATCAAAGTGTTCATTACTTTTTTCCTAGTAATAGAGAAATGGGAGAATGCTCAGATTTCTGTTTTACGATAAAATTATCGTATTTGTAATAAGATCATGCCATATAACACTGTTATTAAACTGTTCTTTTTTTTACAATCATATTTGTAAGTCTATCCTCTGAAAATGAGATTACATCGTTTTTAATTGAATGTTGATTTTGTTGTTGTTGTTGTTGTTGTTTCTTTAATAACTTGTAAACACGTTTGAAAATGTTATGCTATCATAGGTATGTATGCACCCTTTACGATGTTTGTGACATTGGCATAATATCATATAATATATAACAATATTACATGTTTGATATATCATATCGTAAGTGAGTTTTATTAATACATCAGACCAAAAGTTCCTTTTCCTTTAACATGTTTATATAATATTCTCTGTATTTTTTGGGGTTAAATATAGATATATTTCTGACTCAATGGTATAAAGAAACTGATAAAGTATCAATTTCAGCCAACTTTTTTGATACATATTATAAAGTTGCCACAAATAGGATTCAAACCAACAATGACAAGGTCCATATACCAAACGTTACCACAGCTCGCGGCGAGTTTAAAGAGCCAACTTTTTAAGTTTATTACTTTCATATATTTTCAATGAGTGAAATAGACATGATTTTAAACAATGATATTTTTATCAATATAGGATTGATTTCAACTGTAGTTCAAATGAGTGGTTTTAAACAAATACCTGTTTACAACAAACTTTTTCTGTTTAAGATCAAATATCAGCATACTTATAGGCATTAATTCAAATGACTAATTAAAGTTCTAAATTCTGTCACGGTTAGCAAAACATTGCGTACTACAGGGTAAGAAATCATTATTTTGTGACAGACAATTTTTCAACTGTTTCGCTTTTCACTGAATCGTGTCTAATATTTAAGCAAAATTACTTTAAATTATTAAGTTAAAAAACTTTAATTTAAATTTGTAATTTAATTAATATATAATACTATATTTCAAAAGGGGAATCGCCCCCAAATGACGAAATAAAAGTTTTAAAAATTTAAATTCATGCAAATTGAAAAAAATGAATAAATTTTGCTTTGGAAAAATTAATTAAGATTCATTGAGCCTCCCCTTAAATTTAAAATAAAAAAATTTAATTTTCTTCTCTGGTACAAAAAGGTTTTATAATGTTAATTAATAGATTTAAACATTTAGGTGCTTTCACGTGAAAAAGTAGCTTAATATGAAAGATTTGTATATTTAAAAAATGTTATTTTAAAATGGTATTTTTACTTCAAATAAAAATAGCTAAACTTTTACTTAATTTTCCAAAAAAAAAGAAAAAATTGGTTAAATTTTTTGGCAAATGGTACCATTTTGGAAATACGAAGGACACCAAAAAAAAGCATTTGGAGACCCAAAATTGGCCCTTTAATGATAAAGGCGCCCTTTTACAAAATCCCCGGCAAACAATAAAGTTCTTTTTTACAGTTTAAAGAGAAGACTTTCGCCATGGAGCGGAATTACAATACCATTAGTGAAGATTTTCTCACGTGTCCTATATGTAAAGATGACTTTACTGACCCACGTGCCTTGCCATGCCTTCATGCTTTCTGTAAAACGTGCGTCTCAGATCACATTAATCAGGTGACTAAAGGTCAAAGGGCACCTAAGGGTTTTGACTGTCCCGTATGCAAGCGGTATGTTGATGCGCCCGACCCTCATCAAGCCCCGGGGACATGGGCGGAGAGATTACCATCCAGTCATCTCATCAATAGTTTGATGGACAATGTTCGTCTGCGGAATGACGTAAGTAAATGCGACCCATGCTTCCGCCGGAAGGATAAGGTCATTGCCTCGAAATGGTGTAAAGAATGCGCTGAAGCACTATGCGAGCAGTGTGTCGCGTTTCATAAATCGTTAAAATACTCGCATAACCATAACCTGTTGGAATTTGAAGAGCTAAGACAACAGCCCATTAAGAATACTTTACCAAGACCACCATGTCCACAACACGAAAATACAACTCTTGGTTTCTTTTGTGAGGATCATCAGAAGGTCTGCTGCTCCTCGTGCGTTACGGTTGATCACAGAAAATGCTCTCACGTGACTACAAGCGTTGATGCTGCTTCTAAATATAGAAATGAAGTTGATACACTCACGGAAAAGCTACGTCATCAAAATGGTTGGTCAGCAAGAATAATGGAGAATCGACAGCATAGTATGAAGCTTCTGGATGACGCAGAAGCTCAGTTGAAGAGTCAGATCATCAGTATCAGGCAGCAGTTTGATGAACTTCTGCGCACGCAGGAAAAACAAATGCTTGATGATCTTAAAGCAATTAAAACAAAGGAGAGACATAAATATGAAAAAGAAGTGGCCAAATGTGAGGAAATGATTTGCACGACGGGAAATGCGTTAAACATCGTGAAGAATTCGATGCAGCATGGAACTGATTCAGATATTCTCATGTCCGTGAACAGTGTTAAGAAAGAAGCGAAAAATTGCGATCGCAGTCTGTCAGAATTATCCAAAACCTTAACAGACATTTTGTTAATATTTACACCAGACCGCATGTTATCACAGGTACTTGGTTCCCTTAAGGAGATGGGAAAGATATCGTTCAGCCACTCACATGTGCACGTGCAGCCTCCATACAACCTTAATGTAAACTCGAGCATTGACTCGGAACCGGAAACAGAACGTTTCACTCCAGACACGCCTATTCACGAAAAGGAGAAATCTCTGACACAGAGACGACATCTTGAAGAACGGAAACTCATCGACGACACTCCGCGTTCCTCGAGAATGTCTCAACAGTCCAAAACAAGTTCAAGAAGATCCCGGCACTCGCCAATGTTGAACACCTCGCGCAGTATGACTAACTCTAAACAAGATTCCAGACAGAGCTCTAGACAAAACTCTGTGTCCAAATTTCTGGACGATTCTCCGCGTTCGAAGGCGTCGAGGAACTCGGACATTTTCCATGCTACAATTGACGCGATTGAAGGCGAAACTACTCCGCGCAGTAACAGTCGTATACTTTCTCCTATGACACCAATGGGACGGGGCTCAGACCGACGTATCAGTGGTAACCCAGCCGCACTCGAGTTCTTTTTCAAGGTAAGGTTTCTTTAATTCATTTGTACGGTTGGTTTAAACATATTTATTCGACAAAACATTTAACAAGTGAACAATATTTACAAAGTACATTTTGGGATTGGGCAGAAAGCTACAAAGCTTATGAGCTAGTGTCCTCTCCCATTTGTATGGTTATTACCTTGTTACGTTTTAAATAAAATGACATCTTTCCATAATAAGATTATTTCTGGTACTTTGTGTAAATGTTTTTTCAGTATATTTGGTTGCCTCGCTAACATCAGTTATAATGGTACATTACGGCTGCATAAAAATATTGTTTATATATACTCACTGTGACATTAAGTAGGTAAATTGGTGTAGCCCATGTGATTGTTCATATGTGATGATGTTCTTAACATGCTAGTTCCCATATAAAATTTTTTTCCCCTTTACTTTTTTTGGAAAAAAAAATGTTTTTTGAACAAAGATTACAAATTTAAATTTTTTTTCAGGCCCCGCACTGGGTCAGGGAAAACGCGAAAAAAGTTACTGGGCAAAGGGGGCCACCTATCTGTCGGAAAGGCCCTAATTAAAAATAGTTGATCAGATGTTGAGGAAATTGGAAATTGTTTTTATCAGAATTTTTTCCTGGATAGGAGAGAAAGTTTTTCCTGGGCCCGACCTTAAAAGATTTTATGTAAAGTTACTGATAACGAGGTTTGCCGGGGCCCTTTCCTAAGAGAAAAGAAAAAACAAGTCTTTTCCCCGGGAATGAATTATTCCTTTTAGTTAATTTTTTAAACTAGGCCAGATAAGGCTTGCAAGGGTTTAAAGGGACTTTTGCACATTATTTGTGTTGTTTTGTATCATTGTAATCATGAGTTCCCTATAGCTGATGACACGGTTATAAAGAAATTAAAGCCGTGATAAAGTGAAATTTTACATACATTGTAATGTCAACAATCGATCTATGTTATGCCCCGGTCACATATTCACGGATAATGCCACGGAAGAGCTACGGTCTAATCGTTCACGGATTACTACGGAAATAGGAAATTTCGTAGTCCGCTACGTTCCAGTACGGACACACAACGGTATGAGTACGGAGTCCGTATCGGATTTACCACCAAAAGCCCCCGGAGAGACACGGATAGTTACGGACCGACAACGGTTTTGATACGGAGCGACACGAATCAGGGACGGACGCACTAAGGATACACTACGGTCTGCTACGGTATAAGCACGGGTTAGTACGAATAAGTACGGTCTAAAACGGAGAAGAACGTATTGATACGGAGAAGAACGAATTGCCACGGATCTATACGGACCTAATACATCCGTCCACAACCTCTTGCTTGCTCATTTACAAAATGCCTTAAAAGAAGAACACCTAGAAAACGAATTGCAGAGTTCAATGATTTTGGCGGAGAGGACTCGGCCTAATCGCGTCCGACCCCCGAGACACATCAGGTCCGATTAAAGTTCTTTCTTGAAGGACGCTGGATCCTCAACAAGTTCGGCCATGAGAGCCTCATACTAAACTTGAAGCGGTCTTCGTAAAAGCCCATCTCTAGTCCACCATCTCGTCTGTCTTCTCTTACCTGATTAGATATGGACTAGTAATCATTAATGAAAAAAGTTGATCAATACTGCTTCTCTTTTGATTTTAAGATTTGCTGTTCATCTTACAATTACATTAGTTATCGTGATGTTTATGTTTTAAAAATATGTAAAAAGCTTATTAATTAATCTTATTATCACTCAAGGGCCAGCCTCCGAGGCTTATGAGACACTTCGTTTTATGTACATATTTACTCTTATTTCACGATCCAATGTTTGTAAAATATGTAACATTAAATGTTATTCTATTACTTATGAATTGTAGTACGATATTAATATAAATTTACTTCTATGCATGTCATCAAGCAGCTCGACCACAGCCTCCGCATTCTGAGCCATTTCAATATAAAGTTGCAGCCAGTAAATGGCAATTATCATTTATTAAATGTTTCCGCAAATATGTCTGTTTTTTATCAAGAAGGTAGTATTTATACCCTTGAAAAAGTACATGATACTTAATTCATCCGTACTAAACAGTGGTGGACCGTACCATTCCGTACCGTTTCGTGTTGCAACGCAATAAACCGTATAAGACCGTGCTAATCCTTGCCTCTCCGTAGTACAACGTATTACGATCGTGGCTTTCCGTGACAATGCCGTATTAATCTATATTAAAACCGTAGCTTATACGTAGGGTAACCGTACAAATACGTAGTTCTCCGTACAAAACCGTGGAAATCCGTGACAAGCTGGTGGACTACGAATCAGTACGGACTAGTACGGTTTTCGTACGGACCAGTACGTATCAGTACGGATTAATACGGACTAGAACGGATACACTACGGTTGATTTTTCCGTAGCAAATTTTTGTGCATGTTCAAAAATTGTCAAGGATCGCTACGGATATACAAGGACTACTACGATTGATTACGGTTACAATACGGAGAGCTACTGACCAGTACGGGTAGCTACGGACAATGCCGGAATTAAACCGTGGCTCTTCCGTGGGCGTAGTCCGTGAATATGTGACCGGGGTATTATGTATCTGTCAAACAATACATGTAACCGTGGAATATCACGCAGTTTATTACAACCGCATATATCATTTTCATACCATCAGTAATCCTTCGTGATATCACGATTTCGATTAAACCATTAATTTGTCTATGTGAGGTTTAGAGCGCACGCTATATGTTCAGCGAAGTAATTTATTGCTGTAGTATACGTATATTTTATTTTATTTTTAATTGAAGAACCACAAATATAATTTTTGAATATTAAAATTCAGTTCGACAGACGGACTTTCTACCAACGTTCACTATCAGTACTGGCGCGAAATGTTGGGGTTTAGATTTTAACGCCTCCTACAAGAGATTCGCCGTCTGCTGTTATACTCAGCCGCCATGTATCAAGATATTCTCTAGAAGTGATGGTCGTGAAATTAAATCTTTGGCACGTGACAGAACCGGTGTTGAACTGTTCTTCTTTCCTGACTACGTTGCGATGGACAGTGCAGGTAAATCATAAAGCTACAATGTAATTCTATGAGTTTGTTTATTGGTAATCTAAGAATAAAAATTCAATTAAATCGAATACCATGGTACTGTATAGTAAGAAAGATGCAGGACATCTGAATATGGTGTAGGAATTGTGTTATTTGTGACTATTTTCATTAAAACGCGCGTGGTTAGCGCAATACATTATTCGTAGATAACAGCGCAAGGAAAACTGTGTTTTTGAATTATTTTCTCTTCATTGAAGAAAATTAATTACGACTTAAAAACGATTTGTAGTATACAGCAATCTAATTTCTGTCAGGTTCTATTTTCAGGAAGACATTTGTTTGTTACCGACAAATACAAGAAATCTGTGATAGGGTTGACGATGGAAGGCGAGAAGAGATGGGAATGTAGTTATAGTGGTTTGAAGAACCCACGTGGTATATGTGTTGTAGGTAACCGTATCTATGTGGCAGGATGCCGCTCCCACAGGTTTGTTCTTTGATGTTTAGTACTTTGTCTCGTGCAATGAAATGTTTACTTATTAACCGACAAAGTATGTCTTTTTCTCTCTTTTCTATTAAATATTTGAGGAAAGATTGTTTATTTTGTAAAACGATGCATTTCCAGTTTCATTCTTTATTTTTTGTCTGGGATGTTTTTTCTTAAACATAACTGTTCTCATACACTTGTCATATTGGACCTGTGATTCTATCCAGGTGCTTGTTTGGGTGTCAATAACATGCAAAGTTGCTTTAAATATGATCCTACTGCGTCGACGTAACTGACACTATACCCCATCACACACATATGCGGGCATGCAAATAGGAAACTGTAACTTTTGACAAGTGACAATATTTTGATCAATTTTCAGTTGTTCAAACATATTTTAATTTAATTTCAGCGTTGTGTTGCTAAGCACAGATGGTGAAATCATCGGGGACGTTATTGTAGAAGGGATTTCATTCCCCAACAAGATTTGTCTCAGTCCCCACAATGATCGTCTGTTAGTTACTCAGTTTCAAGGAACGCTTATTGACATAGAGAGAAACACAGTGAAAATATACAGACTTGATTAATCAAATTATTCCATGTGTGAACGCTCATCAAAAGAAACTTTATATTGTGTGAAAAAATATGTTACAGGAAAATTAGAGATGAATATACGGTATATTAAGTGAAATTAAATATTTATATTTGATTGTAGTAGTAATCTGTTACATACTCTTGTTGATGTATAATTCTGATTGATTGATTGATTTGCAAGCGATTGCATATCTGATTTAAATCATTATTTTTTAATTATTTGTTTGTTTATTTGTGATTTATTGCTTTACTTTCTTTTAACTGGTTGTTTATTAAAAGTTATATTGATTAATTGATTTATTAATTTATTTATTTAAATGATCGACTGATTAAATTGAGATTGGACTGTTGTTGGAATAAAGTATATTTGTTTGTTCACTTGTGGATGGATGATTGATTGATTGTTTTATTATTGATTGATTACATATGATTGACAGTTGTACTCATGACTGAATAACCATAGAATTTACTTTTGCAGCTTAACATTGATTGATTGATATATTGATTGACTGATTGTTTGACTTGTGATTGATTGGACAATTTACTGGTGAATGATTCTTTTATTAACTAATAATTGTTATCTTAATGATTGATTAATTTTTATCTATTGATGGATTCCTCTTTGATTGATATACAAAGTTTAACTGGACTTCATCATATATAAAGTTGATTGATATAGTATTAAATGAATTCTAATTGAAATGATCAGTGCAAGTAATGATTAATTGCTTTGATAATATATTTTTTGAATTAATGTCTAACTTTTTTTCTGTTTTGCTATAGAAATGTTAATACATGATGACTGTGATATTAAGTGGTATACCCATCGATGATGTAATACTTTAGGGTGAACGCATCAATAATGATTGAGATAATTTAGGTAAACGCATCAATAATAATTGAGATAATTGGGGTAAACGCATCAATAACGATTGAGATAATTGAGGTAAACGCATCAATAATGATTGAGATAATTCGGGTAAACGTATAAAAAATGATTGAGATTATTGGGGTAAACGCATCAATAACGATAATGATATTTTGGGATAAACGCATCAATAATTATTGAGATAATTTGGGGGGAACGCATCAATATTGATTGTGATAATTGGGGTAAACGCATCAATGGTAGTTTTTATATTTGGGGGTTATGCACCAATGATGGTTGTGATATTTGAGGTAACGCATCAATATTGATTGAGATAATTTGGGGTAAACGCATCAATAATGATTGAGATTATTGGGGGTAAACACATCAATAATCATTGTGATATTTGAGGAGCAACACATCGGTGATTGCAATATTTGAGGTTTAACCATCAATGATGAGTGTGATATTTGTGGGTAAACGCATCAATGATGACTTTGATGTTTTAAGTTAAAGGCATTAATAATGACTGCGATATGGGGGGGGGGGGTACATTAATGATAATTTGGATAATTGGGGTTTAACACGTCAAAGATTACGGAAATATTTGCTGTTATTTGTTGTGAGTGTCATAATATACGTTTTATTTAATTTATTTTTTGTCTTCGTTTTCTTTTCTTTGCACGCATTGCGACTGTTTTTTTAAATAAATAAATCAAAAGGATAGATGCATGCTAAAATTAAAGTTATAATACTGCTGCATGTTATGGACAATAGGACACGCGTTGACGGCGTTTTTTCTATGTTAGATTAAGTAGACATTTTATAATTTTTTTGAAAATGTTTCAATCTACATGTACAAAGTAAAAAACTGTTGTTAATTTGTAATTTTTGATATATATATTTAAAACTTGTTTCACTTACTTTTGAAAATTGTTTAGTTTTCTTCAATGATACAGTGATGTAGAAAATCTGACAGTTTGTACTCGTGTGTGTTAACAGCATTAAATATTTGTGTGCATTAATGTGTTTTCTTTTTAAATGTCCATTCATAAAAAATAAATGTTAATATATCTGTATACACATGATAGGAGTTCACATCCATATATCTTATTCCAAAATGTCATATAAACGTGTAAGCTCCCTTTCTTTTTTATGTCTCCTTGAAAAAAAATCAACATATAGGGGTTACTTTTGTCGGCGTCGGTGGCCGCGTCCCCTTTGGCTTGTCCGGAGCATAACCCAGTCACTAAAAGTCGGATTGACTCCAAACTAGGTATGCATGCTTCTTTCAATGACCCAAAGTGCACTGTATAAGAATTGTTACTATGCTCTGTGCATTTTTTTAGTTCATGCCCTTCATTAATGTTCATACTTTATTTTTGTCCGGGTCATTTCTCCTTAACTGTAAAAGCTATAGCCTTTAAACTTCATAGGATGATAGAAAGTGCAGTACTCAAAAACTGGTACTCTGTACTTCATGATTTTTGAGTTATTGCCCTTTGTTAATTTTCATACTTATTTTATATCCTGGCCAATTCTCCTAAACTTTAAAAGCAATTGACTTGAAACTTCATAGGATGATGGATCTCCTTAAGAAGTGCAGTGCACGAGAGCTTGTACTCTGCACGTTTTGACTTTTAGTTATTGCCCTTTGTTAACTTTTATACTTAATAGGCTTGTCCAGTGAGTTATTGGCCTTTGTTAATTTTTATAATTTATTTTTGTTGGGGCCAGTTCGCCTAAACTATAAAAGCTATGGACTTGAAACTTCATAGCATGAGATATCTCATTGAGAAGAAGTACAGTGAACAAGAACCGATACTCTGTACTTAGTTATTGTCCTTTGTTAAGTTTCATACTTGGTGGATATCCGAGGATGCATATCCCTACATTCCAGCTTCTGGATAATTTTATAGCATTTCTTACCCCAAGCGAACTATATGTGGATTATGACAAAGTAATGATGTATTATGTCTACAAATATTGGAATATTTCATTTATAACCGAACGCTTGATTACAGGCGTATGCATTCAATAATCGTTAGCTATAATTATCAAGCTCCTGGGTGACCAAGACTCCAAAGACTTAAGATCAATTATGTCATTGACAAGACGGAAACCAGATCACAGTTATACAAGTGGGGTTATATTAGGTTAGTGGTGTATTAGGTCAGGAAAGTAATTAATTATCTTAACAGGAGGCTAATATAATTTTAGTATTTCCAAGAATTGTTCTAAACATTAATTAGAATAGATGTAAAAATACTTATAAGTACTAGTATACATTGAGTTACAAGTACTAGTATTCATTGAGAAAGTTGCGAAAACAAAATGGACAGTTTTTGGATTTATTTTCATACCTCTTTCCTCCTTATCCTTTTGAACGCTATTAATAGTTATTACTTATCAATGCTCTTCATAATTGGAGGAAATAAAAGAATCAAACAAAACACTTGTAGCTGGGGGTTGCCTTTTAGGGCTGAGGCATCAGCATTGCAGTCACCGCGTTTATTTCTGTATCAGGCGACTAAATGGGTTCGAATAATTGGACTCTATGCATCTCATAGCTCCAGCAGGTGAAGTGCTTTTTACCCCTGGTGTTGTAAGTTTGAAACATCCGAGGTTAGCCAAAATCATGTTTCCTGTTTCGGCGCCATGTGACCTAAATTGTGTTATTGTGTTGTAAAACCAAACAAACAAACATGGAAATCAGCTCATGACACATTGAAATAGGATATTAATTAACATCATTTATCAGAATGAAAGAATAGCTGCTAATATACGACTCTAGTAAGTTATGTACAAGAAAAACCCTACGTCCGTCCCGTTTCAACCTATTGGAATAGCGGAGACTTAGACTTTTTCCTGAGTGGATAATGCGTCGGACTAGTAATTTAAGCATTGCTTATCGCTTGGGGTCAAAACTCAGCAGGAACAATCCTTTGTTTTCTTGAGCAAGCAACCACACACCTTTTGATGAGTACTATTGCTTGCATGGCAGGAACGGATTTGTTGGGTTTAACGCCGCGCGAACATTGTGTAGGTCGTATGGCGACTTTTCAGCTTCACTGGGGAAGGAGGACCTCAGGTGCCCTTCCATGAATTTATTCAGACACAAAAGGGCACGTGAAGTGAACCACTGACGACATTAACCTTTTGGCCACGGACGCCTCAGAAACAGTTTCGAGAGTGCTTCTCAACAACAATCAAACTGAAATAAATTCTATATACAGTAAGAAATGATCCTATTTTGAGGGTACATTAAAAAGATCACTTTCTAAATGTCCCTAAACTACGAGACGAAAATCAAAACCATCTCATTGACATGAAGTGCGGGGATTGAGGAATATAAAAAGTCGGCCTATTTCCCCCGCCATCAGCGCATTACTTCGGGGTCGATGTCGAGATATTAATCAAATGACTTATGAATTATAATATCATATATTTTCTACCTTCCATTCAGACTAGGCACACGTCTTTAAACTAATTTCCACTGAGAAATGATAATCAAATTTTGAAAGTTACTGCATGTAAGACGTTGAACGCAATTAGTTCACCACGAATGTATAATTAACATTAACCCATTAACCAGCAGAATTCCTAGAATTAGGAAATCTAATTCCACGTGCACTAATACGTCACGGTTTAGTATCGAATATGCAATGGTCTTCCGTTGCCATGATTATGGATTTGCCTTGACCTAATCGTTATAACGATTTTGTGCGTTTTTTGTGCGTTTTTTGTGCGTTATTATTATTATTATTATTATCATTATTATTATTATTATTATCATCATAATCATCATCATTATCATTATCATCATCATTTATGTGCTTGGAGTGGGGAGACTGAGGTGTAAATTGAATTACGCTGTTATTTGATCCGGTAATCCAAACTAGCTCTTGATAATGTCATCTCAATTGCTGTAATATGCTATATATAATTTAGTATCTCCCTGACAAAGTCTTATATATATTTTATGATATTCACATGATGAACACTGCTCCCATTATAATTTACAATATTTCGTTAAATTATTGTGTCCGGTATTTTTGTTTGCTTTAACACTATTGCAAGACAATTTTACAGTATTAAGTTGCATGTTATTGAAGTAACACATACTGACGTATAGATTCTTAAACATTTTATTGAAACATGAAACTGCAATATTGTCGGAATAAGCTTAACAATCACGTGACACATGCACATATTGGAATACCTTAGAAGACATGTTGCCATGACGATTTGTATGTAATTTATGAAGTAATATTCTACAAGATGTTATTTTCTGCAGACGACAAAAATTTCCCGCGCTGATGGAAGAACAGACGATGTTTTCAAATGTGTCGAAAATGTCAACAACTACAATACCGCTTCAACATCAAGGTAAGCTCGTTAATTGTCTTTATTTTTTATAATTTCCTTTTACAGATAAGTGTATTTTAGAAATCAATATACTGGAATGTTTTCACTCATTTAATGTTATCATTGTAATATTTACTTTCGATAATTATATCAAAACGTTTACAGGTGCGTTCACAAAAACTGACGAATCAATAAGCAAAAGCGAGACCGCTTAAAATGATGCTTTCTGATTAAGGCGTGGTCGGCATTACTTTTTTTTCTTAAAATAAAAGACCGACACAGATCACGTGATTGATAAAGTTTTCTGTCAATTACAAGTCTATGATGAAACTACAGTTTAATATTTATTTGTGTCATTAAATAACAACATGGAAATTGTGTGTCTCGTCAAAAACATTGTCTAAACATGGAATTACTCTTTCACGCATCTGTATAATTATATACATAACTTCAGAAAATAAATACAGGAATGAATGAATAAATAAATAGATAATCAATCAATCAATCAATAAGTAAATCAATCAATCAAATGAGTGAGTGAGTGAGTGAGTGAGTGAATAAATGAATGAATGAATGAATGAATGAATGAAAAGAAATAAAGAAATGAATATATAAAATAAATGGGGTGAATGACAGGTTGTATGTTATAAAATTGTATACTTTTGCACAACAAATAACATGTGTTTAAAGTAAGAATTTTGCGAAGCTGACCACGCATTGTTCATGTGAGCGTCTTTTATTTGCCTTGTAGACAAGTTCCCATTTTTCTATGGTGGCTGATTCGTGCCATTCGTGTTTTCGCCTCGCGACCCCGCCAAGAGAAAACTCGAGAATAAACGAGTTAATGGCGGGACGCGGATCGAAAAGTCGCTAATTAGCGGGGGCGCAGCGTTAAGTTTAATAAATAAAACTTCGCCCCGCGGGGCGTGGAACGAGATAAAAGAAATAAATCAGCGGGGGCGCGGAGCGAAAACACACTAAAAAAGCGCCCCCGCTAAATAGCGTGTTTTCGCTCCGCGCCCCCACCATTTTAACTTGTTAATTCTCGACGTTTCGCTTGGCGGGGTCGCGGGTCGAAAACACGCTAATGAGCGGAGGCGCGGGGCGGAATTGTATCCATTAACCTTCGCCCCGTGCCCTCGCTAATAAGCGTGTTTTCGCTCCGCCGTTTTATTTCTAAAATCTCGCTCCGCGTCCCAGCGGGACGACGTTTCGTTTATTAAACTTCACCCCGCGCCATCGCTAATAAGCGTGTTTTTGCTCCGCGCTCCCGCCATGTAACTTGTTAATTCTCGACATTTCGCTTGGTGGGGTCGCGAGCACGATTAAATTGGCGGGTGCGGGTCGAAGTTAAATTTATAAAACATTGTCCCGCGCCCCCGCTAATTAGCGTGTTTTCGCTCCGCGCCCCTGCATTTTATTTCTTTAATCTCGTTCCGCGCTCCCCGGGGGGTGAAGTTTTATTTATTAATCTTCGCCCCGCGCCCCCGCTCATTAGCGTATTTTCGCTCCGTGCCCCCGCCATTTCAACTTGTCCGGGGTCGCGGGGCGAAAACACCATATTTTTCAGCTTGCCATTTTGAATTGATTTTAATCAAAATTTCACAGAACTTTTATCGCCAGTAAATTTCGATACCTGTAATACCATTATGTATGACGGAGTTGTGGCCCTTGCAATGGCTAGTAGATAAGACAAGCTCAAATTTTCTGCATTACGTTTACATTTACGTCGGGAAACAAAGATAGTCACAGATTGTTTATCCTTCAAATATGATTTAAAATATCATTTATAGTCATTTTTTAAAGCATCAAGAGAGTCTATTTTACGAAATTATAAATATATAAAAATAAATACAAATAGCTTTTACTATGTCACTTAAGTTCTAAAACTATCTACGTCTTAAAATCACTTTTTCGGCGATAAATACATGCATGGTGCGTCGCAACATGAATATAAGTTTTTTACTCTTTGTTTTTTAAATTTAAAAAGATGAAAAAAGTAGCACATATATCTTAAACAAAGTGTCTATGACGTCAAACTTTTCAAAAATGTAAAAGAACCTCTTTAAGACCATGCTTAATAATTTAACAGGTGTATCAGATTTCCTCTTTGACTTTCTGTTCTCGACGTGCAAATCTTACTTTTAGTGGGCAATAAGATACGTATCTCCCGGCAAATGTTTTGACTAACACTGGAACACATTTCTACATTTTTATTCAAAGAAATTCACTGGAATTATAAAACTCGAAACAAAAATGTTTCCAGGTACGTAAAAGTTTGTTTAAAACGTTTCCTACATGTATATTCAAGTTAATTTTCTTTAGAAACCAGATACATGTATATGCAAGTGTTACCATGACTGGCGTCAGTATTCTAGGCAGCAAAATCTACCCGAACACATTAAAGGCACATTATGCGTCAGAAATGAATAATTTTTTCTTCCTTCTTTAGAAAGGGCAAACATTAGTTTTACAACATTCAATAATGGTTTGTAAGCATGTTAGATGCTTGGGCGTTCGAAGGATAACCCACTTCCACCTCATACCAGTGAGACGGCACTCGCAAACGATTTCTTGCGTTACTTTAGTGACAAAATCCTTAAACTTCGTGATGATCTGGATAACATAAACACAGAAACATCATCTTCAGTGATTGATAGTATTATGGCATCTGATGTACCATCAAGTGAAAATATCATGAACAAATTTATACCACTAAATGAAAAAGACATAATCAAACTTGTGAGTGAATCAAAAACAACAACATGTGAGTTGGACGTTATGCCAACACCAAAGCTGAAAGAAAATCTTCATTTGATTGCACCTGTTGTGACAGAAATCGTGAATCGGTCATTGTCTTCTGGTGTTTTTCCAGAGACGTGGAAGAGCGCTGTTATTAAGCCCCTTTTGAAAAAGAAAGGCCTTCCCTTAGAATTGAAAAACTATCGGCCTGTATCAAACCTGTCATTCTTGTCGAAAATTCTTGAAAAAGCTGCAATGAACCAAATTTCAAGCCACATTGAGTCCAACAATTTGTTACCATCTTACCAAAGTGCATACCGTAAATTTCACAGTGTTGAGTCTGCTATGATGAAAATGTACAGTGATCTGCTAGAAACAGCTGATAGCCGCCATGTGACAATAGTTGTAATGATTGATTTAAGCGCCGCCTTCGATACTATCGATATACCAATATTACTTGAAATCCTACAGAAAAACTTTGCCATACAGGGTATTCCATTAAAGTGGATCGAATCTTATTTAACCAACAGAGATATGAAAGTAGTCATTGAACAGTCTTCATCGGATACTGAGCCACTGAGGTTCGGGGTTCCCCAGGGTTCTTGTGCTGGACCGGTGATATTTACTCTCTATATAGCTGCCCTTAACAAAAATAGTCCAGAAATATCCGGCGGATTTGTATGGATATGCAGACGATCATAAAGTGGCATTTAAAATTAGAGCTGGTGACCATCACAGCGAAGAAATCGTTCGCCAAAAATTAACTGACTGTCTTAATGATATTGTGTCATGGATGACTAGATTTAAGTTAAAAATGAACAATAGCAAAACAGAAATCATCATTTATGGTACAAGACATCAGCTGAAGAAATTGAACATTTCAAGTGTCAATGTTGGTGGAGTCGAAGTCAACTGTGTTGACAATGTGAGAGACCTTGGAGTACAGATGACCAGCACTTTAAGTTTTGACATCCATATTCAAAAGAAGTGTCAGATTGCACACATGCAGTTAAGAAATTTGAAAGCAATCAGAAAACATCTCACTCAGAAATCTGCAGAAATCCTTGTTCACGGTTTGATTCATTCACATTTAGACTTTTGCAATGGATTATTCGCTGATATTCCAGCCTATCAACTTGATAAATTACAACGTGTGCAAAATTATGCTGCTAGAATTGTCACTGGAGCTGCTTACTATCAATCCAGTGCTGAAATTCTTAAATCACTCCACTGGCTTCCAATTCGAGCAAGAATCATGTACAAAGTTATTGTGACTGTGTTTCGTGTTGCAAATGGCACCGCTCCATTGTATCTTCGTAAATTGTTCACTAAATGCCAGAGTCAGTACAGGAAAAGACTGAGATCCTCATCATCTAGCCACATTCGGTTTGATATACCATCAACAAATTCAAAACTTGCTGATAGATCCTTGGCCATTGTGGGACCTAAATGGTGGAATTCATTGCCAGACTATCTGAAGGACATTACCAATGAAAATCAGTTTAAGGCCAAACTTAAAACATACTTGTTTGGACTGTTTTTCAACTAGAGTTGTAGATTGGCTGTGCCATCGATACTGGGTTTGGGAGTGTCTTGATCAAGCATATGTGTATATAGTCTTAACAATGTACAGCGCAATCGAATATTTAATACATTTTTGCGCTATATAAATGTCTTGTATTTGTATTTGTATTTGTAATCAGCGAAAGAAATAGCGCCGGATGTGAAATTATTTGTTATGAAAGTAGCAAAATTTTAACAAAGTAGTATTTTGACTTAAAATACCGTACTAAGTCACTGTAACTGTTCTATCTGCCAAAAGACAACATAGGCAAAAGATGGTTCATGTGATTGGCCAATCAGTAACCTTTTAGAAATAAAAGCAGGACATCAGAAATAAAAATCTTTTGAAAAATAAAAAGGTAAAAAATAATGCATTTCTGGGGCATAATGGGCCTTTAAAACACTAAAAAATCTGCAAGTGACAACCAGTTTGATTTACAGGTCTATATAGAAGCACATACTTCTAACGTCTAGACAATTAAATCCCTATGCACGTGAAAATTGATATATAATGTGATAGAAAACAAAAGATTATTTCATCGTTATGTGAAGATAATTCTATTTTATAATTTTCTTGGGACTTCACAAACACCCTATACCTGATAAATAGACGATCAATTTAAAATGTTTGGTACCTAAGCTTTCTCTAACCGTATTAAATCTATTATTTATTTTGAATATTTGAGGAAAAATGATATGTAAACACGTGTATATATACAAAACCTATATAATGATTAATCATTTTGAATGGTTACATTCCCGTTTAACATCGATATGTTCTAACATCGATATGTTATCGGTAAATAATAGATAACCAAACGATGACCATTAATTTTTCTCCAGGAAATGCATGTACCGTAAAATTTCCGGTTTTCAGACTTACACCAATGAAAACTGATACCTCGGTTCACTTTTAGTTGACAAATCGATATATGACAGGTGGACATAGATATATCACCGACGGACATCGATACAGCACCGATACATTACCGATAAAAATCAAGCAGTTATATATCATTAACAAACAACGATATCTACAAGACGTGAAACAAAATTTTCGATAAATTTATTCAGGATATGGGAAGAAATAGCATGTTTGGTATTCGAATATTATGATCATTTATAGACGCAAAATCAAACCGAGTCTGAGTCTAAGTCTTTCGCTAAGAAAAGTAGCCACAAATATTTATTGCATCAGATTTGCATAATTTGTGTTGACATTACATTGAACCCCGTCTACGTCCAAGAATTATCAAAATTTACTGGATATTTAAGACGATAAACCAACTTGATATAAAACTTGATATAAAACTTATTTATTCCGTATTAAAGGCACATTGAACCTCGTAAATGTATTCATTCTTTCTTCTGTAGAAAGGGCAAACATGTATTTTATAAGCTGTAATAGTGGATGAACACTGTAAGATGCTTATCATCTGAAGAAAATAGAGCCAAATGTGAAATAATAGTGATAAAGGTATCAAAATGTAAACAATGTAGTATTTTGACTGACATACAAAACAATTAGTCATTAATTATACCTGGATTATTTGCCAAAATGCAAAAAAAAAAGATAGCTAAGGACTATGACCACTATGTAATGTTTTGAAAACAGTTACAGGGGGTAACAAATATAAAACATTATTTTTTAGTATTTTTGAAGCTTAATGGGCCTTTAATTTGATGATGTTAATGTCCCCTGTAGCACACCGTAGAAAGTATGGCGACAGATTGTAACGCACCTTTACCTACTTGTATCGATTCATCAACATGAGCGCGACAGAACAATGTTTCACTAATAAGATCAAATTAGTGACGAGAAAAAACTAGCTTTAATGGAGGTGTGTGTAAATATAGTAATATTATATTATTTACTAGTATTTAAAGGCCATCAGTAACGTGCATAGACTACTTGTTCTTGATGAAATGCTATTGCTAGTGGATAATGTAAGACAGTGCACTTGATACAGCATTTCAGTTCTTAAAATGTGCGGACATACAGTTGTCCATAACCTTGATCCCGGTTCAACAAATCAGATTTCGACAGACTTTGAGTAGCAGGAAGTGGTTATAGTGGAGGAGAGGTGTAGGGAGTCGTAGCAGATCGACCCCCGGAGCACGCGACCGCTTTAAAGAAGTTTCGTGCAGTACAAATGTGTAGGAATTACTAGTATATGTATAACCAAGGATTGTATTAATTGAGAATGTAATAGTACGTGATCCGGATTATTAATAATTGTTGCTTAACCAGTTTTTTTTCTTTGTTGTTGTTGTTTTGTTGTTGTTTTTTGTCTACATTACATCAATGTGATATGTAGTATCCTACTAGATAGTATGTCAAATTAAATTATGTTGTTTTTTTCATTTTGAGTACTGTATTAACAATTTGTTAACTAATCTTTATTGACAGATCGTTTATTTTGAACTTATTAATATATGTTAATAAATCAAATTGTACATATATATCTTGGCTTTCAGCTAATACAAAATGAGAGTCGCTTTTCTGTATAAATTGATGTTAAAATTTTCCTGTTTTTTTTTTGAAGATCTTGTGAAGTGTTTTTTTGAAATTCTATAGCCTATTGTCATAAGTATTTAATTTTTGATGATGTATTTGGTATTTTTGGACTTCTGACAGACGGAATATTTTATAGTATATCAGTCTTTAATACTAAAATAGACAAAATGGTGTTTACTAAATGCTATTTTCACTAAGACATACGTGGCCTACACGTATATGGAAATTCTATTGTTTAACCAAGTATAAAACATAATTTTAGTCTTTATTTAAGTTATAATATTGACTTATGAGCAGTTATGTAACACATAAAAAATAATGAAATCTTTTGTCAATCAGACGTCAAGATGAATACCTACAAAAAGTACTTTTTTCAAAATGATAACATTTTATCATTAGCTTTTAATTTACATACGTTCACTATCAATTTTAGCATACAGGTAGCCTTAGTCTAAGACAAAGAAAAAACCAACAAATTATAACTGCATATTTGCATAAAGTCATATACAGCTATTGCATTTTACAACATATTAAACGTTGAGAAAAAAGATGGATATAGACAAAAGTATTAGATGTCCAATTTATATTTCATGTCTAAAATGCTTTATTTCAAAAAGTTGAGTAAATTAGGCAATGACTTTGAAATGTTCCCCTTATTTAGGCAAAGAATTAGATGTTTTGTTTAAAGATATGTTTGATTATGTCTTTCAGAGTATTGAAATATATAATACTATTTTCTCTATTTTAGTGATGATTGAGAAATGGATGCTTGTGCTACTGATCGTTGGTTGTACATCACTCGTGTTTCTGATTTGTTTTCCCATCGACTTCTATCTGTACCGACGTCGCCGACGACTTGCTAGAGAACGGAAAAATCTCACCATGTATAGACCTCAAACCCAGTCCAACAGAGCCGCCCAAATCCACGCGAAAGTCACTGTAGCGGAAGTGGCTGCAGAAATAGATTTTGAGGAAATGAACAAAAAAGACCGGAAAGTTTACCGCGCTCAACGCGGAATCATGCGTTTTCTTAGCCTAATTAGAAAGAAAGACAAACAGACACTGAATCATTCAAAGGATTTCAAATCTGAGAATAGCTCCGAATGTCGCGTTCTTACCACGCCGGAAACAAGTAATACTATGGCACATTCGGAAAACAAAAATCATTTAGATCATAGTACAAGTACGAGGTCACAAGATTTCGGAGAAATCTCGCGAGGTGAGAAGGACTACGTTGAGATTAATGTGCCGAACTCCTGGAAGAAAAGTATGGAATTAGTAAGTCAGGATTCTAAACAGTTTAACTATGGGGAAAATGAACCACAAATCAATTCTTCAAGCACCGCTTATAACCCCGCAGAATCTAGGTCACATATTATACCCGTAAAAAGTAGAGGTACAATCAATTTCAAACCGGAAAGAAGTAACATGACATCACGTGACCATACCGGAAGTAATCGAGATATAATAGTTGAAAGTAAAGCAGAATATGGTCAATCTGAGGTCACCAAAGGTGAAAACATTCAAAGTGAAGACAGTGGATTTTATACTCATCTTAGTGTTGAAGATACTAATAGAGAAATGTACACGCCAATTCAAGAATTTCGAGACTCGGACAACGAGACGGAATTTCAACATCAAGAAAATCTTGTGCATTCTAATTCGGATCAAAATATCTCTTTCACTCCCAAATCAGCTAAAGTTTCGTTTAAATCAAGAAAAAAGGGTAACGTTATTTCCCCAACAAACAAACTAACGTCCAGTTTATCGGAACAATTTTGTATTGAAGAGAAAGAAAACAGTACCCTGAGTAAGGCAAGAACACTTTCTCTCTCTACAACTTTCGAAGAGCCTTCGGCACGATCTAGCAAGTGGACCAAGAAAAAAGAATCAATTCTAAAGAAACAGTCGTCTGACTCAATGCCCGAGTTACAGCGATATCAAAAAGAAAAATTTTAAACGTTCGTGAATTTAATCAAAACATTGAAAAGTTAATCAAAGTAACCAATGCGTATTAATCTGTTTGTTTCGTACTTTTTTGTTACCTATATGGTATTACAAATTGCGTTTAGCGATGGGTCAAGGTAGTTGGTCCTCGGTCGGAGCATGTTAGTAGAACGATTAAGGTGCATTGTACAATGTATATTTGTTATTTATAACGTGACGTGATATAACAATAATATATGTGTGGACTCAACCTGCAAGTGATAACTTTTGAAAAATATACATTGTAACAAGAAGTATTACATTATATTATAACACTCATTATACTTATTACTATAACTGATTATTTATTGTTGCGGTGAATAATTCAAGCCTATCCATCGAGTTTGTAATAAATTCTTCATACAAAAATACATATGCACCATGTTTTTATAATTATATGAATAAAAAAACCTTTTTGATATAGAATTTACCAAGCTACTTGTCAGATATACGTGTGTGGTCTTGTCAATATATATTTGTTAAATACCTGTCATGTCAAGCTGTTGATATATAAAACATTGTATATAATGCTCATATAAAACTGTTCAATTAATTTTAATAATTTTGTAAAGATTTCATAGCCTATGAATTTTGGAGAGCGCATAAAGACATTTGTCGAAAAAACACTCTCTTGATATAATACCAGCCAATTATATCACTGATAATATAAGGTTATTATACACTGTTGAGCAAAATAACTGAATTCTATTGGACGAATACACACCTGTCAAACATATATTGGACGAGGCGCTACCCGATTCTGATATAGGTTTGCAGCTGTGTACGAGTCCAATATAGAATCAGTATTGTTCTCACCAATGTATAAACACCTCTTCATTTCACATTTTTGGCATTTTGACAGAACTTTGTTACTTGAAGTACAAATGGAATTGATATGTTTTTTTTTTAACCAGAAAATGAGGCTAGATGGAGTACGATATGCATTTGATAGAGATGTTTTAGAAGGCTATATGAGGTACCGTCGGATATGTATTTGATATTGATTTTTGGACCCTGGAAATGGAAACAATGCTTAATTGATAAGATTGGATCCGATATTAATATCAATTGGAATATCACGTGACCCAAACGCTGAAAGTTCATATGGTTATATTTGGTGTGAAATAATGCATGTATAACTATTGCTAATATAATACAGAAATAGAACAAAATCAGAATAAGATACCATTTATACCAAATCAGAAGAGATTTAATAAATTCAAGTAAATGCTCAGCTCTTTATTGCCTTCTGAATTTATATGTATATAATAATCTTTTATATATAACGAGTTTCTTAGAATCTCCGTTTATTGATATCTCGTTTCCATAGAAACACGAATCAATGTAAATAAATAGAATTCTGTTATCTACGCTTTTAGCTCTGACGTTATTTGATTAAAATTGTGTCTGGTCATTTTTCCCCTTTTTTAATCATCTCACAAATAAAAAACAAATGTTGACAGGTTGACACTCCGAATCGCACATTTGTTGTGCGACAATGTCTACTTCTTAAACACGGTGTCTTGTTCTTGGGAACTTCTCCTTGGTCATTTTTGTTTATTTTCTTGTGTTTTATCTACGCTACAGGTCATTGTGACGTAAAGGGAGACATAAAATTACAACAAAACAACAATAAAATACATAACCACCAGCTGAGTTTTACGTGCGTTTGTATAGTTTTGTCCATTTTATCTTTATCCAAGGAAACCCATATCGAGGACTCCCACAAAATTGTGACAGTTAAAGTGAATTTGACTATAATTGAATATCTCTAATGCCATAAATAATTATGTTGATAGTATTTAGTGTAAGTGTTAGATACATGGTCCAATATGATATAACAATATATAGCACGCAATTAAGTGCTATAGAAAAAAAATACTGTTCATCATATATATGTTTATAATAAATCACTTTAGAAATCTGTCATTTTTTTGTTTTCCAGAAAAATTTCATAAATTCTTTGCTTCGTTACTTTTTTAATAAATAATGAAGCTGTCAAGTCAACACACATTAAAGTGGATTGGTCTATCTACAATGGGCATACTATCCATAAGTATTTCAAATATTGATAAAAACAATAGAAATGTATTTGGATGATGTAATAAAATATTTCTGGTAAACTAAATTTAAACTAAATTAACAATAATATTTTGTTCTAGAACACTTTATCTTCTATATAGGATGATATATTCATATCAAGTGATGTCCTGGTTGTTCCTGAAAATACACAAAGGTGTGTGATATGATAATAAGATTTTCTTTTGAATCGATGTGTTATACGCCTATATACGAGTAATTTGATATAATTTAATAAAATAGAAATGTGATAATACACTAAATTAATTAATGTTGTTTGCTAAGGTACGATCTCTTTAACACTCTGTATAAGTAGAGTCATACTGTTGCTCTCAGAATTGGTAAATTTACTTGATTTATTTCTGGATTATGAAATGCCTTTGGCAAATTTGCGATAAATTTGTAAAGAAGTCAAAAACTTTGTAATTAAATGGATATTCAGTTCTTATTAAAATAGGAATTTCCAATAGATTCTGACATACATTCTTAGTTTCAGGAAACCTCTCCTACATTTCAAATGTGATATATGCTGCCAGTTACTGGTATAGGAAGGTATGAAATCACAGCAATAGGTTTACCTTTATTTTCACAAGTAAATGTCTCTAAACCCTCCACACATCGTCATCTTATTGCGGTTACATCATAAGTTCTTTTAAATTTAATTTGAGTTAATTAATTATTGCACTAAGTTGACAACATATCATTTGGATCACCTGTAAGATGTTACGTTGAATGAAATTAAATACAGATAGACAGACAGACAGATTTACAATCAGGTTCTACAGTACATACCCTTGAGAACATGATTCATTTTAACAATTGTAGGTTTATATACACATGTATAACAAAATATTTTTATTCTTATTAACTTGTTTTAATCAACTAACACAAAATACAAATTTGTCATATTGTTTTTGTGTATTTCCTTCTTTCATCGCACTGTTTTAATATTGTTCATGTGACTGATTATTTTTTATTTTAACAAAAATAAGCCTGCCCATTATATATCGTTCCATGAATTTTCAGTTGCTTAATCTCATGTTATCAAACCTTTAATCTCACCTGTGATCTTCAAATAAAATTGATTTTTTTTTCGTTTTCGATTACTTACTGTATTACACGACTAAAGGGAAGGAATGCATGCAAATATCTTAAATTATAGTCGTCATAGTTGTTCCCCTTGTAGTGTCATTATAGTCTCGTCATAGTTGTTCCCCTTGTATTGATCGGATTGGTGTATTACTATATTTCTGACAAAATGTGTTTTATCTTAGATATATATTAAAACACAATATTGACAGTGGCGGGTCAGAGAAAGTCTAAGGAAGGGATAACGATAGTGGTTGGTGCTATTTTGACATTTTTGCTGAGCATACATGCATACTGCCTGTTTTCAAGTAGATGAATATGCACAATTATCAAAATTTGCCATGTTTTATCATACGTGACATTCTCATATTTATTACATCCAGGGTTTGTTCTTTAAAGAATGGTTTAGAGCATGTAATATGCTTATCACCTGGGGAAAGTAATTATAAATTATGAAATTATTTGTTATAAAAGAAGCAGTATGTAAACAACGTAGTATTTTGACTTCCATACAATGTACTAAATTACTATAACTGTACTACTTTCCAAAATGGGAATTGATAAAATCAAAATACTCAAATTCTCCCATTTTGTATATGGGAAAATGACGAAACATATGGTGATGGGAGTATTCTTCCATATCTTAAAATTCTTCCATTTAAATTAAATTTTCAAGCATGCGAATTTTTAAACTCGGCATACAGAACTGTACACTAGCACACGCGCACGCAAACACACACACATCGCATGCGTGCACGCACGTACATATACGTGCACACACACACGCACAAATATTCTACCAAAATACAGGAAACACTTTATATATAATTATCCTTATTGTTGTTTTGTTTTTTTCTTGTTCAAATATTAGTAAAAGCATCAACACGTTGTACATTTGTACATTGCAAGTTACTCGTGTTGTTTTATTCAGCTGGTGATTCGGTATTTATTTAACTTAATTATTGTCAAACGGTAAATAATAGATCAGAGAGAATTAAGAATGTTTGTTTGATAAAGTTAAAAACCCGCATCTTTAGGTAAGTCAGTCAATAAACGTACAATTAATTAAATGTGCCTAATTCGATAACTGCAAGAGAAAACTTCATTAGAGTGTCGCTCAGGTAAACAAGAAAACAACAGAAGGGAAATCACTGACGTGTTTCACTCCCACCAGTTGTTTTCTTTATAAAAAAAATCTGCGTTCTTTTCTTAGTGAAATATGTAAAGAAGTTAATGATTATATATATATAATTCTGTTTTACTTTGCTTTGCTGTATTTTTTTATAAATGGAAGAGGGGAAAGGACTTTTTCCGTGTAAAAACTTATGATAATTTTTTACGTGTTTGAACCAGTGGATAAAATGAGGATGTATTGCAAATTAACATTTCAAATAAAAATGGATATACTCGTACACTCTATATCAATTTAAAATATATGTTACTTCTCAGATGTTGAAATGCCCTATGATGTTGGAAATAACACACAGAGGAAGAATAAAAGAAATGTAAGTACATATTATTATATGCTTTACCGTGATATTTATGAATAGGTTTGGGTTTATAAGTTATAAAGTACCAAATTAAATTGGTCAATAGCGGCACTGACAAATTTAGTGTTTGAAATTATTTTTTAAAAGGAAAATGTAAATGTGTTACAATTTATTTGGCATACTGCAATCCAATCGGACAAAAAAAATATTTCAAACACTAATTGGTTATTGTTTTGTTCAAACACCAAATATAACATTATAACAAGCAAGGATAACATAGATTTTTTCTGCAATGTTTATCATACAGATTTAATTTAAACAAAACTTCAATAAACATTGAAAATTGCATAAAATAAATTTTTACGGATATAGTAGGAAGCTTTAAATGCTTAAAAAACGAGTTTTGCCAAAGAGCAAATCATTTTTGTCGCCGTAACATATCAGGACATTCATAAAATCAAATACCCTATGGACGCTAAAGAGAGTATCACGTGCAAAAGAAGGGCACATCATTTATTTCCTCATTTTTATTTTATTTACTGAAGTTAGCTCTTGATAAATAAGATCGTAAACTAATATTACACATCCCGCTGTTTAATTTCGTATATCTTTTTTATATTAAATTTCTAACTATTTACATTGAACAAATTAAATCGTTTTATATATTCTTTTTCATTACTCCAATAATTATAATAAGTTGGCATATATACATTGTACCATGTTCATGTTATAGCTGTTTTGCAGTTCGCCTTCGGAAGACAAACTTAACAAACTTTGAACTGAAAAATTTAGTACTTTTCCACATTCCTTAAAAAATACATTTTAACTGACTGATATTAAAATAATCTTGTGTTTTTACGGTTTTAGTTACATATTTTTGGGGGTTTGAGTAACAGTTTTGGTTCCATTATGCCTCTGAAATGCTTTTATTTTTATTTCTCAAAAACTTTTTAATTTCGGTGTACTTTTATAGTTTCCAAAATCTACTCATTGGCCAATTACCTGAACAATCTTGTTCATCTGCTGCTTTTTTGGCAATTAGTACAGTTATGTTAGAACATGTATTTTGGATGAGTACTTTGTTTACATTTTGCTACTTTTATGAACAATTATTTCTCATCTTCAGGTAACAAACATTTCACATTCTTTTAAACAATTATTTAAATATTATAAAATTCATAGTTGCTCTTTCGTCAAAAGTAAATAATTATTTATTTCCGAGTGAGGAAAACGCCTAATGGTCTTTCGTGCACCATTTCAGATGTGTAATGGACGAGTAAAACAATCGAGATACTGGCATAAAACATAAAGTCCCTGTAGGGTTTCGTTCCCGCATCGACTAGAGGCTAATGATTCCTGATGGTAGCAATTTCAATAAATAAGCCACGAGAATGCCGTGTATTACAGTAACATAAAATCGGTACATCAAATAAATCATTTTAAACGCAATACCTACAAGGCATATAAACGTGCATACTGATTGTTTTGTAATTCCAGTAGATATTATGCACTAACAATTGTTTCGTGGCAGCTAGTTGATGGCAACAGCTGTATTTAATCAACCGACAGTTTTTCAAAATATGATATATCGTATTCATTATTACAAATGACATTCATAGGTATTCAATACTTGTTGAATACTAGACTACTAGAATTAAAGAACAGGTAAAACTATACCGTGCAATAAATAAACATGGAACTTATGTCTCATAAGTACGTGTAGGTTCAATACTGAATTTATTCAACGGGTTCAATAAAGTCAGTATTGAACCTAAACGAATATAATATTCTATTTATCTCATACACAAAATAAAGACTGTTTAAAGTGTAAAAGAACCATATTTTCAGGGTCTTTAGACCGTTTGTATAACGCAAATGACGTGACGTCAAATTATATGCACGGGCATGATACCATCTTCACGGAGTCGCAAAAGCGGCACGGGTATGTGATAAAAGAATCTTATTTTGCTTTAATTAGTTTTGGTCCTTACCTTTTGTTTTTTCGTTATGTTAAAGCGAACTGGTCTTCAATGAGCACACATTGAATAACTGCTTCAAATACTGATAAAAATAATACAAATGTATCATAAAAAACGTTGATGGAGTTTTAAGTGATTAAGTGATGAATAATAATATTTTGTACAATTTATCTGCGGTGTAAATATGTATCATGAATTGTACAACACATTCATATATAATTCTTTAGTGGTCTGTTGTCATGCCTAAATTTTATTAACATAATTATTCATGACCTTCAATTATAGACTAATTCACTTTAAAGATATTACGACGAATGTTAGATCTATTCTAAGACCTAAATTATTGTTTATTTTTCTTTTTACTTTGTAAAAAGTTCTGAGGAGATGTATGTGAAATGATCTTTACAGACGAACGTTTTTCTCATTCGGTTTGGACTGTGCTTGTTAAATTTACTAGAAAAGAACCAAAACAAGTTTACCTCTTGTCGTTAATTTGTAATACTTTTAATGTAAAAAAGCAACAAACACAAGTACAAAATGTACTTTTTGCAGAATAAATTGATTAAATTAAATTTTAATATTACACAGAAGAGAGGAGGACTTTAAAATTGATCCAAGTCAATATTTTAAGGGAATCAGTAATCTATGATTTATGACAGGATCCGAATTGTGTTTAGTTTTCAATATATGTGTTTAACCCTTTCCATAACCATAGAATTCACGTTTGGAAAATAATAAAACGTCGTGCATAATCCCCATGTGTTTCTGTGTCATTCACTTAGCGTTTGTAATTTTTAAGTTATATTAGGATCCAGATTTCTTCGAAAGGACAAATGATAGACGTGAAACAGACAGATGAAGGGATGAAAAACTTAAAATTACACAATCTCCATATAGTTCTCTATACTCATATCAAGTATCAACAACCTAATGTCTGTACTGGTAGACGGACATACTGGCAACAAGACGGACGGACAGACGGAGGAAAAATGTATCTAATATGACGTGCATAATCTCTATATGATTCTCTACTTACATACCAAATATTATGAACCCTAGCATTTGTACGTTTTGAGTTATGGCAGGATCCAGATTTGTTCATTGTCATTGTTTTCCACCACTTCCGTTACCATAGTATGAACAGCAATTAAAAGTTAAATGACGTGTATAGTATCCATATGGTTTTTCTGCTCCTTAATTTGCAATTTACCAAATATCATCAACCTAGCTACTGTACACTTTTTTTCTGGCCGAATCTAGATTTTATTTCGGTGGAGTACTTAAATGTATACAAGCAGAATATGAACAATTAGACAACTCTTCTACTTTTGAAGGCATTCATATCCGAAAGAAAACTAAAACATGGATATGTGTGTTTGTTTGTATTTATGTTAACATGTATTGACGTTGCCATAATGAAATATTTGTAAACAGCCAAAGGCAATGCCAATAAACTTTGAACTTTGATAATTATTTATGTATTTTAGGGAAAAGCGTTCACAAAGTTCATATATATAGACCGCTGCAGTGTCAGGAATTCTTCCTAAATGGCCAGAAGTTAAATTCACCGACAATAGATGGAACAGTTTGCATTAAATGATGATGATTTTGAAACGACCGCTGTGAAAATAGAGTTACCTCGACAAGGTTAGTATGGAAATGATAAATATGGTAAACAAAGGAACAAAAAAAAACAAAAAAACAAAACAACAAAACAAACAGACAACAAAAACATGCGTTCTGCATATGGATCTCTTTACACTAGTACTCTCTGTATTTACGTGCATTTGGTGTTACTATAATGCGCTGCGTGAGCACGTGTACTCAATGTAACGAGGGCGGTATATGGGTGTAACACGTGCATTTAGTTCAATATAATGTTTACTGCGTAATACGGCTTGACTGCAATTAATTTTGTGTAAATACAAAAAAAATTAAAGGTTTCCATTACATAGACATTGTATATTATGACGAGGTATATTGAAAAGGCATGTGTTTGTTGAAGTACCGCACATGCATTGATTATAAAGAAATTGGTATCTTAGCGATGTCCCTTCGAAATGAGACTCTTACCCATAGCGACTTGGATCGTAGTTCGCCGTATAAGACTTAAAAATGTAATTGCAAGCATATAAATACTAGTATTGATCAGGAAAATATATTAAAACGTTTTATTTGAATAAGCTTTGAGTATTTGAGATAACATAATTAGAAAAAAAAATCATCCACCGAACTCTTGATTTACAAGAATATTACAAGCGTGAGTCTGTGAACAAACGTGAAGGACAGGAGACAGCTGGTGACAGCTGCACATTGATATGTTGCAGTTTCACTCACTGCAGGGGGGGGGGGGGGGGGTGTCGGAAAATGCAAACCTCAGAATATGAACTTTCCCATCCCAGGGCCGTATAGATAAGGCGTGGAACAGCTTAAGATTGATGTACTAGTACCTGTATTTTGCTATGACAGGTTTTATCTTTATTGGTGATCTAACAGGCCATGACCGTAGATTTATGACCAATTATTTGTTAGTTTACTGTATACCGAAACAAACAAATAAATATTCCTCACCAAATGCCGACAGAGTACAAAAGAGAGAAAAATAAATAATTCATATAAAGATTAACTTCTCCCGCAATATTGATCCTTGCTCCCGTTAGAAGCTTCTAAAGATATTCTAAGATAAGATTTTCTATTGTATGCCTTCACACGATTTTGATAATTAAGTCCACCAGACATGTAACAATAAATAAAACTTAAAATAGATCTGCTTCCCTGGATAAAATAGGTTATATAAATCAAGGTTGATTGAAGTTAAAGAAACATGTCCGCTTCAGGGTGGCGAAGTACGTACAGATTAAGAGTGAATATTTTTCACAGAACAAGAAGAAGCAGTTTTATTGTGGTTTTATTTGTTGTTAATTAGATTAGATCTGTTACGGTAAGGACTTAATTAGTGTCTAGTAAGAACAAAAGAATTAGAAAAATTGATCTCTGCAAATCATGTTGCGAACACCACTTTACCATATTTGTACGATGCGTTTAGCACTTGGTTTTTCATATAATATGTAATTTAATTTTACCCATGAGATATGGTTCTATATCAAACAAATTCTAGCCGGAGTTGAGTTAAAAGTATTGAACGGTTTTTAGGTCTTCTGGCACAATTAAATAAATATTCTGGAAAAATCGAGTGAACGATTGATCTGAAATTTTGCCTACAACCGAAGTTATTGGTCCACACACATCAAGTGATACTAAACTCTGGAAAAAAAATTCCAGTCCGGCCATTTCGAAAAAAAAACAAGTGCCAACAGAATAAAGTCCCTTAAATGGAAAAATGCATCCACTTCCTCATGTTATTGCCTTGTTAAGAAATGATACAAGTTGAATTAAAAATGCTTGCAATAAATGATACAAACATCGGACCGAAAAAAAGTACATTTTCATAAAACATTCAATTGTAAAGATAGTGTATAATAAATGCTAAACCCACTGTGTTTATGTAGAAAAAAGTTAACATTACTTTTTGACATTTATTTCAGTGATGATCGAGAAATGGAAGCTAGTTTTACTCATCGTCGGCTGCTCATCATTCATGTTCATCATTTACTTTCCTATAGACTTCTTTTTGTATAGACGAAGAAAACGTTTAGCAAGAGAACGCCAGAAACAAAGCGCGTGCAGATCTTCACCGGTAAGAGCGGCACAGTGTCATGCTCACGTGACACCGCCAAATGTTTCCGCTGAGACTGAATATAATGAAATAGATGAAATTGAACAGAGAAAACTCCGAGCTCAAAGAGGCGTTATAAGATTTCTAAACATGCTTAGAATGAAGAAATCGAATGCGGAGATGTTAGGAAACAGGGACACAGTTCCCTCAGATAAAAGCGTCAGTCCAAGAGTTAATATTATACCGGATCCGGAAACAGTTACGTCTACAAACGGAAGTGCTCATTTTTTGAGTGACTTTGAAGGCAGTTCAATTCAGAAATCTAATTATAGTTTGTATGATGACGACTATCTCGACTATACACCGGAGAAGAAAATATCAAATACTGCCAAAAACTTGAATGAAAACCAAGATGTGTATTCCATAAATATGAGAAAATCACACTTGGGAGTTCAATTCGATAAGAAGATGTCAAAGTTTACAGCCGAAAAGATCAACAGAGGCTCCCCGCCTAATACTAGTCGCGGTAAAAAGAAGACAGGTTTGTCCGCAATGGGACCACTTGAAAATGCGACAGACTTTTTCAGTGAATCAGATTATTTCATAAGTCCAGTTCCGTCTAGAAATGAGTCAATGATTTACATTGGAGAAAATGATAAAGACATAGTTAACATAAATAAAGTTCATCAAGAAGTGATATCAGATACTAACAATTTGTCGTCTGCGGGGAATATATTCGACAATGAGTCAAATGCACCGACGTCTAATAGTGTTAGAAACAGCGAAGTTAAGACGGACGATTCGTCTGAAAACACGCGGGACAATACTGCGTTGATGTTCCAAACAGATTCTGATAAAGATAGGAAGTCTTTTGTCAGGCATAAAAAGTTAAATCATTCGCAGTCGGATATGTGTATGGTGAGCAAGCCGAACTTTTCAAAACTTTCACATAAGAATGGTCGGAAACGTAACGTCATACTACCAGTGTGTAGTGATACATTTACAGAACAAATGAACTATATGCATACAGAAAGTAGTTCCAGTGATAAGTCATTGCCTATTTCCATACCGATATTTGCGGAATATTCAGGTACTCCTAAAATCAAAAGGAAAAAGAAGAAAAAATCCATTTTGAGAAAGAAAGGATCAGATTCAATGCCAGATCTTTTCTACGACACAGAGTCATTCAGTTGTGCAAATGAATAATTATTATTTTTATATGTTGTTTTATCGTGCCTGAGTTGCAGCAGCTGATACTAAAAATGGTAGTTTTGTTTCGGGGAAATAATTGCTTGTGTTGTACAGCTAGAGACCTCAGTTTGGTCAGAAACACGAACCACTTAATAAGGCGTTAAATCTTCGGCAGATCATTCAGCCTGTAAACAACTAAGCAGTGTTATTTTCCTAGCAAGAAAACGAGTATCTAAGTCGTAAATGATGGCAACTGTTTCCACATGAAAATTAATAATATATTATAACGCTGACAATGGTGGATATTGTTTGAAAAGTATATAACCTCCTAGTGTTTTATTTAAGAAAAATCTTAAATATGTTCTGGCGATATATTTTTAAAGATTTGGTCGAATGTCGTAATTACATAGCATAATCACCAGATTATAAAGTACATGTATATGCTTTAGAAAAATGTTTCCCTTCCTATAAAGAAAATATAATAGAATATACATTATGTTTTCTATAAAGACTGTTTTTCAAACGGTCCATTAATAACGAGATTTTGTTATAAAACGAGATGTATTCCTTATGAATACATATTGTAATAAATATGTATACAATTGTTAATTTTTATTTAATTAGTGAACTTATCGGATCTTCAGAAATTTAAAATTTAATGCTGCAAATACGCATTTGCGAATACACCACTACTATATATTCCAAACAAGAAAGCCATGTTGGCTATAAATCGCTCACCTGAGAACTTTTCCAAGACAAAATTATAATTCTCATAATTCTTATAATGCAAATAAACAAGTAGGTCACTGTTCAATGTCATGCAGGTCAAAGTTTTATCCCAAACGTAAAACTCTTGTTTTTTTCTTCTTCAAATATTTGGGCCATTGCTGATAAATTTTAAAGTAGGCCACTAAAATGTCATGTTCTGAGTAATTCCAAGAACAAAAGTCTATATGTGATCAAGATTTCTTTAACAAAGACAACATTGTCGCAAAATACATCCGTCACAAAAGTTTTTGAGAGAGATGTGGGAATTATAGATATGCATAAATAGGAGATATGCTCTGGGCAATATCCGGAAAATATCTGGATATTTTTATCACTCGTGACATTGACCTTGCAAATATTAACCTAAATTACATGTGTCACACTTGAAGTCATGATAGTTATCATTTGTGTTACAATCCGTCAATAATTGATGACTAAAATGGTCCCCGTACACAAACTTTGACCTCTCTATGTGCCCCTGAATTTGGTAGCAGGGACCTGGATTATGTGCACAATAAGCCTCACAATGGTGAATATTTGTGCCAAGTTACATTAAAATACCCCAATGAATGCAGATGTTCGGCTCCGAACAAGCAGTTTTCAATGACCTCTAAATGTGGCCATACCCTTTAACCTAGAGACCTATTTCATGCACGTGACACTGCCTCTCATAGTAATGAACATTTCTATGAAGTTTCATTAGAATCCCACCATGCGTGGAGGAGCTATGCTCTGGACAAAATTTCTATATTTTATCATCTTTAGTGACCTTGGCCTTGCATATATTAGCCTTAATTAAATGTTTCAAACCTGTAGCTATGATAATCAATAAATGATTACTAAATGGTCCGAATATACATTTTCATATTTTTATCTGAATTTTGACCCCTATGTGTGACATTGACCTTGGACGTAGAGACCTTAATTTTGCACGCGACACTCCGCCTCACAATGGTAAACATTTGTGCCAAGCTATATTGAAATCCCTTTAAGCATGTAGAAGTTTTGCTTCGGACAAGTTTTTTCAATGATCTCTAAATGTCACCTTGACCTTTGACATGGAGACCTAGTTCATGATAATAACACTGCTTGTCATAGTGGTGAACATTACTATGAAGTTTCATTATAATCCTTCAATATATGTAGAAGATATGCTCTAGACACAATCTCTATATTTTATCATCTTTAGTGACCTTGACTATCATCTTTAGTGACCTTGACCTTGCATAAATTAACCTAAAATAACATGTTTTACACCAGTTGTTATGATAATGACCATTTGTGTTTCAATCCCTCAATAAATGATGATATAATGGTCCGAATACACGTTTTCATATTTTTATCTGAACTTTGACCCCTATGTGTGACCTTGACATTAGCCGCGTAGACCTAAATGTGCACGCGACATTCTTCCTTACAATGGTGAACATTTCTGCCAAGTAATATTGAAATCTCTCCATGTATGTAGACGTGTTGCTCCAGACAAGTTTTTTTCAATGACACCTTTGTGTGACCTTGACCTTTAACCTAAAGACCTGTTTCATGTGCGCGACACAGCTTCTCATATTGGTGAATATTTCTATGAAGTTAAATTAAAATTCCTCCATGCGTGTACGAGATATGCTCTGGACAAAATCTCTATATTTAATCATCTTTAGTGACCTTGGCCTTGCATATATTAACCTGAATAAAATGTTTCACACCAGAAGTCATGATAATGACCATTTGTGTTTCAATCCCTCTATAAATGATTACTAAATGGTCCGAATACACATTTTCATATTTTTATTTGAACTTTGACCCTATGTGTGACATTGACCTTAGTTACAGGGACCTGAATTTAGCTCGCGACTCTGCCTCACAAAGGTGAACATTTGTGCCAAGTTTTATTGAAATCCCTCCATGCATGTAGAAGTTTTGCTCCGGACAAGCGTTTTTCAATTACCTCTAAGTGTGACCTTGTCCTTTGACATAGAGACCTGGTTTATGTGCGCGACACACTTCTTATAATGTTAAGTTTCATTAAAATTCCTCTATGCGTGTAGGAGATATGCTCCGGACAAAAAGTGGACGCCGCCCACTCGCCCGCCAAACGGGCGTATATAAAAATGTCACTGTTATAGTTCATGTGAAACATAGCATCAATGTTGCGCGTGGCCATAATTTCATATGTATACAATGATTTCATATAGGGACATAATCGACGCCTGGTGTGTGCTAAATTGTAATCGAAGGTCGATAATTTGAACCTCTAGGCCTGATGGTTTCGTTCAATATTTTCACTGTCTATATAAAATTAATAAATCCTATTAACGGGGCAATTATTGACTAAAATTTTGTCAATTTTTAGCACTAAATGATGCGATATACTAATGATCAGAACAATAGGCCATGTAACATTGGGGATGATTCATACCCATTTGGGATTTGTTTAATGTAAAAGAGTTTTATTAGAAATTTCAGTATTTAGACAAAAAAAAATTTTAAACTAGTGCAAAAATTTTCTTAAACTTTGCACAACTACGAAATTTGTGAAAAATATAAGAAGGAAATTATCAAGCAAAATGGCCTTCAAGGTTATCTGACCTTAAGAATTGCACTCAAATTTTAATTGCGAACAAGTATTCTATGTTTTAAAATGAATATCCTTTGGTAACTAACCTCAACAAGAAGGTTAAGCATACAAAACAATCTCAGCTAATCTACATGCATAACTTTGCAAAATATGATTTTACGATTATTTTCCATTGTGATATGGCATCACATATACCAAGTACATGTATAGTAAAATGGATCGATTTGTTTTTTGACCAATGAATTCACGATTTCTTCAACGGCGAAGGTAAAGACACTATCAGTAACAGTAAATTTTCTACAATATGCTTAATAGTTAACTTCTTAAGGTGACAGCAGACACTTTCCGTGGTACTCACATAAATGTCATTTAAACCAAGTTATTTTAGTAATAATTGTTATTTATTTAATCTTTGTGCATTAAATGTCGTTGATCATCATAAAAAATAACATATTTGAAAAAAATGCCTTTGTAAATGATTGATTTTGAATAAAAATCCTAAAATTTTAAATCGTCATATCAAAGTCATTTTTTATTTTTTTTGTCACCAAACTTTTGGAAAATAACCATACTTATATTATCTGGGGAACCGTGTCTCAAATTTTTTTCTATCTTTTCTCAAAAAAATATTACGTAACGTCAAACATTTTATGCGACTTTTTTCACCATACATATTACGTAATTAAAGATAATTAAGTCGCTGATTGAGCAAACAAAAATCCCTGACACAATTCCCTCCGTAAATGAATTTCCTTTCATGTGCTTTAAAACCGCATGTTAATTGCTTGATTATTAAAAAAAGTTATGCCGATTCAAAGTTAGTCCGACCCGCATCAAACGAAGTGTCATAAATCGGCTGTTCTCTCTCGGACCCCTACGTGTCACGTTAATAATTGCATAATACACAAATATCGCACCAGAGAGGGTCACAAGATTGCGGTAACATACTCTAACAAACATTTTATGACCCAGTGACATCTGACCAATTAAAAAAGCTGCTGATTAATATCAGTTTATAGCCGAAATTTCTTCAATTCTTAACGTGATTTCCTGTGCCGTCTGGTATCTGTCGCACATGTCACGTTTACTATCGGTAAAATTTGAGGCACTCAGTGGGGGGAAATGGAACGCATTTGCGCACCGCTAGCGGGGTATTTAATTGTTTCCTTTTTGAAGTTTATTATTATTATCATCAGCATTATTATTGTATTATACCAGTGTCACTCTGCCTGTGTATTCGTGTATGAAATTCCGTTAAAATATAAGATAAAATAACAAAAAACTGAGCTTCTGACAGTCTTTTAAAGTCCATGGTAGATGTACAAATAAGAACGGGATATTATATATTTTTTCCACCAAATTGATAATGATGCACATATTTTAATAGAAATAAAAGGTATTACTCGATCATTATGATCTGGCCTTCTTGACTTCTATTATCATGAATATCATCTATGCAATTTATTTTCACTGAGAAAATATTTTAATATCTTTTTTTTTATTCATAGAGAAATAATCATCCTTAGACAATCTAAAATGGTTTAGAAATTTGTCAGGGACACCTTACCACAAGTCATATAGGCTTTCACATAAAAAAATGTTGTCTGTTTTTGTTGTTGTTTTACTTGACATTATTAGAAAACGAGGTTGAATGTAAAGTTAGCCCTTGAATCCGTACAAAAGTCTGTCAACTCAATGTAATATCTATCAGATTAACGGGACAGACAAATTATTTTCACACATTATGGATATTTTAGCAACTACATTTTTAATCTGGGACATACGATAAGTTATAGTATATCCCAGTTTTAATCAACCCGGCCCGTGGTTGTGCGATTTGCCGCTATGCTTAATTATTTGTTTCATACATTATGTTACGTACATTGGCCGACAATTTCTTAATTTATAAAAAAGACTAAATGTTGAGATATTCATAAAAGATGTATCGTAGTTGTACGATACATGTATTACGAGAAGTATGGACCAGTATGGACCTGTAATTCACGGATATATGGAACTACCGATTTCCCTCATTGATGCCTCAACAGGGGGCGGAGCGTTATCGATAATTGACAGGTTACGCGAATAGCAGATACAAATAGTATAGGTACCGTTTTAAAACGTTTAAAAACACATTTTTTGGACTAACTGCTTCCAAAATTAAATCACGAATGTGTTCAGAAAAGGTTGATAAATCTACTTAGCAAAAATCTCATTTTAGGTATTTTCAGTGATAATTGACTCCGTTGTCACCTTAATTTAATATTGAACATTACACAGCTAAATTCAATTGGTTTTATTTGCATCATCAAGGTGCAACCACATACGAAGTTTTAATGTTATAACTTTGTTAGAATTAAAGTTAATGACTTTAACATTTGAGAGATTTTGGCATATTCATATTTTGTGCTAAAAATCACTCTCCAATTGGGAGTCAGGTGCATATATTGAGCAATTGTGCATGGTAACATGGAAGTATCTTTACTAACTACCAGTATGTTTAGTTACTATGTATAATTGATGATTTATATTTCGATATTTATTACTATCACTGGGGTAGTCTTGACTAGATGAGTAGATATTAATGACTCCAGAGAGGTCAACTCAATAATTCTCATAACTTACATAACGAGATATTCTCCATGTGCCTTGGTATTGATGCACTCTGTTTTAATGATCACCACGTGGCATTTGTTGTGGCAACACTGCTTCATGCAAAATGTTCGTATTTGAATTATAAACCATGTTCCAGGTAAATATCTGTCTATACCAATGGTATATATAACTTTCTACTGTAGTTCTTTTACTTTTTCTGATATACTTAGAGATTTTTTTCTATGTTGAAATATGTATAGGTGTAGATAATGTGTCATAATTTTCTGCAAGGGAAAAGTACAAGAGCTACATTGGGAAAAAATGTACCACTGGATTGGGAAATATTGACCTGGAGCATGACATATGTTTATTAATCAAATACTCAAGTAAAAAATAACCAAAAATCAATAGCAGTGATCCAATATTACTGTAACACATGTAATATAATCACCCACAGCCAAATTCAAGAGATATATATATGTAAATGGCTGCGAATTCGGAGAAAAATGCATATTGTGTTTTCGTAAATTGTATATAAAGTTAATGTTCCTTGTCTTTTTTTTTAAGTTTACAGCTGTAATTTTATTCCATTCTCAACATTATTACGAGAGGTAAACAAAACACCAGAAAATGAAACTGATATTAGGTGGTGTTCCAGATAACGGCAGAGGGGCACATTAATTTTACCAAAGCACAGTTCAACCACCGCAACGTTCCTAGGCAGGCTATCAAGCAGTGTAATTACCAGTGCTAGTTGCCTTCACTTTGACAAGGACCTGATAACTTTTGTACATACCAGAGCAGAGGTACAGTGCGAATGACTTCACGATCAATCACAATGAAAGTGACCTGCACCATCTGGGATTTGGAACCCAGGTCGCCCGATTCACAGTCCAGCGCTCTGATAAGAGGTGATCTACAGATAATGATTCGCTATTGGCCAGCTAGTATTAATCACTATAAAGAATATAATTTCACAGACGTTATATCAATAGTTGTACATATCTTATTATGGTATAATTTCTAAGGGCCATTAAAGCAGGTAATTAGATTTGTATTAGACTTGAAAATGATTCATATTGATAAAAAGTTCTGCTATTTCAGAAGGAAATTGTGCTATATAAATGGTTTATTTGTTGATTTATTTATCAAACTTTCAGTAATAAATAGAGAACCTTAGAACTCTCTTAAATGCACCAAATTACATCAATGTTTTCAAAACTTAGCGATTGTGTCACTAAACTAGCTATGTAAATTTTAACAACTTAATATGTAACATAATATAAACAACTGGAATAAAGATCATATTTATTTGAGATATGCATGTACATGTATATAATTCTTGAAAATTAAATTAATTGAAATTTAATGCAGTCCCTTGACATATAAGAACAAAGAAATCATGTAAAGCAATATCATAATGTGAAAACAATATTGATTTAATATACAAGGCATTATGTGCCTTTAATTGAATGATCATAACCATACATACATTTAACTAGGTTTAAACCTTTTGAAGGTAAACATTATGTACTTTATAAATGTCATAGAACAAAATGGTTAACTTTATCCTAAGATAATAAGATACACTAAAATCAGACTGTTAGTTGACCAAACCAGTTTAACATTTTATGAATCTGGTCTTGAACACTGGTCCTAGCTGTACCCCCGTAAGCTTTGTACTGACTCACTGATGTCTCATAACTCCAGATCTGTAATACATCCTCCGTAAACTCACCACTGAAATATGTACAATAAGTTATGAATATAAATGTACAACGTTGTGTACAATACAGGATAATTAGGGCTGGTACACAATTGTTAAATCATAAGGGACTCACTTCCATGTTTTTCTACAACCAGAATACATTTTAGTATTTGAAAGCCCCTTGTCTGACTGTGCAGACAACACATTATTAAGTCAGCTGTCAAGAAATAATTTTACTCCTACCTGACAGATTTTAAGTCCTCTAAAGTCAGTTTATCTATGGAACAACCTTTAGTTTCTGCCAAGGCCACACAACTACCTGAGAGACCATGTGCTGTACGAAATGGTATCTGAAATCAAAATATAGTAAGTAAAATAATTATAAAGGTGCACTTATACTTACTCAAAGTTAAATTATATAGCTTCATGGTAGATGTCCTGTGTTTCATTTCCAGTCTGGTAAAGAATTTGATATCCAGTCTGGTAAAAAATTTGATATCCAGTCTGGTAAAAAAAATTATTTTCAGTCTGGTAAATTTTTTTTATTTTCAGTCTGGTACAGAATTGGATCTCCAGTTTGTACAGACAGCTTATTAATAATATTAGATTTATTGTTATTTACTGCTTTGCCACGTAAAACAATGATTTCTTTACCAAGAACAAAGTTGTTAAAATTAACACTCTTCCTAACTAACTAACATGACAGCGTTGTTACAAACTGACAAATAAACTCAACAATTGTTTAACTTACCCCTTTTCTTACTAGGTAATATGCCAGATCTGTGGCTAACATATCTGGACTCTGTGCTGCCTGCATTTTCTCCTCATGTATCTACATGTAAATTGCATTGTTAATAAACATCTTATTGAAATAAAATATTGGAAGAACAAAAGCCTAGGTTTATGCGGGAACTTTATTTCTTCACAAAAGGAAATAATTCAGTGAAAAATCAAAGTTGTAATTATGGGGTCAAGAGTCTTAGCCCATGACTTATAGCCATCATCCTAAAGACATGTGTTTAATTTCAGCTGAAAATGATGTCCACTGGCAAATGAGATATTAAGCTTTAAGTAAAATTTTAAACAAGTGTAGCATTGATATCAGGATGAGTATATTATTCTTCACAAAACTGGGCTAAAAACTTAATAACTTTATTTCTGCCACTGAATAACTTTATGAAAATGAAATGTTGACAAAAAAACTATGTATTTCTTACATAAACTCAAGTCAGATTTATGTGTCAATTTCTATTAAAGTTACAGATTTAAATTAGGCTTTAAAACAAACCATTAACAAACATTTCATTTTAAAATTATGTTCATGGCTAAGTTTTGAAAAAAGTATCATAGAATTACTTTTTAACTTTGCACTGATGCAATTAAAATGTCCCTCATGCAATTAAAGTGTCCTTGGCTTCTACAGATGGTAATGGACTAGAATGCATGCATAGAAAGATATTTTAACTAGAAAACTAGACAATAACCTTTAGTGTAGAAATAACACCTGTAGCTATCTGTAGAGAATCTTCAAGTGTGTCGTACACATCAAACATGGCGACTTTATCCTCCTATGATTATATAAATAATACCCTACATTACTATACAATATATATATATCTAGTTTGACAATGTCTAATTATGCTCTATTAAGACTAAAGTTGGAGTTTCTTATCTGGAACTAAACCAGTACCGGTGCCATATGGAGAAACACAGATGGAGCCCACAATGGCACCAATCAATGATCCCTGGGTTAGAGGCAGACAACGTGTGACCACTAGTTCACCTTGCAAAGTATGTATTTATTGACCAGTATTAACGGTGTTGAAAATTGTATACATTTGTAACAGATTCTTACCTCATAGATATCTCATAGCATATCTATATTCATGGTTGCAATACAAGATTAGCTGGTAGGGAAAGCAAAAAGTTAGGCTAGATTTTCTTGCATATGCATTTAAACTTCTTTTATGATTTTAACTCTGTAAATACAATGTATTAGTGAGAATTTGAACTGCCCTAAGCCACCACCATAAAGTGTAGACACATGGCCATCTGGTTAACATGTCAGGCAAGTTATCAAAGGATTTCTAGCTGTATGGGTTCAAACACCGTCAGTTGTTGCTTCTTTGAACAAGAAACTTTACAGTACTTTCTCAGTACTGGTTGGTTCCAGGAACGATCAAAGAGTGTGTCTATAAGCTTATAGCTTCCTACACAATCAAACAAAAATAAATTCTGTATAAATTATTGGTAAGTAAGGCCAGGCAGCATATCTTTGTATTCTGTACTGTTGGCCACTGAATTGTAAAGTTTTGACATTGAAATCTCCTTGAATAACAACGGATGATTCCATATTCAAAACTTATATTAGTTTAGCAGTGTTGTGCAATAACTTATGACAAAATGATAATAAATGATTATTATACTACACCTGTAAATCTTTGTTGTATGTGCTAGGTAATCCCTTCAATGTCATCATAAACCCACAACACTGAAATATAATATATAATTAATGTACAATGTCATGGTGATAATAGTCTATAGGACAAGATGCATTGAGGATTTGGGTCAAACTTTGTAACAAACATGTTCGCTTAAATAAGTACTAAATGTCTAAATTGAAGCAGTTAGTTTACAAAAATTTGAGGACATTAATTATTGCTAAAAAACAAAATGTAAATTATCAAAGGTGGGTAACTGGTGTTGTATCATTTTAAGGTATTTAATTTTTTTACTCCCCTTTGATTCTATTGAGATTTACAATACAAAATAAAGAAAACTTTCAATAAGGAAAAAAATAATAAGAATCGGTTTTTCTTTCATCTTTAATTATTTAAAATAATATGATAAAAAATAAAGAAGAAAACCTTACTCTTCCAAATATTGTTCCAGATTTGCCCCTGATTAATTCTAGACTGTCTGAGTTTTTCTTCTGTGGCATTAGACTGCTTCCTGTACTACAACAATAAAGTGAAAACATTTTATTGAAAATTTGGTCTTAGAAGTGCATATTAGTAATAACAGTTTAAATAAAATTCAGTATGAAAAAATTGGTCTTAGAATTACATAATTGTTAATTATGTTCAAACAAAATTCAGTACAGATTTAGGAAGTTTTATTACTCTTTATAATTCAAGCTTTAACACACTGAAAAAAAATGGGAAAACTTAATTGCTTCCATATATGTCCTGCACAATGTTTAAAAGTTAAAAAAAAAACAACAAAAAAAACACAGAATGCATTTCAACTCAAACCTTGCATTATCCACAACAATACATTAAGAATTGATATCTTTTTCCTAAATATATCACTATTCACTAGCACTAGTAAGAAACTAGTTGAGGCCAGTTTGTTTATGTAAGAAGTTACCTGTAAGCATCAGACAGACTAACAAAGCCAAACTCTTTACTGGAGTACAGTATCAAATCTTCTGCCCATCTACTTATATGAATACTCATTAAACTTGCCCAGGACAAAAACTCAACTGAAATTTAAATAGATTAGCTGAAATTTTAACTGAATTTTAAATTGAAATAACTCAACTGAAATTTAAATAAAGTGACTGAAATTTAAATAAATCAAATGATAGTTAATTAACTCAACTGAATTTAATTAATTTAACCAGAATTTAAAAGAATCAAATGAAACTTAAATAACTTGCCTTAAATTCAATTTATTCAACTGAAATTGAAATGACTCACCTAACTCAACTGAAATTTAAACTACATTAGGAGCAATTGAGCAAAACTTACTGAAAGGATTCATTACATGTTACAAAACAAATTGCAGACATGGTTTAATCAATAAGTCTTTTCACAACAGGCGATGGAAGTACCATATCAATCGAAGACATGTACAACTTCTCAAGTCCCAAAAACCATTGTTTTAAAACTATTCAAACTTAAAGTATTTGCATTAATGATATGAAGACCTCGGACAGGGGGAGACACCCACTGGTAAGTACAACTGAAGATCTTCAGCAAGTTAGCTGGTAATTGTTTCCCATAATGAAATTAAAAATCTAACCTATAAAATCTCTGTCACTGACTGCATCCAAACTGTTATCAGTTACACCAGAAAAACCAAGATCTGAAAAAATGAAATAAGAATCATAAGTTGTCTCCCTTTACACACTAGAAAGAAGAGTTATTTCCCTTATAAAAACAAAAATGTGTTATAAAACAAAAATTCATTATCTTATTTTTCTTTAAATTAGCTGAAAAATCATTTTCAAAAATCATTTTAGACTTACAGACACATCAATTACTGTTTATTCTCTTTAATAATAGTCAACTTGCTTAATAAATTCAGTAATGAACTTAAATTTATTTAATATTTTCTATTTATTTATACACTTAAAAGAGACCTTTTGACAGAAAACGTTACATTTCTACTGGGTTTTATTTTTTCAATAAGTAACCATGCCTGACAGCAAATGCAACAACTGTCCCTGCATATATTTAACACATTTTGGTTCAAACAAACTAAAATTTTTGTTTTCAAATATTTTTTTAAAATACATTTGTATGCCGCTGTGATATTACACAAATATACTATAAATAGATACGGAGTAGTTATATTGAAGTTACAGTTATGTACAGATTGTAACACATAAATGGTTCCATCTTACCTAGTTAGTAAATTTCAATTAAAGTTAATCAAACAGGGCAAATTTGACCAAAATACTCATGAAATTTATCAGTCTAGTTAAAGACTTACCAGTTGCCAGGGTAACTCTGTCTATATCAAATGGATTTCCTGCAATGGCACCACTTCCTAGTGGACATACATTACATCTGTCTGATAACTGGGTCAGTCTCTCATAGTCTCTCCTCAACATCCAAACATAACTGTAATATACAGAGAATAATGGTTTGATCACATTTTTTATTTCATCAAATGATATTTTTTCCCAATGGTACATTAACATATGGATCTGTAATAATTTATTTATTTCTTATTGTTTTCACCATATGATTCAGATTTGGTCTTGATTTATTATTTCATATCAACTTTTATGACAACACATGTTACTAACCTAGACACTGGGGAACTTATTTATATTTTCAAAACAGACTCATTGTTAATTTTTTTTAAATGATAAACATTACAAGGCACATATATAATTATTATAAATAACAGGTGCCAGCAGGTCGTGTCCTCCACTATTTTCAATGCCTGATAATATACACTATGTAATGTAAACATGGATATGGCAGTATTAGGAATCAAGATACTACAGGAATAACCGAATATTGTAAGTTCATATACATATATGAAAGTTAATATACATGAATAATTCAGTGGAAATTAAAGATCGAAATATTGGTCTTGATCAGTGATTAAAACGATTACTTAAGTTTCACAGCATAGATACATAAAACATTAATTCTAACCTCATCATCCAATGGCTCCATCTGATTGGCTGAGCTCTCTGTAGATGGGTGTATCCTGGCATTAACACATCTATCTCACTTAAATATATTATACACACTTATTATAAAAAGAGTAATTGAAACTAAACACATATTCTTTTCTTACGAATAAAAGAACATACTAATAAAACATAAATAGAAAATAATCAAACCTAAATAATAAAATCTTCAAAAAGAATCCTACAAATGTTTTCTAGAAGTGAGAAATCTTCAAAAAATGAAATATTTCAATAACAAGCATTTCTCAATAAAATATAAAGTAATTTTTATGATTTTTTATCAGATGTCACGTTGTCTACATTTCTGTATTCAAGTCATCTCATAAATGGAATATTGCAGAGAGAAAAACAACACACAATATATATAGACATCAATGGCATCAGAGCAACATCATTCAGCTTAATATCATTTTCAATACTTTTTTTGAAAAATCTGACCAATTTTTATGTAAATTCTGTGAATGACTTTATTTTTTATCTTTTTCATAAAAAAAAAATCGTATTTTACTTTTAACTATGTAATTCATGAAAATATAATTACTGGTGAACACAACAATTTTTATTCTCACCTTTCAGCTCTTTGAACCATAACTTTCATGAGATCAACAAGACGAGATTTCAATGATCTCACAGCTTTTCTAAACCATAATCTCATATCCACAGCAACTTGATCATTCCTACTGCGACCTGTATGTAACTTTCCCGCTGTATCTCCTATCAGTTCCTGTTTGTAAGACATGTATAGGGATTTTTGTGTGATTTTTAAGTGTGTATTAAATATAAATGGTAATGACTACATTAGGCGCATGGTACTGGTCGGGGACCATAAACCGGACACTTTTTGAACATTTTTCTATACAGATTTCATAACTTCAGACCTAAACATTTGACACAGTACAGCTAGGTTCTTCTCCTAACTAACAAACTAGTTTGTTTATTTCTGATTGTATTGACACTTTTATCTGAGGCTCGTTAAGGAGGGTATCAAAATTACCTAAATTGTCTACACTACAGTACCATGTGTCCGTACAGATATGTACATGACGTGATTTATTTCAGATAAAAGCTTGGGTGTTTTAATTTTTTATTTTTAACATGATTAACAATATTTCAGCAACAAATGCTGAAGTTTTGGAAATTCTATAGTTTACTCTGCAAATGATTATAAATGGTATATGAGGTCAGGCATTGCTTTCTTGATGCCCAAATTTCAATGTCAACATTCTCAAAATAGACATTAAACAATTAGCATTTACGAAGTTTGAAATAAATTTATTTACTTAATTATTGAAGAAAAATGCAATTATTGTTGATAAAAAAGTGACTGACAACCACTGAACAAAATCAATTATGCTATAAGCATGATATCAGAAAAGTTCAACAATCAAAACTATAGTTCAGTTCAATATGGACTGTGCATTTCATTACAATAATAGACTCAACTAAAAATGTGTCCATAGGACACAGATTATGGACACAGATTCTCCCCAACATTCTACTATTCTGTCAGTCAGTAGACAGACAGCATGGCAGCAGAACATAGGTAAGTCATTTTTCTTTTTCTTTTTTGAGGCCCAAACAAGGTAACCCCAAAGGTAAATCTACATTTACACCTCCAATCTTTTAGCGGGGGCATAATAAAGTTTCAATTACATCTGGCATATTTCCTCTGTCATAAATTTACCAAAGGATCTTATCAATGTTGTTTTTTTCTTATAAGTCCCCAACCCCCATAAAAAGTCACACTTTAAACTGTATTATGTACATGTATTACCTTGAGTCTACGTTCATTAGCTGTATGAATATCTTCATCACCTTGTTTGACCTCAAAAACACCACCTGACCATTCTTCACCTATCTGTATTGAACAAATTAAACAAATTTATTATTTTTTTTAAAAAATGGTTGAATCCATCTTAAATTGCCAGTCTATGAAAACCACACTGACAGTGTCCACTTGTACAGACCAACTATTATTAAGTAATGATATATCATTTTATATATTATAGCAACATGTAATTTGCAATAGCAAGCACCTGTTATTCGACTTTTGATATACATGTAATTGATATAGTTAGGATTTTATTTGTTTGTTTTTTTTCAAAGTATTTAACACTTACTATGGATGATTTCATCATTTCCATAATTATTAATGTTCTACTGTAATAAGTGTGACCTAAGCTAGGTGGATAATTTGGCTAAAACTGAGCAAATACATGTGTACATAACAAAAAATTCGCAATATTTCTACGAAAGGTTCCTGATCTTTTATTTGGCACTGCTAAAAGCAAAGGTTTAAATGTTAAGACATTGGTAATTTGGTCTCCTTTTATAATAAAGATCTGAATATTTTACTAACATAGAAAATTCCTGAACCTGTTGGAACCACATATAATTTAGCCTTTACCAACAGTATAGACAGGCTAGCCAGCACATCTGTGCAGCCTGACCTGGTAGCTGAATGTTTTGTATTTTGATGTTGAAAAGTGAAAATCCTTAAATATTGAATGGACTGTTCCAAATTCAAAGCAAGGCAAAGTCTATTATACAAATTTTAGAAGGTTAAGGGTTAAATTATGTTTTTTTTTTAATGTGGCTTGATTTAGAATTATTGCCTAAGTCTTACCTTATCTAAACCACTGACAATGGCCAACATTTCTTGTTCTGTAAGAAGACCTGCCTTGTGTATACATCTAGCATAGGCTTTACTTCCGTCAAGGTCTTCACGCCACATGCGTTTATCATACGATATTGATTGATTATATTTCTCCATTACCGGGTCTGTTGCCCCAGTAAACCTACCACCCCATAGCTTGTTACCCTGTTTACAAGGGAAAAAAAGTATTTTACACTCAATTAAAAAGCACAAATTTGCAAACATCACTGTAAACAAGATATGTTTCCATAGGACACAAATTAACCCACATACCACTGTTTTATCAGTCTACAGATAAACAGCTTTACAGATGGACAACAACTAAATCTATGTACCTCCCATCTCTCTTGGTAGGGGCATAGTAAAAACAAGTGTAAACAAATGTTTACAGTCAGATTAGCTGAAAGTATATCAAACATATAACTTGCACAAACATTGTTCACTTATTGAGGTTTCACTTAATTATCATGCACAGTCACAAACCAATTAGACATTTTGCCTGGCCAAGATCCGACTGTGTTAAGTATTGGAGGCAGACTTCCATGGTTGATCCTAAGTGGAACCTTTCACTAGCATACTGGAGTGCCATGTCATATTAAAGTATTCTTCAGCAAGAGTTTGGGAACTCACACCTGGCAGAAATTAATGAATTTCAGTCAGTCAACTTAACCAACTGGCCAAATAACTCTCACTAAAATTAAGCAAAGTATCTCTGTACAAATGCTTGTCAACTATCTGAGTCCAATATTAAGTCAACTATCTGAGTCCAATAAGTCAACTATCTGAGTCCAATTAGTTCTTACTGACCTGAAAAACTTTGAGCTATGCTACAGTGCAAACTTTATGAAAACAAAATAACATACCTCTGGTGTTGCCATCTTCTTCAAGAAACAACACTAAGATCCACTTGCTTAGAAGCAATCAAAGGCTGAAATACTAGAAATAATCCACTAATCAAAATGCTAGAAATAATCAACTGGTCAAAATGCTAGAAATAATCAACTGGTCAAAATGCTAGAAATAATCCACAGGTCAAACGCAAGTAATAATTTGCAGATCAAACTGATGGAAACAAGAAAACTAAATTAAGACATGAATTGTCAGAGAAAATTTACAATCGTACAAGTAGACATGATAATAAGAAAATAATTAGCATTAATTTCATGTATTCATTCTATCTATATAAAAAGCTAGTAAAACAAATAATTATTGTATGACCTAATTTACAAACGTTTAGCTTTAGATTATCAATAACCAATTAATAACCAATTAAAGAATAACTCACCTGATATGTTGATTCAAACCTCTTTATCTCCACTACCAGCAATAATCATACTGGTCACTTAGCAACAGATAAAATCAATTCTTTTCCATCTGTCAGAAAGTTTTGTCAAATTAAGCTGTTAAATTATCTTGTTATCAGTAATTGTTCAGGGAGAATTTGCTGATAAATATAGAAACAGTTTACTTAATTTACACACACATGTGAGACAATGTTGACACTGTGTGTACCTGTTACTGATAAGGCAGTTTTATATCCTTGCTTTACTCAAAAATGTTTAGTTTTACCGGATATCTTTATTTCATGAGTCTTTATTTTATCATTATATAATCCCAATTGAATTTTAACAAGTGACCAGCTTTCGAAACCAGTACCAAATATTGACGCAAAATGGATAGAACCATGTCCAACCTTGAATCCATGGCTTATTAGATAATCCATGGCCTATTAGGTAATCCATGACATTAGATAATCTATGACCTTTTAGGTAATCCATAGGTTATTAGATAATCCATGGCCTATTAGGTAATCCATGACATTAGATTAGGTAATCCATAGTTTATTAGATAATCCATGGCCTATTAGATTATCCTTGACCTGATTATTAGGTAAACCATGGTATATAAGGCAATGCATGGCCTATAAGGCAATTCTTGGTCTATTGGATAATTTATGGCCTATTAAATAATCCATAGCCTAGTAGTTAATCCATGGCCTAGTAGGCATACAACAGCCCATTAGGTGTTAGGTATGAAAAGACTGAAAATTTAATTTGTGACCTCTAACATGGCAGGCACTTACTTTATTATGACACAGTTACATTGTGTTCAGGCCAGTTATTCACTTAAGATAAAATTACAATCTTACACATTGAACTGTTTATTGTTAACTTTTTTAAAATTTTATATTTTAAGTTAGTTTGTACCTTGATTTACTGAGACAAAGTCAACATGTAGTCGTGTACATGTGCGATGAAATCAACAGTATAAATCAACAGTATAAAAATAACTAAGTGACATCTTAAATTAATGATCAGTCATGAAGTATGTAAATAACTTACATGTATAATTTTGTACCAAAACAACTGAAGATTGTGAACTGATTCACCTATTTTAATTGAAACAAACTGGAAACTTAATCATTTAGAGAAAATAAAATTAATGAAGCTTGAAAGTGTAACACTTTCAAGCTTCATTAATTTTATTTTCTCTAAATGATTAGGTTGCTTCTCACGAATACGAGATAGGACAGAGTTGTGACGGCCAACCATGACACTAGCGTTGTCAGACCCATACCCAATGCATTGCTTCCATGGTATATTCTGATCCCTGAAACAGAAAAAAATATCAATTATCATACCTAATATATTATTCATCATTTCATAATTTAAAACAGTTTAAATTGATCCTTCCAATTAGATGTAAATCATAGCCTTACAGAATATTACATTTTGTAGACACCTGTCGTGGATGCATGTTAATCGCCATGACAATTAACAATTTTCATTCAAAATAACATAATTGGCATTAATTGACAGTGTATTTGTTTAACAATAAACGGTACTTACCAGATTTTAGTCTCCCTCGCATGTGCCTAATTACTGTTATCAGCAATTATAAACCCCGAAGTCAAGCTGTGAAAAACTGACAATATACAAACAAATTTGCCGATACCAAGGTCAAGGTAATTAGACTGTGTTACATTTTTAGTGAAATAGACAGACTGTGGATGGGTAAAACGAATCGATATCGGTAAACCAGTCAATAAATGTTTACACTGATCATGATTACCGAAACGCTTGTGTTGTAAAATTTTTATTGCTTTTGAAATGAAATATCGGTAGTTTGTAAACCCCGAGCGGTAGGGGGGTCTTAGTTGGCCAAAATCGGTAGTCTACCGCCCAAATCGGTAGGGTTCACATGTATGAGTGTTATAGACAAAAATTTCTGAATAACATTTTGAATCAATCTTATTCCAGTCATAAATGTCAGGTTATAAAGATGGTTCTGTTACAAATATTCACTTTAATTTACTTTTAATATATATAGGAACACAATTTCTAGTTTAATTTTTGGAATTATAACATAATATTTCCTCTTTTTTAAGATATCTTTATTTCATAACAAATCAAGGGAGACAATTCAATGATTAAAGTAAATCTTAACATAATTTCTTCCCTTAAATTATTCAATGTTTCAAACAAGATACATAGGTAATTACACCTATACTCTCTGAATTATTTTACAGACTTCATTGTCTCCTCATACTTTGTATGATTTTGAAAATACAAACTAAAACAGTTTTAGAACATACTCTAACAGTGCAAATGCAGAGAGAAAAAACATCCCATGAATTACAGTATTAACTTTATATCATTTATTCTGTATAAAGTTTATTTTCGGGGGCAATATAAATGCCTGGCAATGTGTGGGATGTGCTAACATGTTGCTGTTACTAACAACAATTTGGTCTTTTTCATAAAACTGCCGATACTCAATGTTCCGGTTCGTCAATATCTTCATCTGGTGCACACTGTAACACAAAATCATTATCTTATTATTACCAAAACTTTTGATAACCCCCTAATATCATTTTCAATGAATATCAGCATAGCCATTACAATAAAATAGAGCAAACCAAATGCAATGCAACTTTGACACTTTACAAATCTGACAAACATTATTAGAGAAAATGTTTACTTTGCACATCCTTAAGGCTTAATGGCAAACATTATAGTTTTTATGTATTGAGATTCTTAATATAACACAATTTTCTGCATACCCCCATACCCCCAGAAAGGGCATTGACCCTGGTGAGCTTAACCTTTGACCCTTTGGCCTCTGTGTGGCGGGTAGCTCAAGGTGCATGCACCTGCAAAGTGTCAGGCTGTAGGTGGAGGGACTTCTGAGTTATGGCCAAGGTTAGTTTTTAACAAACATACATACAGACAACCAAAAATCAATATGACCTTCAGATTTATAGATTTGAAAGAATAAAAACATGTTTGAAGCAATAGTACATTGGATAGTTTATTATTCTATGACAAAATACTCCAGCTTAACACTATTGATGTAAGATTACTACTCAAGACGTACTGAAAGCATTACTTATATCAAAATATATCAAATTACACATGCAATTACATTTCAATAAAAACTTACGTAGTATTCAACAAAGCAGACTTGTCCGTCTTCATTTTTGATCATATATTGTAGTGAGAGGAAACCACGGTTATCTGTACGTATAGACACTCTAGATGATAATGCAAGGGCTTTCACTGACGGCTTTAACAACGATACCTTATACCTAAACAGTTAAAGAAATGATAAATAAATATATAAAATATTAATTTTTGTCCCATTTCAACAATATTAACATTAAAAGAAGTAAAACACATTTGCAAAAAGCAAAAATTACTGTCATATTAGAACATAATTTCATGTCTACATTCTTGACAGATAAGTACTTTAGCCTTCATGAAGAGGTGAAATTGTTAAAGAAAAGCATCAATGAATTCTTTAAAGAAGAGCATCACATGAGGTGTTAAGGCTCTTTTGTTCAGAGCAACCACTGTCACAAAATTTTAAGTTCAAAAGCAGCGTAAATAAAACAAGAACTGTTGGAGGACAGTAACGCTCGACTATTCGAAAATTTGTCACAAGGGTGATTCATTGAGTATAATAATGCTTACCTATATGAATACATAAAATTGTCCGAAAAGGTACAAACCCTTCAAGTTTCAATACATTCCCTTCAGTAGTTATGGAGATACAAGCTTACACACAAAAACTTAACCAAGAATTTATGAATCAAAAAGGGGCATAATTATGCAAAAAAGTAAATCAGAGTTATGGGACTTGTGCCAATCATCTTAGATAATCGCAGAGAACAAGTGTGTGAAGTTTCAATCCATTCCCTTCAGTAGTTATGGAGATACCAGCTTACACGCAAAAACTTAACCAAGAATTTCTAAGTCGAAAAAGGGGCATAATTATGTAAAAAGGCAAATCAGAGTTATGGGACTTGTGCCAATCATCTTAGATAATCACAGAGAACAAGTGTGTGAAGTTTCAATCCATTCCCTTCAGTAGTTATGGAGATACCAGCTTACACGCAAAAACTTAACCAAGAATTTCTAAGTCGAAAAAGGGGCATAATTATGTAAAAAAGCAAATCAGAGTTATGGGACTTGTGCCAATCATCTTAGATAATCACAGAGAACAAGTGTGTGAAGTTTCAATCCATTCCCTTCAGTAGTTATGGAGATACCAGCTTACATACAAAAACTTAACCAAGAATTTCTAAGTCGAAAAAGGGGCATAATTATGTAAAAAAGCAAATCAGAGTTATGGGACTTGTGCCAATCATCTTAGATAATCACAGAGAACAAGTGTGTGAGGTTTCAATCCATTCCCTTCAGTAGTTATGGAGATACCAGCTTACATACAAAAACTTAACCAAGAATTTCTAAGTCGAAAAAGGGGCATAATTATGAAAAAAAGCAAATCAGAGTTATGGGACTTGTGCCAATCATCTTAGATAATCACAGAGAACAAGTGTGTGAAGTTTCAATCCATTCCCTTCAGCAGTTATGGAGATACCAGCTTACATACAAAAACTTAACCACAGGGCCGCCGCCGCCGCCGACAAATGGGTGACTGCATTAGCTCGATTATTCTGTGAATAGTCGAGCTAAAAATGAAGTTTTCAGAATTATGCCCTTTGTCTTACAACTGCACCTTGTTATGATAAGCAAATATTCCAAGTTTCATGTCTGTCACTTTTAAAATATTTGAATAATGGGCTAAAGTTTTTGCACAACAATGATAACGATTTGCAGTGATAATAGCTTGACTATTTCTTCGAAACAAACAAGCTAAAAATTGGTGGTTAGGAACAAGAACTCGGGTTTCATACAGACACAGATGCTAACACTATCATTATGTTCAAAAGTCTTACAATAACTACTGGTAAACATATTATGTGGCATGATGGAAAATGTATCATTTTATTTTTGTGATTCATGATATATCATAGAAAATCAACATTATACCTATTTGTTTGAGTTTGTGCACATTGAAATGACTCCATCATATCTGAATCTTTTGGGAAATCTGACTGAAATGTAAAATTACCTTTACAATAAAGTTATTTCAGTAGTTTACAATGATATAGTCTACCAGTAAATTCAAGGGAGTGTCCATAGTAGAAGATTGAAGGTAGCCTCCCAGAAATCATTGATTTTTCAAGGTACATGTATTTCTTTATCTATTTTAGTATGATAATTTCATCTATGTGGGTTTTTTTCTTCTAACTATATCTGACTATACTGACAACAGTGGCAAAAGAAAAACAAACATATGGCCAAATCATGCATGTACGAGGGTTGTCCCAAAAGTCCGTGACAAATTTTATAGCCGGTTCATTTTTAACGCCAATTGAAAATAATTCACACATACAACAGTTAAGTTTATTATTTAACATTACAACAAATCATTTACAAAAAAGTTACTCAAGTTACTTAGAAATTTTCAGTATTAACGACATTGGTTTGAGTTGCCGGCGCACGTCAAATAATTTACATTTTGTTATGAATAGGCTGAAATTAATTACGTATATTTCAAATATCTGATGATGTGTCTGCACAATGTCAGGTTGACTTCATCTGCTGCTATGTTTAAATCATCTCAGAAAATTTTAGTTAAATAACTTAAGAAACGAAAAAGATAGGTATAAATGAAAATATCTCATATAAAATAGGAAAGTTAAAATGGCGACGTTCAAAGAATTTGCGGCGCAGTGAACAGGTCACTCAGGTTTCATGACTATTTCGAGATGACACATGTTACGATTTTCAACAAATATACCAAATAGAACAGTTTAGCAACATGTCCTGAGCACTTGTGTACAAAAGGCATGAACGGAACCAGAGTTTTGCGCTACAAAAAGCGAAAATATGGAAAACACGGATAGGAAGACCGATCTTCGCCGCCTATTTCCTACAGCAAAAAACAGGTGTAACGAGACCAGAAGTTCGCGTATAGCAAAAATTAATGTATGCCATCCAAACATTCAACAGACATTAACAACCACATGATTTAAATCAGAAATTAACGATTACTGGGTACCATTATTGCTTTGAAAGCCATTGAGAGTATTTGAGAAAGGCGCCTTATATAGATTCAACACGGTCTTTGACGTTGGACGTGCGCCGCGATTCAGTTAGTTGCCATGGTGTTTATGGCATATTTTTGTTGTTTGTTGATATTTTTCTATGAAAATTTGTGAAAATGTTTAAATTATATGGGTTTATAACATATTAAAATATAAAAGTCGTACCTGTTTCATTTAGCTTTTAAACAATCTTGTCACAGAATATTGGGACAACCCTCGTACTTGATTATTAACACATATTGTTACTTTTGAAAACATTTCTTCTAGGCAATCAATGGGTAAAATTCAGGTTAGTTTTTTTTATCTACATAAGAATTTTGTTATGTGTCATACAAAATATTTCTTCCTTTTTCTGGCAATTATTATTGGAAACTGCTTGTCTTTCTGTTCAATGAAAGGCACACAATTCCCACACAAATTATACTAGTACATGTAATTAAACTCTTAAAAAAATCATAAAGGTCAGATAATTCCTAGGTCAAATAATTCCTGTCAAGTTTGGCTGGTATTTATTTGCTCAGTAGTTATGCAGATAATATGTCAAGCTTAAATGAAAAAGATGTCTTGTGATCACAAAAACACAATATGAGCTCGATTTATACTTCATGTGCTGCCATGTGTTGTTCTATACTTACAAACGTACTGCCAGCATTCCCGAAAGTTGACAGTCTAAAATGTGGTGTATCGGGTGACATCAGGAACTCTAACACGTCACTTGTCATATCTAACTCACTAAATGCCTCCTTTAAACACTCAGTCTGTAAAATATCAAATTAGTCTATATTATTGGTCTAGCCTTTGTGCTACCTACTCAAGAAAAAAATCAAATGAAATTATTTTTTTCATATTTTTACAAGACATTGTATTCAACAAGACTAATAATATTTGATGTTCCTTCATACAGAATTTATTTTAGTTTGATTGTGAATGAAGCTTATAGAAACACTCTCAAATCCATTCCTGAACCAACCAGTACTGAGCAATGAGAGTAAAGTTTCTTGCTCAAGAAAACAACAGCTTGCGGAAAGCAATCGTTGTATTACAAATCTGACCTGATAACAACTCGGCCATGCCTTCTTAATATTATGTAGATAAGTGAAAAATTTAACACAGATTCAGGTATAGATCTATATGATTACCTTCAATACACATGTATAAATACAAGAACATGTTATATTTCTAGAAGAACAACACTTTATTGTTTCAATAGATACCTAATCAGTGAGACATATCATAATTTTATATATTTGATAAAAAAGAAAATGCAACTTGTTTTGTTATTTTGTGTGTGCATATACACTAAGCATTGTACCTCTCTAAGAAGTTTAATTCCAAGCTCCAAACAGTGTGATCTGAGTATCATATGACTTGTATACATGTACCACTTTTATTTTTACAATATCTCATCTAAAAACATAGAATAAATTTCAGTATCTCTGTTCAGAAAAAGAAATTCCAATATATATAAAACATTGTATTTTAATATACCTTCATAATAATTTTATTGATGACATTAGTACTGGAGAAGTTAAAATCTAGAACTTCATCAGGGTCCAGTGTTTTAATACTACAGTCTGTCAGCACACCATCTTCTTCAAGTCTACAATACATAATCAACATCTATAGCTCCACATGACTTATAACAAGAGCTGTCTGAGAAGCTGCATGCTTCACTTTTTCTCAATACTTGATGGTATCATAAAAAGAAAGTATATAAAGGACATAATACTGAAATACAGCTTTGAGAGCCATTCTGGTCAGTTCAATAGGTGAGACTGTGAATAGGGTGATCTGGGTTCAATTCCCTGAGAGTGCAGATCACTTTTGTTGTGATTGATCATGAATTCCCTTCTACCGTCATTCGCACTGTGCAATTGATCTGGCATGTACAGAAGTTATCAGTTTCTTGTGAAAGGGAAGGCATCTAGTACTGGTGAACTGCTTGACCACATGTCCAGGAATGATGCTGGGGCTAACCTGTGCTCTGGTAAATTCAATGTGGCTTGCTGCTGTGATCCCAAGTGAAAACTACCAACACCACTAATTCCAATACTGCTTTGATAATTTTACATGCCCGATATATAATGAAAAACTTACATTAATAGTAATGGAGAACCATATCCAGCATAACACATCTTTAAACTTGTTGCTGATCCTGCCACGGGTCCACTTCCAAATATAGTCAAACATTCCTACATATACACAAACAAAACACACAATTACTGAATCAGATGTACATGTACATGTATATTTTTATCAAAATTTCAAGAATAACACAGAAACCTCAACCAAAACTTCATGACATAGATGCTGACTAGTGTTAGTAGGACAGTCCTTTAATGTAATAGTTAGATGCTAATAAAAAAAATCAAGATTTTTTTTTGTGCATTTACTTTAGCACAAGCAATCAGACTTGTTAAATCCTCTGTCCTTCGAGCTCGGACATTAAATGCTACCTCATCTCCTGTTGATGACAATACACTGAAAAAGGAGCCTTTACCCTTCATTCATATATATTTTTCACTATAAAATTAAGAACCTAGTCAGTTAAGTAAATTAGTAATTACTGAACTGCCTTCTAATGTTACTGCACACAAACTTCAACCTGTTTGTTTGTTTTGTTTGGTTTTACGGCACAACAACACAATTTAGGTAATATTACGATGAAACAGGAAAGATGATTTTGGCTAACCTCGGATGTTACAAACTAAATAAAGTAACACCAAGAGTCAAAAACCACCTTACCTGCTGGAGCTAGGAGATACATAGATTCCATTTATTCAAATCCATTTTGGCTACAATTCTGAAGCCTCGACACTTAATTAAAGGCAACCCCTTGGCCATAAATGGAAAATCTTTAACATATGTGTATAATGCATAGATCCCTGACCTATCTAAATCTTATTATAAGATTAGTGGTTACAATAACAATTTCACCACAACCTCTTTGTTAACAAAAGAGAACATGTCAGTGTTAATTTTGTGGTTAAATCTATTACTTATATTCAAATAAAAGGTCAGAGTGGGGTCTATCAATCATGACAGAGATGCCGGGGTCTTACTCGATATACCAGTATTTTATATACATTTGTACTAAGCTAAATTTGTAGTAATCTATATATTTTATATTAAAATAAATTAATAAAATTAATAAAATGAGCACAAACCAGTAATACTGTGAGATTTATTTTAAATGTAAGTTGTTCTTCCTTGATAGTGAATTCCTGAAAAATTCCCTCCTGTATGAAAGCATTTGCCTGTATACATTTGGCATCCTCTACTGTAACCTTTAGTCCCATAGGGCTGGCAAACACTGTGGCTGTCTGGCAAATGAAATAAGAATATTTTCATTTTTATATTTCTACAATATTTAGGTTTTCAAATTAGTGTAAATGACTAGATTTTATCTCCATTTTATTATACATGTAGCACCAATATATAAGATATTTTTATCAGTTTACATGCAGATGAAAGAATTGTGAAACTTTTTCTTATCAAGTCTTTAATATATGATAAATTGGGAATGTCCCTCAAAACTGCAGCCAATGGAGGTAATGCAAGCTTCGATCTATTGCTGACGAAACAGAATAAATCCACAAGAGAAATCTCAGGTGCACAACTTCACATGCTGAGCAACATTCCTGTAAAGTTTCATGACACTAGATCAAATACTTTTTGAGATACATGCAACACAAGTTGAAAATCGTAAATTTTTGCACTAAAAATACTAAACAAAATTATCCACATGAAAATAGCCAGATGCACAACTACACATGCTGATCAACATTTCTATAAAGTTTCATGACTCTAGGTCAAATACTTTTTGAGCTACATGTGACACAAGTTGAAAATTGCAAATATTTACTACATCAAGGGCAATAACTCTAACAAAACAGAATAAATCCACAAGCAAAACCCCAGGTGCACAACTACACATGCTGAGCAACATTCCTGTAAGGTTTCATGACTCTAGGTCAAATACTTTTTGAGATATGTGCGACACAAGGTGAAAATTGCAAATTTTTACTAAGTCAAGGGCAATAACTCTAAAAATACTAAATATATCCACACAAAAATACCCAGGTGCACAACTTAACATGCTGATCAACATTCCTGTAACTAGAAATGTGTACATAGGACACGGATGCCCCCACACGCCACTGTTCTGTCAATCTTATGACTCTAGGTCAATTATTTTTTGGACTACATGTGCCACAAGTTGAAAACTAAAAATCAACAAAGGGCCATAATTCTGTTAAATTTGGTTGCAGCAGAAATTCCTTACTTTACTACCATCTACACATTAAGGTTGTTCATCCCTGGAAGTTAAAGCAAAATCTGCCATCCGGTTTGCATTCACAAAATTTCTACATAGTATATAGTGAAAAAATCAACAAAGGGCCATAATTCTGTTAAATTTGGTTGCAGAAAAAATTCCTTCCTTTACTACCATCTACACATTAAGGTTGTTCATCCCTGGAAGTTTAAGCAAAATCTGCCATCCGGTTTAAGAGGAGTTGCGTTCACAAAATTTCTACATAGTATATAGTGAAAAAATCAACAAAGGGCCATAATTCTGTTAAATTTGGTCGCAGCAAAAATTCCTTCCTTTACTACCATCTACACATTAAGGTTGTTCATCCCTGGAAGTAAAAGCAAAATCTGCTATCCGGTTTAAGAGGAGTTGCGTTCACAAAATTTCTACATAGTATATAGTGAAAAAATCAACAAAGGGCCATAATTCTGTTAAATTTGGTTGCAGCAAAAATTCCTTCCTTTACTACCATCTACACATTAAGGTTGCTCATCCCTAGAAGTTTAAGCAAAATCTGCCAACCGGTTTCAGAGGAGTTGCGTTCACAAGATTTCGGGACGTACGGACAGACGTACGGACGGACAGACAGACAGACGGACGGACGGACACTCGGACGGACAAGTGCAACGCTATATGCTCCCACTCTGTGGGGGCATAAAAATTCATGACACTAGGTCAAATTCTTTTTGAGTTACGTGTGACACAAGTTGAAAATTGTAAATTTTTACTAAGTAAAGGGCAATAACTCTAAAAATACTAAATATATCCACATGAAATACACAGGTGCAAACAACACCTGCTGATCAACATTTATATGAAGTTTCATGACCCTAGGTCAAATACTTTTTAAAAAGTGCTATGTGGACACAAAAGAGAACGGACAGACAGACAAGGGTAAATCTAAATGCCCCCTAAAAGACAAGGGTAAATCTAAATGCCCCACTTTAGGGGACACAAAAAAATTAAATGTATGCAAGTAAAAAGATGTTGCCATAATCCTTAGAGCTTTAAACAAATCCTTATATTTTCTTGCAAAATTCAGAGATAGTTGTACAAATAAAGATATTTTTAAGCAAATTTTTTACTCATTAAAAGCAAATGGCTAGAAACGAACCATAGGCTTGTATATTCGTAATATTTCCTCTAATTTAATCATTGGTTGGTTATTCAGGGATAGCGCGAACGCAGTCCCCACACAAATAAATTGCGTACCCGAGTAACCCACATTTGGGGCTATCGCAGACGTCAGCCCAACCGAAGTGCAATAGAGGGGCCTCTTTCTGGGGAAACCGCCTTGCTGATCACGGTATTCCCTGTACCAGGTAAGTATGATTTCCACACATTTTCTGCAGATTTTATACGACAACACAAATACAAACTTACGACCACTCTTTAATCATAAAAGAGACATAAATTTAACCAAGTTTATTAAATGAACCATTCAATCAATTATTTTAATATTAATATCATTATAATCCTACCAATTTCTTCTTAATAAGTTTAAATATAATTTCAACTTACACAATTTTGATTTTACAATAAATGCAATAAAGTAGAAAATTTACTTAGATTTAATTAACGTACATCCATTTTCTATAGTCATTCTAAAAATAGCTTGACTATTAAGGCCAGTTACTCTGTTTACACTACAATGATACATGTATGGGAGTTACCTCCAGTTATGTTGTATATAATCAGTGCATGACACGAACTTAATCTACATGTGAAAATATTTGCACATATTAAACTTACATAGTTTCCTAAGAAGGCCATAACCCTGGATCACTCACCTGAGATATATAGTTAGAAAAGGTCACAATATTTCAATATGGATCAAGTAGATCTAGTATCCAAAATTGAATTATCTATAAACTATTTACAGATGTTTGTTAGGAATTGCTTCCAGGCTCCAGCCAAATATCTAAGTTTGTAACACAAAAATATTTAAATCATTTAAGTTTAAACCCAGAGGCAGGTGTAAAAGTCCATAAGGTGATGTTACATGCCAAATACCGTAAAATTCCTATTAAACACCCCCAGGGGCTAAACTTTCCAAAAGGATAGCATTTATTAAAACATAAATTTTCCTTAAACCAAAAATCATTGTAAATAATTATGTTTGGTGTAAAATAAGTTTTCATAATAATGTTTAAAGCCAGAGGCAGGTGTAAAAGTCCATAAGGTGATGTTACATGCCAAATACCGTAAAATTCCTAATAAACACCCCCAGGGGCTAAACTTTATTAAAAATTTATTTATAAATTTTTCTTAAACCAAAAATCATTGTAAATAATTATGTTTGGTGTAAAATAAGTTTTCGTAATAATGTTTAAAAATTGGTAAAGTTTAAAAGTTCACATTTTGTGATTATAAAATGAAATGCATTCTGACTCCTCAATCCCTGAATTAAGTCACAGTTGTAGGTTCAAATCCAGCCAGGGACTTTGGATTTTTTTATTTAGGGAAATCTATCCAGCTACTGTAGCTTAGGTAACTGGGTAATTCTACTCAGAAGCCTGCTTGTGTCTGAAATAAATATTACGAAATACCTAAGCTGTGGCCACAAGAAGATTCAATGCTATAGAAAGCGTATGTTAAGGTCAATTGAGCAATGCAAATATGCTCTAGGATTTTCTGGTAGTTCTCCACAAGCAGAAGAAATGTGTTTTCCTTAAACTAAATGGCCCCAGGGGGTTGGTTGAATTTTGACCCAAGGAGCATGATTTATATAACTTTTCTAGAGGACCACAAGACAAGGCAATGAATGCTACAATGCAAATATGTAAGCTCTGGGTATCTTAGTTTCTGAGAAGATAGTGGTGGTTTTATAGCCCCAAAGCAGGAGATTAACAACAGCAATAAAATGTTTTGATGACAGAGTACACTACAGCCAATAAATGCATGAAACTGATGTAAAAACATGATTGCAGCCCTTAAGCCCCAGCCTGAAATCATGGCAGGCTAACAAGAACTATAATTGACTTGAATCGGCTATCCACATCTACTACAAGGATGTTCAAGTCTTATGGACTTTGCCTCCATATGACATTCACCGTTCTCAAACAGATTCTATGAAGGTTATAAATAATTCTATAGATCTTTACTAGTTTTAGCAGTGCTTTTAGCTGCGTGATTGAGTGTTTTGTTCCGTCTCACCATGTGTATAATAATTGCAGAACCTGGTAATGTTCAATTAGGATCCATACTCTTTGGAAGAAAAAGGCCTGAAGGACAAAAATTATATGAATTTCAAATTTCAAAATAATAATGATATGAATATCCATCACAACAGACTGCCTATAGTGTGCCGTGTACTGTACAATACTAGGATCTTTTCTCATATTGCCTGGACAAGAAAGATAACCAAAGAAAATGTAAAATTTCTCAGCATAATCTTCGTTTACAAATTTTTTTTTTAAAAAAAACAACGCTATTTATCACATAATTCATAGAACTTATACTTCGGTTTTCTTACATATATTATATGCGGAAAATGGTAAGACGTAAATGATTTAGGTGATATTCCTACGTAATTGTGTGAAAGAGAGGATGAAATTACCTATTGTGTTACTGAAAAAAAAAACTGTGTTTCTAAATCATGTTTTCTTGATAAAAGGAAACGTGACCTTCTAATTTTAACATGTTTATTGTTATTTTCATCTTCATTTTCCTGTTCTTTTCATTTTCCTGTAATGATTTCTAAATTGTGTAAGAAAAAAAAATAGAAATCAAACAGCAAACTCCTTGATAAACAAAACTTTGGAGGTTGATACACTTTGTGAAATAGAAAGTTTGGAATCAAATTCCAGAGACCAGTTCAAATCATTCTTTATATAAAACATTAAATAATAGTAATAATAGCTGTAATAGTTAAAAGACACGAAAAGTTGTTATCTTTGGCCAGGATGACACTTCAGCTTCTGTGTTTGTTTGTTATTTTTTTTCGGTTATATAGATTAATATTGAATAGAGCCAATGAGTTAGTGTGTAACTTTTTACGATGACCCCAGAAATAATTAAGTTTCTACAATATGAACATCATCCAAATATACTGTCTTATCTAACATTATATTTGCTATAGTACCACTTACCTTGACCCAAATATGGGGTCTCCCCAAGGCATCATTATTTAATTTTACCCATGAAATATGGTGCTATATCAGTCAAATATATTTCATATTTTTTTAAAAATAAATATGAAATATAAATATGAAAGTGGAAGAAGTCAAAAACTCATATTTGTTTTGAGGGACCTCTTTCGCCGATTTGTTTGAAAAATCTGATAAATACAAAACAACTTTTTCTTGAATTTTGTTTTGAAAACTATCTAGCATGATAGAAAATGTCTAACTAAGAAAATTAATCCGAACACCAATATTTTAATTCAGTAAATTAACGCTGTACAGTCGTTTAAAGAGTTGTTTACATGACGTCACAATGTAGCGCCAAACAGCGCGTGCTACGCATAAATTACTGCGCGCTGTTCAATTGCAGTTGGCAGCAAGCAAGGGGATTCGTTACCATTTTCTTTGATAATGAAATTAAATAAAAAGGTTATTTTTTCGTTTTTTTGTGAAATATGATATATATTTTCACTCAACATGATAAAATGCCACATATTTTCACTCGCCGTATCATGTTTCGTGAAAATATATACCATATTTCACGCAAACGAAAAAATATCCTCTTAATATTTAAATATAATAAACATATACCGGTAGATAACCATACAGTATTGATCAATTGCAAAATGACAGTTGTGTATTTCTATACTAAACGTTTGAGTTACTGTATTGCCTAGATACCCATTTCCAGATCTTCAATAATAAATTTAAAGTGCTAAATAAAACATTTGCAGAAAAAGAAAAAAAACACTTGAACAGTGAAACAGTCTTTTCCGTTTCCATTTGGTGAGTTGACAACGGATTTTTTGCAGTACATACTTGACAAGCTAGTGAGATGTAAGAAATAATATATCCCAAACAGTGATTTTATCGCTCAATAACATCACTGTTTGGAGTTCGGATGAGAGGAATTATATCACGAGGATGTAGCCCGAGTGATATAATGATGCGCATCTGACAACAAACAGTGATGTTATCAAGCGATAAAATCACCGATTTGGATATATTATTTCGATTCTAACAAGACATCAACAAATAAATGCTGCCGTACCTGATATTAAGCAAAATTGCGCCTGATTTGTTTCTGTACTTATTTTAAGCCCGTCGGATTTTTTAGTGGTTACGTCACATGTATAATGATTACGTCACATATCTAAATATAGAACGTCAACTGTGACTCTATTGCACACACAATTTCGGTTCTTCTATATTCAAAATAGTGAAAAATGCAGGTCGTGTTAGAATTATCAATAAACTATTGTTAGGTTGTGTTTTAGAGTAAAATAAAAAACGTTGACATGTGTAGTATTTATAAGCGTTATGCATTAAAAACATAAAACTTTCTGATCAATTTTCTCTTAAATTGAATAAGCTTTCCAGGTATGTTTATTTGTGGAAGAAATATTGAGTTTAAATAAGTATTTGAAGCTGTCAAAGTTAGCGATGAGATTCTGGTAGCTGGCACATACACTGTAACATAGAAGGAAAACTTTCCGCATTGTTTTGAATCGTAAGTGACCATCGTTTTTGTAATAAAAATCCCTCAAGCGCACAATTTGTTGGGCTAATTTTATCTGAACAGTGTCTTTCAAATTTCTATTTGACAAACACTGATCTGTCCAAAAGTCTGTCGTAAAATCATGGCAAGTTTAATTGGCTTTAAAATATAACAAGGACCCTTGTTTACGTTTTGAGTCTGCAATCTTAACTTGCCAAAATTATGGCAAGAAGGAAAAGTAAATTAGCAGATTAGAAGATTTCATTTTCAAATTTTGTATGTACCTCTTTGAAATGAATAGCTTTGAGGATGTTCGATACGTTTCTAGCGCTGTCAATTTTAGCAATCAGGACAAACTGCTCATCTTCTGAAGCAACTTGTGTTGACAAAGCCATGGGCATTTTTGTAAGTTTTTTCTATACAGCTAATATGTAAACTAAATTGCGCGGCTTATTTAACCGGTGCGTTTTAAAATGCATTCATGATATGTACGTGCTTACATTCCCCTTTGCGACTCATTTATTTTTTTGCGCACCTTATGACTATTGTTATTGTCACTTGAGCTTTCATGGAGCTTATCTCTGTGATAATAATAAACTAAATATTTTAAAATTTCGGATAAGAAATCATATTTTTTTTAAAGTTTTTATCCATGGATAATTTCAGGGATCGCAATTTATTGTCAGTCTCTTTGAAATAGATTATATTTGAAGGACCCTAGCTTCATCAGTTAAATCTGTGAATATAATTCTGAAGCAAACATAGAAAATAGTTTAAAAGAATTACAGAAAATTTCAACAACAACGAGTTTATTGAATATATAAAATGCTTATATAAATTTGAAACAAAAATCAAGGAAACACTTTATTACAGAATGTTTTATCAGCTAGGTTCGTGCAATATTTCTGAATTTAATTCGTGTAAATAATGATATTTTCTTAATGACATTGTAAATGTTATTTTAACTTCAATAACTATCTAACATCGGACATCTCGTGTTGATATGTAGTAGATTAAAATCATTTATATCTCACATACAAGTAACTATCTCCCATAACGTCTGGAGCAGAAGTTGTTGGATTCATTTTTGACAAAGCAGCTTTACTGTCTCGATACAGCAGCATTTTTCTTTTTGTTTCCAAATTTTTCATTTCATTAACATCTTTAAGGTCTTTATCTTTACTTTCTTCTGTGTTGCCGTCTACAACTACCGCATCGCTAGATTCAGAATCCTCCCAGACAGTTGACAGGTTACTTTCTTTTGGAAGTTCTTCCAGTGGAATTGTATCCGGATATATTGTTTGGTATTTCTGCTGAGCACTTCCACTTTCAGGCAAATCCTTGGAATCCAAATCATCAGCGTCTTGACTTTGTACACTTTCTGATACAGCTGAAGTTTCTGAATCTGTAGCCACCGCCAATGGGTTATCATCTTTTACAGGGATAACAGAACTTTCTTCATTCAAGAAACTTGTGTTAAGAGAATCATTTCTGCTTTCATTGCAAGAGTCAATGATCTCGTCAATATAGATATCTGTGCTGTTTGAAAATTCTAAAGCAAGTGCAGCGACTATTCGGGATGTTTTTGCCAAAGCTTCAGACACTTGGTGTGCTGACGATGCCTCCGCAATTGCACGGTTAGCAAATTCGAGAGCATATTTGGCTCTTATATCAGTTTCCTCTGCTTGTAACCTCGCCTTTATAACCAAATCTGCTATTTCTTTTATACAATAGTTAATGTCCTCTACAAAGTCACTAGCATACCCACTGTTAGCATCTAAATCGTTGCCGTATTCAGAGTTTTCTTCAAAAGCCTCGTTTACTTCCGCCATCATAGATAACTTCAAAATAACGTTACGCTGATGACGTCATTACGTATCATTCATGGATTAGTACGTTTTCCCGTATATTTTTATTTATAGATTTCTGACGTTCAAACAGAAATATAAAAGTTTGTGTTAAATACAAACTAATGTTTATTTAAGCATTACAATCAATACCTATCAAAATATGTGAAATTTTTTTTTTATTTCTATGAATTGTATAATAATGTGCTCTTTAAAAACACCCTTTGATTTAAACAATATTTATTTCTTCTTCCATACTTTCAAACAAAATTTCAATACTGCAGTATATATTTTAAATTGCATCCAGGATTGAGTAAATAGCTTAAAAAGCTTATATGAACCTATCTAAAATCACCCTTTATTTCTGACTGCTGTAGTTACTAGTAGTACTGTTCCTCGTCAACAAAAACGTTATTGAAATAAAACTAAAAGAGTGTAAATTTTCTCTGAGATAGTTCTTACAGTTTCATGGAATTTGTGCATACTCATCTGCAACTGTTTATCAGCATATATAACCTTTTTCTTTATTTCTTATTCTATATCTTCGATGGCTTAAAATATTTAATAAAGGTTAATTTATTTTATGTTTTAGCCGTTTTACTTTTATATATAATAACATTTTAACCTATATATAGTTTTATAACGTATATAATGATGCTCCCATTCATTCAAAATTTGTTGACAAATATGCACGTGGTTTTGTTTACATACAGGCCGACAAATCGCAAATCGATTGCTGACTTGAAACAACCAATGAGGGCGCCCCATGACGACACACCTCCGTAGTAAGTTAACCTTGACATGGTGTTTTTTCGGCTCATTCATTTTTCACCAATTAGTATCTTTTGATCTATACAATAAAAATACTATATATCGTCGTGCATTTAAAAAAGATTTGCGTACGGTAAACCGCACGAAGCAAGCAGTCGCTCGTGAAAAGTGGAAATTAAATTAATCGAGTGTTAGACAAACAGGTTGGTGTTATTTTTATGATTATTTTTGTTTCTGGCTACATTCAAACTATAAAGAACTTGTCTATACAATGTTTCATAGCGAAAATACGTACTTGTTGCTTACACAATTAATCATAATATTCTTTAAACACTTATTGTTATGTAATAAGAATTGCTGGCAATGAACCAAAATATTTCTCAGTGTATAAGTGCTCTAATAATAGAGTATCGATATATATGTATACATGTTTAATGATGAAAATATACATGTATGTTAATGCTTTTTCTTTCAGTAGATATCATAGACCATATGTTGACAAATCGATTATATAACATTTGCAGGAAACGGTTAACTTGAATCAGTTACAATTAATGATTAGATTTGTTATATAAATTAATTTAAACTGGAATTATATTTTTTTTAAAAAATGAGCCAGAAATGTGAAAATCAGTCCCAAAAACTGACCTGTGTGTAAATGTAAATATATATGTGCATCAAATATGTTAAGTATGTGAAATGCCTGAACTTTAATATATGCGTTCCGAACTTCCGTACGTGTCGGTTGGTTATTGATTATTGAACAATGCAATTGATTAAAAACTATTTAAAGGAGAGAGCATTGCCAAATCATTGACATAAAGGTGATAAAATGCCCGACAGTATTGATATGCTTTGCTTGGCAAGTATGTTAATCCACGAAACTTCTTAAAACGCTTTTATTCATTATGCAAACAACATAAAAATGCATTATGTACATGTTCTATGTTTTTATTGTTGTTACATATTTTACGCTTGTTAAAGATTACTATCTGCTCATTTAAAGACTTTACTGTACTCGGTAATGAATTAATAAACAATAACATTTCAACAATTAAACATTTTATATGAGATAGAATTAATGGTTGACAAGTTTTAAAAGTTATTTTCACACACATCATTTACAATACATGTAAAATATATACATGTATGTGTACATGACACGTGCACATTGCAAGTTATGAAAGGAACGTTGGTGGCCACTCAGGTGCCCGTGCATGCTTGAAATAATGCACGGAGGGGTAACTGAGGTCTTCCTCCACTAGTAAAGCTGGATAGTCGCCACATGACCTTCAAAGTGTCGGCGTGACTCAACAAAAGGTAGGTAATTAAAAGAGCCCAGGTTAATAATATTCGGGCACTTGTATTTCGTTTAGACATTCACAATTTTAAAATTATGCATACACGTGATTTGTACATATTTTGCTACATTAGAAACATTGCCATCAAATTTGCTATTGAAGCCTTAAAGTTTACTGTCACTTCCACTTTTAACACAAGGATGTTAACGTATACGAATGTTGACGGAGTAAGCTGATTTTGTGCTCAATATACTTAATGGATGAATACCTTAGCTGATCAGACGGAAGATATCCGGATGTTGACTTGTATATCGCAGTGAACTGTACAATTTCATTGAATGTATATATTTGCGTTGATCTACTTCACTGTGCATCACTGGTGAAACATTTCTGCTGGAGCCATTCATTTGTGTAATGTTATTGCTGAATAAATATATACTTTCATTCTTGCAGCTTGGCCTATATACGATTCATCATAATTAGATAAGTAAATGAGATAATATTTAGTTAATAGAAAATAAATGTATAACATATGACGATTATCATGTATGCATATTCTCTTGAACACAAATAATTTCTTCTCCAGTAGAAATGTACAAATGTTTATGTCAGTTTCGTTATGACTTTGATTGGATGAAGAAACATGACGTGAACGGAACTGCATGTGCTAGGAAAGAGAGCAAAAATTAAAAAAAAATGTAAAAACATTATTTGTTACATGTCAGTCTATGACAGGCTTAAAGCACATGTAAGTTAGTTCTAACTAAATGGAATTATAGATTTATGTATTAAATAAATGGAATTATAGATTTATGTATTAAATATATCCCTAGTGTCTTTAACATACGCCTCAAAAAGGGCATGTTTACAGGAACGTATGTATCAATTTGTTTGCTACTTTGCAGAGTGGCGCCCCTTTTCCCGCCAAAAGTAAAGTCAGCCTCTGAAGTAGGGAAACTGTTGGATTGATGGCGCTGAGATTTCTGCGATGTAAAACTGTGTATGGACACACAACAAAGTTTATTTCTAAACGAATAACTGTATATCCAGACAAGTTCAGATTGAGTAAATCCACAGCGTCGGCCGATGTGGCATCAGACGAAAATCGAACTTTTTCAACAGTACAAACGGAAAATAAAAGGAAGTTAGATGACGGACACCCGAATATTGATTTATCATTTGCAAACCCACAGGAGGCATATAGGAGTAAAACTACAGGGGAACTGTTACGAGCATATTTCGTCTTCCAGTTATGTTCAATACCATTGATTGTTACCCATAATAAAACGGTAGGTTGTTTTTTCACAATTTATACAGTAGATCTACCACTGCACGAGTTAATTGGAAGTGAGAGAATGGTATAATCTAAGTTTAGGACCAGTTAAATTTGGGATAAATGTGACAAATGGGGGAAAAATTCTTCAAATGTTGATAAATAGAATTTAATGTTTTATGTTTTGACCATCTAGCTAGAACCAGAGATGTAGATGTTATCTATGTCTCAGCAATATTACAGCAATATCTTATGTATTCATTTACCTGTCTATTACACAGTTTCATATCTTCTTCAAAATATAAGCACTAATTAATAAACACACAGCTATGCAAATGTACATGTAGCTATATTGTCAGGAAAATTTTATCTGATTATTTTAGAAGCAGCAGAGTTACAGCCCTTTGTACTTGTATGAGTTAATGCCCTTTGTATTTGTACTGTTTACATGACCCTTGATGGGTGACCCATCTTAATTGTAGTCTTTTTAAGGTCATCTGATGAAAAAATTGCATAAAAGAGGAAATGAATTACTGTAAGAAATTTGTGTCATTAATTACAGTTAATGAAATGGAGTCAGTCAATCCTTGGAACCAAACTCTTTCACAAATTGATGAAGGCAACATTCTATGGTCAGTTTGTGGCTGGAGAAGACCGGATTGCCATACGTCCACTGGTGAACCGAAACAAGTTGTTCGGCGTGAAGTCGATACTTGACTACAGTGCTGAGGAAGATGTGAGCAGTGAACAGGCAACGGAATCAGAAATGAGGTATGCTTGATTTTTTTCAGGCAATAGTATGAATTGTGATCTTGTAATGGGTTAGCTAACATATTCCCTACATAGGTTATTGGAATAGCAGATTTGGATGTTCAAACTTGTATAGAATTAGGTTTGTTGTCTGGAAAAAAAAACATGAGCCCTGTTTAGGATTCAAACTCTTGAAATCTGAGGGAAGTAAACTTATTAAAATGTTACAAATGTTTTTTTTTTATTGGACTATATTAAATGGTTACACTAGTATATTGTTTATATATATTTACAGTTCATGTGTACCAGAAAATATGACAGATATTGCTCAAGGTAAGTAAGAACTTTCCTCTTGTACAATCTTGTGGTCTTTATTTCAAATCTAATTGTGATGAATTATTCACCTAATATCATCTGATAATCCATCAATACTGTCAGGGCTTATTCTGTTTACCTTTTAACATTTTTAGCTTCTTACAGATTTACTTGTTCAATTTACGACCTTTGGGCAAATTACCAATAACCCTATTTACTGAAAATTTCAAATAATGTACCGACTGAATGGCAAACAGTGCAGACCAAGATAAGATGTCAGAGATATGCCAGCTGATCATGGTCTGCACTGGTAGCATAAGTAAATTATATTAGGTAGATTTAGTCACCACAACTAGCATTCAAAGGGTTTACGTAATGGTTTGGACATTTGATTGATTATTGTGCCAATATTAACACATTTTTGGTCATATTTCAGCAGTCAGTCTACCTAATTGTCTTTCCTAGTTTTTAAATTGGCATATTAATCAACCAACCAGTCAACCAAAAAACATTTGATGAAAAGCACAAAAATTATCAGTATTACCTCCCTTGAACTTAGCATTTTTATGAAAAAAAATGTTGTCTTTTTTAAATAACTTCTTTATTTCCTAATGTATCTACTTCAAACTTCATATATATGTTTCTTATTATCACTCAACATTTTTGAGAAGGTTAAATACTCTAGCAAGACTATTTCCAGAATTATGTCACCCTTGAACAAATCTCGAGAAATTGGTATTTTTTACTCCAACTTCTTCATTCCTTATAGGATTTACTTTAAAATCCCACATCGTAATAATATGACAAGGTTGTATAAACATAATTGCCTTACTAGGCAGGGAAACTTAACACATTACTGTGAAATAGACAAACTTAGAACTCAAAAGATTTAAGTTCATTCATGTCATTCATTCACTGGTAAAATTGAAATCAGAATGTTGCTGGGGTTCTAACCGGTAGGGGACTTATGGATTGCTTGCAATACTATGATAATTGCTTGTTTTTATTGAACTATATTAAATGGTTACACTAGTATATTGTTTATATATGTTTTATATATTTACAGTTCATGTGTACCAGAAAATATGACAGATATTGCTCAAGGTAAGTAAGAACTTTCCTCTTGTACAATCTTGTGGTCTTTATTTCAAATCTAATTGTGATGAATTATTCACCTAATATCATCTGATAATCCATCAATACTGTCAGGGCTTATTCTGTTTACCTTTTAACATTTTAGCTTCTTATAGATTTACTTGTTCAATTTACGACCCTTGGGCAAATTACCAATAACCCTATTTACTGAAAATTTCAAATAATGTACCGACTGAATGGCAAACAGTGCAGACCAAGATAAGATGTCAGAAATATGCCAGCTGATCATGGTCTGCACTGGTAGCATAAGTAAATTATATTAGGTAGATTTAGTCACCACAACTAGCATTCAAAGGGTTTACGTAATGGTTTGGACATTTGATTGATTATTGTGCCAATATTAACACATTTTTGGTCATATTTCAGCAGTCAGTCTACCTAATTGTCTTTCCTAGTTTTTAAATTGGCATATTAATCAACCAACCAGTCAACCAAAAAACATTTGATGAAAAAAACTAAATGACCAGCTAAAATGGTCTTGAACATTATAAATATAAGTAGTTTGAAACATAAATTTATTAATTTATAGAGCCTGACAGACAGAAGTTTCAGGCACATAGAGAGTTTGGTGACCGCAGAGACAAGGTTGTATCCAGTAGGACATATTTCTATGAAGGAGAAGACCAGTGTGATAAAAACATGAGAATATTCCTCGAGTCAATTGATGGTGTTGCAGGTAAAACATGAGAATATCATTTAAGTCAATAGATGGTGTTGGAGGTATTGTATATTTGAGATAAAAACATGAGAATATTCCTCGAGTCAATAGATGGTGTTGCAGGTATTGTTTATTTGAGATAAAAACATGAGAATATTCTTTCCTCAAGTCAATAGAAATGGTGTTGCAGGTATTGTATATTTGAGATAAAAACATGATAATATTCCTCAAGTCAATAGATGGTGATGGTGGCATTAAAACTTATCATTACTGAATATGACAGGTGTTTTAATTTTTATATTACATATTTAAATATGCGATAACCTGATTTTGTTTTAAAAAATATATCTGTAATTATTATTTTGTAGATGCAACCAAAAAGACTGGTTTCTGTGCAATAAAGTTGACAGCCCTTGGAAGGCCACAGTTATTGGTAGGTTGAAAATTAATAAACATTGGTGGAATATAATAAACATTGATTTGTGTAGGTACTGGAACTGATTGAGTTTTCAGTGATTTAATGATAAAAAAGCAAAAAAATAGTTAGTGAGAAGTTTTATTTAATCTGAGTTCAGATCTTATGTTGTACATGTAGCATAATGTTAAAAAAATTATTTACAACACTGATGTTAACCAGGTGAATTTGGTAACAACTGTTTAACTGCAAGTTGGCCTGAATATTCCATTGGCAACAGGTCCCTGTGAGCAAAAACATTCAAATATTCAATAAACTTTTTTAATAGGCAGAGATATAACAAACAAATGTTTAAAATTAATTAGGAATGAAAAGCCAAGAAAATTGAGTTCATAACAAACTCTGTACCTTTTTGTCCTCCACAGATAATATTAGAAATGTGTGGAAATGGCGTTGTCCTTCCGTCCAGATCTCTTTCCTTGAAATGAAATTATAAAAAGGGATATGAGGCTTGCCAAATGTCATCAAATCCACCTACGTTTTTCTTAAGTTATGGCCCTTTAATTGTTATTTAAAAAAAGGCATTGTTTAAAGAAAATATCTGTTTGAGCAATATTTTACAATTGTTTTGTTAGATTGTAATAAAACTCAACATGAATATAATAATAATAAATGATACTCATCAAATACGATTGGAAATTCTCAAATTATATACTATTACTGTTGTAGAATATATTATTTTTTAGCTCATCTGTTTCAAAGAAAAAGTCCAGCTTTTATGATGGCAGTCAGTCATGTGGTTGTCTTTGCAAAAACTTTAATGTAGCCAATTACTCAAACAATTATTAAAAAAAGATATTACTATGAAACTTGAAATACTTGCTTATCTTGACAAGAGGCAGTTGTGCAACAAGGGTCACGATTCTGAAAGCCATTTTATTGGAGTTATGCCCCTTTTGAACTTTTTTATGCCACCGCAGCATCTGCGATGCGGTGGCATATAGCGATTCACCTGTGTGTGTGTTTGTTTGTGTGTGTGTGTGTGTGTGTGTGTGTGTTATATAGATTATATAGTGAACTTAAAAAATCTTCTTGTAAAAAACCACTAGTCCAATTTCAACCAAACTTGGCAGGATTGATCCTTGGGTGAAGGGCTTCCAAAGTTGTTCAAAGAATTTTATTCCATGCAGAAATCTGGTTGCCATGGCAACCAAAAGGAATTATAAGAATAAATTTAAAAAATCTTCTTGTAAAGACCCAAAAGGCCTAGAGCTTAGATATTTTGCATAAGGCATTGCCTGGTAGACCTCTACCAAGATTGTTCAAATTATGGCCCTGGGGTCAAAATCGGCCCCGCCCCGGGGGTCATTGATTTTCACTATATGTACATATAGTAAAAACTTAAAATACCTTCTTGTAAAGACCCAAAAGGCCTAGAGCTTAGATATTTTGCATAAGGCATTGTCTGGTAGACCCTTACCAAGATTGTTCAAATTATAGCCCTGGGGTCAAAATCGGCTTGCCCCGGGGGTCATTGATTTTCACTTTATGTACATATAGTAAAAACTTAAAATGCCTTCTTGTAAAGACCCAAAAGGCCTAGAGCTTAGATATTTTGCATAAGGCATTGTCTGATAGACCTCTACCCAGATTGTTCAAATTATAGCCCTGGGGTCAAAATCTGCCCCTCCCCGGGGGTCATTGGTTTTCCTTTTATGTATATAGTATATAACTTTAAAAAAAATTCTTCTAGCAATTGACAAATGCTAAAGGTTAGATATTTTGCATGAAACATTCAGAAGTGAACTTCTAGCAAGATTGTTCAAATTATAGCCCTGGGGTCAAAATTGCCCGCGCCCCGGGGGTCATTGATTTTCAATATATACATAATAGTAAAAAAATAAAAAAATCTTATTTTCTGAAGGTACAAGGCTTAGAGCTTTAATATTTGTTAAATGATATCATCTATAGGTACTCTACCAAAGTTGTTCAAATTTTGTCTCTAGTGTCAAAATTAGCCCTGCCCTGGGGGCCACAGGTTTTCCTTATATGTATATAGTAAAAACTTAAAAAATCATCTTCTCTTAATTTACAAATGCTAAGTTAAGATATTTTGCATGAAACATTGTGTAGTGAACCTCTAGCAAGATTGTACAAATTATAGCCCTGGGGTCAAAATTGGCCCCATCCCCAGGGGTCATTGATTTTACTGTGTACATATAGTAAAACATTCTAAAATCTTCTTGTCTGAAGGTACAAGGCTTAGAGCTTTAATATTTGGTATATAATATCATCTATGGGTCCTCTACAAAAGTTGTTTTAATTATAACCCTAGTGTTAAAATTGCCCTGCTCCAGAGGCGATAGTTTTCCTTATATGTATAAAGTAAAAACTTGAAAAATTTTCTTCTCTGAATTGAAAAATCTTCTTCTTTGAATTGACATAGGCTAGAGGTTAAATATATGGCATGAGACTTTGCGAAGTGAACCTTTACCAAGATTGTTCAAATTATAGCCCTGGGGTCAAAATTGGTTCTGCCCCGGGGATCATTGATTTTCATTATGTACATAATATTATAGTAAAAAAAAAAAAATTTTTGTCTGAAGGTACAAGACATAGAGCTTTGATGTTTGCTATATAATATCATCTATAGGTCCTCTACCAAAGGTGTTCAAATTTTTCCCCTGGTGTCAAAATTGGCCCTGCCAGGGGGCAGTGATTCTCATTATGTACACACAGTAAAAACTGAAAATAAAACAAATGTTTTCTGAATGGGAGAAAGCTACAGTTTAGATATTTGACTTGAAATGTTGTTTGGTGGACCTGTATCAAGATTGTTTTGAATTAAACCCTTGGGTCCAAAATTTTGCCTTGCCCAAGGGGACAGTGACCTACTTTCTTGTCCTTTGATGTACAGCAATGAAATTTTGACCATGTGCACAGTTTTAGTTGTAAAATTGAACTTTGATATCAGGTGACCTAGATTTTGATGATGTGACCTACTTTCTTGTCCTTTGATGTACAGCTATGAAATTTGAACCATGTGCACAGATTAAGATGTAAAGTGAACTTTGATTTCAGCTGACCTAGATTTTGACAAAGTGTCTTACTGTGTTGTCCTTTGATGTAGTCATAAAATTTAGGCTGTGTGAAATATGACCTTCACCACCAAATTCACTAGACTCACGTGCATTGATATATTCCTACTCTGATCTTTTATTGAGTTAACAACAGATTTAACCACTAATCTGATAATAAGAATTAGATTATTTATAAGGTCAGGGATCTATGCATTATGACAATCTTCAAAATTGTATAGAAACAAAAAAATCTGTTCCTACACTACTATTTAGTATTGTATTAATGCGGTGGCATAGCATTTTTCACAAATGCAATCTTGTTTGTTGTTAAAATTCGTTATTGCCTTTAACAGATGAGCATCATCACAGCATGTCGTGCTCTTGTCTTTATATACTTTCAGTGCTACACAAAAATTTCATTTATAATTATATATTCTTTTTATCAACAGCTTCAAATGTCAGATGTGTTAGTGTCAGCGAGAAATTTCTTTGAGAAACTGACAAGTGAAGAGGGAGATAATTTCTCTAGAGGTTTTCGCGAGGATGAATTCCTACTGAAGTTACACGAGATGGGTGTAAAGATAACACCGGAGGAATGTAGCAGATGGTTCTCTATACTTGATGTTAGTCAGGACGGGTAGGGTGTTTATAATTAGTTAGGCAGAGTCAAGATGACTTAATCCTCAGTACTGTGTGTTACACAATTCATTTTAGTTCGATTGTATAGGAAGCTATAATTTAAGCTTATAGGCACACATGCTTTCAAAGCCAATTCTGGAACCAACTAGAAATGAGCAATAAGTCTAAAGTTTATTGCTCAAGGAAACAATGGCTTGCCCCTTGACAGGGTTTGAACCCACACAAATAGCGATTCTTAGATTACTAGTCCGACACACATTAACCACTCGGCCATGCCGCCACTATGTGTTTGACCTATACCGGGAATGATTGTTTTATCGTGTCTCTTTCATTTGAGAAAGCTATTAATCATAATTGCCGACTTAATTTATGTTGGTGATTCTACTCAGCTTTTCCTTAAATAATGAAGAGATTTTTGTCCAACATTTACATGTAAGCGGAAAGTTTCTATATGACCTTCACAACTTCAGTATTGCAATGATCTTTGTTTCATGATTATACCAAATTGATCATCATCATATTTGAAAAATGACTAGTATCTTAAATTTTAACCAAAAATGGCTAACCATTTGTCACCATGCAGTGTACAGCCAGACCTGAGCTTGCCTATGTTTGAAGTTTTTTTCAGAGTCTATATTGTTGGCCGATTTACTGAAAATTTTAATCTTGATATCCCTAAAATATATTACGGACAGTTTCAAAAAATTTGAGACTAGATAAGTCCATTGATGAAACTCAGCAACTTGGTTAAGGGTAAATATTTATTTGGAATATGGCTTGTACCTTGAATTGTTATGCACAGTTGTACAATTTTTTCCACTTCAAAGTAATCAAACTGTTTATAAAAATTATCATTTTATTTCAGGCAAGTTGATATTATGGACTGGGATAATCTGTTAGAAGTTAATATGAAACTGGATCAGCTCTTTGTCATTCCTGACCCTCAGGTAAATTATCTCCCTTTAAATTAAGTAAATTATATTTCTTATCTTGTAACTTCTCCATATTATCCTGCAATAGTTTTATTGGACTTTTCCTGCTCTGAATTCATATTTTTCAATCGTTATTGTGTATGCTGGTGTGATGTGCTAGCCTGGCCACATGCTGGTGTGATGTGCTAGCCTGGCCACATGCTGGTGTGATGGGTTAGCCTGGCCACATGCTGGTGTGATGTGCTATCCTGGCCACATGCTGGTGTGATGTGCTAGCCTGGCCACATGCTGGTGTGATGTGCTAGCCTGGCCACATGCTGGTGTGATGGGTTAGCCTGGCCACATGCTGGTGTGATGTGCTAGCCTGGCCACATGCTGGTGTGATGTGCTAGCCTGGCCACATGCTGGTGTGATGTGCTAGCCTGGCCACATGCTGGTGTGATGTGCTAGCCTGGCCACATGCTGGTGTGATGTGCTAGCCTGGCCACATGCTGGTGTGATGTGCTAGCCTTACCACATGCTGGTGTTATGTGCTAGCCTGGCCACATGCTGGTGTGATGTGCTAGCCTGGCCACATGCTGGTGTGATGTGCTAGCCTGGCCATATGCTGGTGTGATGTGCTAGCCTGGCCACATGCTGGTGTTATGTGCTAGCCTTGCCACATGCTGGTGTGATGTGCTAGCCTGGCCACATGCTGGTGTGATGTGCCAGCCTGGCCACATGCTGGTGTGATGGGTTAGCCTGGCCACATGCTGGTGTGATGTGCTAGCCTGGCCACATGCTGGTGTGATGTGCTAGCCTGGCCACATGCTGGTGTTATGTGCTAGCCTGGCCACATGCTGGTGTGATGTGCTAGCCTGGCCACATGCTGGTGTGATGTGCTAGCCTGGCCACATGCTGGTGTGATGTGCTAGCCTTACCACATGCTGGTGTTATGTGCTAGCCTGGCCACATGCTGGTGTGATGTGCTAGCCTGGCCACATGCTGGTGTGATGTGCTAGCCTGGCCATATGCTGGTGTGATGTGCTAGCCTGGCCACATGCTGGTGTTATGTGCTAGCCTTGCCACATGCTGGTGTGATGTGCTAGCCTGGCCACATGCTGGTGTGATGTGCTAGCCTGGCCACATGCTGGTGTGATGTGCTAGCCTGCCCCACATGCTGGTGTGACATGCTAGCCAGGCTGTATGCTTGTGTAATGTTCTAGCCTGGCTGCATGCTGGTTTGACATGCTAGCCTGGCCTTATGCTGGTGTAACATGCTTGCCTGGCCACATGCTGGTGTGATGTGCTATCCTGGCCACATGCTGGTGTGATGTGCTATCCTGGCCACATGCTGGTATGATGTGCTATCCTGGCCACATGCTGGTGTGATGTGCTATCCTGGCCACATGCTGGTGTGATGTGCTATCCTGGCCACATGCTGGTGCTAGCCTGGCTGTATGGTGATAGTGGAATATGTATCTTGTTAAAGGTGCTAGCATTCTAATGGCTTAAATTTTATTTAAATTTTTCAGACCGGAGAGCTGAAGCCGATGTTGCACTGCCTGGCAGACGACACAGAGAAAGAAATGAAAAATATGTTACACAGAGTAAATGAGATTACAAAGGTACATTTGTATATTTGTTATAAAAAATAAAGTTGTTATGTCTTACCCATATATATATCATGTAGATCTGTGCATTGCCATTTTTTTCTGTCCCATTACATAACATGATATTTATTTGTTCAAAGTTTATGATGCAATTCATAGTATGTATTATAGAAGCAAATTATTTGTGATGCATATTGCAATATTTAAGTTGAATTGCAATATAAACCATATCATCATACTTGCTTTTAAACTTGAAACCAATAGATGTTTATATATGAACAGATTACCAGCTTTTATAAGATTAAAGCACAAATTTAGCCGATCATTGTGAAAGTGAAAAAAATAATCCTCTCTGACTTTAAAAGTTTATAATAAAAGCCTCTACTTTCTATGGCGATGCATGTTTTTGTCTATTATTTTTATCTGAAAAGTTTATTCTGGCTTTTCTTGGTTCTTTTTATTTTACTTGTTTAATTGTTGGTGTATCTGACAGCCATATCTTTGTATTGCAAGGTGTAATCTATATTGCATTGCAATTTATTGACACAGATTCTGTCTGATACATACATTGAGAACAAGCCAATGAAACATTACACCTCTAGTATCATGCAATTAAGTATTTAATTAAATTCAGTATTGTTTTTTTTCAAAGGGTGTCAACAAATAACAATTAATACTGATAAGTTCTTTCAAAGTAAATATTTTTCTTTTTTTAAAGAAGTTATTATGTAACCTACCTAAAATGATTCATATAACTACAAATTTGATTGATTGTTATTACAAATTACAGTTATTAGTAAATTACACTGTATGTATTTACAGTATGCAGTGGAGAGAGATGTAAGAGTTATGGTTGATGCGGAACAATCATACTTCCAGCCGGCTATAAATAGATTAACGATGGAGATGATGAAAAAATTCAACAAAGAGAAAGCAATCATCTTTAATACATATCAATGTTATCTTAAGGTAACATTTTTACATTTCCTCTCAAAAACAGATTCAGTCAAACTGAGTCTGTAATTTTCATATAATTTTGTTGTTATCACTGCTTCTAAGTTAATATTCTCCCCAAGTTTTCCAGACTTTTTTGATTGATAATGTGTCTGCTGAAGGGGTATCATGTTCACAGGTTTACAACATGATATTTCACTTAATAAGATGTATTAATAATTTTTACATAGTGTTCACTCTGTAATAGAGATGCCACTCTTCACACACATAGTGCTCACACTGTAATGGAGATGACACTCTTCACACACATAGTGCTCACACTGTAATGGAGATTGCCACTCTTCACACACATAGTGCTCACACTGCAATGGAGATTGCCACTCTTCACACACATAGTGCTCACACTGCAAAGGAGATTGCCACTCTTCACACACATAGTGCTCACACTGTAATGGAGATGACACTCTTCACACACATAGTGCTCACTGCAATGGAGATTGCCACTCTTCACACACATAGTGCTCACACTGCAAAGGAGATTGCCACTCTTCACACACATAGTGCTCACACTGTAATGAAGGTTGCCACTTATCACTTTGATAGGAAGAATAAATGGGAAGCTTCAGAGACTTTTTAGCAAATTTTTTTAACTGTTTTCTTTTTGTATTAATTTTGTTCTGATAAAAAATGAATAATCAGAATATAGTATGACCTGTACTAAAAGTTTGTATCTGTAAATTTCAGTCAGCTCACAAAGCTATCAAGCTGGATCTAGACACAGCTGTAAGACACAATATTTACTTTGGTGCCAAACTTGTCAGAGGTGCTTATATGGAGCAGGTATATTGTGTGTTATACATATTTTATTTGTAATCAATATATTTTTTAAATCTTTTTATTTGTTTCGTAAAGTGCATTACAAAATCTGTTGCTCTTTAGGAAAACTATTTTAGGAAAACTATTTGAAGAATAGGGAGAACGATTGTAGTCACCCAGGCTTCGGCATCACACTTCGGTTAAGTTTTTGCATACAAGTTGGTATCTGAAAAGATATTGAAAGGAATGAGTTGAGTTGAAATATCACACACTTATTTAAGAGCATTATGGGAGGTTACTTTCTAAGGCTTATTACTCCAACATGGATTTTAATACAATTTTGCCCCTTTTTAAAGTTAGAAATTTCAACATTATTCAGGCTCTTGTTTTACTATCAAGCACTAAGAATAGTAAACTGTTGAGCAATTTTGCTGTCCTACTGACATCTCTTGTTATGGTATTAAATGTATCTTTGACTCAGGTATAGCCTACTCGGTATGTGTAATAATGCTATAATCCTGTGAATGTTGTGTAATTTTCTTAATCTCTTCTAATCTCTTCAAATTAAATCTAAAGCTCATAATTTTCTGAGATAATTTTGTTGGCTTAATTGTTTAATGACCTTTGACCTCCACTAAGGCTTAGCATTATATTTGAGGACAAATTAAAAGTAATTTGAAAAAAAAAAAGGTTATAACTTGCATATAAATTGTCAGGTTATTGACTTACCTGAACAAATGTGGCTTAAATCTGCACAAAACTGGCTTAAAATTGTTAAAAAAAAAAGCTGGCTTAAATCTGTAAAAAAACTGGCTTAAATCTGTAAAAAACTGACTTGAAATTGTAAAAAAAAAATTTGTACAAAACTGGCTTAAATCTGTACAAAAACAAACAGACATGAGAACTCACTTTTTGTATGCAAACAAACTTGACATGTTACAGGAGAGAGAACGTGCGGCCACAATTGGTTATGAGGATCCAATCAACCCATCATATGAGGCGACTACGGCCATGTATAACAAGGTATTACGAGAAGTTATGAGACAGATACAGTTACAAGAACGTGGAAGAATTGCAGTAATGGTCGCCAGTCATAACGAGGACACTGTCCGTTACACTGTAGAAAAGTAGGACATTTTCCAGTTCTTTAAGTAAAATCAATTTTTTTTAGCTCACCTCTCACAAAGTGACAGGGTGAGCTTTTGTGATCGCTTTTCGTCCGGCGTCCATCCGGCGTCCGTCCGTCCGTAAACTTTTACTTTAAATGACATCTCCTCATAAACCCCTAAGCCAATTTCATCCAAACTTCACAGGAATGTTCCTTTGGTGGTCACCTTTAAAAATTGTTCAAAGAATTTAATTCCATGCAGAACTCTGGTTGCCATGGCAACCGAAAGAAAAAACTTTAAATATCTTCTTTTAAAAAACCCTAAGAGCTAGAGCTTAGATATTTGGCATGAAACATCTTCTAATGAGTGTCTACCAAGTTTGTTCAAATAAAAGCCCTGGGGTCAAAATTGGCCCAGCCCCAAGGGGGTCTTTGATTTTCCCTATATGCATATAGTAAAAACTTAAAATATCTTCTTTTAAAGAACCCAAAAGAGCTAGAGCTATGATATTTAGCATGAAACATCTTCTAATGAGTGTCTACCAAGTTTATTCAAATAAAAGCCCTGGGGTCAAAATTGGCCCGGCCCCAGGGGGTCATTGATTTTCCCTATATGCATATAGTAAAAACTTAAAAAATCTTCTTTTAAAGTACTCAAAGAACTTGAGCTAAGATCTTTAGCATGAAACATGTTCTAATGGGTGTCTACCAAGTTTGTTCAAATAAAAGCCCTGTGGTCAAAATTGGCCCCGCCCTGGGGGTCATTGATTTTCCTTATATGTGTATAGCAAAAACTTAAAAAATCTTCTTTGAAAAAACCCGAATAGCTAGAGTTTAGATATTAAGCATGAAACATCTTCTAGTGAGTGTCTACCAAGTTTGTTCAAAAAAAAGCCCTGGGGTCAAAATTGGCCCCGTCCCAGGGGGTCTTTGATTTTCCCTAAATGCATATAGTAAAAACTTAAAAAATCTTCTTTTAAAGAACCCAAAGAGCTGGAGCTAAGATATTTAGCTTGAAACATTTTCTAATGAGTGTCTACCCAGTTTGTTCAAATAAAAGCCCTGGGGTCAAAATTGGCCCCGCCCCAGGGGGTCATTGATTTGTCCTATATGCATATAGTAAAAACTTAAAAATTCTTCTTTTAAAGAACACAAAGAGCTAGAGCTAAGATATTTAGCATGAAACATGTTCTTATTGGTGTCTACCAAGTTTATTCAAATAAAAGCCCTGGGGTCAAAATTGGCCCAGCCCCGGGGGTCATTGATTTTCCTTACATGTATATAGCAAAAACTTAAAAAATCTTCTTTGAAAAAATAGCTGGAGTTTAGATATTAAGCATGAAACATCTTCAAGTGAGTGTCTACAAAGTTTGTTCAAATAAAAGCCCTTGAGTTAAAATTGGCCCCCTGCCTTGGGTGTTATTGATTTTCCTTTTACAGTGTAACTTCCGAAAACCGAACACCCATGGGACTTGTCAAAAAGTTCGGATTTCAGAGGTTTCCGGAATTCAGAGGTATATGATAATGTGGACAAGACTAAGCTACTTAATATCACTAAATGTCAAGGAAGATGTGGCCATTACTGTAATATTATATATAATAGTCTTTTAATCAAGATTAAGATGTGAATGAAAAGAATACATTTTTATCTTCCCTGCAAATGCTTTTGGATTTCTATCAATTTGTAGAAATGTTGTTATTTGCATAACTTGACATATCGTCCGATGCTAGTTAATTAATTATCACATCAAATGCAATAAAATCCCTAAAGACGTTTGATGCATACATTGTCTAATTAATTGTCATTTAATCCGCTAATAAACACTTCAAATTAACTGACCGCCGTAAATTACTCTGATTAACCAACATACCATTTCACAGTTTGTGATTTTAACGCGTGTCAAATTACACGATCACCGCTAATTAGTAAACAATCGATAGGGAGATTAAATCTTCCTGCAGGGTAAACATTCTCGATTTACAATGTATTTCACACCTTTGACTATTTCCGGTTTTTGGAGGTAAAATTGCATTGATTTGACTTTAATGTTACGAAAATATCGTCCGGAATTCAGAATTTAGAAGTTCCGGAATTCAGAAGTATTATATTAATAGAAAATAGAAGGGAAAAAATCGGGACCGAAAAAATTGTTCGGTTTTAAGAAGTTTCCGGATTTCAGAAGTTCCGGAATTCGGAAGTTACACTGTATTTGTATAGCAAAAACTTAAAAATCTTCTTTGAAAAAACCCAAATAGCTAGAGTTTAGATATTAAGCATGAAACATCTTCTAGTAATTGCCTACAAAGTTTGTTCAAATAAAAGCCCTGGTGTCAAAATTGACCCCGCCCCCAGGGTGTCATTGGTTTTAACTACATGTGTATAGTAAAAACTTAAAAAATCTTCTTTTAAAAAAACCCAATGAGCTACAGCTTAGATGTTTAGCATGAAACATCTTCTTATGGGTGTCTACCAAGTTTGTTCAAATAAAAGCCCTTGGGTTAAAATTGGGGGGGGGGGGTAAGGGGGGGGGTAGATGGTTGTTTTTCATTATATGTGTGTAGTAAAAACTTGACATTGTGAAACATCTTCTAATGGGTGTCTTCCAAGTTTGTTCAAATTAAAGCCCTGGGGTTTAAACTGGCCCTCTCCGGGTGCCTTTATACAGGTGAGCATCCTCAGGGCCATCATGGCCCTCTTGTTTAAAGTTGTCAGGATAAGATTTCAAGGATGTTTGACTGTTTTAATATACTTGATGTCGGATGATCATTAAACTTTGTCACCCGACTTCTTGCCTGATTCTTCATCTAGATCTTTTTTAAATGTCATCTGTGGTGACATGATGCACCTTAAACCACTTAAAGATATTATTTGAAAACTGTAATTATTTGTACTCTTTCAGGCAACAAGAACAAAAATAGAAAGTACTTTCAGAAAGTATAAAAAAAACCTTCTTTTCATGGAGAAATACAGGCATCTGCTCTTAACTATTAAGTCCTTGAAAGACTTCTCATAAAATTATTCCTATAAATGTCATCATTTGACCACTTACAGGCTTCCACTGCTAAAAATATTTCACCTTGAATATATTCTTCTTATTTATGGATATATTAAATGGATTTTCACTTTAAGATATACTATGCTCACCCTTGAGTAAAATATTAATCACAGAAATTTATTGAACTTATCTATGAAATTCTTACTGAACATGTCTGATTTGAATAAAAGAATGAGTAAACTATGTATGAAAAGGTGCATTCCCTATTACAGGTCAAGTAAAGTTAGTCTTTTCTGAAATAAGCTGCCAGTAATTTTTTTTTATGGCACTATACATTCATATTATATCTATTTTGTGTGATGTCAAAACATTTTTGTTTTATTTTTACAAAGAGATTGTGTAGCAATTATCAATATTTTCTAAAAAAACTCAAATTTGAGCATAGTACATCTATTTATTATACATCCTCTTTTGCATTGCTAAATTTTCTTATTACATTTGTTGTAATTGTCAGAAGCTGACTGTAGCTGGAAGGGAATATTATTGCATTCCTCATGTTGTACAATGTGGACCTAAGAAAGAATAAAGTTCTGTTTTATTTTATGATAATTATTTGTTTATGTTACAGAATGAAGGAGTTTGGAGTAAAGCCTGCAGATAAAGTGATATGTTTTGGTCAGTTACTGGGAATGTGTGACCAGGTCAGCTTTCCATTAGGTAAGGATCATCTTGAGAAGTTTGTGTTATAAAAGTAAAACTGTTTTGTATTACAAATAGGCCTTTAATATAAAACTGGTAAAATGATATTATAGTTTTTGATAGCTTTTAACAGGAACTGTCTAAAAGTAAAGATAAGACAGTTTTAATCTGATGTCATTATACACCAATGGTTTCTCTTCACATACAAATTAAATTTTATAAAGGCTTCTTTTGTCAACTTATATTTTATATTCTTTTGAATATAGTTATGATTAAAATCAAGTCTGGACTCATTTACTGGGGTAATGAGTGCATGTTATACTTTAAATGGTGTAAATGTGCTAGCTTTAACAAGGTTTTTAAGCTCTTCTATTTAAAGAAAGGGGAGAACTTATGTGCTCATTCCAACGTTGCAGTCACAGTTTGCTTAAGTTTGTGTCTCCAAAATATAACTAGTCAGGGAATGGATTGAAACTTCACACACTTGTTCTCTGTGATTATATAACAGGATCGGCTCAGGTCCCATAAAGCTGAGTTATATTTTTACAGAGTTATGCCCCTTTTATTACTGTCAACCATTGAGAATTAGTCAAGTGCACCGTTATATTGACAGTTCTTGTTACTTTTTCATTTAAACCATGTTACAGTAAAAGTTAATATCTTTTATTGAAGGACAAGGAGGTTATTCTGTATACAAGTATGTACCGTACGGTCCCGTGGACGAGGTACTTCCATACCTGTCTCGTAGAGCCATGGAAAACAAAGGCATTCTGAAAAAAGTGAAAAAAGAGAAGAAACTATTATGGAAAGAAATATCTCGCAGAATAAAATCTGGACAATTAAGATATGATCCCCTAAAGAATCTCCCTGATATAACACCGGTGTGAAGTACTGGTAGCGTGGTTACAGGAGACCTACAGTCGATATACATAATCATTAGATATATCAGTGATAAATACATTTATACAATACTCTATGTGTTTGAATACTCATAATTTTCATTTTAAATAATAAACATTCTCCATTTTAGTTGAATCTCAACATTTTTAAAATCTATGGGGTTTTTTTTTAATGAGATTTTTATTTGTTATCATTTTTGATGTTTAGACTATGATAATAAATTCAGATCTGCACAAACACAAGAGCTTAGCCTGCATATACTGATCAGAACACATATAACTGCTCAATTACAATATCTAATGATCTTAAAATTCCTTAAAATGACTTGTGGACTGTTATTAATTCAAAACATGGCTAGTCAATTATTCTTGTCTAGTGATGGTACGGTTGAAAAGTTGATCAAGCCTTGGGGCCAACTACGGGTGGTTGGGGGGGGGGGGGTTGAGTAAGTATAAACTTAAGCCGGTTTGAAGTTGGTGAAGGAAAAAAGGATTAGATCTGAATTTATATGCAACACAATTAGACTGTGATTTATTCTAATGGCTATTTTCATAATGTTTGAATATCAGTTAATTTTATTTTGAAGTTTCTTTATATTTTGTGTTGGTTTTTTTATTTGACCATAATTGTTTTGTTGTTAATTTTTATTTGCTCACCAAAGTACAATGTAATGTGTTCAAAGTGAGCTTATTTAATCACTCAATTCTTTGTTAGAATTGTCTGTCCATCTGTTTGTTTGTCTGTTTGTCTGTCCTCGTATCTATCTGTCCTGACAAGAGGACATATTATAATGGTTTAGTGATTCTTTTGGTGCAATTTTGATATTATTGACTTTTATAGAAATCTTTGATGGTATTAGAACACTTGTTAACATTTTGTTAACATAAGTATGAAGATAACTTTTGACTTATTGGGAACTGAGCTATTTTTATTTATTTATATTTTTTTTATAAAAAATTGTGTAAATTGAAGAGTTTTGATTATGTTAGCATGTTATATTGAGGCAATGTTTATTCTTAGAGGTTTGGACTTCATTTACCAAAAAATAACAGTGAGAGTTGTATTACAATCACAGGATTTTTTCTTTCAATCATAGTTTGGATTTTAGGTTCATGTAAGGCACACTCTCAATTTTTTTGGCAACTATTGATGAATCTCATTGTATTGTTTGTTTAATGCACTATTGTTTTGTTATTATTGTACCACTATACTGTACAACTGCATAATATATACTGATACAGGTATACCAGTACTTTACATAAATAAAATATTATAACAGTTGACACCAAAATGGTCATTTAAATGATCACTTCCCTTAAAGGGAGACACAGGCAAAATTTTAATTTCTTAGTTTTGGATTTTTCTTTCATTTTTCTGTAAATGTACTCAAGATGAATACACTTAACAGTCAAAGGAACAAAACTTTTCTCCATATAAAGAATAAAATGGTGTTTTCCTAACTTGACCCGCGTGGGTCAGGTTAGAGCGCTACGATTTCACAATAGTTGTCACTGTATTTTCTGGAAACGTTAAAGAACATGTCAAATCAATAACATAGACTTGTTTCAATCATACAATATCCACAATACCTGTTATTATAACTTCCAGGGTTTGTTCAAATCACATGACTTGTTTTTAAACTATTCGATGATTCTGTTGGCGTCTAAATTTTGTTCAACATATATAGATATATTCAAGTTTCAAACCCAAAATATACAGAATTTATACAGAAATTCATGCTGGGAGTTTAAGAAATGTCATTTTAGGGTGATTTGAGTACAGTAGATCATTTTTATATTTTTGTCATTATTTTGCCTGAGTATCCCTTTAAAAAAAATAATTCATACATATTTGTACACTGTACATAAAAATTTTTCATAAAAGAGAGTGTTTTTATTGAGTGTTTACACTGTACACAGTAAGTTTATTGTGAAAGTGAGTCTTTACATTGAATGTTTACACTGTATACAGTGAATTTATCATAAAAGTGTGTTTAGATTAAGTGTTTACATTGTACACAGTAAATTTATTATATTATGAAAGTGAGTGTTTACATTGAATGTGTACACTGTAAATTTATCATTAAAGTTTGTCTTTACATTAAGTATTTACACTGAACACAGTAAAATTATTGTGAAAGTGAGTGTTTACATTGAATGTTTACACTGTACACTGTAAATTTATCATAAAAGTGAGTGTTGACTTTAAATGTTTACACTGTACACCTTAAATTTATCACAAAATTGAGTGTTTACACTATACACAGTAAATTTATCATGAAAATGAGTATTTACATTAAGTGTTTACACTGCACACAGTAATCTAATTGTAAAAGTGAGTGTTTACATTATGTGTTTACACTGTACACAGTAAAATCATGAAAGTCAGTGTTTACAATGTACATAGTAAATTTATCATCATGAAAGAGAGTGTTTTCATTGAGTGTTTTCATTGTACACAGTAAATTTATTGTGAAAGTGAGTGGTTACAATAAATGTTTACACTGTACATGGTGAATTTATCTTAAAAGTGAGTGTTTACATTAAGTGTTTACACAGTACACAGTAAATTTATAACAAAATTGAGGGGTTACACTGTTGACAGTAAATTTATCATGAAAATGAGTATTTACATTGTTTACACTGTACATAGTAAATTTATCATCATGAAAGAGTGTTTTCATTGAGTGTTTTCCTGTACACAGTAAATTTATTGTTATAGTGAGTGTTTACAATAAATGTTTACACTGCACATGGTAAATTTATCATAAAAGTGTGTGTTTACATTAAGTGTTTACACTGTACACAGTTAATTTATCACAAAATTGAGTGTTTACACTGTACACAGTAAATTTATCATAAAGATGTGTATATTTACATGGAATATTTACACTGTTCACAGTAAATTTATCACAAAATTGGGTGATAACATTTAGTGCTTACACTGTGCAAAGTATATGTATCATGCAATTGAGTGTTTAAATTGAGTGTTTGCACTGTACACAGTAAATTTATCATGAAAGTGAGTATTTACATTAAGTGTTTACACTGTACACTAAAGTTCTTTTAAACGTTAGTGTTACATTGAACACAGTAATTTTATTGTGAAAGTGAGTATTTACACATTGTATTTACACTGTACACAGTAAATTTATCATGAAAGTGAGTATTTACATTAAGTGTTTACACTGTACACTAAAGTTATTTTAAACGTTAGTGTTACATTGAACACAGTAATTTTATTGTGAAAGTGAGTATTTACACATTGTATTTACACTGTACACAGTAAATTTATCATGTTTGTGCGGAAATCTAAAAGCTTACAGATATACTCTCAAATATTCGTTTAATTATACATGTACATGTGTGGTGTTTTTAGGGGGGATTTTTTTTCCAATCATATAACATATCACTCTTCTGTGTTGGTCAGCATCTCTTTTAGATATTGTCAGTTAAACACAGTTAGCTTCATTATATTTTTAACACCATGTTATTACAAGACATAGTTATGTAAGGGCACTCCCTACAAAACAATTTTTTGACCACTGCTTAAATACTCTTTCACTATATTGTAACTATGCACAAAGACAAAAATATGAAAACTACAGATGGTTCAACCACTGTTCAGTTATATGGGTAAAAATTGTATGATAAGCTTCATCTTTGGGTCAATATATTTAGCATACTTAATATTCTTTTAAAGTATGTAATTTGATAGCATAATTTTTTTTTGCTATATAAGGCACCAGTTTTTATGATCATGTTTACATAAGTGGTTTTATCCTGGTTTTTTTCTTTTTTAGTAAAGAAATGGCATCTTTCTGTATATACCATACATTTATGATATTTTGTTATTTAAACCATTAAAGATTCGTTTTAATTGATCTTTTTCTGTTGTTGATTTTTGTGTCATCCTGCTACAGATTAGCGGTGACATACAGGGGTCACTTCTCCGTCTGTCTGTCTGTCCGTCCGTTTGTCACCAAACGTGTCCGGACTACTTCTCAGAAACTTCTAGTGCAATTTATCCAAACATCACAGGAATAATCAGTACCAAGACTAGTTGTGCATATAACGTTAGCATTTTCCGGTTCAATGATTTGTGTCAGAGTTATGGACCTTTTTATGATTTTGATTTTTAAAAAAATCGGACTACTTTTCATGTATTACTAAGGCAATTTAAATGAAACTTTACAGGACTGATCGGTATCTCAAGTATTTGCGCATATTGCACGGGGATTCCTGGTTACTGATCAATACCTCAAAAACTGCTGGTGTAATTTCATTCAAACTTTACAGGAATGATAAGAACCAAGTCTAGTTGTGCATATTGTCGGTATTTTCCGGTTCAATGATTTGTGTTAGAGTTATGAACCTTTTATGATTTTTATTTTATTTACAGACTACTTCTCATATACCACTAATGCAATTTAACCTCAAGCACTTGCACATATTGAACGGGGTTTTCTATTTAATGATCAAGACCCTTAAATAAAATAAAAATAAATGCGTTTTGGCCTGTAAATCCTGCTACACAATAGCTGCAACATGCAACTGGCTATCATCAGGGGACACGCGATCACTGATGTCTTCTAGATCACGAGCATTTAGTGCACAGTGTATTTTACTGTCACTTCCAAAGTTGATTGTCAAATTCTTCAAAATGATCTCATGAAACTTGAATCGTGGGTAAAACAGTCGGAAATGGATATCATGAAGTCAAAATAACTTAAGATGTTAGTATAGACATAATAACTAGAAAAACTTGTTTAATCAAAGTTTCTAGAAAATATCTAGATTATTTAATGAAAGTATGCTACTCAATTAAAATATTTCAACGTTTCAGCTCGTTCAATCAGATAAATTGAGGAAATGAGCCGTGCCATGACAAAACCAACATAATGGGTTTGCGTCATGACGCATCCGCACAGTCTGATCAGTATCCATGCTGTTCGCTTACAAACCCTATTACAAGTAGAGAAACTCATAGCGAACAGCATGGATCCTGATCAGACTGCTTGGAGGCTTAGGCTGGTCTGGATCCATGCTGGTCGCAAATCCACTATGTTTGTTTTGTCATGACGCGGCTCAAATGTTGTTTACGTGAGGAACGGCAAAATAATTCCATAAAGCTCACGGTTTTTGTCCACTTTAGAAAGATAACATTTATTGAAAACTATTTATTCACGTTATCGTGTACTGTACACAATAATAGTTTTTTTAAATAAACATCTGGTAGAATAGATACCTTTTTCTTATTGTTCAATATGTTGTAATTAATTATTTATGTATTCAATTTTATCGCTTATATATAGATATATATTACAATGTATGTGAAGAAGTGCGAAAACAAGGGTGTTTTAATATTTTTCCTCTCAAACATTTAAATTCTCATCCTTAACCGCTGACAGCGTACTACAGAGCGAGGCCAGTCTATACAAACTGACCAGGCTCTATACTATCCATACTATTGGTAGCTCTTTTTTGCGTTTATTTTTGCTATTGAAATCCAATTAAAATTCAAAGAAGGCCAAATTACTTTCAAATATTTAGCAGTTAAAGGGTTAGATATCCGGGCACTAGCCGTAAAACCAAACATGTGTCTGTGCTTTATCGGGACGCAGTTAGCGAGGCGGGATGTTTTAACAAGGCGGGGTGTATCAAATTGACGGAGGAGATAAGAAGACGAAATTTGCATTACTCGAGTTGATGTCCTATAAAGAGACAAAATAAACACACACTGTGTTAACAGTTGTAGCATTTATGAAGCAAAAATACGTGTTGTTTTTTAGTGTGATACATTATTCAGGAAGTAAATATATACTTTTTTATTGTCTGCGGGGTTTAAAGATCAAGTGATCAGCAATAAATTAAATGATATAAACATTTGTAGCGAGTTAAAAAAAGTTCCGTTGGTTGGTCACGTGATGGCTACGACATCGGTTCCGAGGGACGGGGATAAACAAGAAGAGGCAGGGTTGAACCATTGGGGAGACATTACTGTGGTCGTGGTCTATTTCATTCTCGTACTGGCTGTAGGGTTCTGGGTAAGTAATATTCGCTATACGTTTGTCTTAAATTCGTATTTTGTTTTATATATGCCTTTTATCGCTTAAGTGCATGCAAAACTTTAAAACAGTTACAATTAAGACATATCATCATATACAATATAAACATCGAAGGTACTTTATCTTATAAAATGTGTTTGCATATTAATGCAAATGATACAATAAACACTCGAAGCAGTGGTTTATACAGTTACTTTTATTGTCTGTAATGTATACATTTATACGTTCCAATTACTTCTTAATTAATTTTATCTTTAAACTCGAAATAACCCATTTGTTCAAAGTTCACGTGATAACGCCATATCTGGTTAATACTTCATCGCCATGGTAACCATCCATTTTCTTGTATTGTATGTTCATGTTACATTGTTTTATCAAATTTTTATCTGGCCCTGAACGTTCCTATTGTTTCATTGCAGTCGTTATGTCGGCCAAACAGAGGCAGTGTACGAAGTTACTTTTTGGCGGGAAGAAGCATGGCATGGTGGCCCGTATGTATCTCTTATCCGCAATAATTACTTTGTTTTAATTTGTTTGGGTCGTCAGACCAAACAAATAATGGTAGCGAAATTTCAGAGTCTGATGCTGTTAATTGCAAATGCCGAAAGTAGCCCGCTTTTTTGAAGCGGTTACTTCCCTTTATATGTACACTAACGCCGAAAAATTCAGGGGAGATCACTGCGTAAAGATGGTCAAATGACAGGTGCATTAATTTTTAAGCAAAATAGTTCCCGAATGGTCGAAGATTTCTAATATTGTTTTATTCTTTATAGATATACATGCTTATAGTAAGCTCCCTGATTATTTTCATCTGTGTTAAACAACAGTTAGCGTCGAAATAATCAGGATTACAAACCCTAATTTAGAATAATATGGTTTTCTTCAAACCGTGAACATATAACTTCACCGTGGCCGAGGGGTTAGCGCGCTCGCTTAGGAAGCGAGAGGTCTGGAGTTCAAATCCCTGTTAAGGCATTTCATTTTGTTTTTCCACATTGTTTAAGTCAAATAAACATTGAATTGAATATCAGTGTTGCAATTAGTCTTATAGCCGATTTACTACAATTAAAACGCTTGAAAGCATTGGTGGCACTATACAAAAACAAGTTGGTTTATAATCTCACAACCTTCACCTTTCTGACATTCTGAGACCCAAACAAATTCAGCGCCTTCTGTGCTTTGATCTAAGAATGTAACTATATATTATAATTTGCTTAGATATCAATTACGGTGGCACGAAAGTGACATGTGTGTGTGTTTTTATTTATATCGTACGCACGAGATACTATGTCGTGGCCACGAGTTACAAAGTCGTGACCACGAGATAGTTAAGTCGTGGCCACGAGATAGTTAAGTCGTGGGAACGAGATACTTTGTCGTGGCCACGAGTTGCTAGGTCGTGGCCACAAGATAATTAAGTCGTGGGCACGAGATAGTTAAGTCATGGGCATGAGATACTATGTCGTGGTCACGAGATACTATGTCGTGACCACGAGATACTATGTCGTGACCACGAGATAATATGCCGTGGCCACGAGTTACTAAGTCGTTGGCACGAGGACGTTAAGTCGTGGGAGCGAGATACTTTGTCATGGGAACGAGATACTATGTCGTGGCCACAAGTTACTAAGTCGTGCGCACGAGATAGTTAAGTCGTGGGCATGAGATACTATGTCGCGGCCACGAGTTACTAAGTCGTGGGAACGAGATACATAACCAATCAGATTACATTATAATGAATATGTGCATTTTTACATATAACTACATGTAAATCTGTCAGTCGTTCACTGATTTACATGTACCGATTTAATATCTTTAAATTGACAGAACATTGAAATGATTTCAATATGAAAAACTGCTGCACTTTTATCTTACACAAACATCTTGTCGGAGGAAAAGTGCAGACTTCGCAGGAAATGTCGCGTGAAATTGATCACCACCGCTGATTGCATATCTACAAGGTTTTTGTTAGTGTGACTAACGTGCGGTATAAACTGAAATTAACTTTTCCTATATATTACTGAGAACTTAGAATAAATAATGGGTATGGTTGGCCTTCGCACTTGTCACTGACAAACTGTGGACCTCTGCATTGCATACATGTAGACCCCAGGTACTGCGAATACCTTGACACATGACCAAGTGACGGCAGCAGGCATAAAGAATACAGCATCTGTTCTACGGACGGAATGCGGCCATGAAAACGTTGGCACGTGCCCTACAGACCGGACTGCCGACCGTGTACTAACTACGTCACTGTGATAAAGACATCGATACTGCGGACATAAACACCGCGACACTGCGGTCATACCGTCATCAGCACATTTCCCATTGAAAGACTGTTAATATAGAGCCCATAGCTTTTGTCCGTGCGTGCGTGCATGCGTGTGTGTGCGCGCGCGCGCGCGTGTGTGTGTTTATTCTCGGCGCCGGAATAACCGAGATTATAGCATCCTTACCAGTCCACTATTGTAGTCGCATCGGGGGGGGGGGGGGGGGCGTCTTTTTCATGCCGAATCTTTCTAGATCCTGTTCTTCGTTCGATGATGGTAAAGGAGACGACAATAAAATAATGCCAAGGCATCAGCTTTCCGACAAAGGATAACTACGGAAGCTTGTATGTACCCCCGCTATGAAGACATGAAGTCGTCTCCCTCGACTTGTAGAACACAACAAGTCGTCAAAATTACGACGACAAGTTTATATATACCATGTCATTTTGACAAAATATATGTAATGATGTCGAGATACGGCATCCCGACTTTCTTACATAAATATATGTGTCGACTACAAGTAACATATATGTCGACATCCATGTTATTTCTAGTCGACAAATATATTAACGCATGAAAGTCGGGATACCGTATCTCGATATAATGACATATATGTTGTCAAAATGACATGGTATATATAAACTTGTCGTCGTAATTTTGACAACGTGTTGTGTTCTATAAGTCGAGGGAGACGACTTCATGTCTTCATAGCGGGGGTACATACAAGCTTCCGTAGATAACAAAAACGACCCGTTTACACCACCCTCCAGAGTCACGACAGGTCAACCAATTATCTCTGGTACTTGAGATGACTTGACCTTGACCTGCCGTGTGCTTTCTCAGCGACGTGCACGCCTCTGGAGGGATGACTTTTGTCCGACTGTCGGACTGAGGTCATATAGACATTGGCTCTTATAAAGTCTTGTCACACTGGCGGACTGTGAACATAAAGAAATGGCACGCGACCCATTGTAGTTCGTAGATATGGACATCGAAGCGTGTCCCATTGGCTAACTACGGATATATAGAACTCCGCACGTATCCCTCGGACGGACTACGGACATAAAGACCTAGGTATGTATCTTACTTACAGACTACATGCACTACTAGCATATCTACATCGACGCGTTTTATACAGACGGACTGCTGACATAGATATCGGCCTTTTGACCGAGATACAGGCACGTGTTCCAGTGACAGATAATTGATATATATATATATATACCTCGGCACGTGTACAACTGATGACCGCGGACATAATTATGAACTCTAGTAAAGTTTACCACTGACGAACTGCAGATATAAAGACTTTTGGCACAAATTCCTTTGGCAAATTGAAAACATATAGATCTCTGCACGTGGCCCTTTGACTGACTTCGGGTATATAGATTCACTTACGGACTGCGGATACACATACCTTGGCATGTGTCCCGCTGACAGACTGCGGACATATAGACGGACGTTCTCACAGGACAGTAATTATGTGGCTACTCTATTGTTCTCTCTATTGTTCCTTTTAGCCACACAAAAGAAAATAGCCACATAAAAGCATTACGGAATGAATGACATCAAAGAGAAATACTTCGCGACGTGTCCCACAGACGGACTGCAGAAAGAAATCGATACGTGTTCAATTGATAGACTTGCGGTTATATATAGAACTAAAAGGCTGCAGATATATAGACATCGAGTTCGAACATATGTAGGTCAAGGTTACTCAGGGAAATCGAATTTTCATTCCGCCATATATCACATAGACCAGTCACAGCTGTCAACTGTCTACGAGTCCAATAAAATCAGTATTGTAGTCAACAATTAAAAATGACTTTTTTATTTCACACCACTATTTTTAATTCGAGTACAATATATTTTTTACACTGAACAGTAAACAAAGCTTGATTGAGTACAATACAGTGATTTGATATGGATGCTTTAGACTCTGAAAACGAGGTTACATAAATAAGATTGTATCCTATAATTATTTATATTGAGAGTTCACATGGAAGTTCGTTGTTGACAATTTATTCCAAAACTAAACTGCGCCGGACGAAAAACTTGAAAAACAATTTTGATGGAAAATATGCACCTACAAATATTTGACACACCTCCTGATATAAACAACAATAATCTCTTTGCGCCATTAAAAATTCTTTTGCATTCACAAAAATTCTTTTGCACCCACAAGAAGCCGTGTTGATTGTTTTACAGCCGTACAAATGCTTGTTTATCATGAGAATATTCTTTATAACCTGTCCCTTGATATGATTTTGTTTATCAAATTGTGACATGAAAATGTAAGACAAGAAAAAGTATACTGCGTACAAATTCTACAAGAATTGTGTGTAAAAATAGCTTGTTATGCTTAAAGACACTTCACTTAGGTTTTTGGACATGACGGGACTGGAAATATTTCTCCGAGATTTGTGTACCATTTAATGTGGCTCTAAACCAATAGCTTGTGCGCCAATTTTCTAATCATTCCCACATTCCGTTTTTCTAGAATAACCATTATATTGTGCAAAATGACAAAGTAATAAAAAGAAAAAGAAAAGCTTCAGTCAATCGCGCTAAGAATTGCACTATAAATGTCGATATTCAATTTAATTCAGAGTATATCTTTTATTATCCTTTACAGATTTTTTCATTTTTCGGGGTTACTTTATCTAAGAAAAAAGTTCAAATTTTATATTTTAGGCTTTCTGACCTCAGTGGAGCTCCTTTAAAATGGGAGTTAAAAGTACAAAACTTACATTATTCAACATCAAATGAAATATAGTCTAATTTAAAATTGTATATCTATTTTACTTGTCATGCTCTAGTAAACACTATCAAAACAACTCGTTACCATTTTCTATATAAAAACGTTAATTTTTTGTTATACAAATGTAGATTCACTAATACATTACAAGAACTATGGTAATTTTCCGCATGGCCATCATCATGTTTACGAACGTTATAGAGACTAAATAGTTAAAATACATTGTTAGAAAATTAGTATAAAAAAGAACCATATGTTAGTAGTTGTAATCATGCGGCAACATATATCACGTACGCGACACAACCTCACAACCTTGTGATTGTAGGTTTGAGTCCCAGCTACTTAAATCGCGAACATTAGCTTATAGAACATTAGCTTGTAATATGACGAACATTAAGTTACATGACGTACATTAGGTTATATGACGAACAATAGCTTATATTAATACGAAAATTAACTTGTAAAATGAACAATAGCTTATATGGCTAACATTTGCTTATGATATGACGAACATCAGTTTATATGTAAAACATAAGCTTATATGCCGCACAGTAGCTTAAATGACGAGCATCAACTTATATGGCGAACATTAGCTTATATGCCGAACATCAATTTATATGACAAACATTAGCTTATATGCCGAAGATTAGCTTAAATGACGAACATCAACTTATATGACAAACATTACCTTATATGACGAACATTAGTTTATATGCCGAACGTAACCTTATATGACGAACAACAACTTATATGACGAATATTAGCTTATATGACGAACTCATGTGCTCGTTCGTGACTAAAATAATGCACGGAGAGCACCTGAGGTATTCCTCCACCAGTAAAGCTGAAAGTTCGCCATATGGCCTATACTGTGTCAGTGTGACGTAAAACCCAATTAAACAAACAAACAAAACATGACAACATTAGCTTATATGACGAACGTTAGCTGGTATAACAAACATAAGCTTATATGACACCAGTACTTTGTTACAAGGAGTGTACGTGAGAATGATAGCTTTTTAGTTAGTGTTATTTATAATATAGCTTAAGAAATATGTTCCACGAACTTTAAACCTCTGTTTGTGAACGTTTGTTTGTGAACGTATATTTTCAGGTTGGCGCATCTCTGTTTTCAAGTAATATTGGAAGTGAACATTTCGTTGGATTGGCTGGAACGGGCGCTGCGAGCGGTATAGCAATCGTGCTGTATGAATGGATGGTCAGTAAACACTTTCATTATAAAATTATTACATGTACGTTGTCTTATTTTGATCTTAATCATTGACCTTAAAGTCATATTATGCCTAAAAAAATTTTTTATTTCTTTAGAAATGGCAAACATGAATTTTATAATGCTTAAGTTATGGTTTTAAACAGAGAAAAGTTAAATGCTTGTTGCCCGAAAAAAGTAGCAATAAAATTAATGTGAAATAATTTGTTATATAAGTAGCAAAAGTAAACAGTACATGTTTAGTATTTTGTCTTCCACACAATGTACTAATTTATTACAATCGTATTTATTGCCAAAAAGCAAAAAATGAATATTATAAGATGGTTCCGATAATTTGCAATTGAGTATTTTTTTCAACGTTGATACTATAATTCACAAGAAAATTAAAAAGCTTTTATGAAATAAGAATAAAAGCATATCTGAGGCACAATGGGCTTTAACATTTTACTTTATTAATAAACAGAAATAAAATACACAAACTTATGGATTTTTAAACTTCAAGAATTATTTTTTTTCTGCGATAAAATCTAATTTTAGAATGTACTAAACGACGCAAGCATAAATGTCACATATTTTCTTAGACCTACTGAACTTTAAGAACATCTACATATATATTTGTTCAAGATGCAGTTATTATTCAATAGTTGTTGAAGCAGTATGCTTATTGTCTAGGCACTTTGTATAGTTCAAATGGTAGATAGAGAATGTTGCAAGAGGAAATGAACATTGTCATCAATTTTATACATTTAAGATACAATTGTTTAATATCAAAAGTTTACCATATTTAAGAATTTAAATAAATGAGCCGCGTCACGACAAAACCAACATAGTGGGTTTGCGACCAGCATGGATCCAGACCAGCCTGCGCATCCGCGCAGTCTGATCAGGATCCATGATGTTCGCTTTCAGTTTCTCTACTTGTTATAGGGTTTGTAAGCGAACAGCATGGATCCTGATCAGACTGCGCGGATGCGCAGGCTGGTCTGGATCCATGCTGGTCGCAAACGCACTATGTTGGTTTTGTCGTGACGTGGCTCAAATGTGAATGACAATAATTCCCATATCGTGACATGTACACATATCCCGAGAAAAACCACGAAAGTTACGTCACTGAATTTAATCTACATATTTTGTTCTAAGTATAATTATGATCATTAATATTTCATTTAAAACTGAACTGCACACAAACACAGATCTGTCTGAAAATGTGGTGAAGAAATAACCACATCTATATATATAATATTATATACTAGAGTATATTCTATTATCATGGGAGAATTGATGTGACACATTAGCACGTGACACTCATGACGAAACCTTGCAAATAGTTTCTATATGCTAATTCCAACTTTCTTTAATGGATCTCAGCCACTCCCCGTACAGCAGCAACCGTATATAGTGGAGAAATAAGTTAGCTTCACTCATAATTGATGTTTAAACTAGATCAGTGCAGATATAAGTTTTTTATTTTCTTTTAAAAAAAATTCATCTTGTGTAATTTTTTAAGTTTGTGATGGAAATACTGTTACTGATTTACTATTTTATGCATGGAATTTATGCTGTAACTTATGATACTTCAAATGGACTCCCCGACGATAATTCTGAAAACTTTAATAGTGTAGCTATTGACACGGGATATGGTTCACGTGTACGCACTGGTCATAGTCTCGCTCAAGGAACAATACTCCAACGGGTAGTATACGGAGCCGACGGACCCGGCCGCCGCCGCCGCCGTCGTCGTCAAAGTGGTAATTCTCTGACAGAATTGACCGACATTAAAGAGTTTTCTAAATCCGACAATCACAAGCCGTTAAAGAATGTTCTAAAAATAGACGAAAAACAATCGGGTGTGAATGAACCAAAGTTACAAGAAGTTCTTTGTTGCGCGACAGTATCTAAGAAAACTAACATTTCGAACGGATCGAATCTTGATCAAAAACAAACTCTGAACTTATTAAGAAAAATTGTTAACGCCTACAAAACCAAACCTTATCCTCCTGAAAATATTAAGTTGTATATGATGGAATTAGCGCCAACGAACGGAGGTGATTCGGGGCAATATAAAGATCTAAATCAGGAAATTGTACACCGAAAAACGAACGTTTCTCCCTTGTCAAAACGCATTTCAGACAGTGGATATGGTACCAGAGTAAATCTGTATTCTAACATAGCAAACCACACCACATCATTACATAATGCTGAAGAAATCTACGGGATTCACGGACCGGGAAAACGGTGAAATAAAAAGGACAAACGTATTATTAGAAATAACAGCCGTCATATCATAATACGTTACGTTATTACTTTAAAACGTCATAGATTACGTATATATAGGCAAGTTGTGATATTATTAGTCTTCTTCGTGATTCAATGCCGCACTATCATTGTAGCGGCAAATATTGGTTGTACTATTTTGTGTATAGAGATTTCACATGTTTTATTTATCAGTCATGTATATAATATATGCTTATAAACAATTTGTTGTTATAAAAAAAATCTGAAAATGTTGAACATTCTGATGAATAAATGTTTTTCTTGTTATCGTTGTTTCTTTTATCTGTTGTTTGCGATATTCGCTCTACTCTAATATACAATGCAATTATGTAAAAGCTAAATCGCAAAATGCTATTATTTTAACTTCTTTAAAACTTATTCCTTTTTGGTATTCTATCACAGCCCCCCCCCCCCTTAAAAACCCACAAAAAACCCACACAACAACAACAACAACAACAACAAAAAGCAAAAAAAAAAATAAAAAAAATAAGTTAGTATTTTATATGGAAGTCATTTACGTTATTTACGTTATTCTCCTTAAATGACAAATTGTTTCATTCTGAGCGCTATACTTGTTCCGGTTGATGATTATCTAAAATGCTTTAAATATTTTATGGAATTATTATTTAACATATGCTTGCCCTTTTAAAGAAAAAGAATATATATTTCAGGATGATAAGCTCTCCAATACATGTGTATTGTTTTTTCATGTAATAAAACTTCTCTCAAAGTTTACTGGTGAAGGAAAATCCTAGGCTCCTATCCGTGTTTTGTTTCTATACCAGTGCAATCCGTGTATGGGAAGAAGTGCATGTTTTACCATTGAAGAAGATACCGGTTTAATAGCACCGACTTCCTTCTCCCTAGCCTGAGCACTAGTACCTCCGTCATATAAATCCATGGCTAGATTATAAAGTTTGAGCCGCGTCACGACAAAACCAACATTGTGGGTTTGCGACCAGCATGGATCCTGATCAGACTGCGCGGACGGAAACCAATTATGTTGGTTTTGTCATGGCAGTAGGAACGTTAATGAAAGAGGGATAAGAGTGACCCGTTACAATTTCTGAAAAAGTACTCATTGACCAAATAGCGGAACCATCTTTTTCATCTTTACGACACATGTGTGCCCCTCCTATCGAAGAAAAAAAAAGATCTTGTATCAAACTATTTATCATAGGCAACAAGAGAATGAATTTTGTTGTATTAAATAGACTATCATTTAGTATTGTATGTTTACAGTCGATGCCGTTGGTTTTGTTACTTGCTTGGCTTTTCCTACCAGTGTACATATCAGCTGGTGTAAGTATTATCAATTTAACATATTACGTTCCTGATTTTTTTTTACTGAATAAGTGTTCCTTTGCGAGGATCATTCCTGTATCTTTGACGAAAGATGGGATAAAATAATTTTGTCTGAAATTGAATATAAAAAAGCACCACAAGACATGCACTTACATAGTTCGAATGCTAAGTTACGATAATTCATAAAAGAAAGAAACCCAATAAGTGATATAATAGTCCAAAAGATCCTCCTAAATTGAATGCCAGGGGAGATAACTAGTGTAATATTTTAAGACTTAATTATTATGTGCTTTTTTCGCCATAAAAATGCAATGCACCGGAGTATTATTCTTTTTTTCCGAATATTATCGATATCTTAATACAAGTCTCGTTTTATTGCAACAAATATATTTTTACCCAAACGTTATTTGCCATTTCCATTCTATTATAAAATATATAAGAGAACGTCAAGGGAGGTAATTGATGAGAATATGTCCTATTTTGTTGTTAAAGCAATAAACTTATTAAATAATGATGTAAATCTAATTATTTAACAGGTTTTTACATTACCGGAATATCTTCAGAAGAGGTTTGGTGGACAAAGGTTAAGAATCTATCTAAGTGTGTTGGCAATCATTCTTTATGTCATTACTAAACTCGCGGTAAGTTTTGTAATTTGTATATACATTTATACAATAGAAAAAAATGGTTTATTACTTTTCTTTCAATGTCGCTGTAAATGTTTTGCCATATTTTATCAGTGCATTTTAGAGTTTAGGCGGACACTGAGGTAGAACCATGGCATTTTATAAGTCAGTTGATAGCTGCTTTTTGTAATAATTATAAGTGATTCCTCGGGTTCGAGCACAATAGTGGCGTGCAACAAGAGATGTCAGGCAGCAGCCAGACAGTGACTTAACCTTGGGTCTATTTGAATATTTCACGATCAACAATTTATATCGTTAAATAGTTAGACTGTATATTTAATATCGATTTAAGACTAAAATTTAAATACCCGATTTAGACTAAATTTAAATACCCGATTTTAGACTAAATTTAAATACCCGATTTTAGACTAAATTTAAATACCCGATTTTAGACTAGATTTAAATACCCGATTTTAGTCTAAATTTAAATACCCGATTTTAGTCTAAATTTAAATACCCGATTTTAGACTAAATTTAAATACCCGATTTTAGTTTAAATTTAAATACCCGATTTTAGACTAAATTTGAATACCTGCTCTACCAACAACAATATAGTCTACGGGAAAAAAGTAATTACTGGATGAATACCATATACATTGAAGATATTTTACTAGTTTTATTTTTGGAATAATAGAAATATAAATACATGTACATAATATGACATCTCTTCATAAACATAGGGAAAACGTGTTTATTTACACATGATATACTACTACAAAGGAAGTCGAATAATTTCCCCTAAAATATCTTTTTGAACAATAATCGCGTAAAATTACAACATACAGAAAAGATAAAGAAAATAGCGAGAATATTCCGGCTTTCGTTATAAACTGCTGTCTTCAACTGAAATCCAGGGAGATTTTTTTTTAAATTTTGCAATATTATTCATTGATACTTTGTAGTCTTCACTCGAAGAACAATTTCCTAAAGAGAAAGTAAAAAAGTAATGTGCAAGAACAACAACATCAACAACAACAACAAAAATCTACACTGGCTTACTTTCCGACCCAGTCTACATTCCCCCGCCCCTTCCCTCAGTAGGAAGATGTCAGGTTATACTACCATGCCCATTGGTGAAATTAATTGAAATGTGCATTTAAAACAAATATAACGATTTTTGCCATGTAGATCAAGAAGAAACGGCAATATATGGAGGCGATTAGTCGCCTTCCAAAAATATATAAATATTCTTTCAGGTGACCATATTTGCTGGGGCTTTATTCATCCAGTTATCTCTTGGATGGGACATGTATGTTTCTATAGTGGCTTTGCTTGTTGTCACGGGCTTGTACACAGTTCTAGGTAGGTAAATTTCTATTACGTATCAATCTGTATGAGACGTCACTTTGATGGTCATGTCCTGTCAAGAGTGTACATTCACTAAGTACTCTGCTCAGACAGAAACTACCAACATCTCCAACATAGAAACATTAGAAACAGCACAGAAGAATTGCCACGAGAAAAACACGTGTTTCAAGTCCAGGATTGGAACTTTTTATTTAAAATGCGCAGATCTTTTCCTGCTGACCTTGATTTACATCTAGTCTATTTCAACATGCCATTTAGTGAAGACGAAGATGTTCTATTATAATCCTAATACCACAAGATTTTGATGTTTGACTCTACTGAGCTCTTAAAAGCTTTTATTTTTGTTTATAGAAATCTCATTTATTTAGCAAGATAACAAATGATAAGGGCGAGACAAATCATGGGCTTAATAGCTCAAACATGTTATTTAAGTACATGTAAATCTAAATATATTTTAGAAAGATCGAGATGACATTCTGCCCATTACACCAATACGGTTTTAGTTAATTAGCCTGTGGCTTCATATAACAGAAGAATCCATGAAAATAATTATGTTTTATAAATAAGATGAGCCGCGCCACGACAAAACCAACATAATGGGTTTGCGACCAGCATGGATCCAGACCAGCCTGCGCATTAGCGCAGTCTGATCAGGATCCATGCTGTTCGCTATCAGTTTCTCTACTTGTAATAGAGTTGGTAAGCGAACAGCATGGATCCTGATCAGACTGCGCGGATGCGCAGGCTGGTCTGGATCCATGCTGGTCGCAAACCCATTATGTTGGTTTTGTCGTGACGCGGCTCATTTATTGTTATTATTGTAGGTGGGTTAGCGGCTGTTATATACACAGACACGCTACAGACTGCAATTATGACCATAGGGGCCTTTTCTCTTGTTGGAATAAGTAAGTAGATATAAATACTTTATTATGTATTAAGCAACAATAACAAACATTAATATCAAATTTTAAAGAAGCACGTCTCCAGATTCCTATTTATTTTCACAAAATTTTTGAAAATGTATTAATAAAGTATTAATAAAATAAAATATTTTGAAGGGAACAAAGAAAATAATTTCCAAATTGCAAACGGCACTGGCAATAACTACCATGTTATAACTATAAAGAGGTCAAAATATGCAAAAATAGCCCTAGTAACGCAGTAGATGAAAAAATACCGCAAAATCTGTCATAAATCGCGCATCACATATTATTATTATTTTAAACATTTTTACTTTTCGTAAAGTCTGAGAACATTTTACTCAAGTTTGATTTTCTTAAAATATTTTGCCTCATCTGGAGGCATGCAGCTTTGACACTAGGCAAAAAAAACACCGTCATTCTAGTTCTTGCTTCTATTGGTTATACCCCCTCCCCCTGTTTGTGGAAGCAGGAGTGGTGCCACATTGTCACGTCGGTATTCATGTCTGAATGTCTTATAAATAGGCCGCAACACATCATCAGTCTAACTTTGATTCAAACGTCAAAGAAAATATAAAGTGTTCTTAAATGACAATTAATGTATGTTCTTAGAGTTTTCTGTCTGTGATCTTAAGGTATGAATGAAGTAGGAGGGTACAACAGACTCGAAGTGTTGTACATGGAGGCAACTCCCTCAATACGCGAAGAGAACAGCACGTGCGGTGCCCCGCCCAGTGATGCGTTCCATCTACTACGTGATCCGGTAACGTCAGATCAACCTTGGCCCGGATTGTTTCTACAGGCTTCACTCGGATGCCTTTGGTACTGGTGCTGTGATCAAGTAAGCAGTCAGTGTTTTATTTTTCATGTTCAGTAGGTGGACAGCGCCTTTAACATCATGTGACATGATATGTCTAGAGGTCATCATATTATATAAAAACCATCCTTAATAGTATGGGGCCAACATTTTAGGACTTCATGTCGGAAGCACTGGAGAAATGATGTAATTTTTTTGACTTAACTTTCGTTCCGAAATTTTTTTGACATTTCACATTTGCAAAAAGAAGATACATTAGAGAATCATTAAAGGCATGAACTTGTTTCATCTTTTGTTTTCTAAGAGAAATGACAAAAAAGAACGCTTTATTTAACATGACGGCCATGATATATCTGATGGTTTCCTGAAAGTATTGAAAGCTTTATCAAGACTATGTTATAAATAACAGATAATTACCATAGACAAACGCAATTTTGTCATCATGAACGATGTAAGACAGACACAAATAACAACTTATTGTTTTTTTTTGTTTTAGGTAATAGTTCAACGAACACTGGCGGCCAAAAACCTTGCACATGCAAAAGGCGGATCAATTTTGGCTGGTTATTTAAAAATAGTTCCATTATTTATCATGATTTGGCCTGGAATGATCAGTAGAGCCTTGTTCCCAGGTGAGGTTATAAAATGTTTGTACAAACTCTTGATATTGAAAAGGAAGCCTCTTATGTTATGAAGAAATTATTTTATCATTATTTGCAATGCAGATTAACTTTAGTAACTTGTGATTCAGACATGTAAATAAAAAAACAAACTTTTTTTGTTCATTAAAATTTATGCTTTGAAAAAGACAGGTCGTAATAATGTTCAAATGTTTTTTAAAAGACATCAGTAATTCTGCTTTAAATTTCCCTCGTTAGATTAAAGGAACGTTCGAAACTTAGACTTGCAACGAAATTTTGGTTACCCTTTCTGTCAAGGTCGCTCTAGGGCTGTATCACACATAACGCAGTTTTATCCATAAAGTTAATGATTAAAGGAAACCAAATGAGCATTTATAATTTAAAAGCATTGATAGCGAGTTTCATCTTATTATGAGAACTACTTTTATATGATTTTTCGTTGATGCTAAAAGGTAAATATGTTTTTATCATATCTCTCATTTGGTACAGAATAAACTAGAATCATTCTATATATGATACCTTCAGGTGACACGAAACCTCACATTTATCTTTATACATAACAATATCGCTAAGATATACTCTACAATGTCACCTGGTTCATATATGCTTTGTACTTTATACTAAGTGCATTGTTTTTTCTATATTTGCAGACGACGTAGGATGTGTTGATCCAAAGGAATGTGAGAGAGCTTGTGGAAACCCCGTCGGATGTTCAAATATTGCCTATCCAAAACTTGTCCTGTCCCTCATGCCAACAGGTGAATTATTTTATTTTTTAGACATACATGTTATCTTCATCTGTCATATTAAAAGAAAGCAATTCAAGCAAGCAGTAAATTAAATGCTACTGTACTTATCTCCCTTGATGTATAATAGACGTTTTTGGAATGATGAAAGATCATGAGTGACATAATGTTCAGTTCTGACATGAAAGAAATGGTTCAATTATGGCGAGAGCAGGTTAAGATGACCTTGTTTACGTACTTTACGATAATGTTGTCCCTTTCAGAAACATATTGTTAACATTTTTTCAGGAGTAAAATAGGTTATTAATCACTGGCATAAAAGAATTATTACAAAAATTACTTACCCTGTTATTCACGTTTGCAAAAAGTTCAATCTAAAAAGAAAACATCTTTATTTCTGATTTTGTTAAAGCTTTTTTAACAAAAGAATGTAACAATATTAGTTCAAACAATATTAGTTCAGGTGTTTATCTTATTTTATAAATAGAAGTTTAATAGAGGGTTTCTGTATTTGATACTATTGAAAATTTAAGTGGCGGCAAAATTTTATTTATGACACTTTTTATGTTGAATAATAAAATTATTAAGTTTTGCTGAATAGAAATAACAAGAAACGTTGACGTACTCACGCATTGATAACGTCATAAAAGATACTTTTCATTTTAACTTTTTCATTTTTATGATGAAGAGAAAAAGTTGTGTTAAGAACGGTAGTTACTAGTTATATAATTAAATATATTTAATACTAAAGTGTGCTAAAAGCATAGTGCCATTAACTTTAGTCCCTTCATCATTTAAAAGTCCGGATTAGGAAATGAGGGCGTATCTGTCCATTTACCGTCTGCTCATATTTGTTCGGTTACTGTGTTCGTAAGCTTCAAAACACCATAAATGCTACTATGTTCCACGTTAACACATAATTATTTTTTTTCACTATTTACATGTGTAATATTTTGACGGTATTACAGGTTTACGTGGTTTGTTAATGGCGGTGATGTTATCGGCCATTATGAGTTCACTTACGTCCATTCTCAACTCGTCAAGTACTCTCTTCACCATGGATCTGTGGAGGCGAATCCGGAAACACGCAACTGAAAGAGAACTTCTCATAGTCGGCCGGTAAGTTTAATCAACTTCAAGGACAACCAAAACTAAATAATCAGACGATAAACAAGTTTTAGCTCGTCCTCTCTTGGAAAGCCTTTAAACTACAAACTCCAAGAACTATCGTTGGACGGTAAATGATTAGTTTCTAAAGGACTGCCAAGGCGCTTATTTAGTCTGGTCTCGTCTCCTTTTTGGAGAACTGCTATATGTATAAACTCCTCTAAAGGTAAGTTCGAGTCCTGGACGAGACACAGCTCTTTATTGATTTCTTTGTCCATTTGGTCCATTACCATTCGTCCTCTACTGCTGATGTAGAGAATGGGGCAGACAGTCATATGTAGTCCACGGTCGTTTATCTTACTGAACCAAAAATGAAACATATGTACGATAATGACTATGAAAAACATGTAAACAGATACGTTTCCCGTTCAGTATTATAACTTACATTTTTTAATTTCTTTATTTTATGAATATTAACTATATATATATATATATATATATATATATATATATATATATATATATATATATATATATATATATATATATTTTTTTTTTTTTTTTTTTTTGATGCGTTTATTTAAGGTCGCCGCCGGAAAGCCCATATGGGCGACCGTACACTCAAGTCGGGTCATCCTAGAGCGTCCCGCCGAGATTTTTCGTCGATTTTTTTCCAGCTTTATTGGTGGAGGAAGACCCCAGGTGCCCCTCCGGGCATTATTTCAGGCACGAGCGGGCACCTGGGTAGAACCACCGGCGATCTCAATTCAACGACTTTAACCACTCGGCCACGGAGGCCCCATTAACTATATTATATATTACAGGGTATTTATAGCTGTTATGTGCGGACTAAGTATACTATGGATCCCACTGGTAAAGTCGTCACAGAGTGGTCAGTTGTTTGTCTATATACAGGCCGTACAGGGGTATCTTGGCACGCCCATTGGTGCTCTATTCCTGTTTTCAATCCTCTGGAAACGTATGAACGAACATGTGAGTTAATTATTGACCTTTGAACAAATTAAATCAACCTGTAAAACTTTGCAATATGATAATGCTGATTTGACAAACTTATCATTGTAACTTCACAATAAACCAAATGGTGCGCGTATAAATATTTAAATTGTGACATTTTATTTCAGGGAGCATTTTGGGGCATTCTGATTGGTCACGTATGCGGAATAATACGAATGGTGTTAGATTTTGTATATCCGGCGCCTGACTGCGGCGAAGCGGAAACACGTCCGCCTGTTGTGTACAATGTTCATTATACATACTTTTGTCAAATGAACTTGGTTATCACGTCATTATCAATTGTGATAATAAGTCTGTTGACCAAACCCCTTCCCAAGGAAAAGGTTAGTAAATCGGTAAAATTATCAAGAAATGTTTTTTCCCGTCACATTTATTAAGGAAATTTAAGCATATGTATATTTCTCATTGAAATCCCTTTGCCATCTGTGTTACGTGACATTGCATTTTTTATGCTGGGTAGATGTATAATTTAATGTGTTAAATATCTAATATATATTTTATACCTTCGAGTTTTATGTGGTGAACTTTCATCAATTTTAATACCGGCCACATGGAAATAGGCCATTGCCACGAGATCAGTAATGGCACAAAATTAGTGATGTTTACTATATTCCATTAATCAATTTGTTTTAAATAATATCTGAAATAATCTCTTAACAATTATAGCTGATTCTAAAATATCGAGAAAATCAAACTTGAAAAAAAAGTACTACGATTTTAAGAACATGAAAAAGATTCAAAATCCAAGTATTAACTGGCATGTTATGTGTATTTGATTTGCAGTATTTATCACCTTACTTTCGCAGTAAGGGCTATTTTGGCATATTTTCTGGCCATTTTTGGTAATTTACGTGATTAATAGTGTCGTTTGCAATGTGTAAACGACTTTCTTCGTCCACTTAACAATATTTTACTATTTTCAAAATCTTCATGAAAATTAGCATGAATCTGAATGCATGCTGCTTTGAATCATTCCAAGTTTCTTTCATCTTTTACTGTTTAACCAGTAAGTTTGTGTTAATTATATATTTGTAATAAATAAAACATAAATTTTACCTTTCTATAATGTTTTATTGTCTAATATAGCTCAACGTAATTTGAACAACTACTTTTCATTTGTAATGTTTATTCAGTATATATCAAAATATATTGTATATGTTTGTGAGTAAATAGTTTGTAGTTAATGTTATTATTTTTTTTTAAGTTTTTTTTGTTATATATTAACCGACGTTATTTAAAGTTTCTTGTATTTTGATCAGCTTTCAAACGTTCAAATTCAATTTTATAGGAATATATTTCTTTCATAAATAACACATGAAACATGTGACTTGTTGAAACCATGGAAATAAGACTTGGAAAATATGTTTTTATGATGACCATAATAAATAACCTCAGTCAAACTTAATGGACGATTTCAAGCGTGATTTTTGCAGATAAGTTAATGTATCAGGAGTGTACCTGATATTTAAAGACAATGTTACTTGAAGCTTGACCTATTTATTTATTGATAATGAGTGTTTTTAGCATATTTATATTTGACACTGGACATGATGAAAATTATGTGTATATTCATTCAAATATGAATTAATTAATTAGAAGTGTTTTAAATCTTAATGAATATGATAGTATGTTATTAAAATTAAGTAAAACCGTGGCTTGACGCACGGGTAATAAATGATTAAAATATGACACTTGGCGTAACTCAGACTGACATATATTTTGCATGAGTGTCTACCATAGATAATTCCATTATCGAACATTCCCGGACATGTCTTTAAATAGCTTAATTAGTGTTGACAAGTTACAGGGTAGTTCCATCAAATATAAGAAGTTTTTCACCTTTGAATTATAGCTCACCGGAATGACATGGTGGACACGTGCTCGAGCAGACGACATTGATGTAGAAGAAATAACGTTGAAACCGAGAATAAATGGTAATATATCCTGACTGTGCTGAACATGACAAAACTTCCAAGATTAGTGACTAAACATCAAACATTTCAAAATTTCTTGAAATGTGCAAACAAAGCAACCCCTTATATAACATGAAAATAAAATTCAATGTTGACTTCTAGTTTCATTAACTATAAGGTTGTTTTGTTTTACATATACATGTACATGTCTTTGTATTTGTCTATTCATTCGTATTTGTTCATAAATTTGAAATAAATAAAACATGAAAAATATATTACACACGGGGACATACTGGCCTTTTGTCAGCAAATGATACTGTTCTTTAAATGTTGAATTTAAGACGATTGTTAGGTCGAAACAAAGGTACATGTATTTTTATAATCAAACGATGATTTGTTTTAGAAGGGGACTAATTTTTTTTTGTTTACTTTTACCGTACTTTAAGGGGCAATGGAACAATCCGCAGCAGACGAGGAGGACACGGAAAGTGTCGGAACTTGCCGAAAATGGACGGACTTTGTGTGCGGAATTCCGAAAAAGGCCGAAGAGCATAGTCTTGAAGAAGAAGCTGCACAGAAAAAAGTGTTTCTAAAAGAGAACAGATTCTGGTCAAATATTTTAAATATAAATGCCGGAATTGGACTTGTTATTGTTGCGTTCCTCATCGGATTTTTCAGATAGGAAAATTACAAATGATGACTAAATGTATATAGTGCATGTGAAAACTATAAATAGATTTAAAGCTACAGACATATTTCCACATATACATGTAAGCTTTCCAACGGACCAATGCGTAAAGTGATTGAAACGTTTCTTCCTCAGACAGCATGGTTATAAAATTGGCAAACTTGTATATTACTAGTTATAAAGATTTTATTGGTTATATATGACCCTATATAAACGGTTGTTTCCAACATATAACCATAGCTGCTGCAGTTTGTAACGTCGATTTTCATTGAATATTATGAACATGTATATGTATCGTATTAAGCTTATATGCTTTTAGAAATCCAAACTGATGCAACATCTCCCTAAACTAAACACATACACTAGTAAGCTAGGTACAAAAAGATTATAATGTAGAATCTACTACTCGACCAACTAAGTATCAGTTTTCGGTTCTGGTTCTTTTTTCTTGCATTCAATGTGTTGTAAAGTTTTAAATTGTAAATGTGTATACTTGCTTGAAATAAACTGTTTACTATAGACTGCATTCGACCAAAATAACTTTGTGTGTAAAGAACCTAAAGAACATTAAAGTTACATTAAATAAATATGTAAAAATATTTTGCCGTCGGCCTAAAAATCAAACATTCTACAGTTTCATTAACCTGTTTAAAAGTTTTGTTGTAAATCTCATCAAATATTGTTCATAAATTAGGATTTTAACCGGGAAACCCCACGGTAACACTAAAGTTCGTATACGAATTTTAACATGCAAATGAAGACTATAATGAGCTCGTGTATGCGCTACGTCACAGTTTTATAGTTGCTATCCGGAACACAGCAAATGTGATATTTTCTTGTGCAAACACACTTTAACCGTTTAAGCTTCACGGTGCACTAAACCTGGGGTTCAGTAAAAGTAATCATCTCGTAAAAAGATTAAATTTGTATGAAAACATCCGTTACAATGCGGAAATATACCGTTAAATTAGGACTGCCACTTATAGTCATGTTTGTTGATTTAATATTGATGTACGGATGATCCGAAGGCGGAGTTTCTCATGCAAACAGAAATTGTACTTCCCATTTCGCCACAATGAGGTTACCTATTTTTATGCTAATAAAACTCATTTTGGTTGTCTGGACACCAAAATAAGACCTGGAGTCGATATAAAACCCAATTTATTAATGAAATGTCGCTATTTAGTTTTTTATGAAATTTATTAAATGTAACTTTAAAAGAAAATGTAACTGTTCATTTACCAGAAGTTTCAAGTCCTGTAAGAATATACCAGTAAAGGCACCAAGGTTTTGACATGTAGTGAGAAAAGCATTTTGGAAAGAAGTGATTATGTTGTTGTAGAATCTATAAATTCTTCAAATTATATAAACATTATATAAACATTTTTATCGATGATATAAGGACAATAAACTATATATAATATTGAAAAGATGTGTTACAATTATTTGTTTTGTAAAACGTTCAACTCTGCAAGTAACTTCATGGGGTAAAAAGTCAAAAAAAATTTTTAATTTAAATTATTTTTTTAAATTTTTCTTTTGTTTTTTTTCCCGGGAAATGCTTTCCCTTTTAGGGAGAACTGTTCCCCTCCAGGACTGTGTTACCATACTGATGCAGGTGAATAAAGTTTCTATTCTGGCCTGGCTAGACAAGGTGTTGTTGCACGTTGGTAACAAATCTGTATCTTTTATGAAAAACCAATTTAAAATTGCTTTGTAAATTTTATTGTAAGTTTTTGTTATAGAACTGAACTACATTGTTACGCGTATGAATATAGTTGATTTGGTTGTATGCCGGAGGAAACAACGACATATCGACATCTTCAAAAGGATCAGCTCAGAGTTGTCCTTCCTTATATCCTACTGTCGCAAGTAAATGAACCCTACTGAGGTCCATAACGCTAAATAATAAAATTTCAATTTCTTACATAGATCAGCTAAGGCTCACAAAGTAGAAAGAAAACAAAAGAAAAATGTTCAGAAATTAATTGAAATTTGTATTTTTGTGCTATTCTTAGTATGTTTGAAGGAAAATCATTGCAACGCTTTTCAATTTTGGGTCATTTTTTCACAATTGAAAATCATTTTGGTAAAACAAAGTGAGCAAATGATCTGAAAGTTTGCACACAAGCTATTGGTACAAAAACTCAGTTGAGTCCCTTTAAGTGACTTCATGTTGAAATTGGATATAATGTTAATAGCAAATTAGGGACAAAAGAAGAATAATTGCCTTGAAAATAATGCATGTCTCTTTGGAATAGAAATACTGCCATGTCATTCTTCTTTTTGATCTACGCTCTTGGAGATTTACAGTTTTCAGAACAACCTATGTCACTTTTATCAATTGGTAAACCTTTAATGTTGCCATGGAGACTAACCGTTTTATCCAGGTAATAATGAAATATCTGACGCTCAATAAATTCTAGTGTTGTTTTTTCACTGAAAAGGGGTTAATAATAAAAACCCGCTTTTAAAGGGGAAAAGAAAATTTTGTACTAAATTGGCGCGCGAATCGCTACGGGGGGTTATTTTTTTTTTTTTTTTTTAAAAAATTTAAATAAATGCATTCATTTTATATGGTGCTTTTAAAATTTGAGTTCCCTTTGACTGATTTTTTGGCAAAAATTTTTGTAAAAGTTTTTATTTTTTTATTATGTACTATTAAAAAAAAAACCTTAATCTTTTCATGTACTATTATATGGTTGCAAAAGTATCTTCAAAACCGATTTTTATTATAATTTTGTCATACACAATAAATTTGTTTATTTTACTTAGATGATAAATGATATGAAAAAGGTCTTTGAAAAAAAGTCTAGGTTTATTAAACTGTTAAATCACATTCACTTCAACATCATGCTTTGTAGACATGAATATTTCGTAACGTACCAAGCAATAATTGTAGCATTCGGAACATCTTGCCGATTATCAATAATCCGTTCCTATCCGAAATTTGGCGGACAGAGCCGAGAAGTTGCGGTTGTAGTCCCTGACGCCACCGATGTCGTGGGTTTGAATCCCGCGGGTATCTTATGGTGTTCCATCGGGGCCATCCTTTCTTCGTACCGTTTACGTCTGATATATTCCTAAAACCAAACGCCAAAGCGAAGACACGATACGCCGAAGCAACCAGACGATACGCAAAATCGAGGAGACGATGCGGAAAAAACGCATTGTTTGTCGCTTCGGCATATTGCCTTGTCACTTTGGAGTATCGTCCAGTCATACCATTGCGTGCGTATGCGTATCCTTTCGTTGCTTCGACGTATCATCTCGTCTTTTCGGGGGATAAGCTGAAGCTACGTATACGAGAAAATAAAACGATTATCTGAAGCAAGAAGGCTATGCCCAAAAGCTACGAGACCATGGACCAAAGCCGCGAGATAATTCGCGGAAAAAACAGGTGAAAAGATGATGCAATAAAGCGCATCGGCTCGGCGCACCGTCCATTGATAAAGCAGTGACTTTCCGAAACAATGCATTTTAAAGGGTGACAAATGAGAAATTTGATTGAGTGTGGTTTTGGAAATTTCCTTCGGCATATCTTGAAAGGTTATAAGTAATTTTCTGTGAGTAGTTAATGCCCCAGGCTCGAATAAATCGCTATGAATCTATACACCTGACCACGATTTTACTCATTCAAACATTTCTGAAGACCTCATTAGAAATAACTGAGTAGTAAAGACGTACATTTCATAAGACAAGAAAATCATCATGAACATACACGCATATTTAAATTCATCTCTAATATCTCTAGTGTTACAACGTAGACATTCGTCATTTATCGCAGGCACAATATCGCATATTTATTTTTATTTTCTTTGTAACAAGTCTTATTACTTCGATATTAACATTCTATTCATATTCGTGCATTTAGTGTTCATATTCCCATACTGTTCTTATTTTAAAGTATCTATAAGTCTACAATAAATTTATTGGCTTAAACTTTAGATGGGAGTTGTTCATCCAGTTGCTTCTTTTATGTTTTTTTTCCAAACATACAATCCAACAACCAAAATAAACAAACAAAAACTACTTATTATAAGAAATTTAAAAAGAACTAATTCTGAGTCCCCGGCATGTTATTCTTTTAGAGCATGCAAGACATATAGGACATGGTTATTTCACAACACTCGCGTTGAAATAGATAGGTAAATGTGAGTTTATATTAGTTTCTAGCGTTTTTAATTGTTTTGTTTCAGGTAAATATCTAATAATGAAGGCGTTGCTATTTTGTATTTGTATGTATCTGGTACTGGAGGCTTGTTTAGCAAAACCACCAGGAAAGAAAGAAGACGGGAAAAAAATGTCGGCAAAAGGTATGTTTAATTTATATGCAGCAACAACGGTGCACTTCATAGTCTATTGCAAACTGTACCAGTCATTTGTTACCCCATTGTTACTCACATCTAAATAAACTTAATTTAACATAAAAATGTAGTTACACGTATAATACATTTCTTGACATACATGTACATGATTGTGAAGTGTTGCATCGTTATTCCAAGTTATTTGCAAAATGCATTTTGGTCTTTTTCTCCAATCGCATCTCCTCGGCCATTTCCGTCAATTTTCAGACTTCGTTATGATCAATATAACCTCGCCGATTATCAATCTTTATCCGAAGTTTGACGGAAAAGGCCGAGAAGTAGCGAATGTTACTAGAAATAATCGTCTGTATTTTACGACAGGTCATAAGAACTACGAAGCGATGATGAAAGATATGACACAGTATGGCTTCCAGCCAGGTATGATCGGGTCACCATATTTCGATCCATCATTTTTTGGAGCTGAAGATCATCAAATTAAACCACAGAAGTCTGCAAACCGACGCAAGACCAAACGTTCCTCAAAATCCAAACATCAAACGAAACGGAATGCTCAGAAATCAAATTAGAATGTGTTAATGTGTTGTTTTTTTTCTGTCCCTCACTATTGGCTTCATCTGAATTTATATGTATACTTATAAATTCGTTTAAAATTGTTATAATTATGTTTAATTTTGATGATTGGAAGTTTTCCATGATGGACATAAATTATATAATGCTGCCCTTCTTCATTTATAAGTTATTCAAAAACTAGTGTGTTTATAATTGTTATTTCTTTTGTTTGGTGTGTTGTTATTATTGTTTTTTTTAAATACTCATACAAGGTTTGATCTATGAAATCATGAATATTGCATTTTAGTAAATGACGTGTAAAAAATCTAGATACCAATACATTATCAGAAGACTAACGTATGAGAAATCGCAGTTACGGCCCTTGATATTCTACTTGCGTAATGATGCGTCATAGTCATAGTCCTGGCAATGGCTGTGAAATGTAAATTTAGAAATATATGGCTAAAATAGTGAAAATAAATCTATACGAACACTTACATTTATGCTTTAATAAACACTGTCATGGTAAAAAGTTGAAACATACGACTAGTTGACCTAGTCAAACTGTTCTAGCGCGCGAACATGTCCTCATATAATGTTGAATATTGAACAGCTTATTGAAATTCCACCAGCTAAAGATAGATCTTATGGTGCGGACAAGCTGTTTAAGACCATTCTTTAAAGTAAGACCTTGACCTTTGACCTAGCCACACGGTTCTTGCGCACGACACGCCGTCTCATTAGTTAAGTTATTTGAAATTATGCCAACTTATGAGAGAGTTACGACCCGGGCATCCATAATCTGGACTAACGGATGGACGGATAGACGGACATAATGTATACACCGAACCGCCATTGTGACAACTATATCAAGCTCTCCGCAAGCGGGCTTGACAGAAAAAAAAAAAGAATAAACTCGCTAAAAACACATGTATATGTATTCACAGTAAATATTTCGTGTTAAAGTATTCTGTTTATATATACATGTATATTAAGTTGTGAAGTATTGTTACTAATGTTAAAAAACTAACATGGTTATTAGAAATTTTAAGTTTTGATCTTGAAGCGAAAGATTCTATCTGTTAGGTCGCCGGAATGTTTATTATTTTTTTATGTTTATTTTTGAAGTCACTATTCTTTTTTATTTTTTTATTTAAGTGTTGTTATTTATCTATAAAATTCACCTGATCTTCAATCTCATGTAAAACATGTATATCTGTTTTTTTCTGTAAATTGATAAATGAAATATAATATCATTCTTTGAAAGTATTCCTGTCTTTGTTAGTAATATTATATGAAAGGTTTATAAATTAGTTTTCCATTTATTCCGGTCGTTATGGCAATCAAGAGATAATTTCCCAAGTGAGTTGATAATGTCGATTTCTCAAGACAAGTGTGGTGTAAGTTTAATAACTAACTTTAATAATTATCAAAGTGATATCGTTTTATCATTTTTATGGGGTTTTTTTGTTTGATTGGGTTTTACGTCACATCGACACAGTATAGGTCATATCGCGACGTTCCAGCTTACTGGTGGAGGAAGACCTCAGGTGCGATTCCGTGCATTATTTCCATCACGAACAGTCACCTTAGTAGAACCAACGACGTTCCGTAAACTAGCTGGATAGCTTCCTAACATGAAAGAATCCAAAGTCCCTGTCGGGATTCGAACCCACAGCGGTGAGGGGCAAGTGGTTTGAAGTCAACGACCTTAACCACTCGGCCACGGACATGAAGCAACGTTGAGTGTGGCAGCAAGTGCACTTCCTGTCAGTAAGTCAGATTAACTTTTTCTACCCTTTCAAACACAGTATAGCTTATACAGCGAAGTGCTGAAGTGTTGCTCTTTAATAAGATGGTCCGCGTTACAGCTTTCGGTCATTATAAGTGATTTGGCAATAATTATGTGTGGGAGTCCTGGATCGACTTCAGGTTGATCGATTCTGATGTTTCGATTTCGTGACATAGGTCGCCCATGTCCGATGCCTGGCTAGGACTGATGGGGTTTCAGTCTTGAAATGGTCCAAAGAAGTTGTGTTTCAAATAAGAATAAATCTTAGTTTAGTAAATTTTCTTTGTTCTAAAATGCAGAAAAAAACTTAAATCAACCCATACAGATGTCCCAGACTCTATGACAATTTTAACCTAAACATAAATCAAAGTGCTGAAAGCACTGATGGGGGCGCAATATGTTGCATACAAAAATTCGAGATTTGTATAGCAATCTACTTTAGGTGTTCCAATCTGATGTCATTCTTCTTTCAAAGTTGAATAAGTGCCCATTTTGTACACAATATAATAGTATCGCCTCCAAACTCTTGTCAAAATTGAAAATCATGTACCAAGAACATACTAACAAACCCAGGCAAAATGCATAATTGATATCATATATATATCATGAATAAACATTTTAAATTATGACATTGGATTTTGTTGGGAAACTACAGTTGTTTAACCAATTTTCATGTAAAGTACTTCCTTATGTGAGTGTATAACACATAAATCAGTGTACTTACTATATTTATTCCAAGAAATGATTATGCAGATAGAAAATAAACAGAAAATTTAACTGTCTTTAAAATATTTCTAAAATAAAACCAGGACTGTAAGAACAAACTTGTTTTTTGTAGAAACCTTTCAAGCACAATAGATAATACATGTGAGAATGTAAATTGGAATGGATACATATAATCAAGTTGGCATTGAAAACAAGAGCCACTATCTAGCCTGGGCCATGCTCGGCTTTTTCTTATATTGGAAGTCAAACACATCAGTAGGAGAATATTGTAATATCTATTAGAGTACTCCTAGAAAACATAATATAAATGTATAAAGTAAATTTCAAATTTGAATAGTAAAGGTCATAGTTGAATGATAATTGTTCTTTTGTCCAAGAATGAATCAAATCATAGACAAAAACAAAGTTATGACAATGTGATCGAATTTCAATTGTTTAACCTTGGAGGTAATGGTCATTTAAATGTCAAAGTTAAATCAGAAAAATTCAACATGTTAGTTTTGTGTTTGTTTGTCCAAGCATGAATCAAATCTGTAAATAATAACAAAGTAATGACAATTCCAGCTAACTCCAGATACTTTATATCAAATAAAGGTCAAGGTCATATATGAACTTGAAGGGCTTTTGTCACAAAAACATGTCTCCCAAAACTGTGTATGGTTCTGATCACTCTTTTGAATTTTGGCAGTTTTACATGTGATAGATTTTTCTTTTTTTAACTCTTGGGCCATTTTGTGCAGAGAAACAGAACATGCCATTGTCGGATACCCACGATTGATAAACATGTCACATAACATGCAATCAATGATGAATGTTAATGGTTCGGCCGTGGGTATCTGACGATGAGAACATGCCAACAATGTGCACAACTAAGGATGGCACTGTACACTCCTGTTTAGTCCTGTTTGAAATCTAACCAGCTGTTTGAACATTACTTTTGTACTTTTATATAAGTTAAAGATAGAAAACATTATCAATTTTAATCCTATACTTATTATAGGTATTTATTGGATTCATTATTCAAAATTAAATGAAAGAGCATGGAACAAAATATTTTCAAGATCTAGTAAAATCTAAATGTTTTTAAAATCTAGTAGAATCAAAACTTTACAATAAATATACTATAAAGTACATTATAACAATACATGTATTTTGGATAATACACTCTCAGCTGAAATACTTTAAATGGGTATGGTATTATAAATGTTTGTAAATATTGTAAGTTATCTAATCAATAAGTCTATTCTTAATAAAAGAAACTTGCACCTTGATATTTTCTGTACAAACTAGAACTGCCATTGTCATGGCGTGAATACCCCCACATACCAATTTGTCAGAATCACACCAGTAGTCATTTACAGCTCAGACAACCTCCCAGCCAAATCTGAGGGAAGTAAGCCAGTGCATTGCTAAGTTATGTATTCTACATGTTTTAGTGGAAAAGATCAAAGTGAACTTTACCTTTGACCTACTGACCTCAAAACTGAAACTGCCATTGAATGACTTCAATAACACCCCCCCATTTCATGCAGCCTTGCCTGGAGGTGTTTTATGATGAATATATGAGACCATTTGAGCAGACAAGCTAATTGTAATAAAAGCCCCTGTGACCTTGACCTTTGCCCCAGTGACCTCAAAATCAATAGGGGTATTCTACTAATCTTGACTAACCTCCATGCCAAATATGAAGACTACGGGTCAAAGGATTCTTAGGTAATTGGGAGGACAAGCTTTAATTAGCCAAGGCCCCTGTGACCATGACCTTAGACCTGGTGACCTGAAAATAAATAGGGGTCATCTACTAATCATGACTAACCTCCATGCCAAAAATGAAGACTGTGGGTCGAAGGATTCTTAAGTTATTGGGCAGAAAAGCTTTCTTCAGTCAAGACCCTGTGACCTTGACCTTTGACTTGGTGTTCTCAAAATTAAAAGAGGTCATCTACTAATCATGACTTACCTCCATGCCAAATATGAAGACTGTGGGTCAAAGGAATCTTAAGTTATTGGACGGACAAGAAAAAACTGACAAACTCCCGACGGCCGGACAAGCTGATTCCAGTATACCCCCCTTACAACTTTGTTGTGCGGGGGTATAACAGATTTCAAACATTGATAAGTTAGCTCATCTTCTTGGTGATGAACTGGCGCCTCTATATACAAATGTGGTTCTGTTCATACATAGGTTATCTCATGTTCTTCGTGATAAACTCTCACCTTGAAGTTAATAGAGTTCTGTTCATACATATTTCAAAAATAGATAAGTGATCTTATTTTCCTGGTGAAAAACTGTTCGCTCATTAAAGTTCTATACATATTATGATATTTCAAATATTGGAAAGTTATCTCATGTTCTTGGTGAAAGACTGGTGACTAGTTTTCTCCTCAATGTCATTTCTTTTTCTAATTAGATTAAGTCAAGTTACTATATTCATGAGGCTTTCGACATCACATCATCCAACATTGCAAAGGGCAAGCAGTCTCCTGGTATTCCAATTTCTTTTAAGTTTTGAAAAACCCAAATATTTCAATTTCTCTAGTGTTTCCGACATGAAGACACATCTACAGGCATCTGTCCTTATCACTCCTGCTATTACTGTTCTGTCATACAAACGCCTCTGTTTCCTGAAATATTTGTTTAGAAAAAGTTAATTGCAAAATAAAAATGCCATTATTTTTGTTTTGATTTGTTCGGGTGAGGGGGGGGGGAGAGCAATTTAAAGCACAATTTCCAGCTTTACTGGTTGAGGAAGACCTTGGTGCACCTATGTGTATGATTTCAGGCACCTGGGTACCATCAATGTTCCATAAATAAGCTGGATAGCTTTCTCACATGAAATAATCCATAAACCCTTGCAGAGCTCGAACCTACAGCAGTGAAAGGCTTAATAGGTTCAAAGTCAACCAATCCACCACAGACACCCCAAGTATTTCATCTATTTGCTAAACAGCAATTTTTTCAAAATTATTTAAATTTATAAATGTGAGTGATTCTGATAACCTATAGATAGCTAAGTGTAGATAAGATAATCATATATGTCAGATATGTCGGAGTGCTTACTGTGAATATTCAATATTTTAATGTGAATTCTCCTGAGGTGAAAAGGAAAGAAAAGCTGAATTCCTAAATACATGTTACATGTCACAATTGTTCTTGCTATTATTTTTGTTCCTAATTTCTAGTATAAGATGATATTTAAATACATAGAGGATATTCAAGTTTTTTCTATAAATACATGATTTATTTTCATCGAGTGGTATGAAAATAAATATTTCATGAGTGGCGGTAGCCACGAGTGAATTATGGTAATTTTCATGCCACAAGATGAAAATAAATCATGTATTTATAGAAAAAACTTGAATTTTCTGTTTATTATGTACATTTTTCTCTTCTTTGCGATAAAATTTGAAAAAATTTCCCTTAAATTTTTTGTACTTGTACAATTTAAAAGAAAGTAGTGAAAATACGGAAAATATGTTTCACTGCAGTGAAAAATAAATTTTTACAGTGAAAATACGGAAAATGAAAATACGCATTTTATTTCATCAATATTTCTCAATATTTCATTTATAAGTATATAATAAACTGTAATTCCTTTTTATAAATTTGGATTTTATCCAGTGACAGAAGCTCACTGACTTAAAATAAACTGTCCTGTGTCAGCCTTTAAACAAGTCAAGAAAAAAAGCTATTAGAATATAATAATTAAGAAATATCATATACAACCACTTCTAAATAATCATGTACCACTTCCTTAAATGCCATGCTACTGAAAGAAACATTTTACCATTTATTCACTGCAAGGTTTGTCAGATTGACAGTCTCACATTTTAGCCTTTATCTCTCTTGATTTCATTCTCATTGACCCTAAAGCATCCTTAAAATCGATATCCTGCCGTTCACATTCACAAATCTGACATGTAGGCCGACCATCTGAAACAGAAAGTTGGAAAGATAAAATATAATTATTATTAGATATACATATAGTATCCCAATAATTATGTTAGTTGATATCAAATCAATAATTTAAGCAGTGTTCGAAATTAGCAGTAGTCCGAGGGCCTGACTACTAAATTTCTCCTCGGGCTACCAACTTTTCACAGTAACAAGCCGACCAGGCTACTGTATTTTCAGAGGCAATATAAACAACTGTTTTGAACAAATGAATCGTGCCAGTGAAATGTCTTTTGGGCTAGTGAATATTCCAATCTGGTAGTCCGACCAGACTAGTCGATTCAAATCCTAATTTCTTACACTGTTTAAGAAACAATTTGTTCAAAATTGTCCAAGCACAAAGATTTTTATAGTATACTATAGTAGTTATAGTGTATATACAGTATGTACTAAATGTCTTTACAATCTACTATACTGTCCTGAAATTTTAAGAAAACAACTATCTTTAAAATCCATTGTCTCAGAAGTTGCAAAACCAAGTAAATGAAATTGTTCTGGGTTTGTATTATTCTGCACAACTTCTCATCACAAAAGCTTCAAGGACATTAATGAGTGAATCAGGTCCTATCCTAAAAGATTGTTGCGTACAAGTTTGAAGACAATCCATTCAAAAATAACAAAGTCATAGCCACTAATAGCAACAAGAGCGATCAGTAATCACATGTGTCGCCTCATGATGGCCAATTTCATGTTGGGACAAATTTTGTGACAGACGGACAGACAGACGGACAGTGCACAACTAGACTAACCACTTTGTACTGATCATTCCTGTAAAATTTGGATAAAATTGCACCAGTAGTTTATGAGGAGTAGTCCGGACAAGCTTTTGCGTATCTGGCAACACACAGAAAAAAACACCTTTTTATCAAAGGGCCATAACTCGGCCAAAAATCATTCAACCGGAAAACCCGTGCAATATGCGCAAGGACTTGAGCTACAGATCAATCCTGTAAAGTTTCATTGAAATTGCATTAGTGGTATAAGAGAAGTAGTCCGGACAAACTTTAAAAATAACTAGAAATGTGTCCATAGGACACGGATGCCCCCACACGCCACTGTTCTGTCAATCTTATGACTGTAGGTCAAATATTCTTTGGACTACAAGTGCCACAAGTTGAAAACTAAAAATCAACAAAGGGCCATAAGTCTGTTAAATTTGGTCGCAGCAAAAATTCCTTCCTTTACTACCATCTACACATTAAGGTTGTTCATCCCTGGAAGTTTAAGCAAAATCTGCTGTCCGGTTTAAGAGGAGTTGCATTCACAAAATTTCTACATAGTATATAGTGAAAAAATCAACAAAGGGCCATAATTCTGTAAAATTTGGTCGCAGCGAAAATTCCTTCCTTTACTGCTATCTACACATAAAGGTTGTTCATCCTTGTAAGTTTAAGCAAAATCTGCCATCCGGTTTAAGAGGAGTTGCATTCACAAAATTTCTATATAGTATATAGTGAAAAAATCAACAAAGGGCCATAATTCTGTAAAATTTGGTCGCAGCGAAAATTCCTTCCTTTACTTCCATCTTCACCTTAAGGTTGTTCATCCCTGTAAGTTTAAGCAAAATCTGCCATGCGGTTTAAGAGGAGTTGCGTTCACAAAATTTCTACATAGTATATAGTGAAAAAATCAACAAAGGGCCATAATTCTGTTAAATTTGGTCGCAGCAAAAATTCCTTCCTTTACTACCATCTACACATTAAGGTTGTTCATCCCTGTAAGTTTAAGCAAAATCTGCCATGCGGTTTAAGAGGAGTTGCTTTCACAAAATTTCTACATAGTATATAGTGAAAAAATCAACAAAGGGCCATAATTCTGTTAAATTTGGTCGCAGCAAAAATTCCTTCCTTTACTACCATCTACACATTAAGGTTGTTCATCCCTGTAAGTTTAAGCAAAATCTGCCATCCGGTTTAAGAGGAGTTGCGTTCACAAAATTTCTACATAGTATCTAGTGAAAAAATCAACAAAGGGCCATAATTCTGTTAAATTTGGTCGCAGCGAAAATTCCTTCCTTTACTACCATCTACACATTAAGGTTGTTCATCCCTGTAAGTTTAAGCAAAATCTGCCATCCGGTTTAAGAGGAGTTGCGTTCACAAGATTTCGGGACGTACGGACAGACGGACGGACTGACTGACGGACGGACGGACAAGTGCAACGCTATATGCTCCCACATTGTGGGGGCATAAAAATTATTAAAGGGCCATAACTCAAACAAAAATCATTGAACCGGAAAATGCTGACAATATGCACAACTAGACTTGGTACTGATCATTCCTGTAAAGTTTGGATGAAATTGCACCAGTAGTTTATGAGGAGTAGTCCAGACAAGCTTTTGTGTATCTGGCAACACACAGAAAAAGAAACCTTTTTATCAAAGGGCCATAACTCGATCAAAAATCATTCAACCGGAAAACCCGTGCAATATGCCCAAGGACTTGAGCTACAGATCAATCCTGTAAAGTTTCATTGAAATTGCATTAGTGGTATAAGAGAAGTAGTCCGGACAAACTTTAAAATTAAAAATTATTAAAGGGCCATAACTCTGACAAAAATCATTGAACCGGAAAATCCTGACAATATGCACAACTACACTTGATACTGATCATTCCTGTAAAGTTTGGATGAAATTGCACCAGTAGTTTATGAGGAGTAGTCCGGACAAGTTTTGTGACGGACGGACGGACGGACAGACAGTCAGACGGACAGACAGACGACGTAGAAGTGATCCCTATATGTCGCCACTACTCCGTAGAGGCGACACAAAAATCAAGAAAATTTAAATATTTTACCTTGAATGTTTATATGGAGGTCAAGTTTAGTCTGGTCTATTTGAAGGGTTGTTGTGGCCAAGTATGAAGACAATACACCAAGATCTGAAAAGTTATGAAAAAGGTTAAAGTTTGTTGACAGCAACGGGAAAGCCGTCATGACCCTAAAATGCATACTGAAAGTTCTAGCCTATACACACTGTTGAGGATAGCCGTTCAGCATTTTTCAATAATAAATAAAATCAATGCAATGATAAAATCAGTAACTTGCAAGTCTTCTAACATTTTTACAAAGAATGAACATATATATTTTTTCCTAATAATTCTATGATGACGTTCAGCCTTTTATATTATAACAAGATATCGGAAAGATATATCAGAAATGAATTGGCCCGTGGACTTTAATGTCAATCATAGAGCTCTTATGCAAAATGTAATGGTAAGCAAACATCCAGCATGAAATTTTCAAGTAGCTAAAAGTGAAATAAAATTATTAAAAATACTTTGTCATAATTCAACTACTGTTGGAAATTGACCCACATGTTTGATTACAAATGTATTACATCTATATTGTCCATAGAAATAATAAATTAATTTTCAGTCTCTTTCTCTTTGCGCTTTCACACAGATTTAAATTATTCAACTCCATGATTTTCAGAAGGAAAACAAATCTTCTGATCATCAAACACTAAAAATTACTATACCAACTGTAAATTGCAGTCTGTGCGAAAGACTGTCGGTCCTCGGACCTCGCCAACTAAAAATCAGTAGGGCCGAGATAAATTTCGATACAGTCAGTTGTCATGTCCAAATAAAATTTCAGCCAGTTTGAAACAATTTTTGGCCTTCTAAAATATGCAAAGCTTCCAAGATTGATCTATTTTTTTAATTTTTTTGCTTGTATTCACAGACCAAGATAACCAAAATCACCGCAGGATACGACCAGTTTTTGCTAAGTAATGTAAGCCACCATCTTGTCTTTGATAATTTCCTTACCAAAACATATTTTTTCTCCAATCTTCAAAATTAAACCTTTGAAAGATGTATTGTTTTCTTGTGAATTATGCTAATGTTTTATTAATTATGTTTCTGTATACTTTTTTCATAGTATCTTATAGTTGAGTCTGACAATTCATATATGCTAAATATTTTTCTTTATAATTATGGCAATATCCCTCCCCCATCCCTACAAAAAACCTTTCAGAGTCCGTGCCGGTAAAAAATCATCAGGGCCGGAAATAAATCTAAGGATCCAAGTCCTTGCGGCAGGAATTTTTTTTTGACTTTCGCATTGACTGAAATTGTATATGATATTCAATAAAATCTTCTTTTAGAAAAACAAGTTTGCATATTATTGTTTTAGGCAACTCATTTTTAAAATGCTGTACAGCTAGCCTCAACAGTGAGTATATGCTAGTCGTATGCGACTCACATACAGCCAGCATTTTTGTCAAACAATACTGGTTCATACTGCTAGCCACTGCCATGATTAATTATTCCTTCCTCTACCAATTCATAAACTTCCATCAACAAAATTTTTGAATACTATTAGTATAATAATCATATAGATGTTAAACAATAAAAGTAATGATGACTTAATATGATGTATATAAAATTCCGCTGCTAAAGACAAATTGTTTTTATTTTTATATCAACAAAGGTAATGAGGTAAGTTTCATCAGTGTATGATGACTTTTAAATTTTTGTTTAAAGTAAAAATTGATAGTCATCAAATTGTTCTAAATATTACCATACTGTTATACAGAGTTCCAGATAATTTTTTGACACTGGGGGTAATTACTTACCCCCACTTTCCAGAATGTGGGGGTAAATTTAAATAGATCAAAAATCTACCGAGTAAAATTTTGTGTGAAAAAAATGTCAATTTGATTAGCCCTTGAAGCAACCATGCACTACATGTGTATTAATAAATCCTTGCAATTATCAAGAAAATAGAACAATTGTTTTATCAAGCACCTAAGCAATAAAGACGTAATTTGACTGGTTTACAGAGAAAAATAGTTGAAAGTATCTTGACGGGTATTAATTGGAAATAGATACACAGTCAACTGTTAATGGAAGCGGTCAATCAGCTGTTTCGAAAATGAAAGTACACACCAAAAACGCTTCAAATTTACATTCTTTGCGTAATTAATTTACAGAGTGCGTAAATGAACGCAACAAATTGGTAACGTTGTACGTTTTTAGTTGATTTTAAAGCGTAAAATACGCCGATACTCACATTATCTGGAATCTGTTATATTTAATAATATAATCAGTAATCTTATTATTATTGACCTGTGGTTTTGAATTTTAATACAACTACTTTTTTCATATAAATGTCTATAAATTTACAAATAAAAAATCTATAAAATTATGGACTGACCATAAATATGAAATCCTACATCTGATGAAGGCAAAACTGTGGAAATCAGATCTACATGTATGAAATAAGTATATCTGAACTTAAGTCATATTGTATTTAACAATTATAATTATTACCAGTCCTTTAAAATTTTGGGACCTCTAGGATAGGATTTTATTCATTACAGGGCTGGGGCAGTACCTCCAGTCGCTTGCAAAAATCATGATCACAAAATTGAAAACTATCATTTTTCACCAATTATAACATTTTACCTGTATACCATGACAAGTTTTGGGCCTATTTTGTTTAGCTTAGATAGCTAATACAGTAAATTGAGTTATAGAGATGTGTTCAAAAAGTAGTCAAAAATGTAATAATAATTTAAGAAAATATCTTTCCATGTTTCTGAATAAGTCCAGATATTAATTATGTGGTTTCAACAATAAAGAGTGATAAAACAAACCAATATGTTAATAAATTGAAAAGTGGACCGAGTTGAAAAAAGGCCGAGCTGACTCCACAGTATATAAACGATTTGAACCCCAACCGGATCTTGTGAGAAGATCTCAGCATCTAAACGTACAATTAGACGTAATGACACATTAAACTGTTAAAAATCGGCTTGAATTTAATATGTTACGGTATGTTAACATTTGAATCATATTAAGAAATAATTTATCTTTGCTAAAATATACATCCATAAACTTCTTCGTAAAATATATGCGCATAAAACGTTGTGCTCTTCGCCTCATATTTCGTGGTCAATGATGGCATTGAAATTCGTAGTCTTTACTGAACATGCATACCTTGGTGTGTAAAGAAACTGGTAGGACAGTCCTTTACTTAAAAAAAAATGAAAAAAAAAACAGAAAAGAGCAGATAATTATAAAAATAAGTATTGTTTTTTTTTTAAAAAAATAACAACGAACTTCTACAGTCATTGTCAATTTTAAGCAAAAGATCTTACATTAAATTTTAACTGAAATGGAAAAAAAAGTGGATCAGCCGCCGTACGTTCCGTACGCGCCGGAACCCGGGATCGAACCAGGGACCTTTAGATCTTCAGTCTAACGCTCTCCCAACTGAGCTATTCCGGCTGATGAATGTAACTGAATGAAAATAGTATAATAAACCCATATACATATTGATTATACATTATTCCTCTACATTAACATTGTTTTAAATACAAGATAAAATATACACGTATATTGATTAAATATAAGAAGTGGCTAAAACTTACTTAAACAGTACAGTTTACATTCATAGATCAAGACATTTTCTAAGGGGTTAATTTTTACTAGATCTATAAATCTAGCTGTGTAGGCTAGCTACTACAATCTAAATAGCAATACAGTATGTACTGTAGCTATAGAATTCTATGTTTAAATAACTGTTGTAATTATATAGTCTCTCTGTCCCTCTAATTCTTAAAAAGCAAAATATAAATTGTTAGTTACTTAAACACGTGGCGATAGTACTTACTGACTCATCTATAGATAACTCTGTAGTACATGTACACATGTTACAATAAGGCTATACAAGTTGTGTCCCTTACTTTACCTCTCTAGAGATTGATAGCAAGCTAAAAGCAAGCAAATAAATACATAGAAATAAATAAATAAACAAATAAATAAATAAATAAATAAAAGGCAAACACAAACTTAACATTAAACACAGACTTTGTACAAAAAGATTTATTTGAATATACCGTTAAGAAATAATGTAACTTGAAGTTTAACTGAATATATATCTCCAATATAAAATATCAATCGAACACAAACACATAATCTCATTTAGACTTCTTATATAGTTTGAAGAGTTTTAGTTACATTACTAGAATGGCCGAAAAAGTTATGAGTTACCAAGAGTTTAGATATTAATATAAGATATAGAAGGGAGTGCGATTGCACGGGAGTTGGAGAACCGGGTGCCTGGACAAACTATTAAAGTTAACCTTAAACTATATATATAAGTGTGGTCAACTTTGACAATCACATGTACACGCCTGACCTCAAAAACACAAGACTTCCTTTTATTTGTACGTTCACGTGTTCTTCAGGCGTTGTATTGTAACCCACCTGTTCGAACATATCTTTTCACTAATCATATTCTTCACATCCCTGTGAATAAAACGATCCTATTCTTCACGTGTGGGACATCTGAGGAAAGTACCGCGGAGTGGCCAAAATATGGCCTTTGTCAAATTTGTTGGGCTGACTATACGAGCAGTTTTCCGTTTCTTGTAAAATCGGATGCTTTAATATTATTCCCAACAAGTATCAAACAACAAGTTAAACTTTTATCAACTTTTATCAACACAATATCAATCAAAGTCTAAGTAAATAAAAGAAAATAGAATATTGACAAACATCTTTTAAAAATGTTACAAAAATAACATTAGTATAAAGAAACGTGACAGACTATAACTGGTGTATACACGCCACTTAAAACTTTAAAATTTTGCTTTGTATTTTTCAGAGCTGACAATGTTCGTTATTGTCTTAACAAATATGGTGAAGTGATTTATTAATTAATTCATGTTTGGCTGAATGAAATAAAAGAAAACATAATACATTTTTATTATAAATTCCAAAGTTTAAATCCCCTAAATCGCTATTTAATTTCCAAAATCTACTTTACAGTTGTTCTGGAGACTCGTTATCAACTCTTCGACTATCTCATTAAATGTTTCATGTACATGAAGGTTTACTAATTCTTTGCATTTACACCCGTGACCTGCTGAATTCAATCAGTTAATAAACTACTTATAATTGTTAAATATCCCAGTACGCCGAATTATGAGTCTACTCGCCCAGCCGTCACTAATTGGTTCTCTTTGACATTATCTGGTGAACCTGAATTTGTTTTCTTATGAATGTTGATGTTGTTTCTCATTTAAGCTTAAAATCGTTATCGTTTCGCAATAAAAAGTCGGAAAATACAATAAAGTTGGGGGAAAACAAACAAAAAATATTTTAATCTAGTTTTGCAGAGGTTAAAATTGAAAATGATCTCACGTTACATTTGTATTGGTTAATATTTTGTAACTGAATTTAAACTTTATGGTCGAACATGCCTTTAATGTTGCGATTCTATATTTAATAGTTCGGTTTGGTTAAGTCTATTTATATAGCATTGTGAATACATGTTAGTTTCACACTCTCTTGTTATCCATCGTCGTCGTCCCTGCCTACATCATAGGGCCACTCCCCTCGGCTTAAGTTAGGACATCGACAGCTGGTCCCTAGTTGTAGACAAAGTAGAAGTCCCGAGAACGGGTAGGGTAATTTAAGAGTTCTATCCGCCAAGCCGCACATCTTCTGCCGATGCGCTGTGCCTTCTCAGCAATGTGCACGCACCGAGGGTGGAAGAGAGACGATGTTAAGATAAATGCGCAGATGGTTTTGTGTGTATGTGTGTACCCGCACATGCGTACGTGCGTATGTGATATTGTAAGAGCCTTCTAATGAATGCATTTTCCAATAATAACAGCAACGAGTGAGGACATTCCAAAAAGCTGAAGAAAAAGTACTTCCTATTTTGAGATTAAATGGCTAAAAATCGTTTAAAATTTAGGTCTCAATCGACGGTCACTTTTTTCCGGGTGTGTTGTCAGTTTTTCATCGACCCCGCCCCCGATGGTCTCAGTTGCCGTTGGAATATCATGTTTTCACACCAGTGGGTGTAAAGTGGCATTGAATGTTGAAGTATATTGCAAAGTTTAGTTTTTATGTAATTATATATTTTTTCATTTTAATGAGTTGTCTATTTTAAAATCGATTTGATGGACACCGTACATTCATACAAGTATATTTGTTCTTGTGTGGTGGAAACATACTTTTATCGAACACGTGCATTTTTCGCATGTGCGGACATGTATAGCATATGTATAAGAATCAAAATGGTGCCCAAAAGGACTGTAGAAGGTACTCATTATATGTGACGTCTATTTATGACCATATGTAAAAAGTATGTACTGTGACATGTTAACATCCATGTCGACAAAAAATGCCTAAAGTAGCGTTACATTATGGGAAGATAGGCCGTGCAACTTTGTGTATGCTAGTATATTTTTGCAAACATCGAGAACTCTTGGAAATCATTGATATGCAAACTTTATGAATTTGAAATCTTTTCAATCAAGCATACAAGTATTACAAGTCAATTTAGCACTTAATCCAAGTGGTAAGTAATGACTATTTTAAAGTGCCTTCTTGACACTTTTTGAATAGCTCTGCTGGGGGTATAGTCGTTTACATAAACTTTAAAGTTTACAAGTGTTTTGTTTGACTTTTAGAAAAGCCTTTTAAAATGCCAGTATAAAATAAATATGTTGGTATATTTCCTTTTTAGCGGATTGAGCCTTCACAAAATCTTTGCTCAATTGTTAAAACACTTCTTATAATAGCACTATTATATTTTGTTACCGAACATTTCATTCTGTTGACACACAGTTGGCAGACATAACAGAAACATCATACATTACAACTCTTTCGAGAAACAACCATAAAATTATAGAAACAACATAAATTTTCCGTTTTTTTTTTAATTTTTATAAAAAATATCAGTATAGAAAACCTTTGACCCTTTTGAAAGTCAATGAAAATACGCTTTTAGCTGAACTAATCATGTATCAGTTCAAGTGCATTAGTCAAAAATGATCACATTTTCAAAGAAAATAATCATAAACCAAAAGCAAAAAGCAAAAATAAATAAATAAATAATAATAAAAAAATAATAGAAATGAATAATTGGGATATTCTTGAAAAACATTGCTTGGAAAAAAATGTTGGTAACATTTTATGAACAAATATATGATAAGTAATAATATTTTATCTGCTATGTAATTTAAAAAACAAACGTTATTTTGTTGATTTGAACTAACTAAATTTTAGTTTAGTTAAAACATAGTTTATTTCAAACAAAACTAACAACAAATGAAATCAATGAGAAAGGTTCAGAACCGAAAGTTGATGCTTATATAGTTCTTATCCTAGTATAATATGTATGTACATGAATATGATTGAAATTACAAGAAGAATCTAATTACTTAATAAGAAGAAATTTTGTGTTACATACAAAAAAAATAAGTTGGACATTTTAAAGTATGTTTCAATGTGCACTTGAAAGATGATAATGATGAAGAATTTCGAATTTCGGAGTTCATTCCAGTCCCGAATTACGGACGGCAAGAATAAATTTTCATAAAGCGTTGTTTGTAAAAAAGTGGTAGCTCGAGTATGGAGAGTTTCCCAGAGTACTTCCTTTTGAAATTCATGGAGATTAACAAGTTTTGTAGCACTAGAAATGATCCGAGCTGCTTCGTTGGACTACGCTACTGGATTTTGTCCAGTTCTGTTTTTTCACATTGGGTACAATTGTCATATAATACGTCTGCATACTCTAATAAAAACTAACTGAATGATTTTGGTTTTTGCTGGGGCTTAAAATGGCAATACAAATGTAAATCTAACGTTATTTCAACGATGAAATCTGATTATTGTTCAACGGTCATACAAGGTTGATGTGGCTGCTGGGATATCTAAACGAAATATGTTTTCATAAAACTCGGTTGACTCTCCTCTCGGTAAGGTTCCCATCCGACACACTTGGATATTATCAATGGCCTGTGATCCAAAAGGACAATCCGGTTCATTGAAAATATTGAGCAAAATGTCTTTGCGTTCAAAAGATCCAGATCTCCCAACTTTAAACAGCGTTAAATGGGGCTTGAAACTAGACCTAGATGATCCAACATCAAATCCGGCATTGATTACTCTAATTTCATCCACCAATGCAAGAAACTGTTGTGAATACTTCACTTTGGCATAAATGACCCTTTCGTTGAAGTGATCAAGACCTTGAAATATAAGCGGTTCCGTATTTCGCGCCAATTTTTCAAGCTTCGACTTCGCTTGATTCATTGCCTCAAAGCATGCTTTATAGTTAGACTTGTTGTCAAGTTTCAGAACAGAAAGCGTCAAGTGAAACCCATTGGCTGGAATTTTATAATCGGCGTAATTTGGATACCTCTTAATGACCTGTTTCTGGGCGTCTACAAGTTTCTCTATAGTGTTTGTGTCCGTTATTTGTAGAGCCACAAAGAAATTTGGACGTTTGTTAGTTTGTTTTTTCCCTTGCATGTCTATTGATCTTTCCCAGGCACTTGCCATTCTAAATAAAAAAGAAACAAATTATTATTATCTTAAAAAAAGAGTTGCATCTGTCATTTGCATTTTGCATTATTGTATTATAGTTTGGAGACCTATCTGTTGAAAATATGTCAAAGTTAAATCGTATGTACATATATACATGCAAAGTGCGTTAACTGGAGTGCAGGTAATAGTTACCCGCACTTCAGAGCATGCCCATTGATTGGCTCATTTTTTTCTGGGGTTTTCTTATTGTGACGGATGGAAATATCATATTCTGATGCTCGTTGAGAAGAAAAGAGAAAGAACACCAAAACCCTCGTGTTCGATGCTCTTTCTATTACTTAAATATCATCTTACATTCATCAATACAAGAAATAAAAATACAAGGAAGAAAACGGCAGCTAGATTGTAATCAATGGCTCTATTTTAACTAAGTGTATATTATATTAACTTTAGATATATTAACTATAAAGCATTTGGTTAAATTAACTACTGATCGGATGATTCGAATGAAACATTTAGGTTAAGTTAAGAATTTAAAGAATATACAATGACATGGACTCCGCCCATTGTAAGTGCAGGAAAGTGAAATATGTTAAAACTTTAAATTAATTTTAACTTTTCAATTCCTGTAATAAATAACCACAGAAAAGGATAGTTTCCAGTCGTATATATATAGAAAAGGTCTTAAATAACGCTACTGGGTATGCTACATGTAGTTATAAACTTTTATAAACAAGTTTTGAGGATCGGAACTTCAGTCTGATTGATATGATTCATGTTATTCCCATTAGTCTGCACTTTAAGAGAACCTCCGATCAGAGTTGTAGGTTATCAATGTCTCTGCTCAAATTTATCAGAATAAATGTCGCCTAAACAAACTGCAATATATGCGTTTGTTTGAACATTAATCGGTCGTACCATTTATTTATTTAATTATAATGTAATGGGTTGTGCAAGCTAATCAATTATTACATGTTACATTTTTATTGCAATATAGAAGAAAGACACGTAAGTCCGAGTAGCTTAGTGGTTAGAGTTATAAAGCTCTTAGGTTATAAAATGGTTCATTGAGTTCAAATCTGCAATTGTGCATTTTTTTCAGTTTTTTTTTTCAGAATATATTTTTATTGTGTCACGTTACTTTTTATTTCCTCTTTTATATATGCCTTTGATTTATTTAATGCTTTGCATAATTTAAAGTTAAACTTATAATGGTTAAGCAAAATTGAATGTATTTGATTTTTGAATGTCTGTCAATGAACAGTTATCAAATTCTGTTTGAAGCTCTGAATTGCATTCGCCACATTTTCAACAATTTTGGCTTATTTGTATCCATTGCTCATTTATCACTTAACAATGATCTCAAAGAGCATTGTGTGAATAAAATTTACGAGAGACTAAAATCCAAATCGATAAAAAATATCTAAAAACAAAAAAGAAAAGAAAAAAGCCTTTACTCACGAAGCAAACAGTCCACCTATACGCTAAATAACACTAGATGGTTAAAGATTTGGGCGAGAAATTATGGTGGCTGGATGCGGCCATTTCAAACCTTCAAACATTTTTATCGATATAATTATTATAAATTGTCGCGGACTGATGAATAGAAGTGGATCTAGCGTCACTTTGTTGACATAATGACGTAATCAATGTCAATTTTATGAATAGAAAACCTGACATGTCATATTTATGAATAGAAAACAGGACATGCCACATTTATGAATAGAAAACTTGACAATTTTAATGAAATAATCGATGTCGATTTTCTGAATAGAAAATGTGACATTTTTTTTAATGTTCAAATTTTTAATAAAAAGTACTACATTTATAGTGACGTAATATAAATGTCGATTTTCTGAATAGAAAACCCTACATTTTTTTATGTCCATTTTTCAATAGAAAATGATACATTTTAATTTGTTTACATAAGTGACGTTATAATGGTCAAAGTTATGAATAGAAAATTGCTACCATAAAGGATTAGGTTAACATAATAATGGTCAAAATAGACAATAGACAATTACGACCATAAAGGATTACGGGTCACATAAATATGGTCTAAAGTATACAATAGAATAATGATACCATAAAGGATTACTAGTAACTAATTCGGTCAAAATATACAAAAGGAAAATTATAATCAAATTATTGGTTTAAACTATAAATAGAAAATTAGGACAAAATATTATTAACAAGTCTAGACCAGCTGTGGTCAACTCATAATTATGATAAACTACTTTAGTATCTGGTATTTCTTCTTCTTGATATTGTATTTTACTATCTCATGTAACCGCCATCAGAAAAATGTAAAGTTTAATCAATTGTTTACATAATGACTTAAGAGTGTGTACTTGATAACAATAGAACAGGTAACACTCCAAAAATGTCAATCTTATACATGTAAATGCAAAATTTAACATGTCCCAAATGAGCAAATGAGCAAAAAAATGTAGGGTTTTCTATTCAGAAAATCGACATTTATATTACGTCACTATAAATGTAGTACTTTTTATTAAAAATTTGAACATTAAAAAAAATGTCACATTTTCTATTCAGAAAATCGACATCGATTATTTCATTAAAATTGTCAAGTTTTCTATTCATAAATGTGACATGTCCTGTTTTCTATTCATAAATATGACATGTCAGGTTTTCTATTCATAAAATTGACATTGATTACGTCATTATGTCAACAAAGTGACGCTAGATCCACTTCTATTCATCATCGGACAAACCCGCGAAATTTTCTCCCGAAAGCGTACAAAACGTGTATATGCTCGATATTTTATAGTATGTTTTCAGTTTATTTTGTGTTATTTTTTTGTACATCAATATGTTTGCAATATTTATCTGTTCAAACATTCATAATTTACATGTATACATTTGATATGCAAATATTTATTTTGAAAGATGTTAGACTTACCTTAAAAACTAGACCTGTTCCCAGTTAAAGATTAAAATGGTGATGTACATGTGTATTAAAAACTTCCTTAATTCTTATCTCAAACCGGAAGTATAAAATCGATATCGTTTCGCAACAAAAAGGTATAAACAAGTAGTCAGTTAAGTGGGAGGGGGGGGGGGGGGGTAGGGAGTGTAACAGTGCCTAAAAAGAACACGTTTGCACTAGTGTTCAATAACTGTAAGTTAACTATTGTTCCATATCTGGTGAGAGAACACGTAAATACGGGTGTTGTACTCACTTACATGGACACTACAAACAGCCGTAGTTGGCAGCTTCACAAAGTGTTTGGGCAAACAAAAAGATGTAATGCACGCGCTATATTTCCACTTTTATTCCGTATTCATATCTATAGTTGGGAGTACGTATAATGTATAATATGATTATAGCGGTTATCTGAATTTTTAAAAAATTATACTTGTAATGATAACATAAAAATAAACAACATACAAACAATTCATACATGCTTAAAAATTAACAAATTACAATAGAATTCATCCTCAACAATTACTGTGGGAATCCTGCTGATAGTAATGTTAACAAAGTTATTAATTGATATAATTACACATTATACAAATTTTACAGCAATTAAAGTCTTAACAATGATACTGTTTTATTTATTTCAAATACAATTGTAAATGTATTTGCCTTAACAATAATAAATGTAATTATTTTAGAACAAATGTGATTTAAACAATACTTTTCGCAAACGAAGGCAAATAAAACAAAAATAAACATACTGAACAATGGTTTCTGTGGCCGAAACTTAGTAAATTGAAACACACACACAGTTCGTACTTCACATTCCGAAATCTAAACTGCGCCTTTGAAAGGCTGCAAATCTTGCATTTGCATAAAATTATTATTTCTAGGGACAATTTTCACCAACCAAAATGCAGGAAGCGCCCTCTAAAAAAAATAAAAGTTAAATTTTATTTTCTAAATATGAGGATCGTTAATTACTAGGGAAAGCTAAGTATTGGCAGGGACCAGAGCGCACTAAACTAACACTGCGCTGGACAGTTGACATGAATTATTGAAATCATAACAATTATCAAAATATATTAAATGGGTCTCTGATAATTAAAACCAGCACCAACATTCAGAGTCTGGAACACCGGCCCCAATGATCTTTCTTTTTACATATTAAGTTCATTCTTATATACCGGTATTAAGGGAAGACGAAGAATATGATACTCGTTTTGTAAAAATCGAAACATTCACAAGTTCAAGTATTAATGTTAGTCTAGATTATGATACATATAGATACATCTTTAGGTATCGTAACGCCTTAGCAGCGAGGCAAACAAACTCGCTCATTCAACGTTAATTTAATTGCTGACTATTGGTATCAGTTAGAAGAAATGGTTTCCTGTTCTAATACACATTACATCGTAATCGGCCGTACTTTCTCGGGCCAATTTACCTTGACCTTACATGACCTTACAAGTCCGTCTCTACCTTTTTTTACTTCCAGAACAAGGCCTTATGCTCATTTGTCCCGAGATAATTGCTCGTCGCAGACGAGAACGAGGTCATTTACGGACACATTCCTTTGAATTTTATGACATTTTTGTCTTACCTGTAAGGTCGGCAGATATTCTCGAACCCATCTTTTCCAGAAGACGTTTGCTAGATACTGTGCCTGTCGCCATCAGCGTTTACAATAAACATCACGCTTATCAAATGAACCTGGTGAAAATGAAGCACTTGTCTCATAATTAAAAGTTTATTTGGGGATAAGGGTTCCGGATCCCTTTGATCACTACTTACCTGGGTAATCTGGCTATCGTTGAGAATCTTTTCTATCTCTCTAAATATTGTTTATAGAGCCAAATCGTTGAGAAGTTGTTCCCCAATGACAAATTTTATACCCCTTTTTTGAGCCGTACTAACCGTTCCGGATAACCGCCCATTTGACTTGCATACGAAGGATTAAAATGCCATTTCATTTCTTGCTGTTGGCATATTTTTGCGAGTCGACTTTGATTAAATTGCCAAATGCTATCACATAAAACTCCTGATACAAAATTTTTCCCATTGTCACTGAATATGTTTTCGGTACGGCCTCTACGACTGACCTTTGCAATGTATGGATGAAAGAGCCCTTTAATAAGCTATGAGCAATTTCAATGTGCACTGCTCTGGTGGTCAAGCACGTAATTAAACAGCCGTATGTTTTCAGATGCCGTCTTCCAGATTTCAATGTCATCGGGCCGAAATAAACGACACCGAGATAGGTTTACAAACGGTGCCTTATCTGGTGTGAGCATTTCTTCTGGAAGATCGCACATCTGTTGCAATTCCGGTCGTTGTAACTGTCGTTTGCACGTTATGCACTGACCTACAGACTTAACAGTTTGCAGACCGTGGCTTATCCAATACTTTTGCCGCAACATGGCCAAAAATTGTACTGGACCCATGTGCGCAATCTGTTCATGATGGTTTTGTATCAGGATCCTTGTCGCGTGATGGCTACTCGGCAAGATATTTTGATGCTTAGCAACTACGTGTAGGTCGGATATTGCTAGTCGTCAACCGACTCTCATTACATTAACCTTTAATATAAGACATAGCCTTTTCAGAGGGCTCGAACTCAGAACTGGCCTCTGAGCCTTTAATTTACATGTTTCATTATCAAACGCATCCGTTTGAACTAATCTAAAAATGGCTGTGCCATTTAAATTGGGCTTATCACTTACCTTACTGTAAAGATTTCGTCTTTGGGGTAAGTATTTCTCAATTAAGAAACACTTAAAACATAGTAGCCAACCGACTGTATTTTGTAGTATATGCCAGTCGGAGAACTTACTAAGTAACGTATTCATACCCGAATAATTCTTACCATGAGCGTTTAGTAACTAGCCTGAGGTTTGAGCTCTATGTCATCGTCATTTACGGTTGAGTTACTTACCTGCACTGGCCACTCTGCTTCGTTCCTAATAAGGAATTCATGGCCATTCAACCATATGTCAAGCTTTTCAGTATCTTGCGGATTAACTCCTCTTGACGCAATGTCGGCAGTGTTAATCTTTGAGGGTACATACCTCCAGTCATGTGGTGACGTCACCTCAGGAATTATTGATAGTCTTGAACCTTTCGTTTCATTTCTTATATACACTAACACAACAATAGAGTCCGTCCAAAAGTACTTTTCAGTAACCTCGATGATAAGCTCCACATGAAAATTCGCTGTCAAGGTCTAACTATTCCTTTGATTGAGCTCGATTTTGCTTACGGGATCAATTTCATGACATCTTCACTGTTAAGAATGCAACTTTGTCAGTCTGAAGCCCCCTGAAGAAAGAACTTCTTTCATTTCTGCTGCAAATCTTATTCCCGTACTCTAGTACTGACTTAAGAAGGTCATCAACGTAGAAATTACGCTCGACCGTACTTACCGCTTCTTGACTGAATTTATCAGTAGTTTCATTTGCGTGCGCTTTAAACAGAAAGCTACACAACTTGGCGACGAAGTTGCGCAAAACAAGTGAACGTTCATACGATACTCTTTTGGTTCCTCGTTCAAGTTACCTTGAGGCCACCAAAGGAATCTTAGAGAATTCCTATCATGCTCACACACTCTTACCTGGTAGAAAATGGCTTCTATGTCCGTAACCAATGTTACTGGGGCCTGCGGGAATCGCATTCGTACGCCAGTAATACTGTTAGTTAAGTCGGGACCTTGCAACAGATTGTCATTCAATGATGTGACTTGATACTTAGCAGCACAGTCAAAGACAACCCTTACCTTACCCGGCTTCTTTGGGTTAACTGGAAGATGAGGTAGATACCGAATATGGCCGGGATCTAATTCCGTTCTGGTATCTAATAAGGAAGCATAGCCCTTTTCAATACATTTTGTATACCCATTTACCGTTTCTTTATACATACCAAAAAGCATATTATCTCATTGAAGTTTTCGCTTCAAATGAGATTGTCTTACCGTAACCATCTTCACGTTATTAGGAAGACGTACGTCTGGGTTTCTCCACTGGAGTCCCAGTTTGTAACTGCCATTTTCCTTTACTACTGTACCTTTCGTTACGGAAAGTGCACAACTGTCTTCCTGTGACATCCTTATGCCACAGATCTTGACATCTGGGAAGTCGGTTGCCCATAACATATAGATTTGCAACTGTGTACTAGATGCAAACTGAAAAATTGATACTATCTTGATCATTTGATGATCCATTACACATAGGTCCAATAATATTCAGCCTAATATCGACCTGATTGTACAGTGCTCACCTTTATTTCCCCTTCGCTGTTTCTCTACCCAGAATGCGTCTGGAGTGCCGCTTCCCACAAGCAACTCAACTTTGTTTACATCAGTTTTCGGTAAATTGATACCATTATGGTGCTTCCACTTACCTGTCACAGACTGGTCTGACAACGACTGCAAAGATATAGGTAGGGCTTTAACAGACCAAACCCTTTGAAGGTTAATAACCTGACCCCAATTTAATGCACTTACCTGTAGTTGTACTTCTTTCCAATTCGTCTTTTGACCAGACTTGTTGACGGTAGTAAACGTGAACTTACAAGATTTACTTCAGCCAAAAGCCTTTATCAAGGCTATCGCTACAAAGTGTTACATCGCTCCCTCATAAAAGAGATCATAAGTGTCTACTTGCATACAAAGGTGCTTGTCGCATTGATTTGACCTAAAATATGTTTAATCTTGTTATTCATGTCATACTATATAAAAATATTTAAAAAGAATGAAATATTTTTTTATATATTTTTGTTATATTGTTATAGACAAGGTATGCAACATCCGAGTACGACACTTATGGGTATGTCCGTTCTTGTTGTTAAAATTTTCCAGCGTGTGGTAATATCGTCGGATTTTCGCATGGAATCAATGCAAAATAATGTTTATTTTTCTATCTCAACTGACTATGAACAGATCCTTATTTGCAGTAAAGCCCGCAAGTAAGAAATCCACAACTGGTCCAAAAAGATGGGGAAATTCGATGCGAATTCACTGTTTTTTACTTGACTTATTCGCAAGGTCATAATCATACATTGTTTTTGCTACAATTGAACGTTCCCTCACAAAAGTAAGAAGATGATTGA